ATTGGCCGAGGGAGCCATTGTTTGTCCGCAGACAGCTTCCGGGTCATGTGGCCAGCATGACTAAGCCGCTTCTGGCGAACCAGAGCAGCACACGGAAACACCGTTTACCTTCCCGCTGGAGCGGTACCTATTTATCTACTTGCACTTTGTGCTTTCAAACTGCTAGGTTGGCAGGAGCTGGGACCGAACAACGGGAGCTCACCCCGTTGCAGGGATTCAAACTGCCGACCTTCTGATCGGCAAGTCCTAGGCTCTGTGGTTTAACCCACAGCGCCACCTGCGTCCCCGTTCTTATTCTAGTTCGTTCTAATATTGCAAAATGGAGTCCACTTAATTGCAATCAATGGCTAATGCACGAGGGTGGGCTGGGGATCCTGGCATTGAGCCACGCAGAGTATACGAGAGACCCGGACAGCGGGGGGGGGGGGGAGGCAGAGAGAGAGAGAGACCCCCTCACGGAGTCTTTCCTCTAGGTAGAAGCCTTGGATTTGCCAGTGGATGAGCCCGATACCAATATTCACCTTGCAGGTGCACCACAGAGATAGGAAAAGGTTGAGAGTGATCCTTGCATCCTGGTTCAGCTTGCAAAGCAAGTCTTTGTACAGAGAGCTGGGCACATCCATAGAGAAAGGAAAAAGGATAGAATGATACTCTCATGCACACTTTCTGGCTCTGTTTCCAAAAACTCGGGCATTTTGGCAAATTAAAAAAATCCACCCAGACTAAAATCCTCTGAAAAAGAGGAGCTGTACAGGAGATACCATGTATGGCAACTTCCAGTGTGGAAACCCAGTGCATTGTTACTCTCAGTTGCATTCACATACCACTTTCTTCTGTGCTCCTTGACCAGGCTCCAACCACAGCAAGGATCATCTCATGACCGCCCACAACTGGCCTTCTCAACATGCCAGATCAACTCACGCTTGCGTTTGTCTGGAGGGGCCCTTTTCACCTGCCATCAACCATTCCCCCAGGCTCCCTCAGTGGGAGAGATGGGAAGCAGGGCTCCTTCCACCAGCTCTGCTGAAAGGCCAGCTGCGTCAGGCACCTTCTGCCCCTGAGCTGGTTATAGTCCAGGTGCTCATTATCAGAACCACTATCTAAGAACTGGTGCCTGTGTATGCATTTTCCTTTTCCCTCCTTGCCCCTTTCCCCTTGCGTGTTGTTTTTGTAAGATGGCAAGCCTGAGGGCAGAGACTGCCTTGTTTTAATTGTATGTAAGTCACTCTGGAAGTCTTTTTGGAAGAAGATTAGGGTTTGTTGTTGTTTAGTCGTTTAGTCCTTTCCGACTCTTCGTGACCCCCTGGACCAGAGCACGCCAGGCACTTCTGTCTTCCACTGCCTCCGTCAGTTTGGTCAAACTCATGCTGGTAGCTTCGAGAACAGGGTATAAATGCTCAAAATAAATTTTAAAGATGCAGTGTGTGGACATATTATTTTATTCTGAAATGCAAGATGCACTAGGCTGAAACCTATTTTTCAAGTTTGTTAGTACAGTGGTACCTCAGGTTAAGTACTTAATTTGTTCTGGAGGTCCGTTCTTAACCTGAAACTGTTCTTAACCTGAAGCACCACTTTAGCTAATGGGGCCTCCTGCAGCAGCTGCGCTGCTGGAGCACGATTTCTGTTCTCATCATGAAACAAAGTTCTTAACCTGAAGCACTATTTCTGGGTTAGCAGAGTCTGTAACCTGAAGTGTATGTAACCTGAAGCATATGTAACCCGAGGTACCACAGTATAGCAGTCTGGTAGTATTTAAAAATAGAAATACAAGAGACAGCTATCCCTCCTTTTACAACTTTCTCCAGGGGACTTTGTACTGTACAATGAAATATGCTAATCTCTCTGCCAATCACTCATACAAGGTATGGGGAACCCTGGGCTCTGCAGATGTCGATCTACAACTCTGAACCGCTCCAAGACCTGTGGTTATAGGGCAGTATACAAATATAATAAATAATAATAATAAAATAACTCCCATCAACCCCAGTAAGCATGGCCAGGGATTATGGGAGTTGTAGTTCAGCAACATCGAGAGAGAGAGAGAGAGAGAGAGAGAGAGAGAGAGCGCGCCAAATGTTTCCCACACCTGAATTTTACCAATGATCTCTCCATTTTGGCATATAAGGGGTATATAAATTAATAAAGATTCGTGTGCCTGGCCTTTTCAATATGTCCTACTGGTGAGCAGGTCACCCACGGTCCACAGCTAAAGTACCTTCAGTTTTGGGGCAAAGGAGTTACCAATAAGCATATGGACATTGTTCTGCTAGATTATGACAATGGGGGGGGGAGCTTCTGGATGAGGGCAGCATAACTGAAAAATGAGAGACCTTGATCAAGTGGAGCTATTTATTTCACTATTTCTTCACAAACATTTTCTAGTACTTTAACTGAATTTTACATTATCATCACTATGCTACAAATGGGGGCTTGAGGCTCTATTAAAACAATTTTTTAAATGTAACCACAAACCTGAAGATATAAGATTGAAAGCAACTGAACAAGTTCATGCATCTATTCATAAAGAAAAAGTATCTAGGCTCCATTTTCCCAAAGAGAAGCATTTTGGATTTTTAAAACTCTGTAGACAGTTATCCCTAATGGGATGAATGGAAAATGTGATTTATTTGCCTATTTGTAATGAGGTTTATTTGATGTAACATCTACTTTCACATACTTAATTACAAACACATGTAGAAAAGTGGCTGGTTCTTTAAAATGCTTTATTGATTGTCTTATTCACAGAGCAGCTGTTAAGGCTGGCATAAATTCATTTAGTCTGAAGTTGCAATCATTCTTTCCTCCAGTTAATATTGTGAAAAGCAGGTGATATAAAGGAAAAAGATTGAGTTGGGTTGGTCATTGCTGAAATCTGTTTAGCACTCAGATGGTAAGTGCTAATGGATTATAGTTATGTTGTAGCTTGATATTAAATGGAAATAATGCATTATAGGAATTATTTTTTGGAGATGGAAGTTGTAGCAGGAGGAATTACATTAGTTTAATGCAACTTGAAAAATATATTGTATTGAACTGGAACTCTGTTGTTCAGGACTATTTCACACTTCTTTGCAATATCTATGAAGTGAGTTGTATATGTTATACGACATTAGTCTATCTTACTGTAACAACTGTACCGTATATGCTTATCACATTTGAGAGTACAGCACCACAGAATATGTATTAGAGTCCTGTTTGTGTTGGGTTTGTTTGATCATAGATCTGACCTTGTTGTGGACATCACAGAGTCACATGCCAACCCTTGCTGCTTTTGGTATAACCTACCTGGGAGGGCTGTTGTGGTTAAAAACAGGTGAGACACGTATGCCGCTTTGAGCCCAATGATGGAAGGGTGGACAACAAATGAGATGTCTTCAGGCCCTGAATCTTTTAAAGAGCTAGCAACACTCTGTTGTAGTGTTGTACTGTCTCTCAATGACAGAATAAGAGGCTGCCAGATCAGGCGAAAGTCCCAACTAGTACAGAACCGCATACAAACCAGATGCCTATGGCGAGTTTGCAGTGGATTAGAAGAACTAGCTGCATTCTGAACCAAGCAGGCGGTAACTACTTTTAGAATCAGTCCGTCTGCTGACAGCCACTTCAGTGGGGACCAGCGCTGGATTTACCGTGGTGCAGGTGGTTCCTTGGCACAGGGTGCCAAGCCAAGGGGTCACAAAATTAAGAAAATCCATAATTGAGAAGATTCATTTGAAGAAACCAAATTTTGGCCTCACACAGAGGGCCATATTATGACACATGGGAGCCAACTCCTAGGGGCTGAGGTCCCTTTGCTCCCCCTAAAATATTTGAGCAGGCTGAGCCCCGCAAAGTTGATGGGCTTTGACATTTAAATGGGGGGTGGCGGCGTGGCATGTGATAAATTATGTGAGGTTCAAGCTGGTCTTTGACCGTAATAAATTATGATGATGTGAGGTGGGGCCTACCTGCCCCCCTCAATGTTTTATTCAGGCTGACACCCCTGCTATGAAAGATTACTAAAGTCTGCCCGTGTGGTGATGTATCATAACATTGTGCAGGCCCCGTCTGAGGGCCAGAGCGTGATGGCACCTTCACCCGACTGTGTCTTGTGCCTGCGCCTTCTCTTCCTTCTCTGCCTGTTGCTGCCTCCTCCCTGGGCCAGGCGCTGGCGGCGGGCACAGCTGTCAACTTTTCCCTTTTCTTGCAAGGAATCCCATTCGGAATAACGGAATTTCCCTTAAAAAAAGGGAAACGTTGACAGCTATGGCGGTGGGGGGAGATTTGAGGGTTGCACCCCAATTTCTGACGGGGTCCAATGCTGCTTGTTCCTCCCTCTGCTTTTCAACATTGCAATATATCGCTACCGTATCACAACATCATTATCCCAATGTTGAAAAGTTGGTCTCGTCTGCTTTTAGGGGCTGAGGGGCTTACTCAGTACGGACAGGGGCACTCCTAGGAATTTACTGGATTTCAAATCCCATTGAGGTGGGGGCAGGGGCGGACTTTGGTAATCTGGCCCCCACCCGGAGTGAGGACAAAATAGAATGAATAGGCATCGTTATCCTTCTTTCGTGCTCCCTTGGCTCGGGGCGGGTGAGGCGCCCGCACGGCCCCAAATCTGGCTCTAGCGGAGGAAGCGAATTTCCCCGACGGGCCGAGCCGCCCCTGTGGATCCTGCTGCCCTCGGTGGCAAGCAGAGGCTGAGGAGGCGCCGGGCGCGGGGCTGCCGCCGTCCACTTGCCAGCAGCCGTCGGGGAAGGCGGGCGGGCGGGCGGGCTCCGGGTCTCGGCGGGGCCGGCCGGCAGAGGGCGGCGCTGCGCCTCGCCTGGGCGTGGAAGCCCTGCTGGCACGTTGTTTCCCACGCCGCGCGTCCGCGCCGCGCTCCCGCCTCCATCTCGGCTCGCTCGCCCCTGCCGTCCTCCGCCTCCGCGCCCGCCTCGCCTCGCCTGCCAGACTCGCATCCCTGCCCGGCGGCGGCGGCGGCGGCGGCGGCGGCTCAGCGGAGGCCGAGCATGGCGCCAGCAGCGGCTGCCGGGGCGCGCGGAGGAGCGTCCGGCCGGGCAGCCCCGCTCCGCTTGCTGCTGCTGCTCGCGCTGGGCGCCTCCTGGGCGGCGCGCCCGCCGGACCGGAGCGGGCGCCAGAGACGCGGCAGCCCGCGGGACGAGGCGGGCGGCCTGCGGGGTCGCGCCGGCGGGGGAGCTCCGGAGGCCGCCTCGCTGCTCACCACCTCCTTCGTGCTGAAAGGCGACGCGGCGCACAACCAGGCGATGGTGCACTGGACCGGCGAGAACAGCAGCGTAAGTGCGGCTCCCTCGCCCTGCGAAAGAAAAGAATGGGGGGGGGTTGGGGGGGGTTGTAGTCACGTGTCAGACTGGGGAGGCGGCAGGGGGGACCCGACCCCGCGGCATGTCCCGGTGCCCGGCTCTGGCAGCGGAAGAGTTAACCCGAGGGCGACGGGTTGCCGATTCAGACTTCTTCCGAGGCTCCCCCCGCCGCCGCCGCCGCCAGCTGAGCGAGTGGCTGCTCGGTGAGGAAAGCGGGACGCGCCAGAAAGGGGTTCGCCTCCGAGGCTCCGCGCCGCCTCTCGCCTTCCGACGCCCGGTTCTGGATTGGACGGGGATTCCTCGGAATCCTGCGCGGCGCCGGCTGGAAACACCGGGAGACCCAGCATAGGTTGCGGCGAAACAATGGGAGACGCCCCCGCTCTCTTCTCCCACTCAGTATTTTGGTGCTGTCAAATGTATTGTCTGTCTAAATGCCCCTGGCAATTAATCTAATCGTGATTTACCGTTTTTCAGATTTTTTTTTGTTAACTTTGCTGCATGCAATGCACATTCTGTGGCTGACCTCCTTTGCAATGTCTTATTTTGAAATGTATAATATTTTAGTTTCCTGTTAATCTTTATGTATACTTTATATCTGACTTTCTTTGGTATTGTTTTATTTTGGATTGTTTTATTTCGTGTTTTAATGTAGGCTGTAAACTACATTGAGGTTTTTTCCTTAACAATATAAAGCAGTATAGAAATTAGATTACTGGTGATTAGATTACTGGTGAGCCTTCCACATGGTCATAGAAAAATGATGCATGATCCACCAAAGAGCTTCATGCTTGCCACAGCACCTGTCCTCTACATCATTTTAGCAATGCCATTTCCTTCCAAGGCAATGCCTTGGGAGTTGTTTCAGAGGCATAGGACCAGGTTGTCACACATATGGGGAAAGTGTCTTGCTGGTCACACACAAAGTTGCCCTGGGCAGGGCAGCCACTGGTGTTTGAGGGAAGCTAGTGCTTTGCTGTGGTTATTGGGAGCGAGTGAAGTTGAGGTTGTGAGCACCAGTGTGGCTGCAAGACGCTTGAGTGGTAGTTGTGCTTGGGTCCCTCTTGGGCCCAGTGAATGGTCTGGAGAACACATTGCTGGATCTCGACTGAATTACTTGGGCATGTAATCCCCATGTAAGCTGGATGGTGGATATTTAAATTGAAACACCCCCCAGACAATTTGCTTCCTTTGGCAGAGCAGCAAATGGTTCCTCCTCCCAACTGAGACCAGGTGATTTGGGGTTTCATGAAAAGGCTGCAAATAGCCAGTTGTTTAATTCCTTATTGCATTTTTGTTGCCAGGGAGAAGCACTTGTATGGTTTTCTGCCTCATGTGCGAAAATAATTTGGGTTACCTTGACTTGGCTTGGTGGGGGGTGGGGCAAGGGGGGTATCATTTTTTGTTCTGTATTAGCAAAAGTGAAGCTCTGCTTCCAGCCAAGAAAAGGTGCTTAGTCACAAAATTATGTTTGTACCTGAGTGGGAAATCCCATGAAAACCCTTGCTTTTTTCTTCCCTGCCTGTAAAAATGACAATACTGTCTTTTTGTGACAGCCAACGCCACCTGCCCAAGGTGCATGCACCTCTCTACCTAATGCTCTGGCTAGCTCTGACACACATGTGCACTTACATGCATACTTAGAAATACAACATCCATTGCCTTTTTGAAAGCCATTTCTTACACTCTGAGGTAGCAAGAATACATAATGTACTACAAATCTAATAGTTTGTGTATGCAAATGCTATGGCCCCCTCACCACCTCCTGTGATTCCCACTGAGTCCCGTGACTTCTCATAGGGTTCTGGATGTTTCTTATAGTTGATTGGAGGACTGTGGTCAACACATCTCAGTGCATACGGAAGGAGAATGGTGGAGCAGAGTGCTTGCAAGTTTCAAGGTTTTCCCAAGTTCTTGGTGGTGGGAGGAACGCATTGTGTTTCCCAGTGACTCTATGATAGTATTATTAGATAACCCACAACCTCTCTGGCAATTCTGGAGGACAACTAATTTCTGTGGGGGTTGAGGATTTGATGATGGTAGAAAACTCACTTAAGATACTCCTTAAAACTGTATTTCCTCTCCCTTTCTACATCCAACTGAGTGGCAACGTATTTCTAAAGGGATGGTCTAGTGGTGGGGCTCAAGGCAACATAGCAATCCCAAGTGCTTTGAGGTAGGTCAACTGCAATTCTATAACTATTCGAAAGAAGAACATTTGTAGATCTTGAAACCAAGGCCAACATTGTTCATTTGGATCTATTAAGTGTATTCATTCACCTCCACATGGTTCCATCCTTATTTCAGACATCTTGATATATCAATATATCTCCCGGCCCTCTTCTGCTTGACTGTTTGGTGCCACCCTTTTTCATAATCTTCCACCATAGAAGATATAAGTTCAGAAGTGATTGGAGCATCAGATCTCCTTAACCAGTTTTCTGCTGGTGTGGGCAGAAAGCAGTGAAAGGGGGGGTCATAGACACACAATGCTCTTTTCTGAACAGCACTAGCATTGCATTTGGGGACTGCTCTCAATGAGTGGATTCTTCAGGACCTACTTGAAGATTCCTCCTATGCCCACATGGGGGGTTGGTGGTTCTTGGAGACTAAGAATATGTTTGAACCATTGCCTCATGCTTGCCTTTTGTTTGTTGCTCTTCGTTTCCATACTATTCAGGAGATACTGATTTTTAAATCACCAAGGAAATGATGATTTTTAACTAAATTAATTTTCCCGTTTTGTAAACAATGTATTTCCTTCGCAGATCTGCACACTGATAATCACACATCAATTAAAGCATAGTTGTTGCAAATAAATAAAGCCTTTGTACTACCTAGGTCATGCAGCCAACAAGCCATTTGCCCTCTCACAGAATGATGTCTGCTTACAGACAATAAGGACAAATCGTGGAATTGCTGGATTTTTCTTTGACATTATCTGAACATATGGAAGAACACTAAGGGCAAGCTAGTGTATTTAAATGCAGACTTAACCCAATCACATGGCTAGGGCTGTGTAGGTGAAGATGAAGAATAACCATTCCTACCACGCATGCCCCTGTTGTACTTCAAATTACACCCACTCCTCCTGATTTATTTGTGATTGGGGAAATTCAACATTTACTGTCACAAGTAGTTTGACCCTAAGCAGGATTATACCAGGTGTTTCTCATATATCCTTGGGCAGGGCCGGATTTAAGTTGGATGAGGCCCTAAGCTACTGAGGGTGATGGGGCCCTTTATATGTCCAGCTGTCCTTTGTCAACAACAAATTGTTGCTGTTTTTTGTGTTGAATATATGCTATATGGTAATTTATCGACCTAATAGGTATCTAAAGCCTGTTGCTTTAGATTTTAGGTTTTATTTGTTTTTTATGTTATATTTTGGAAATGTACATCCAGTTTTTCCCCTTTAATTTTTTTGGGGGACCCCCAAGAGAGTGAGGCCCTAAGCTACAGCTTGTTTAACTTATACGTAAATTCGGCACTTTCCTAGGGCATTCCTTGGGGAAACAACAGATGCATCCTCAAGGATTATCCTTGCCTCCCTTTCCTAAAATCCCAGGTTGTGTTTTTTCTTTTATTTTCAAAATTCAGAAATTTTGTTGTGAGCCACCCCCACCCCAATGTAGCCAGCTTACAAAAATGCTCTGGGAATATCCTTTGGTGGTATCCAGCCTTACAAGCAATTTAAGGAGCTGAAATGATGTTATACATCTGTGCCAGCAGCTTGTTCATTACCTTCAGTTTCTGCTTCATCTTTGTGTGATGGAAGATTCAAAGGGATAGAAGAGGTGGTGCAATAAAATATTTATCTGACACATAGGCACATATGCATTAACCTTTCCACTCCTGTTAGTGCTTGCTGGCAATATGCTGTGAAACCGCAGAATTTGCTGATGGCGGAGAAGTGGCAGAACCACCAGCACTGATTTTGGGCAGGATCACACCAAAGTCAGCACCGATGGCAGACTGGGACATTGCCAAGCATGAACTCCAGGTGCTGCTTAGAATGACAGAATCATATAATTTAAAATACAAAATAGAAATCTAAAATGAAATGTTGTTATCGTTTAGTCGTGTCCGACTCTTTGTGACCCCCTGGACCAGAGCACGCCAGGCCCTCCTGTCTTCCACTGCCTCCCGCAGTTTGGTCAAACCCATGCTGGTAGCTTCAAGAACACTGTCCAACCATCTCGTCCTCTGTCGTCCCCTTCTCCTTGTGCCCTCCATCTTTCCCAACATCAGGGTCTTTTCCAGGGAGTCTTCTCTTCTCATGAGGTGGCCAAAGTATTGGAGCCTCAGCTTCAGGATCTGTCCTTCCAGTGAGCACTCAGGGCTGATTTCCTTCAGAATGGAGAGGTTGGATCTTCTTGCAGTCCATGGGACTCTCAAGAGTCTCAAAAGCATCAATTCTTCGGCGATCAGCCTGCTTTATGGTCCAGCTCTCACTTCCATACATCACCACTGGGAAAACCATGGCTTTAACTATAGGGGCCTTTGTTGGCAAGGTGATGTCTCTGCTTTTTAAGTTGCTGTCTAGGTTTGTCATTGCTTTTCTCCCAAGAAGCAGGTGTCTTTTAATTTTGTGACTGCTGTCACCATCTGCAGTGATGATGGAGCCCAAGAAAGTAAAATAATAATAATAATAATAATAATAATAATAATAATAATTTATTATTTATACCCCGCCCATCTGGCTGGGTTTCCCCAGCCACTCTGGGTGGCTTCCAACTGAATATTAAAAATAGTACAGCATCAGACATTAAAAACTTCCCTAAAGAGGGCTGCCTTCAGTTGTCTTTTAAAAGTAAAATAGTTGTTTATTGCTTTGACATCTGCTGGGAGGGCGTTCCACAGGGCAGGCGCCACTGCCGAGAAGGCCCTCTGCCTGGTTTCCTGTAACCTTACTTCTCGCAATGAGGGAACTGCCAGAAGGCCCTCGGCGCTGGATCTCAGTGTCCGGGCTGAACGATGGGGGTGGAGACGCTCCTTCAGGTATACAGGACCGAGGCCGTTTAGGGCTTTAAAGGTCAGCACCAACACTTTGAATTGTGCTTGGAAACGTACTGGGAGCTAATGCAGATCTCTCAGAACCGGTGTTATGTGGTCCCGGCGGCCACTCCCAGTCACCAGTCTAGCTGCCGCATTCTGGATTAATTGCAGTTTCCGGGTCACCTTCAAAGGTAGGCCCACGTAGAGCACGTTGCAGTAGTCCAAGCGGGAGATAACTAGAGCATGCACCACTCTGGCAAGACAGTCCGCGGGCAGGGAGGGTCTTAGCCTGCGTACCAGGTGGAGCTGGTAGACAGCTGCCCTGGACACAGAATTAACCTGTGCCTCCATGGACAGCTGTGAGTCCAAAATGACTCCCAGGCTGCGCACCTGGTCCTTCAGGGGCACAGTTACCCCATTCAGGACCAGGGAATCCCCCATACCCGCCCGCCCCCTGTCCCCCCAAAACAGTACTTCTGTCTTGTCAGGATTCAACCTCAATCTGTTAGCCGCCATCCATCCTCCAACAGCCTCCAGGCACTCACACAGGACATTCACTGCCTTCTGATTTAAAGGAGAGGTAGAGCTGGGTGTCATCTGCATACTGATGAATACCCAGCCCAAACCCCCTGGTGATCTCTCCCAGCGGCTTCATATAAATACTAAAAAGCATGGGGGAGAGGACAGAACCCTGAGGCACCCCACAAGTGAGAGCCCAGGGGTCTGAACACTCATCCCCCACCACCACTTTCTGGACACGGCCCAGGAGAAAGGAGCGGAACCATCGTATAACAGTGCCCCCAGCTCCCAGCCCCTCTAGACGGTCCAGAAGGATGTTATGGTCGATCGTATCAAAGGCCGCTGAGAGATCCAGCAGAACTAGGAAACAGCTCTCACCTTTGTCCCTAGCCTGCCGGAGATCATCAACCAGCGCGACCAAGGCAGTTTCAGTCCCATGGTGAGGCCTGAATCCCGATTGGAAGGGATCCAAATGGTCCGCATCCTCCAGGCATGCTTGGAGTTGTTTAGCAACCACGCGCTCAATCACCTTGCCCAAGAATGGTAAATTTGAGACTGGGCGATCTCTTACTGCCTCCATTTCTTCCGCTTCTATTTGCCAGGAGGTGATGAGACCAGTGGCCATGATCTTAGTCCCCCCCAAAAAAAAACTAAGATCAAAAAATGAAATGAAAGTAAAATAAATAATAGAACCATAGAATCTTAGAGCTGGAAGGTGTCCAAGTGGCATCTAGTCCAATCCCCCACAATGCAAGCATCTAGGCTAAAGCTTCCATGACAGATGGCTATCCAACCTCTGCTTCAAAACAAACCTCCAAGGAAGGAGAGTCCACCTCCTCTTGTGGGAATCGTCACCTGCCAGACAAGGAGCCAGTCTGGCTTTTGCAGGGAGGGAGTTCCAAAATGAGGCACAGTAGAGGCTATGGTGGTTTTTTAAATGATATTTGGTTTATTTACACATATATGCAACCTGAACTTAGATGGAGGGATTGCAGATTATTCACATCCTATGGGGGGTCTGGCTTCCCCCTTCAGGGTAGCATTGCATTCAAAGGGCAGCAAAAAGCCATCCTCTGTGTCTCTTTGTTCCAGCTAGTCCTGCCCAGCTCACTTGGACCTCTGCCCCATCTACTCCTTTTCGCTGCCAACCAACTCCAAGGACCTCCCCAAGCCTACGGCATTCAAAGCTGAAGCCCTAAACCTTGCATTTTCCTCTTTCCACTAGCACCCAGCCAAGAAGGGGCACCACTTCCCTTTGTTCTCCAGTGGTTTCCTGAATGGCCACCCCTGGCTTTTGTCCCCTGCTAATGGCCCAGCCAGTCAGCTCTGCCTAGCTACCATGACTCTTTAGCATAACTCAGGGGTCGGCAACGTGCGGCCCATGGGCCGGATGCAGCCCACAAAGACGGTTTTACCAGCACACAAGCCGCCCCTGAACCGAGCCGCCCGCGCAGATACCGGAAATCGCATCTGCGCATGTCCAGACACTGAAAATCGCTTCTGCGCAGGCACGATTTTTGGTGTCTGGGTATGTGCAGAAGTGATTTCTGGCGCCGCGGACGTGTGCAGATGCGATTTCTGACGTCATGCTGCACCAGTCCGGCCCACGGACGATCTCCATGGGAGTGATCCGGCCCATGGCCTGTAAACCTTGCCTACCCCTGGCATAACTAAATCCAGGGGGTTTCCCTGTCTGGCCAAGTTTAATCAAACCTTGATTAATTCTAACTTTTACTAAATCCAGGAGCTGTGGGGAGGAGCTGCCACCCAGGAACTTAGGGGAATGAGCCCCCCTCCAAAACTCATAACAATATATATGTTAAGTAACTCTTAGGGGGATACCCCCTCCCCAATGCCCAGTCTAGTGAGCATGCTTTGTTGCCATGGAACGGGGACTGACTGCTTGGGAAGGGAAAATGGAAGAGGAAATAGAATGAAGTGCCTGGAATCCTGAACAGAAGCACTTCACACTGCAACATTTTGTTGCAGGTGACACATGTATTCTTTAATCCTGTGATCTGTTAAACTAGAGGCTGATACTGGGTGTGCCCCCCTTCCTTTCAGAGATCAGGAAGCAGTTTGCAACAGGGATTGTTGTTTAACTATCCCATTGTTAGACTAAAAAGAGGTGTTAAGGTTTCTGAACTTTTCTTCTTTTTCCAGAAAATGCCGATGGTAAAGAGAGGAGACCATTTTTAAATCCACATAATAGACATCTTTTGTTTATTACATTGCTGATGGTTTCAGTTTTCAACTTTTATTCTGCACCCCCCCATCCCATTTCCACAACTGGTAAAAACTAAGATAGGAGCCGTTGGATGTAGCAGCTCCGCCTAGTATGTGCTGTTATTGTTTCAATAAAATGAAGACCATTTTACTCCTTTAGTCTATCATATAGTACAGTGGTACAATGGGTTAAGTACTTAATTCGTTCCGGAGGTCTGTTCTTAACCCGAAACACCACTTTAGCTAATGGGGCCTCCCGCTGCCGCTGCTGCACGATTTCTGTTCTCATCCTGAAGCAAAGTTCTTAACCTGAGGTACTATTTCTGGGTTAGCGGCGTCTGTAACCTGAAGCGTATGTAACCTGAAGCATATGTAACCCCAGGTACCACTGTATGCTTTTATGTGCAAAGTTATACACAATGTTGTTTATGTTCTTAATGTCGTAAAGTAAGTTTGCATCTCGTATGCAGTTATTTGTTTCTTATGTTTCAGTCTCTTCCAACATTTCCATTTTTTGTGCCTTCAACATTTCTGAAAATCTTACATCTGTAGCCAAGGAAGAGAAAGGATTTTCTTGTGCTGGAAATCCTTTTCCTTCCAACCTTTCTTCACTGCCATTAACCTTTTTGCTCCTAGGTCCCCATTCTTCACCTGTGTTGACACTGGGAGGAGATCTAGATTGTGCCTTGAATCTTTAATATTTTAATAAAAATAAAAATAGTTCCATGTTACAGCTTCATAGTTTATGTTTGGTTTGATGCTTATTTGAATTTCTCTATCTATAATAAACATATTCCATATAGTCGTTGCTGATCAACACTGGGATTACGTACCTATGCTCTACTTTATGAAGGTTTGATACAGAGTGAGCTCCACTTTTAAAAACCAGTCCCTTCTTCCATCTGTCTTCACAATAATTATCAGTTGTGAGTATTTTGGACATTCTTTCCATTTCTACAGAAGCAAATTCTGAGTACAACCGTTTCTGAAGACGGTTGTCCCACTTTTCATTGCTGCCAAGGGATGACGGAGGCATTGAGAGAAAGGTTTCAGAGTTAAAATTCTAAAGTGGTGGCTTTGTTATAGTGCAGTGCGAAGGAGGGGTTTTGGTGCTCTTCCTTTGGGGCGAGTGTAGGGTTGGGGAGAAAGCAATTATTGTCTCTTGCCCATGGGCCCATTGAAAAACCAACCTAGATTAGGTGACTTTAAAAAAGATTCAACATCATCCCCTGTGGATTATACTATGTCTATCACTGTACCAGATTCCAAATGAAAAATTAATAGACTTGGCCCTGCCTGCAGGCTTACAACTGAGAAAACTCAACACATGAGGGAAAAGGAAGTGGGATAATGTGTCAAAAGTTAATTAGGAAAAACAGAGACTGCTGGCAGTGAAGGGGAGACTGATTCTTTACACCAGAGCTTTCCAAACTGTGTGACACATTAGTGTGTTGGCGTGTCGCACAAATGCTCCCCGCTCTCCTCCCAGGGCTGGAAAGGGGTACGTTTACCTCTGGGTTGCTAGTAAAACTGAATTACTGTGTCATGAAATGATGCATGTCTAAAAAGTTTGTCAACAACATGAAAAGTTTGGAAAGCTCTGGTCTAGATGGACCAAAGGTCTGACTTGATGTGGGGAGGCTTCTTATGTTCTCAGCTGGATATTCACAGTTTGAATTCTACACAGGAAAGGACAAAGGGACAATGAAGCTTATTTTGATGCTGGGGAATTGTTGTTATTTTTGTTTCTATATATTTATTAAATTTGCTAGTCACTTTATCCTGCCCAGGGCAACCCAAAGCAACTTACCACCAACCAACCAACCAACCAACCAACCAAACCAACAATAAATCCCACATAAGTACATTAAACTAAGAGGACAGAGAAATACATTAGAAACACCCCACCCTCTTCTAAAAGGCCGCATATAGTTAAAGGCCAAATGCCTGATTATAGGGGAAAGTTTTTGTAACGAAGGTGCCAGGCGAGCCGCCCTAGGGAGAGCATCCTACAAGCGAGGATCCACCCCAGAAAAGGCCTGTTCTCGTGTTGTCAACCTCCGAAACTCTCATGGAGGGGCACATGAAGAAGGACCTCAGAAGATGATCACAGGACTCGGGTTCATATGGGGAGAGATGGTCCTTGAGGTATTTTGGTTCTGAGCCATTTAAGGCTTTATAGGTCAAAAGCAGCATTTGAATTGGGCCCAAAAATTAATTGGCAGCCAGTGCATAGTTCAGTTTAGGAAGCTCTAATGTAGTATTTCAGCACATAAAGAAAAAATGTGTGATAAAAATAGTATAAAATACTAAATATTAATGCAGCTCATTGAATAACCACTGCTACAGAGAACGAACTTAGACTAAAGGTTATTGGTGACAGTGAATACCAAAAATGTACATTATCAGTATTTCGGATGTTTGATATAGGGAAGATTTAGGAAACTGAAACAAATAAATTGTATGTTCCCTCTTTAAATTGCGCTCCATGCCAAGTGTCAAGGAAAATTTAAATTGATTACTGGTATGGTTGCAGAAGGAAAATGTATCTATTGTATTTTATGCTTATAAATTGATAAGCTGGTAGACTGTGGCTTTTCAATGCCCCTTGCCAAAACACAGCCATGAACGCAGGTGGTCCGCTACATAGATACCTGAGGTTTACAAAGGACTGTATATCTGTGAACTCCATATCGGCAGTTTTTCAGGTTTTACCACTCTTCTTGGTCCCAATTCCCAGGATTTCTACCTTCATGTCAATGGAGTCATTCCTTTGAGCACTAATACGATAGAAGCATTGTGAACTTAATTTTGGAGCATTTTGTTACCATTAGCATTTACTTTCATAATAATTTACCAAACATGGCATATGACAAATATTTTTAAAAATTCTGGTGGGAGGTATTGGGGCAGAGGGCAAGAGTACAGGGTGTATTCAGAGGTGAAGAATATTGCCTTAGTTTTCTTGATTATAATGCTAACACTTCTCTCCTGTTTTCTAATGATTCTTTCACACCGCAGTACCTGTTGTATTATGAATTTGTGGCTTTTAAACCAATATACCGGCATGACATGCTGAATTTCATTCACACCCATGGCCATGGTGTGACACAACAATGAACAACCTTGGACAGTTTTCTATTCCCCCAGCCTTCTTCACACACATGCTTCTGTTGCCCCCATGTCCCACTCCCCCCATGAAAACAGCAGGAAAGAACACTATGCTGACATACTGCCCAAAATTTCGTAACTTTGCCCCCCTTTATTTTTTGGGTTAAGGGGATCAAATAACACAGAAATGAGTGCTAAACATGCACTATATCCCATTAGTTTTACAGAAGTGGGTTTTACGTCATATGAAAGCTGTAATATGATGCAGCAATTAAGGAATCCTCAGGGTAATTGAATAAACTGCAGTGAGAATGCAGCCTAGGTTGGGTTTCAGAGCACATGTGTTAAAACTACAGAGGTACCTCGGGTTACATACGCTTCAGGTTACATACGCTTCAGGTTACAGACTCCGCTAACCCAGAAATAGTGCTTCAGGTTAAGAACTTTGCTTCAGGATGAGAACAGAAATCTTGCTCCGGCAGCGCAGCAGCAGCAGGAAGCCCCATCAGCTAAAGTAGTGCTTCAGGTTAAGAACAGTTTCAGGTTAAGTACGGACCTCCGGAACGAATTAAGTACTTAACCTGAGGTACCACTGTAATTTCTCCTGTTTCTGTCTCTCACGTGAGATCTGACCATTCTCAGGTCTAGTGAGGGGCTATCTGTTCACAGATCACTCCTTCCAGAAGCTAAAGAAGCTCTTACATTAGAGGGAAATCTCCTGACACCAGCTACTGGTCTTGTCTAGGGCCCGTCACGTATGGACTTTGTTGTACCTTCCTCTAAATTCTGGAGGGGAAGGAAATCCAGCTATCCCTGTTGTCCCTCCTGGTGATTACTTTTGTGGGGGAACACAGATAGATCCACAGGAGGCAGCGTGTTTGTGGGTCCCTGGATTGAACGGTGATTTCTTTTATTTTGACTGTTTGAAGCTGACGGCCGTCTTAACAAGAATTATTTAAAAGCAGCTTGCATTCCCAGTGGAATGCATGTAGCCAGACAACTGATCACCCAGTTGCCAGCAGTCTGAGGAATAAGGTAGGATGAAAGCGGACGCGGCACAGCTGCAGCGGCCTAATGAGGATTGGTGGCGGCAGCGAGTGTTGAGGCATGAGTATGACACCCAGAGCTGTGCTACGTGTCAGAGGAGATGGAAGCAGCTCCAGTTGGATTTTATTATTCTATGTATGTTACCTTGAAGCAGAGCCAGCCCAAGACATTTTGGCACCTGAGGCTATCCACAAGATGCGCACATACGCACTGCCAGGGAAGAAGGGATGAGGGAAGATGTACATCAGAAACAAGGGTGGGAGGAGACCAGAAGCACCTTCTATTCACCATGAGGCTGCTGTAGAGGTGGCCTTGTGGAGACTGCCAGGAGGCAGCAGATCTGGCCTCCAAGGACTGTGTGGCAACTGTTGCTGCCACAGTGACAGCAGCAGGTGATGCATTTGCTGGGGGCTGAATCTGCTGTCCCTGCCGATCCTGTCACCTGAGGTGGTTGTCTCACCCTGTCCTGCCTTGAAGGTCCTTCTGGATTGAAAGGTGAAGAGAAACAACGAAAATAGGCAGATGGTGGTGGCTGCTCTGATGGAGAGCTTCTGTGGTGTAGTGCGATGAAAGTGCCAGACTAGGACTGGAGAGACCTGAGTTCAAATCTTCAGTCAGCCATTAGCTCACTGAGTTACCTAGGGCCAGTCAGCCCTAAGCTCATGGAAAACATTGCGTTACACAGTTCCCTTTACTTTCTTTAACCTAGATATCCACCAGACTGCAGCATTAAACCCCAATCTAACCATATTTGCTGCTGAAAACCTGTGTTTGTCAACTGTGTTTTTAAACTGCTCAAGCCTGTTATTCTCTGTGTCAAGCAAGAGTCACTTTTGCTTAATTTGTTAATCATTGTATTAAATCAGAAAATGATTTATCTAGATAGGGCATTTGAATATGTGCATGTTGTTCTAGTCCTACACAACTCCTCTACTCGGTTCATTGTTCTGGTGAGGTTTTAGGGTGGAGGTTTCTGGCTTCAGCTTCCAGGCATAAGGGCAGTTAAAGAATCCATTTAGCCAAACAGATTAGGCATATTTTCCATAGTTGCCACTGGTATCTAATTCAAAGCTTCAAACTGTAACTCTTTATTAAGTGATTCTTGAGTTTTCCAGATACGGTGGTACCTCGGGTTACATATGCTTCAGGTTATAGACTCCGCTAACCCAGAAATAGTACCTCTGGTTAAGAACTTTGCTTCAGGATGAGAACAGAAATTGTTCTGTGGCAGCGCGGCGGCAGTGGGAGGCCCCATTATCTAAAGTGGTGCTTCAGGTTAAGAACAGTTTCAGGTTAAGAACGGACCTCCAGAACGAATTAAGTTCTTAACTCGCTGTATTGCTAATAATAATTAATAGTCTCTTGTGTTGACTAGTGCCTGGCTGGAATATTTTCTAGGACTCTTTTATAAGCCGCTCTGAGGTTCTCACACCATACATTTGCAGTGCTATTGCGTCACTTTAATAGTCACGGTTTCCTCCTAAGAATTCTGGGAACTATAGTTTGTTAAGGGCACTGAGAATTGTTAAGAAACTCCTATTCAGAGCTACAACTAATCCCTCTTCACAGGAAACTGGGGAAGTGTAGCTCTGTGAGGGGAATATGGGTCTCTCAATAGCTCTTGGCACCCTTAACAAACTACAGTTCCCAGGATTCTTTGGGGGAAGCCACTGTTAAAGTGATATAGTAATGCTTGGTGCAGATGTGGCCTTAATTGCTCCATAACAGCTTAAATGAAAAATCTTCCACTCAAAAGCTTTCATTATCAGTAAATAATACAGCAGTGTGGTGTAGTGGTTAAGAGCGGTAGTCTCGTAATCTGGTGAACCGGGTTCGCGTCTCTGCTCCTCCACCTGCAGCTGCTGGGTGACCTTGGGCCAGTCACACTTCTCTGAAGTCTCAGGCCCACTCACCTCACAGAGGGTTTGTTGTGGGGGAGGATGGGAAAAGGAGATTGTGAGCCGCTTTGAGACTCCTTCGGGTAGTGATAAAGCAGGATATCAAATCCAAACTCTTCTTCTTCTTTAAAAACAATGGTTTTCCCCCCCATAATACTGATTATCCTGTGGATGTTAGTACCTAATATATGCACTGGCGGAGGAACAGGAGTGCGGAGGGAGCAGACCGCCACCGGCACCACTATTCCGGTAGGGTGCCATCCGGTAGGGTGCCACCCCAGACGCACGTTGCCACCCTCCTGCGTGCTGGGCGCCATGCCCCCACAGGCAGCGCATCACACTCCCAGAATGCGTGCCACGCCCCTGGGATACACGCCACGCCCCCCGGGGGGCACCAGCCACACCCCGCCTTCTCTCCGCCCCGGTAGCAAAGCATGCAGCTTCACCACTGAATATATGGCCCACATTTGATGGTGATAGTAAGTGACAGCCCACTTGCCTAAATGGATTGTAAAGTTCTAAAATTATAGTTTTGTAATATTATTGAATAGTATGAAGTAACCAATAAATTAATCTTTTCTTTCTTTGAGCATTATGCATTTCTGACCTTATTTCAATAATATAATTTATTTATTTATTGTAGACTCTCACAGAAGTTCAATTTAGCAGAGAAATAATTTATCATATTCAAAACAAAAAAATTGTGGAGTAGTGTGTTGCTTTTAGGCTGAAATCTGACACACACACACACACACACACACACACACACATACTGGCATGGGAGTACCTTCCATTAATTCTTATATATGTTAGCTATGTAAATATAAGGGGACGCGGGTGGTGCTGTGGATTAAACCACAGAGCCTAGGGCTTGCCGATCAGAAGGTCGTGCCAACCTAGCAGTTCGAAAGCACCCTTAAGTGCAAGTAGATAAATAGGTTCCGCTCTGGCGGGAAGGTAAACGGCATTTCCGTGCGCTGCTCTGGTTCGCCAGAAGCGGCTTAGTCATGCTGGCCACATGACCCAGAAAAACTGTCTGCGGACAAACGTCGGCTCCCTCGGCCAGTAAAGCGAGATGAGCACTGCAACCCCAGAGTTGTCTGCGACTGGACCTAACGGTCAGGGGTCACTTTCCCTTTTTATGTAAATATAAGCTCAGAAATTAGTTCAATTGTAGCATGTGCATAGTTCTTGTGTTTGCTTGTGGTTTTATTCATTATTATTAAAAAAAACACTTTTACTACCCAATCCTGATTTCAGTGGGACAGTCTTAGATGAGGGTAAACATAAAATAACTCTTAAGAACTCAAAGTCTTGACATTTATTTATTTAATTGCATGCTGCTGTTTATTATTTTTATTGTCTGACATAAATACCTTAGTTCTCTTATTCATTTGTTTTCCTTTAGGTGATTCTGATCCTTACCAAGTATTACCACAGTGATATGGGCAAAGTATTGGAGAGCTCTTTGTGGAGGTATGTTATTGTCTCATGCACTCAGTATGTGGTCAGATAGAGTCACATCTTGCTGTTTATTTCTTTTGTTCTCTTCAAAGAGCAGCTTGAAAAATTTGGAAAGATATTTGAAGGTTTGGAGCAATAGATACTCCTCTGATGTTACAATTTGAATAATAACTAGAGATTACAGGAGAGTATTTCTTTTTCAAGAGTGGAACCTATTTGTAAACTTCCAGAGCCTTAATTTTGTTCAGATCTCTTCTAGCCTTATTTTATCTTATTTATTTTAGTTGTGTAAATAAATGGGCAAGTAAATTAGCTCAGGATGTGGTATGTTCAGTGTTGGGTGCGCTAGTTTGCTTTATAAACATTTTTACATGTGCAGTTATGCACATGTTTACTCAAAAGTAAACCATACAGAACTCAATACTTTTTAACAGTGTTAAACACTGCAACATTAATGATGATTAACCTTTAAAACCTTGATCAAATACATATATGCACTAGCACACCCCACCTAATGCTTCTAGCTGTTCTTAATGGATGTGATGAATTTCTTCCTATATTCATGCACTTTTTTTAGTCTATATTTAAATCATCCACTGATTTTAATGGGGGGAAATCTGCAAGAGATGACTGCAAGTTACTTAAGATTCCATTTACTTCAGTGTGATTCATACTCAGCGGCAGAGCATGCCTTCATGGCGCCCGGAGGGGGGTGCATTTGTTTGTGCGCTGGGGGAAGTACACCATCTCAGTGCCCATTTATTTTATTTTGTTTTTTCTAACTCTTATTTATTGGTTTTTCACACAGAAAGAAAAAACTTTACAAATTTTAAGATGTACTGTAAATTACTTTATCCTTTGACTTCCCATTCTCCCCTTCCATGGTTTCCATATTTACTCTTGAATGCTGCATATTTCGCATATACTATTCAATACATCAATTTTAACCCATATATCTTAGTAATTAATGCTGTTGCTTGCTCATATTTCAAGTCCTGCATGCATTTTCATCTTGCTATAGTAGTTCTTTAAATACTCAATAAAAGGTTTCTAGACCTCAAGGAGTTTTTCGTCATTTTGATCTCTAATCTTTGCTGTTAATCTCGCCTGTTCCACATATTCTTCCCTTGTTGGAACTTCTTCTTTCCATCCTTGGGCATACAGTATTCGTGCTGCTGCTATGATATACATAAATAAGTTAACCAACTCTTTTGGTACATCATTATCTATAATTCCTATAATTCCTAGCTTTGAGCTTCTTGGGAATCATCAACTTGAACATCTTTTTAATCTCATTCTATATAATTTCCCAATAGCCTTTAACTATTTTTACAAGTCTACCACATTTAAGTGGCCATTTACATTTATTTGTTTACTACTGCCTTTTTCTAATTTTACACACCAGTCTGATGAAGGGGTGTGTGTAGAACTGACCAATCCCAACCCTTGCTGTGCTCGCCCTACCCAGGCTGAAAGGCTGGAGGAAAAAAGAGGGGCTTAGATGTGTCATGTGGGCACATCTAACCCCCACCCCAAAAACATGGCTCTGTATGCCCTTTGTCCCTTCCTATCCCAGTTGGAGTACTTATGGCTCTGCTGGGCACTGGTGGCTTCCACAGTGGCAACAGATCTCTGCTCTGTCTGCAGATCTCCCTTTCCTCTCCTTCCCTCACCTGTGAGAGGGACAGCAGCAAGCTCCTGTGGCTCTCTTCCAAGGCCATAGGTGTACACCCTTTAGGATTTTGATGGGATTGCTGTTACTGTGCTGCAAATTTATTTTGTGATCTCATGTGTTTGTGCGTGCTGTTAGCATGCTATCAGAGCATTCTGCTACTGTTATTGGGGAGTGTTGTTTTGTGTACAAGAGTGCCAACTTGAATGAAATATTGTGGGGGCCCAGATAAACCCCGCCCTGCGTAATCAGTCACATAACACAGTGCACACACACCATTTGAGGGAGAATGCCCATCAACTTTGTGGGGACCCGGTCCCCTCAAATATTTTATTGTGGTGGCCAAAGCCCCCACTGTCCCTAGGAGTTGGGTCCTATGTTTGTGTATATGTCTCAGTGTATTTTTAAAAAATAATTATGTGTTTTTGTGTAGTATTACAATGCATTTTTTTCTTGGGATTAGGTTTTAAACTCTGCTGTAAGTTGGTCAGAGACATTTGTGCAATAAGCAACTAATAAATAATAACAATAATCTTAATGTTTTAATATCCTCTCTGGCTGCTGCAGTTTAATTGTTTTGTGACCGTGTGTTATTGGTTATAATTATAATGTTTCTATGTAGCTGCACATTTGTTTTGTGTATATGTTGCTGCGTAATTTAGAATATGATTTGTAAACTGATTTTATTGTAAGAAAGTTTCCCTAAAAGGCAAGATACAAATTCATGAAGTCGATCAAATAATGGGCTTAGTCCAGAAACACTGGAGAAAATAAAAACATACTGTACTTCTTTTGGAACATGTGCTAAATGCTTATGCATCACTCACTGTCTCAGCTTTAGGCTTAACCCAGAACAGGTTAAATCAAACCTCCTAGTGCAGATGAGCCTCCTACCAACACTGCCTTTGATTTCCTGGCCTGAGCATCAGTTGGTTGGCTCCCATCCAGTCTATTATGGATTACTGATGATCATGCATGAGCAACGCAGAAGTAACAAGATTTGTGGCAAAATACAACCTATGCTTCTGAAGGCATTTGCAGCATCTCTCTTAATTCTGTAATTTTATCAACATGGAAACACTGAGATTGTGGTTGTTTGTTTTAAAACCCCTGTGATTAAATTTCATAGGTATTATCAAAATGCCAGGCATGATGAGAGGTTGTGGTAGAGGTTGGTGGAGTGTGTTGTGGGAGCCCATGAAGGGGTGCAAAGAGTCTTTCTGTGTGCTGTGGACAGAGGCCCAGTTCTACCACTGCAGGGTCCTTCTTCACGGAGGCCATGTCCAGTGTCAAGGGCATTTTGCACAAGCACTGCCACATGTGCCACACACTTTTTTTTGGACATACAAGTAAATGAACGCCATCCACCTACATGGTAGAAAGTAAAGGAATTGTTGGTGGGGGGACTTAATCACTGAACTGTGCTTCTTCTAACAGCTAGTCTACTTGCCCTTAGAATTCAGTGGGAACCATAAACATATTAAGAAAATAATGCACTTAGGACACAGTTGGAGTGGAGTCCCTGGGACCCAGTGAATTTGGCTGGAATTTAGCCTCATGCTAAGGAGCTAATTCTGTAATTTCTTCTAATGGGATGATCTCCCCTTCCCCACGTGTGCTGTTCTGGGGGTTCTCATTGCTGTGGACGGTGGGATGATTAAAATATCCCCTCACACCCAGTTTAATATTCCACCATTCTTCGGCAGAGTTTCTTTCTTTCAGCAAAGTAAGCGGCTCACGTTTATGTCAAGCAAAGCTTTAATAATAAAGAAAATTGTAACACAATAACATACTATCTGAGGGAAACTAAAACAGCATCATAAGGCAGGAATGAGACAAGAATGAAGAATGACAGTTTGTCTCTCTAACTGAACTTAACTGAGCACACAAAGGGAGGGGCCAATTCCGGAGCAGAACACCAAAGCCACACCCACCAGATGCCAGACATTCTACTATTCGAATTAGGCCCCAGTGCTTTTCTAACACTCATGACCTTCCAGAGCAGATTTGGGGAGGCCTGGGGGTGGCACGAGGCAAGGAGAGAGAAAAGCCCCATTATGGGAGTCCTTGTGCTGGCTTTCACTAAAGGTACAAGGTAGTTGAATCCAGACCTTAATGTCAGAAAAGGGAGGCTGATTTGCTATCGCTTCAGGGTGTCTGTTATTAGGGTCCCAAGGGTCACATTACAGGGAGTTGTACAGGCATAAGACAACTGAATCCTTTTGTCTTTGTGTAGATGGCAATGACCTTTTCTGTGGCACTCCAGAGTTGTGCCTTAGCAGGGGCTTACACAAGAAAAAGATGGGGGGCGGGGACTGGGACAGGAAAAATATTACAGGGGAGGATGTGGTTTTGCCACTCCAGCCCCAAGGAATGTCTGCTGGAAGGTAAGGTAAAGAGTTGCCCTAGTTACTTCCACCATGGCTGGTGAGGGCTGGCAGACCTGGCTTCTCTAGTGGTGCCTCCTGCCTCTTTCCCTTCCTTATTTTTCCTCCTTCCAGCTGCTCCCCTCTGCTCCCCCCCCCCATCCTGCCTGCAAGAGGGTTTTGTTTTTGAAGCTGCAGACTGGCTCTCCTTCTTTGATGAGTCGTCCTCCCAGCTGCCATCAGCTGCTCCTTGCCGCTTCATAATTGCAGTGCTGTGCAGCCGCCATGGGAGAAGCTCATTTTGTTTGCCAGCAAGGGTGCTGGCTTAAATACAACTTTCACCCTGTGTTCCTTGTTGCTGGGATGGAGCAGGCAGTGATATGTGACTGGAGCTGGCTGCGGTGTCCCTGAGATCAGGGCTCTCATTCTCCCCACCATCTTAAGTGAATGGATGCCATTCACCTTATTGGAGGGCAGGGGAATCAATGGCCACTGCCAGTGCTTTTTTTCTTAAAAAATGTTTAGGGCTACTCTCATTTTGGCTGCTCCCCCTTCCCCCTCCCTCCCCCCAACCCCTGGACGAGGGACTCGAGGTGGCGGTGGTGCTGAGAGGACGGGAAGGCCCCTGGTGGCGGCGGGTTGAGCGAGGAGGGGCCAGTGCTCGCTGGCTTACTCTAGCCCGGCAAGAGGAGGAGGAGCAGTGGTGGCGCCATTGTCATCACCGCGGCTGCCCCAGACTCCTGTCTTTGGGCACAGGCGGGGAGAATGATGGAGATCCAGTTTGCGCTGCTACTGTGGAGACAGCTGGCATGTCAATCCGTCCATTGGTCGGTCGGTTGGGACAACACAAAATGTTTAGGGGTATGCGTACCCTTGCGTCCTCCCAGAAAAAAAGCACTGGTCACTGCCAAACATATCTTTTGGGGACTTAGCTATACAGCTGAAAGATAACATTTTAAGTGCACTTTAAGTGCATTATACAAATGTGACACTAGGTGGTGCAGGTGAGCTTATGGGGAATTCCATATATACTTTAAAATGTTTTTTTAAAAAAGCATTTTCACAGCTTTTTTATTTATGTGTAGATTCAGCCTCTGTGTAAATTAAAACTGACCATGAAGGTGGCAGCTTCAGGGGCAGTGGGCAGGTTCTGCTCCCACCCTTGTGGCACTCCTGTGGTTTTACTTTCTCTCTATGGCAGGAAGTTGCAGGCTGCGTGAGGCAGCAGCCTTGCCCTCTAGCTCTCCTGTGAGTGTGTGTGTGTGTGTGGGATATCTCTGCCTTCCTTGCTGCTTTCCACACCTCATCCACAAGAGCAATTCTCAGGCAGTGGATGCTGCTGCCGCTGCTGGAGAGAGAGGCCAGGGAAGAAGACTTGGACTCACCAGGGAGAGTCTCTTCTTGCTTCCTCACCTCAGCCATGGCAACAGCCCTCCGACTGGGCTGCCCTCACTCCGTATTGTGGAGGGAGGCTGGTTGTGGGCAGCTTTGAGAAAGCAGCAGCGCATCTGGAAAACCTGCTTCCCTCCCTTGCCTGTCTACACATTGTTCTGCTCTCAGTGGTTGATTTGCCTAAGGAAGAAAAAAAGAAGCAACTTTTAACACATAATGCCTTCTGCTGACCTGTAAGGGCATATAACAGGGTCCCGTAAGCAGGTAGACTTTGTATTTGTGGCAACCGCAGGTGGAGAGTGTCCAAAATTATTTATTACATTGCCCGCTATACACAGAACCTAGGAGGCACTTTTCAAATCCCTTGTTTGTCCTGGAAAGGTGCCTCTCCCTGGTGGAGAGGGTTCTCTGGCTGCTCAGTGATGCTAATGCTCCAGTAACTTATAATGTGGCCCTCTTTGCACTGGTGGCAAGTAAGATCAGGAAGAAGAACCTGGACAAAATTGCACTAAGGGAGATTCAGAGCTCTAAATAGGAAAATACTGTATGCTGTGTGGAGTCCCCATTCTATGTGTGAATCTTCATTTTATGATATTGATTATTCAGGCAGTGGCTCTGCTTTTTATATACAGTTATATAGATATTTCTTTTCCTGAAAGTGTTTGTATGGTTTTGTCATGACCTTTGGCTAGTGCAATAAAGCTTATTTACCCTAACTAGAAAAAATTAAACAAGAAAACTTTTAACACACAAAGTTTTCTTTTTAATATATTTGGTGGTTGGGAGACTCTCCTGGTCCTAATTATTGCTTTTTATTTTAGAAAAGTAGGGAGGACTTTAAAGGTTTGGGTTTCATTGCATCCTCCAAAATTCAAGGGTTCTTGGTTTATACAAGAATTTCCATGGTAGTTTCTAAAGTGCCAACAGATTTAAAAAGAAAGTGTTCTCAGGCTCTCAGTAGATGGCAGAATTGATATCAGGCCTATTCAGGGAGGTGCCATGGTGATAAACTGGTGTTGGAAGCTGAGAGGAAACAAAATGCCAGTGTTCTGTTAAGCTTCTGCAGATTTAGCCAGCTGCAACTAAGTGCTGTGGTGACAAACAAATTAAGAATGCCACAGATTAAAAACAAAGCATTGTCTATGTAAGGACCAAGGCCTGGTTAAATTGCTAAGGATGGTGCTCACTCCATGCATGTGTTTGTGGTTTTTGAAAGCAACAGTAACCTAAAATGATGTTTTCCTAGCAAGGTGCCCACCAATGTGCATCAAAATATGGCCACAATGATAACTTATAGCTGAATAGGTAAACGAGTGGCCACCTCAGCGACCATTCCCTGTTGTTTTAACCGCCTCCTGCCTTGGCCTTGTTTATTGGAAGGGACAAGGTTCTACTCCTCTGACCTAAAGGATCATGTTTGCTCTCTGGGGACCCAGATAAATGTCACTGAAGGCCCAGAGACGGTTGTGACGCAATGTGCCTTCCACCGACGGAGGCTGATGTGCCAGCTGCTCCTCCTCCCAAGCAGAGGTAGCTCAGCCACAGTGATCCACACTTGGGTATCTTCAGATTAATGACCACCAATGCTAATCGCCAAAGAGCACCTTAAACCTAGGTTATGGTCGCCTCAAAGGAATGTCTGTTTTCAGGGGGTTGGACTGGATGACCCTTGGTACATGACCCAGCACTACAATTCTATCATTCTATGATCTCAACTACATTGCTTGACTGGAGCTTACACTTACAACAATTCACTTGTCCCGGTATGCAAGAATGAGAAACACACACAGTAGAAATGGAAATGGTATTACGATTCACAGAGAGACTATGCTGCTGTGGACAGAGTCATAGAATCATAGAATTGTAAAGTCCGAAGGGACCCCAAGTCATCTAGTCCAACCCTCTGCAATGCAGGAATCTCAGCTAAAGCATCCCTGACCGATGGCCATCCAAAATTTGCTTAAAAACCTCCAATGGAGAGTCCACCACCTCCTGAAGGAGACCATTCCACAGTCAAACAGCTCTTACTGTACTGTCAGAAAGTTTTTTCTGATGTTTAGTTGGAATCTCCTGTCTTGTAACTTGAAGCCATTTGTTCAAGTCCCAGGAGCAGGAGAAAACAAGCTTGTTCCCTCTTCCATGTGACAGCCCTTGAGACATTTGAAGATTCATATAGAACCAGTTGTGCATGTTCTTTTGCACTGCCGCTTGTATCAGACGATTCAGTCTAGTTCATTAATCATTTGGTTGTTAGCAGGGAATGGCAGTCAGATGTATGCAAGGTGACCTTCCTAATGTTTACTCGGGATGGGGATAAGATGGAGATAGTAGCCAGGTTGCTGCAAAACACAACAGTATTTTAATTGTTAGATGCAGATTCTGCTAATTGGTTTTATTGTACTGAACCTTTCAGAATCTTGTCCATATGCCAAAAAAGGTTTGAGATTGACTAAGATTGATTGATCGAAATGGTATTAACTATGGGCTAAGGCAGAAGTTAGGCAGAAGTTTTTAAACTATGGTCTGTGAGTTCCATTTGGGAGGCCGGTGGAAAGGTTGCAGCAGAGTGAAATTTATCTGTACTCAGCTCCGCACTTACTTTCCTTGATATGATGATGGAGGACAGAATTATTAAAAGGTTAGCAAGGCCCTAGACCAGGCCTCATGATTCTCATAATGCATTGGATGATGATGGGGAAAGTGTTTTATTTTTCACTTCCCTGTACGAGATAGGATTTTCATCATTTGTCACCCTCAAATCCAAATACAGAAATGGGAGGACTGCCGAGCCCAACCCAAGGCTAAAGCTGACAAAGATTGCACCTGACGTTTGCTCACAAAAACCTCTGAGCTGCATCACCAAGGAAGTGCCACCACACTTGACAAAATGCTTCCCACCAGTGCCATCTGCTGCCAGGTGTGGATTGGGGCACAGGGCCACATGTGCAAAGTTGGAAGGAGGGGCACTGTTGGCAGGCAGTCCTGCAGGCGCTTAGCCAACCTGCCTGAATCTCGGCAGTGTTTCCTTCCAAGTCAGGGTGTCCAGAGTGGGTTGCCTGGACCTCTCTGCTCCTGGGACGGGGAGGGAGAGCAGCGTTTGCGAGAAGCTTCCTCGTCTTTCATTCTCTGAGAGGGAGAGGCGCCACCACTGTGCACCCACCTCTCTGCCACCACCATGCAGCTTCTTCCCTGGCCCTGCCCACCCCCCCACCCCCCACTGATGAGGTCCTGGGTTCAGGCTCGGTCCTCCTGACAGTGCCTCTGCGTGCCCGCGTGGCTCCTGCTTGCCTCTTCACCTAGTTTTTGGGAGCTCTTTGCTTTTCACTGCCTTAGAAAATTGGGGCCACCTCACTTTTCACCCTAAAAGCCAGTTCACTTATGAACCACTTTAAAAGCGCCTGTAGAACCCTGGGGAGATTTTACTTCTTTATTCCATTGTGAGAACCATCCATTTATTTCTACTCTTTGCATCCAGTTCTAATTAAACCAGCTACTAATCCATAAGTGGACCTTCCCTTTTATCGTGTGATAAAGTGCAGTTTAGGAGCCTTCAATGAGGATTTTATCAAAAGCTTTTTAAAGGTCCAAGTACTCTGCCTGCTGAATCACCCCTATCCACATTCTGTTTGATATTTTCAAAGAACTCTGAAAGGTTAGTCAGAAGCCACACTGAGTCTCCTTTAGCAAGGCTTGTTCTTTTATGTCTGCCATTCTCCAAGCTGGGGCCCTCCAGATATTTATAGACTACCACTACGCTGACCATTAGTTGGTTCAGGAGAAAAATATATAGAAAGGAGAATCCCTAAAGGCCAAGATCCAAGTTTGGGGCAAGTGCCCTTTGGTGAGAGAACCCTAGCAGAGATTTAAAATCACAAAATATGCAGCAAAGTAAAGCATAGAAACATAGGCGTTTAGACCTTTAAAATATGTGCCCTTTAAAGTGAGTTCCAAAATGTCCTCTTAAAAAGTCCCCCCCCCCAAGTTTCCCTCTTCCCCCAGCATAGGAAAAGACATTTGGTAATTTTAAAAATATTTTACTTACAATCTTTCCAAAGTTCAGATTCATGTGCTTCAGAAAAGAGGTTGCACAGGCAATAAAACTTCACTTAGTTACAAAGTGGTGAAAGTTCCTAAATTATTGATATAGGAACTCAAGAATGGCTGGTGAGAGCCATATAGCTGAGCTGGAACAACCAGCTCTAACATCTTCAAACGTTGAGTTTCTCAGGTAGACTGGAGGTGAACAATAGGCTTGATTACCTATTTCCTCCCAAGGTGAAGGGAAGTGACCTAGACTAAGCCTGGCAAGGCAGCTTACTCTATGGCAAGGGTGGCCAACTCGCAAGAGACTGCATTCTACACACAGATTCAGGTCAAAGTTGTTGAGCTTTTTAATAGGGAGGTGAAAAGCCCCCAGTTTTTGAGAATTCGAGCCTAAGATCAAGGGAGAAAGGGGAACAGCCGCTCATCAAAAGATCACTGCGGAAACAAACAGCCTCACTGAGTAAACTCCGTCTTCCGTTCTGCAGATCTTGCAACAATGGAGGGCGGGAGGAGGGGGCGGGTTCTGTTTTACCAGTGCTAAGGAAAGGGACCCAGCGATCGACCGCGATCTACCAAAACCTCACTGGGTCTACCAGTGATCCCTCGTGATCAACCTGTTGGACATCCCTGCTCTATGGTATTAACCACATCATGCACTAATTAGACTTAAGCATGTTGGGACGCGGGTGGCGCTGTGGGTTAAACCGCAGAGCCTAGGGCTTGCCGATCAGAAGGTCGGCGGTTCGAATCCCCGAGACAGGGTGAGCTCCTGTTGCTCGGTCCCTGCTCCTGCCAACCTAGCAGTTCAAAAGCACGTCAAAAGTGCAAGTAGATAAATAGGTACCGCTCCGGCGGGAAGGTAAACGGCATTTCCGTGCACTGCTCTGGTTTCATCAGAAGTGGCTTAGTAGTCATGCTGGCCACATGACCCAAAAAAACTGTCTGCGGACAAGTATCGGCTCCTTCAGCCAGTAAAGCAAGATGAGCGCCGCAACCCCAGAGTCGTTCGCGACTGGACTTCACTGTCAGGGGTCCTTTACCTTTACCTTTTTTTGTTGGTTTTATGAGACTGGTTATCCAACACCATTGGTCATGTGGGCTGAACTAGGGCTGATAGGCGTTGTAGTCCAAGCATCTAGAAAGGCTGGTGAAGGCTGTTCTGTATGATTGATAACTTTATATTTAACCATGCTTTCCTCCAATTTACAAGGATCAGAAGTTATGCTCATGGTCCTAGATCTTTCTTTTAAAATTGGTGGTATATGCACTACTTTACAATCGTCTGGTATGGACAATTTAGGGACAGCTTACATATTTTTGTTACAAGATCAGCAATTTCACAGCTTACCCAGGGAGTTTCACTTGGCATCTGTCATTACGTCTTTTTAGCACCATGCAACGAGAACTCTTAAAAGCCCAAGTGAATTGGATTTATTCTTCCACTACTATTTTATTTTTGCTTTTTCTAGTCTGCTGTTTTTACTGTTCGTATGTGTTTTATCAGTTTTACCTGATTCGTTAGTTGTCTTGGGAGTGATAATACTGAAAGGCAGTTTTCAAAACACCTGATAAATAATAAATAGCATTGACATCATTACCCCACAGGCTTTGATTTCCTGCAAGGAACTGTAAAGTGTGAGTTCAAGGGAGTGGGGGGCATAAGTGCTGGGGAAGACCACTACGTATCAGCTGCAGTACCAATTGGGACAGAATTAGTAACCTTTCCCGCCACAGCTCTGTGTATCAGCATTGTGGTGTGTAGTTGTTGGTGCCTTTTGCCAGCCCTCTATATATGAGAATATCTGTGAGTACATTAGAGCAAGGCTTTCATGCACATTTCTTTGACACAAATGTGGTTTGTTTTTGTTTGTTTTAAATACATTATGATATACAAAAAAGGGTGTACAATGGAAGGAAACTTTATTTAAGATGTGCAGTATAGAACCTTTAATAGCTGTATACATGAGATCAGGGCTGGGGTCCAGAGTTCCTGTGCTCATGTTCTGCATGGCCCCATCTATAGTAAATGCCCCCCCCCACATGTCTAATTGGTATGTGTGGAATGTGTACCCCTTTCTCTCTTGCCTCATTCCCATAAAAATACCACGTTTCCTGTTTTTTGGAATAGACAGATAAACACAGAGAATAAAGTGGTATTAATTGTGTGGAAAAGGATTGTGATATTTTTGATAGGATTATTTTTCATGAAGATTTTAGTATATTGGAAGTGCCACAGGAAATACGATACATGCTGGCTGGTTGTTTGCCTTTCCTATTTCTCTGCTTCAAGCTGGTAACTTGAAGCTTTTACAAATCAATTTTCATACTTGTGGAACGGCTTCCTGGTTGCCAGTTTCTCATCAAACATTTCTGTTGTTGGATGCTGACATATGTGGCCTGACCGTCCTATGAACTTTGTAAGAATTCAGTCATAATTATTCTGCTTCATTCAATGTCTACAGCAACAATTTGCCACAGTATAGTATGCTTGATGTCAGAACTGCTCACAGATTTTCATTTTCTATTCACCTTTTTATTATATTTTTTTACAAAGCAAGTGCCATAAAGCAAGCACTGTCTCCTCAGTATTAGACATTTGAAACAGGGTTCTTGTTTAATAGCCAAGTGGGTAGCTTGCTCATTTGTGGCACCCCTGCTGTGGAACTCCCACCCAAGGAGGCTTTTGTTTTATTGTCTTTTAGGTGTCAGATGAAGAAGACATCTCATTCTCTTAGGCATTTTAATTGGTTTGATGTTGGATAGTATGGGGGAGCTGATATATTTTAAAACACAAATTCTTTGCTTTTTAAATAGGTATTTTAAATGTATATCATGCTAATTCTGCTGTTTGTTTATTGCCTCTAAATAATTTACTGTATTTTATTATTGTCCTACTGTAGATCACACTGTAAAGCAATTTTGTACCATGGCATAGAAATGCTCTTAAACAAACAAGGAAGCAAATGTGAACTCCCAGAAGGGAGGTTTGTGCTCAGAGGCCATCACCATGTGGGGCATTCCAGGGGCACATTGGGGGAGCACTTTGGACCCTCCAGAACTGGAGCCCCCTCTCCCCCGACACTCTCGGGCTGAAAATGTATGCTTGCCTTGGAGCTGGTGCAGTTGTTTTCTCTCGCACTAGAGTCTATAAGGGGAGAATTTTCCGAGAGGGCTAACTGGTGGAGGGGGACCCTGGAAAATCGACCCCTGCCCCTCCCTTCCTAGCTGGTGTGAGTTGGCAGGGCCTAGGGAGTGGCAGTTTATCTTCCACATAATTCCAGCACCACCACCACGGCCGTAGGATTGCTCTGTCCATAAATAATTGTGAAGATAAAATATGTATCTGAGTGAAGGAAGGAGGCAGTTAAGGCACCATAGATGAAGAATTAAGACCTCAGTTAGCAATAACTTTCCACTCATTTCTGGCTTATCATAAATATAAAACCCAGTTTCATTTCTTGGCAACCTTGGACTTTCAGGGTGGCTAATAGAACAAAGTTGTAACACCTCCTTTTGTGGCATCTTCAAGTAGCTTCTCCTAGAGAAATTATACAGAACCATTCTCTACATGTTCTCTATTAGTGATCTCATCAAAACTTACAGCTTTCAATATTGGACATACACTGTTGATATCTAGCTCTTAAGCCCTGCCTCATAACTTTCTCCCTCTTTCCAGTTGTGTAACTTCACCTGCCTGCTTGCTATTTCTTACAGGATCTAAAGGTGTGGACACATCCAGAGGTTACATTTGCCCTGCTTGTTGCTGTATGGCATTGCTGAGCCAGAGTTAAGTGATCAGCCAATATGCCTAGAATTTTTTTCTCTGTTGAGCCCCTAGCCAGCAACAAAAAGTGTGCTATTTTCTCTGTGTACCTCTTATATTACTGAATTTAATTAGTATTATTCCACAAATTTGAGATCAACCAATTCATCCTGTGCAATTTCCTAATAATCTGTATTAACAATGGCTTGGGGTTGCTGTCATCTAATGGTTAGATTTTAACCAAAACATTTCTCCTCACCCCCCAGGCTTCTGTAAAATATGCAAATATTTAATAAAGTGGGCCCCATCACTGATTACATCCACTGCTTTCTTTTCTTCAACTGTGCTGTTTGCTTTTAAGCAAAACCCTAACTAGTCCCTTTAATGCACATTTGACATGCCTCTTTTAAAGCAGAAATAATAGTTTCTTACATCATATGTAACCAAATGTTCTGTGAAATTTTAAACTGATTCAATCTGCTGAATTTAATTTTATCTGGAAAACCATCTACCTTCTAAAAAAAGGATATCAGATTAGCTTTAGTAGCCCCTGTAATGCCTTGCAGCTGTTTTCCTTCTCTGTCCCTGGCCCTGATTCAGAATTGCTAACAAGTAAAAAGGCAGAATGAAATCCAGCCTCAGCAACATAGAGGGTAGGATCCAATGTACTGTAAGCAGGGATCCCCTCCTGCAACAGGACTTCTCATTCCTCTCCCCCCCCCCACAGCAGATCCCATGTGCGCCCCCCCATCTGGATGGGGACCCTATGGATCAGATTTTGGGGTTACATGAAAGGGTGGAGAAATGCAACCAGACTCACAATTTCTCCAGTGTCTAGAAGTGGTTCCAGTCATTCCTGCATTGATGGATGGAGGGGACGTCTCTCCTTTGTCTGAGTGGCAGCAGGGGAGTTGGGCATCACAATCTCCTGGATCTTACTTTCACTTTGCAGTACCAGCAAACTTTATGCGAAGAGGAAATGCTTCGTTTTTGGCCTATCTCCCTTCTCAGTCAAACCTAACATGGGTTGGCATAGTGCAGATGCATACATCTTAAGTATTAAAACGATTAAAACTGTTGAGCATTTAAAGTACATCCACAGGTTCTTTCATCTTCACCTGGCCTTTTGAACGCATTCACCCCATTTGATCGCTTTCTTACTATTTCTCCTACATAACCCTTAAGTGGCTTTTTACTCAGTCAGGGTGTTATGCTAATACAACAACTACATTGGCCATAATAGTAATTTTGTATCACAAATATTTCTCTCCTGATTTTTCTTTGATATTAAGCAGCAAAGATAAACCCTGTGGATAAATACACTTAAAGATTATTACTTATCCAATTTGGTATGGGACCTGTGCTTCCTATGCAAATTGCTTATAATTATTGCACTGTTGATTGAAAGAAGTTCCACATGTTTTTCTGTATATACAGTATCACCTACCTCTCTAGTTGTTTTAGCTTCTCAACATTGGTCCTGTTGAAATTAAATACTTCAGTTACTCTTCTAATTCCAGCTACCTACCCACCTAAATTTTGCTAGAAAATAGTGATGTCCCTCTCTTCCATTTTTAGAATAGAATTGAGACTGTGTTGTTAAGAACAATTTGATTCCTCACTAGTCTTCCAATCTGGGTTGGGAGAGGAGCAAAGTTGCTCCGTTAACTCTCCCTCCTGATCACCCTTTTTACTACTACTACTACTACTACTACTACTACTAATGTATTATTTATTATTTATACCTCACCTATCTGGCTGATATATTGGTAGCACCATGTATACAGAACCAAACACCATCCATGGCATTCAGTTATATACATTTGAACATATATATGCGAATCTGAATTGAGTAAAACAGGGCTAGGAACAGCCTGCAGTTACTTGGATTATTAATATCAATCCAAGGCTCTGCTACATCTTTTCAGACACAGGAATAACCTGTGGGAGTCATCCAGTAGCTCTGCAATTTAATAAGAGAAGCAGCCCATAGATTATCACTATTTTGGGTCCTGTCAAAAGACAACATTGTCTTATCCCCCCTCCCACTCTCTCTAGCTGTGGAAAGCTGAGGGCAGCATTCTTGCATTTATTTTATTACCTAATAGAGGATGTAGATCTTCAGACACAAGACAGCTGTGGTATTGTGCTTAATTTGTCTGGAAAAAAATTATGTTGAAGCTGAGGAGCTGAGAGTTAACCACGCTGTTTCCCGCCACGCCCCCCTAGGCCTGACCTGGTGGTGGAGTTGCTACAGCCAGGCGCAAGCACCACAGCCAAAGCACAGCTCCTTCTTGTGTGGAGTCAGGCTCCAATGAAGGTGCCTGCTGTGGAGGTGCCTGTTTGTGCCCCCTCACAAAATTACGCCCTGGGATATGGCCCCCATGTGGTCCCCCCCCCCCACTAAGCCTCTGATGCCTTGCCCATCGGATCATTTTTTTAATAAAGGTCGGATGAATGTTGAACAATGTTGCTCTCAGGGAACACTCAACAGTTTTTCAATCAGTGGGGATGTCTTCTGAAGATTGTTCAGAAACAGCACTGGATTCAGAATATAACAATTGTTAACTGGAACTTTGAAGGCACATAATGCCAGTTTTCAAAGAACGCTGACTGTTAGTTTTCTGGGCCAAGTTCAAAGTTTTTGAGTTTGAACATCCACAATGACTTGGATCAGGGCGCCTTACAGATCTGCTCTTGAATATACTGCCATGTGTCTTACGATGGTCCCATGTGCAGGAGGCAGTCTTCCTGCTGTCTTCTGAAAGTGAGCTGAGAACCCACCCCTTGGCGCTTGCCCCCTTATTGTGGAATTCATGCCTTAAAGAGCTGCTCTCAATATGTGGTTGCTTAGGTAGACATTTGCATCTGGATATGCTTCTAGATGTTGACTTTGATTTCTAAGAATTTTAGCTGGCTCTGAGTTTTGTTTTTATTTCAGTGTTCCTTTTAAAATTATTTTAAGACCACCTTGAGCATTTCTAGTTACTAAGTGAGATAAAAGTATTCAAATAAATACAAAAATAAATTCAGAAATGTTCCAGATTTTACTTTTTCTATGCCTGTAGCTTCAGGTGCACCACAATTTTGCTTTCAAATCATTCAGCTATTCATTAGTTGCTTGTCCGCTCCCCCTGCCCCCACCCCAAAAAATGGCCTGTTGTTTTGCAGGCAGGCTTTTCAAATGCCTTCACTGTTTTCAGTATCCAAGAATAAAGCTCAAGGTTGCACAACAGGAAGGGCAAAGGAGGAAGACTTGATGTGATTCAAACTGTGCGGGAAGAAATTAAAGCTCAACTGCTTTGAAAGATGGATGCCTCTCAGTAGGAACTGAAAGAGGAATTACATGTAAGAACAGAAAATTGAGATGGGTTGCTAGGAAACTGATAAATGAACTGGAAGATAGGTTGAGAGGAAAAATAGAACAACAGATGGAACCTGTCTTTAGTGTCACATAGACTGACAGTCATTCCCATGTAGCTGAAGGAGTATGAAATGTCGCAACTAAGCAATGTGATGGTGAATTACCTCCTTCCCTACTGCTCTACATGCTGTCTAATTATATAATACATTGTCATTATTGCTGTTTATAAATAAACAAAAATAGAAAATGAAGCTATTGCCATTTCCGACTGAATTAGGGTAGCAAGACATAATTAGATCCCTTAATCTAGAATCCAAAGTCTCCAAGTTTAGAGCAGTCAGCAAGACTGCTTTGATGACAGATGACACTGTTCTACTCTCACTCTGCAATGCTGGAGAGGGTGCTTGGGGTGACTGTGTCAAAAGCCCAATGATCTCCACTGTTACAAAATGGAAAGGGCTTCAACAGGGTCCTCTGCCCTATGTTCTGGAAAGCCCCCAAGAGCATTCAAGAATCCATTGGATTCCATTAGTCTCTGAAAGTGAACCATCTGGATTGGTGGTGGTGCTTGGCCACTTAGATTTTTCTTACAGCTTTGACATTTTTTTTTAATATTAAGTGGTTTATAAATGCTTTTATGAAGAAATAAGGAACCAGGAGAAACCAGGAGGGGGGAAAGTTCACATGCAAATGCATGTGCTTTAAATGTATGTCTGCGCAGCTTATATTAAAGGACTCAGATGGGAGCAAATTTTTCTGTTGGAACAGGGACTTGTACCTCTACTGTGTGTCCTGTATCCTCTATTAGGCTCAGGGTGCCAATGGGTATGACTGATTTCTTTGGTTCACTAGAACCCTCCTTATGTGGTTTTATGACACTTGCTAGTATCTCTCAGGCTGCTGGAAAAGCCTGCTGTCTCTTATCCAACACTGTAATCAGAAGCAGGCAAACTTACTTGTCAGTAATTAATTTTATTGCTCAGTAACCAGGGAGTCAGTATACATCACATCCATCAGATAAGCAGGTCAGTTGCAGAAGCTAAAGTTCTGTCCTCTCTCTCCCTTATTTATACCTCTCTCCTTGCATTTTTTTTGCTGTGACTCAGCTTTTCTTAATTGTTCTAGCCTTTTCACGACGCTTCATTCCTGTGCTGAAAGAGGGAGGAGGAGAAGCTGAATCAGGACTGTATTGTGAAGCAGAAGACCCAGCTCCTTCTCCATCTCTCTCAGTGTCTGTGGCCACCTCGAGCCTCTCCCCTTCCCCCTCACTCTCTGATGATGATTCCTCCCTGTCCCACCACGCTGAACCTGGTTCAAAGTCCTCTTCCCCCTCAGGTGTCTCCTGAACCACTCTTCCTCGTCCAGCCAGTCCCTGACAGTGTGTCTCTCCAGTCATAAAAAAACCTGGAAAAAGAAACCATAGTTAAAGGGCTAAAGTAGTAATAGTTACACAGAGGAGGAATCATGTTAATGCCTTCATGGGGAGGGGGGAGAGATTATGTTCTTATTGATACAAACATATCTAGAGGTCAGTCTCCTAAAGAATCAGAGGCAGAGAGCAATTTTGATGTTCTCAAACATCATCTCTTATACAGTGGTACCTTGGGTTACAAACACTTCGGGTTATAGACTCCGCTAACCCGGAAGTAGTACCTCGGGTTGAAAACTTTGCCCCAGAAATCGCGCCGCAGCAGGAGGCCCCATTAGCAAAAGTGCGCCTCGGGTTAAGAACGGTTTCGGATTAAGAACGGATCTCCGGAACGAATTCAGTTCGTAATCAGAGGTACCACTGTACAGTACACTGCTAATCTATTCACGTGAGTACAAAATAACCAATCAAACAGTTACCACAATTGCAGCAATCTTTCCTATGACAGTTACACAATTGCAACACACTGTCATCATTCTTAAATCACTTGGAGATACTTAGATTCTTCTGACTAGCCAACCCTAGCCATCTCATAATGTGTGGATACATGTAACCATCTTTCAGTGTCTGCTTTCATTGTCTTCTATTAGTGGTCTGCCAGCATCTGATTTCAGTTACCTATGTTAATATTTTTGTTCTCTTCTCGACCTAGGACTTAGTGTAACTTCTATGCTTGACTGATCTTCTAGCGTTTAGTACACCTTCGTCATAGCGTAGCTGTTTACATTCCATTCCTTCGGTATTCTTTCACTGTTATCAGTAGACAAGCTATGCACAGCTTCTACCTTTTCTCTTAGGCCAGGGGTGGTCATCCTGGTCCCTAACACCCACTAGTGGGAGTTTCAGGATTCTAGGTGGGTGGTAGGAGTTCTACGGCAGCCTCCAAGGATTATGAAACACGTGTTTGTTGAGGAGCCTGTGCCACTATCTCAAGATGCAGAAGCTTCATTGTAATACTGTACACATTCACATCCCGATAGAGACAATATTTACTCAGCTACCTACCTGTGTTGCCATTATGATATGGTGTGGCATGTGTGCTTGAATTAGCAGAACTCCTCAGTGTGCTGAAATGTCTGGAGGCCGCGCACACACAAATCAATTCCAAAAAAATATCTACAAAAGCCGCCTTGAAACAAAGTAGGAATATGAGCACTTGGAAACTTCTAGGATATAAAGGGATATGAACATTGCCTTAAACATCCACTTCTATTAAAAAGGCAACACAAACAAATAGTATGCTGGTGTGCAACCTAAATAAAAAGCAACTGAAGATGATTTGCAATAAATGATTTCCACAAGAAGATATGCTTCGATATTCTGAGCAAATGAAATGGAAATGGCAAGAATCATTTTGGCTCAGGCCTGTTGCCCATCAGCACTGGACTGACTTTCTCTATGTATCTGAGCCTCTCCACTGAGCATAGAACCACCTCCTAGGGGCTGTGGGGGCTTTGGCCCCCCCACAACAAAATATTTTAGGTGGCTGCAACCCCACAAAGTTGATGGCCATTCCCATTCAAATTGTGTGTGTGTAAATGGATTATGCAGGCAGGGCTTACCTGGGCCCCCACAATATTTTATTCAAGTTTGCACCCCTGCCACTAAGTAGTATTTTATGGGCATTGTACCATTAACGGTCTAATACTTTTCCTGTTCCATGCTCTGAGGCCTAAAAAACCCCCAATAAGTGTGCAGGCGGACAAGTGAACTGACTAATTATACCAATTAGGATGCCCCTTGGTTTCTTTTGGTTACATGTGACTGAGGAGAACAGCAATCAATGTCATTTTGACTTAGTGTTTGGGAATATATAAGGAATCTGAAGGTGTTTTGAGAAGCTGTTGTAAAATGTACGTTAGGCATGCTGTCATGTCCAATTTTCCTTCACAAGTTCTAGTTTCTGTGCTGTTGAAAAATTGCTTAAAATTCTGTTACTGAATTCATTTATTTTTCAAACCCTTTAACCACTAAGGAGAGCCAAGTGAGAAGCAATCGAATGGTTAAAAAAACAAAACAATCTACCGTATTTTTCGCCCTATAGGACGCACTTTTTCCCCTCCAAAAATGAAGGGGAAACGTGTGTGCATCCTATGGGGCGAATGCAGGCTTTCGCTGAAGCCTGGAGAGCGAGGGGGGTCAGTGCGCACCGACCCCTCTCGCTCTCCAGGCTTCAGGAAGCTATCCACTAGCCGTGGGAGACATAGCTCTCCCACGGCTGCGGAGAGCTTGCCGGCACCCAGAAGCTTGGGGCACGCTGAGCTCAGCACGCCCCAAGCTTCGGGTTTTGCGCAGTCCTCCCCTAGCCGTGGGAGAGCTGCGCAACTTCGCTTGCTCTCCCACGGCTTGCGGATAGCAGCCTGTTCTGGGGGCAGGGGAAGCTCAGGCTTCCCCCGCCCCAGCCCCACACCTGGGGGGGGGGAATAATTTTTTTCTTTATTTCCCCCCCAAAAAGCTAGGTGCGTCCTATGGGCCGGTGTGTCCTATGGGGCGAAAAATACAGTAAGTTTCTCGCATGTCAAGGGCTGTGAAATGAACAGATTATGCAGAATTTCAAATCTTCACAATCATAGATATCTTTCAGATGTTGACGTTAATGCATAATTATTTTTACCAGATTATTATTTCCATGGTGACTTTGCCGTCTTCCCCTGTGATCCTATTTATGAGATTTCTTACCTGCCCTTAACTGTAAGGTCCCAGGATGGGTTACACAAATGTAATATACAATCATAAAACCAGATAAACCAGCTATAATTATAAAAAAGTAAAACTTTTACAGTCAGAACAGAACAGTATAAATTCAACAAAATAGGTATGTCCCACAAAATAAAATATTTTAACTGACAGAAACCAAGGTAAAGAGAGATGTTTTGGCATTTGGTGAAAGCTCAATGTACCACTGTGGGGAGTGGGGTTGCCAGAGAGGAAGCTTACAGTACTGAGGGTGGCAGAACTAGCATGAGACCCCCCTCAGTCTTAGACCCAAGAGGGTCACTAAGAGTGGAGATTTATTTCAGATATTAAAATGCATTGAAACGTAGGATGGTTTGTGCATGTTTTGGTGCGCCTCACCTGGTGTCTTGTTCTTCGATCATGTTCTCTCTTGTCCTTCCCCTTGAAGGGCCCCATTGAGGGCAGAACTCACCATTATTTGTACATCCACTATTGTTTCTATAGGCTGTTGTATTTTGAAAATGTCAAGGCTAAGGCTAAAACTGGAAGGATACCTGTGTATTTTTTACTCTTGGAGGCAAAAGCAAGTGTTCATTTTCTGATGGGTTCTTCCTACAATATAAGGTCAATGTCTTCTGTTTCATAAATCTGGATGATGCAAAATGCTGTGGATTTATGTAAAGCTTATTTCATTCATATTGTTACAAAAGTTGGGTAGCACCCCGCCCCTGCCAAGTGGTAGCAAGATTTCAGGGGGCTCCAGGCACTTGCCGAGGGGTTGTGCTCCTTTGGGGAATTGAAGATGCTGCTGGGACTTTGAAGAAACACGATTCAGCCACACATTTACAGCTTCAGTCTGCATGCAGGGAGTCCAGATCTTACAGCATGGTCCTTTCGAGAGGGGCTTGTTCCCCCACAGCAGTGCAACCATGGAGTCCAAGGCATTTTCCCCAGCCAGCCTGCTTGGCATAGGCACTGAGTTGCACCCAACATGTGGGCGGGGGCAGTGCATGATGTCACATGTGTGACACACCTCCCCCTAGCTGGGCTGACTCAGCCTGCCATCCCCCACCCACCACCAGCCACCTTTTTGTCCTGCCCCATCCCTGGTGATCCTCAAAAGGAGGCAGTAGGGCCAAGCATCTTCTTCCCGGTGCGTCCTTTAATCCCGGTGTGTGGTGGAATTTTGGTGAGCCCAGGCCCCCTTCTTGAAAATATGGGGGACCCGGCTCCCATGCCCTCCATAGATGGCACCCCTGGGTCTCAGTCTTTGTTCTCTGCTCCTTCCCAGCACACCTTGCTAAAGACACCCTTTTCCTGTCATGTCTCACATACCCCACCACCTCAGCAACTTCTGCCTGCCCAGGCCCAAAATTCCCCCTAGATGGGCCATCAAGAAGAAGAAGGAGAAGAAGGAGAAGAAGAAGAAGGAGAAGAAGGAGAAGAAGAAGAAGAAGAAGAAGAAGAAGAAGAAGAAGAAGAAGAAGAAGAAGAGGAGGAGGAGGAGGAGGAGTTTGGATTTGATATCCCGCCTTTCAGATTGTATTTGAGCAGGGCCTTCAGAATTGGGCAGTTACTTTACCTAAAATTTTTGTTTATAACAGTTTTCAAATGTATAATATGTGAGCTGTATATCAGCTCTATTTTGAAATGTAAAAATACCACCATGCATTTAAAGTTCTGTTTTCCACCATACCAGGTCCTCAGATTTTGGAACATTATATACCAAGTTGAATCTACAGCCTGGAATTGCTACAGTCATTGAAAATTTCTACATCTGCCCCACTAACAAAAAAAAGGTAAGGGGGTACTCTTTACTATACAACTCAATAGGTCAGCTCAGGAAATGGCTGTCTTTACCTTCTACTTGGCCGAATTTAGCTCCTGCTGGATTATGCCATCCATGTTTAGCTCATAAAGGAGCAACTGTAAAATAGGGATTAATGGAATGCTGTAGAACTCTGTATCAATACCTAAATATCATGTTTGAAGGATGCTAGCAATAAATAGTTTTAGTATTAACCATAGTTTGGTTTATTTAATCTTACTCTTTGAGATATTCATGTATCTAGCAAGTGACATAAAGGGTGGGAAGAAAGAACAATAACATGCATGAAAAGGTAAAAATAGATAACCTTGCCTGCAGGATCATAAGGAAAGCTGGAAATGTGTGCTGACATGAGCAGAAAGTAACTGTAATTTATCTGAAAACATTGTATGGAACAATTGAAGAAATCTCCTCTTGGTTGCCTGAAATGTTGTGACCTTTTGTGGATGCACACACAAACTTCCCATCTTTGCTCTTGGAACTCTGGAACAAGAGGCAATGCTAAATGTGAGTTTTAAATAACATAGCTGTGACTTCAAATGAACGTTATGAGAAGGTAACAGTTTTAAGAGCACTCAGGGTGCATTCAGACGTGGAGATAACTGCATTAGAGTTCCTGGTCACTTCTGTTCTGGTGTCTGATGTTCCTTTTACACTGCATTCCCAGTTGCATTATGCATGGAATTGTGGCTTTTTGAGTGAGACATTCATGCTACATTTAATTCACACCTGTGGGTCAGTTGGGACACAACAGCAGGCCTCATTAAACATGTTGCCCCCACTCCCCACCCTTTATGTAAATGTGTGCTTCTGTTCCCCCATGATTCACCCATGAAAGCAGTGGGAAAGAACTGTATGCTGGGCATAGGAGCAAACTCCTAGGGGCTGAGGGGTTTTCAGGCCCCCACTAAAATATTTGAGAGGCCTGCCCCCCCAAAGGTTGATGGGCAATGCCATTCAAATGGTGTCTGTGCACCATGTCATGTGATCAGTTATCCAGGGCAGGGCTTACTCTCCCCCCCCCCCAATATTTTATTCCATTTGGCACCCCAGATGTTGGGATTCTGCTCCCAATTTTTTCATCCCACAAATTTTCAGGTCAACAGAAATGAGTGCTAACCTTCTACTAGATTCCACTGTTATTTCCAGAAGTAGCTTTTACATTGTGTGGAAGATCACACAAAATGTGAAAATGATCAAGTAAGGAAATTTTGGGGAAATGAAATAAAACACTGTATGAATGCAGCTTCAGAACTGAATAATTCTAAGGAGTGTGGCATGTACAAGAGAAGGGGCTTTAAAAAAGAGGAACAATTGTATTGTCATCCAGACTAAGCTGTTCTCCAGTTGTTGCTTCTAATATCCCAGGATTTTATGGATGCTCTGTAGGAAAGATCTTCAAGTGGGAGAGGTTGTGGCCATCAGAATTAAAGGGTTGTGAAACAGTATTTTAATTGTTTTGGTTAAGATGACTGATTTATGGTCTCTAAATCATATACAAAGCTGTTTTTTCAGTGTCCTGGATGTGGTGTTCATGGTGTCTGTGTTCAGTAATGTATGTAACATTAGATTTTCAGGTGATGTTCTGCTTTATGAAATGGGCTTTATCAGTTGTCCTGCTTTAAAGGTAACCATTTTCCTACGGGAGGTCCAAGTGATACAACAACTCAGTTTATCATGATGTGACCCAGAATTGTTGATTGGTGGTTTTATTTCAGCACTCAGCTGTAAATTTAATAGATTTTGAGGTTGGCAGAAAGCAATTATGAAGGCTTGCTGATTGCTTTTGCATGGTGTTGTGAACTGGCTGCTAATCGGGTTGGAGGAATATAGTAAATGCCCAGTGTATGTTGATGTTCAGGGTATATCCACAGTGTACAAGGTGGTCTATATTTTCCAGTGCATGTGGAATGGAGTGGACCTCAGTTTTCTGGTTCACACATTGAATTCCCCTAGGAAGACCCCTGGATTTATTCCAGCCTGTGACATTTTGTATTTCCATTCTTTTGATACTAATGAGCTGTAAAAACACCAAGTTCTCTCAGTTTAGTTAGCTTTGAAGCTGACAAAACCTCTGAAATCTTCACTTCTTGCTCTGAGCTTTTTAAAAAGTCTAGTTCCCATTTCCTCTTTTTAGCACACTGGTTGCTTTGTTAGGAGTGGAGTTGGGCATTTGTAAGATTGGAGGACTTCCTGGCTTTCTGTGTGTCACCCTTGTTTTAGTGCCCAAGACAGACAAGAATTGGTCTTGTTAGGATGGGGCCATCAGGCATGCTTGAAGGACTGGGATAAATTACAGGCTGCTGTTAAATGAGGTGACCCGAGCTGGAAACATATTGATAATGCCTGGTAATTTGGCTTATTTGTCTATCAGTTGCTTCAAAATGATGTTTGAAGGCCTGATCTCTGTTTTTCTGGAGCCAAAGATGTATAAAGCTGGAGTCTGGAATGTAATGAATACTGCTTAGTTCACATGACAGATGTCATTAATTATCGGTTGCCTTGGGACAAAAGAATTGTGTGTGCCTTTGTGGTTTGTTCACTGGTTGTAATGCTGTGTTACAGAAATATAATGAAAGCAATTATCATAATAGTCAAGACACGAGATGATAAGGATTTGATTATTCAAAGACTTGTCCAGTCATCAGTTGACATATTCGAGGGACATCACTGCAATTGTTGTGGGTTCCAATGGTGTCCCATGGGTGTTTTCTGTCACAAGTGTGGAAGCAAAATATGTGCTTTTTTAAAAAAACCATGTCTGATAAAAATGGTACAATTGAGCTTTCCCAGCTGTATGAACATGAGAGTGTAAAAACACATGGTTTTACACAAGTTGCACACCCATTGTGTACTGCTGCCCTTTGACAAATTACAAAGATACAGGTCTTGTTGACTGAGCTGGTTTGAAGATAAAAGAAAGGCAGGGATAAGACACGACTTTGAGCAGGAGAAGGATGGGCCACCAAATCAATACTAGTAAGAGAGGGGATGGGAATGAAAGAGAGTCTGGGAGAAACAGCCAATGAATTCTATTGATCTTGAAGGGGGCACTGGAATATCCAGAAAGAAATGGCCGAGAAAGACAGAGATACAAGGAAGACAGAGCTATTGATCAGTGCAGAGTCAGTCCAGATTAAATGAAGCTATATGATCACACACAGAGAGAAATGTACTCAAAAGATGCCTTAATGAAAGAACCTTGAGGAGATAAAGTGGGGAATATTCTTATGGGGAATCTTGAAACAATGCACAAAAAGTATGTTATCTAAGCACCAAGGACCAAGCCACATATGATGTGGGAGCTCTGTCACTGAGACTGTAATGCTCTGTATGTTTACCTGGGAGTAAGTCCTGTTGAAATCATTGGGATTTATTTATAAACATGATATGATTGCTACTTGAATCTCCCAGGTACAATACAAAGAAGTCATGGGACTTGGGGCAGCAGTGCTGGAGAAAGGAGTGTTCAACTCTTCCTCTGTGTCATTTTCCTCATCAGTATTTATTCCCACCTGCAGAAACTGCTAATAGCCTAGCTAGAAAAAAGACAGACACCAAACATGCCCCCCAACCCAGCCATTTTGGAGAGTGATTTCGAGTTGAGGAAATTGCACAAGGGCAAGTGCTGCTAGGCGCCCCTTCACCCAGCACTGCTGCCCAAGTCCACTCAGTATCCCCACACCCATAAGTGCTTTAAAGCTCTCACATCATCTGTGTAGTTTAGCCCTGCAAAAATGAAAAGCAAGAGAAATACAAAGACCAGGCAAGAATTCCAGAAGATTAGTGTGAGCAACTGTGTGAAATGCAGAGAAGAAATAAAGGAACATAAGAAGAAAGATGACACCTTGACCTTTAACTACCAACAGACCATTTGACATGTTTTGTAAGGGAGGCCTTAGCAGAATAGTTTGAAAAGAAACCAGATTGCAGGGATTCAATAAGAGAAACAGGGAGTGGAGGGAGATTAAGACTGTAGGAATAGACTATAAGTAATAATAATTTATATGGAAAATATAGCAAAGCAATAGCTTGGGGAAAAGTATAAAGATAAAAGGTATTTGCAAAGACGAAGACTGTAGCCGGCTTGAAAGGTACTTATCATGAGTATCATAGTGGGGAGCGTGGGAAAATGACAAAGAGCCAGAGTTTTGGGCAACATGAGCACCAGAATCAGCTTGAGAGAGCCAAGTTTGACCATGAGCCAATATGTGGAGATGTTCCAACAAGAAGAGTTGCCGACAATTACAAATTTGTTAAACACTGAGCAGCAATTAAGAAGGCCACAGAAAAAGAGAAGCAAAGAAATAGGAACTTGTCAGTTTAAGACCGATCAGATATGAAGAAAGGAAACAGTGACTTCCAAGGGATAAAGAATGAGAGAAGAAAAAATCAGGACAGTACATGTAGCAAGGTAGGAAGGCGAAAACAAATGCACAGAGGCATACAAAGCTAAGCTAGTTCAAGGGCTGGTGAAGGCCAAATGCAGCTGCAGGGTGATCTGGTCCCATGCTGCTCTTGTAAGAACATGTGAGCAGGTGGATGGTGAACTTACTTCCTACACCATTGTTGCTTATCAGGGCCAGTAGTACTAATGCAGAAGGTAGCCACTCCATCCTGCCCACAAAGATGGTAGCATGTTACTGGAGCTGCATAGATTGGAAGAAGCAGCAACCACGCTCACACTGCCAATATATCTTTTGAATTAGCCTTAGAAACAGCAGTTGACTGAATATATGGGTTGCACAAACAAGACTGGAGAGTGCAGATAAATTGTGTGCCATATTGTAACGTCCAGATAGCCACAAGACCTCACACTTTTCATTTTTTTGGAAACATTTCCTTAAATGGACCCACAAGAAGGACCCGTGCTAAGCATGCTGCAAAATCAGTGCTGTCTTTTTATGCGTTTAACCAGTAGTGGCCAGTGGGGGGGGGAGGAGCTGGCCTCCTGATAGTGGCATCGCTGCAGCTCCCATGGCAGAGCCAGCCTGGTGCTCCTGGCCTCAACACCACTCTATGATGCCAACCTGCAGCAGCATCAAGTGTTGGGAAGGAGGTCCCGCAGCTCAGCCATGCCGCACTGGCTGCTACCACATTTCAATAAAAAAGTTTGGTGGCCGTTTCCCAGCGTGTGGCTGCTGTCACATGCTGACAGCTCCTAGAAGCCATAGGTGAGAGCTGAGTGCAGGAGCGGGGGAGCAAAGGTGGACAAACTACCCCAGAAGGAGCATGACGTGTCCCCCACCAGAGGTACTACCCCTCCTCTAAGACCCCAGACACCCCAAAAGATTGCAAAGATTGTTGCTTCTGGTGACTCATGTGACGGAAACCAAGCCCCCCCTCCATGGTGATACATGAGTGCCATCATATGTGCTGCCACCCCTCACACAGTCGCCAGTGCATAGGCATAAATGCAATGATATGTCTCCTCACATACACCCCCCCAAAACCAAAACAGATTCCTGAAAACCTAAGCAGATTTCTCTAATAAAGGCTCACAACTGTGAGGTCTTAAAAAATTTAAGTGTCAAGTTGTCAAAACTTGTGCTGTCAAAGTTGTTGCACCACAGCGCCCCTAGTGGCCACTCCATGGTAGTAGCAGGCAATGCCACAGGTTTCAATGAATGAAACACCCCACTGTGCAATTGTCGCAAGCAGCACCACGGGATAGGGGCCACTCTTATCTATTTAAACTGAAGCAATTAATCAAGCTTGTTTTGCTACAGAAAGTTTGTATATATGAATGTTTTGTAAATGATTTATTCTATAACATAAACCTCCAAAATTACCCCCACACACTTGTATTCTGGGAAACCTCTGCTGCCATAATCCCCTAAGTGTAAGATTCCCAGTTCATTTCCAAGCACAATTCAAAGTGCTGGTGCTGACCTTTAAAGCCCTAAACAGCCTCGACCCAGTAAACCTGAAGGACCATCTTCAGCCCAGACACTGAATTCCACCTCCGAGGGTTTTCTGGCGGTTCCCTCACTGCAAGAAGGGAACCAGGCAGAGGGCCTTCTTGGCAGTGGCACCCTCCCTTTGGAACACCCTCCCATCAGATGTCAAGGAGATAAAGAGCTACACAACTTTTAGAAGACCTTTGAAGACAGCCCTATATAGAGAAATTTTTAACATTTGATGTTTTATTATGTTTTCATATGTACTGAAAGCTGCCCAGAGTGGCTGGGGAAACCCAGCCAGATTTGCGGGGTATCAATTGTTGTTGTTGTTGTTTGTTGTTGTTGTCATGTAGGCTGCAGCTTGTCAGGGGAAGGATCTGGGCAGGGTTTCTCCAGCACAATGGTTCTTGATGGAGATGATTGAGGTGGTGTATGGCAATGATTGCCCAGACTTTCCAATGAACAGGATGTACCAATCCTGTTGATTGCTCATGTTGTTATTTGAATGTAACTGTTTGGAATGTTTCATGCAAATTCTGTCTGGAAAGGTGTAAGACAAAATGTTTGGTTTGACGCATTGTGATATTGACCTGTCTGACTTGCTGTAACCCCTTCTAATTTTGTGATGCACCTTTGATGTTTTCTGTGCCACAGATGCTTTGCTTATTGTTTTGTGGGAAATGTAAACCTTCAGAAGGCAGAACATCCTTTAGGTTCTCCTTTCTTTGCTTTTAGAGAGGTTGAATCTTTGTCACGACTAATAAACGATCAAAGGCTTAACAGCCCACTTTGCTTATGGATTTTTGCCTGGTTGTCTTTTCTATTAGTCTTCTGCTCTGACTAGGGAGCCTAGCTTCTATAGAAAACCTCAGGACAGCAAGCCCCAATTTCGTGTTGCAACGGAAAGCAAATTGATAACACTCACAATGGCAATGCTAACTTTCATCCTTATTTCTGACTGAGTTTACAGTAGGTTGCGAAGAGCCAGGAACTCACTCGTTCCTAAGATCCAGCCTGGCTCCACATGAAGCATCTCAGTTGTCCCCAGGGATGTCAGTTGAATTTGCAATATAATGTGCAACATGGCTTTTCCATGACTGTAGCTCAAGCAACCTGACATGAATATATACAGATTGGAGGGTGGGAGAGAGCCCAGCAGTCTTAGCTGTTACTCAAGGGGACGAACTGAAATGAATGAACGTGACTAAGTTATGTCCATCAATTTCAATGGGTCTACTCTGAGTACAACTTAGCTGACTGCCATCCATTTCTAGCTGACTAGAAGTCACAGGTTTGGAGAAAGGCTGATCCACACATTGCATTCTCCATGTGTGACCACAGATAGCTTTGGACAGGTTGCATGGAGCAAATTTTGAATGTCTGAATAAGCACTTAGACGGTTTCTGATCTCAGCAAGGTAAGAAAACATTGCTGAGAAGTTAGCAAAAAGCATGGCTTACATATTTGAATACCAAATAGGTTGCAGTTCTCTTTGTGCATTGTTGATAGAGATGTGATCGCTTTCTTTCAAGTTCTTTCTCTCCATATAGCTCTGGTACCAAAGGGGGAGAAATTTGGTTCCATTTGCTTTTTAATGTAAACTGTCTTATTTTCATTTTTCAAACCAATATATGACTATGAAATGCAACCACCTTTCAAAATCTAATTTCCAAGGTTTCATTAAATTTAAAATTTGGTAAAATTGAACACTGCCATGATGTCAGACGTGCCTGTGATATTAGCCACATCCTGCCAGGCATGTGTGACACCATGAGAGTTTTCGGTTTTACCAAATTTTCCAAACTAGTGAAAAATTGGATATGAACTTGCTTCCAACTAAAATGTTGGAAAGTCAGTGTTGTTGAAAGGTCACTAGGCAGCACTGAAATCGGTAGCTAGACATGCTCCTTTTCTGTTACCAGTGGTTTGCCCATCTATTGTATTTTTTATAGAAGTGAGACACTGTTCTTTTCCAGGGGGTTTGTGAGAAATGTGCTACTCCTGTGGGTTCAGCCTGTCAGCTGTGGTCATTCTCCCCCAAGCACATTTTCTGATTATTAAAAATGCATGATGTGCTAAGGCCCGCAGTTCTTCTTTTTTTTCCTGCACCTAAAAGATCTGCTTCCCCAAAGTATTGAAAAATTTAACACGTTACTGGCAGAATGTGTTCAGAAGATCAGTTGGTGAGTCTGTGTTAGCACTTTCAGAGGTTTTGTGCCGTGAATATACTTAGTACAAAAGTCTTGTAGAGGTTTCTGATCCTGATTCTTGTTATGCACTGTCCTTCTCAAAGCTGCACACCTGCAGTGCTGTGACTAGTAAGTTTCCTGGCCAGAAGTTGTCGGCTATACAACAGGTCATCTCTTGCTGTAAAAAGAAATATAAACCCCCAAATGTATCTTGTGCATTGCACTCTCTCATCTTGACCACAATGCCCTCTTCTCTGTTCATCTTTTCGTGTGTTGCCCTACGTTTTCTTCCATGCCAAATTCACAGTATATTCTCATTTTTGTGTGAAGGAGAAAATACTATGATTTCTCAAAAGGCAAATAATTATAGCAAATTGGACTCTGCTGCCTGTCAAACCTATAATAGCTGGAGAGATGTAAGACTCTGCCAAGCAAAGGTGATGATCTGATTTACATTCCCAAATTCAATTCAGATCAATCCCCAAAGGCAATTTTGACTTAAGCAATGCTTTAGAGGGATAAAGGGGGAGTTCCAATCCTACAACAAAGAGTATTGAGAGCTATGATATGCCACTTAGGATTTCAAAATGCTTATAATCCAGGGGAAGGAAACCTTAACATTTCCAAAATAGTATCATGGAACATGATATGGGTGACTTAATACAATTGTATATGGAAAGCAAGTAGAACGTTTAACTGAATTCCATATTATACTCCTCTGGAAGACAAGGATTTTATTGTCAAATTGGATTTCTCCTCAGGGGTATGTAACTTTTAAAACCTGAGCTCTTGCATCAGTCAGGAAATTAATATGAACATAAAGCAATCCTGCCAGCTCCCATAGTTTTGTCACTATAAGCACACAAAGTTGGTATAAACAACCACATTTTGGGAGGGTGTGTGTGGAATCTATAAGGTCTCGGTCTCTCTCTCTCTCTCTCTCTCTCTCTCTCTCTCTTCCTCTTCCAAAATTATCAAAGTAATCATCTGCCAAAGATTTATTACTTTGGTAATATTTACTATATGCCGTATGCTGCTGGGGAACCAGTTGTCTCCAGCAAGGAAAGGGTTTAGATGGGGAGAAAACTAGCTGAGGAATCCATTATTCAGAATGCTTGTTACTTCCAGCCATGGCCCTGTGTTTAAGAATGAGTTGGCTGAACGGGAAATTGGTGGGTGGTGGTGGTTAAGTAGGTCATACGGTTCAAAATGGTTCAATGGATCAATTTGAAACTTGGCAGTATAGAAGAGGTAAGTTTGAGGATGCCAGATTTCAAGCAGAAAGGATGACAAAATTGGTTATTTTAAGAGATTAAGTTATTTACATGGTTTACACTGAGGGAAAGTAATTTCTGTCTGCCCAAGAGCCCCATTCTCCCCCAGTGCCAATTCTAAGTCATGTAAAGAACTCAAGTTGGAGTAAAACCAAGAAAACATTTGGGCAACTTGATGATATGTTTTAAAATATATTAAAAACAAAAACCTGTAACAGGGTAAACATTTTCTGGTCTGGAAATACTATTGTGGGGAAAGCATCACGTTGATATTCTGTTTGTCAGACCTCTTATTGCTTGTGTGTGGTCTTTGATTTATTTTTGCATCTTTCACCTCCATCGCAAAAGGGCACAAATATCCACATAACAACGTATATGCAAGTTTCATGCAAATTTGTGTGTTTTGTGAATGCAGCAGAAATCCCAATTCACATAGGCACACAAAATCCTGATGGCACTCCTGTTCAAAAGTATATTGTAAAGTTGTTGCAAGGGCTTCATTTCATATGGAAGGAAACCATCTGTTTCTTGTAAAACTAAACCGGTGGTGCAACTGCAGTGGAGTAAAGAGCAAAGACATTGAATATGTGCATTTGCCAAAGTGATTTTGGAAGCTGGGTATGTTTCGCCTGGAAAAGACAAGATTGAAAAGAGAGGGTAGGAGGGTAGGACTCAAACCAATGGCTTCAAATTACGAGAAAGGAGATTCCAACTAAATACTAGGAAAAACTTTCTGACAGTAAGAGCTGCTTGACAGTGTAACGGTCTCCCTCAGGAAGTTGTGGACTCTCCTTCCTTGGAGGTTTGTTTTGAAGCAGAGGTTGGATGGCCAACTGTCATGGATGCTTTAGCTGAGATTCCTGCATTGTGTGGGGTTGGACTAGATGACACTTGGGTACCTTCCAGCTCTAAGATTCTATGATTCTCTTAGAATCCCTTTTATAAATATAGAATTTTAATGGCACTTGTGGGTGTTCCCAGGCATGCGAGAACAGAATCCCTGTGCTAGGAAACTGAACCCTGCAACATTCCTCAGCTGAAAATAGGGACTTTTCTCAGCCCAACTCACCCAACTGATAAGCGTCGGCTCATCCTGAGCTTGGCAGCAACAGCAGCAGCACTAACAGGGAAATAGGGACATTCTGGGATCAATTCAGAGGCCAGGATGGCTTTCGTAATTCCAGGACTGGCCCTGGAAAATCAGGAAAAAAGATTCCAGACCTTTGGGTAATATAGGTCCAGTGTGGAGTGGATCTTCAGTACATGATCTGTTCAAGCATTATGCCTTTACAGTATATGAGCCACACCACTAAAAATGGTGAACTGGTACCAATTGGTGCTGGATAAAGTTGAATGTATGTGGTTTTTTGTTTTTGTTTTTTGCAAGATTTATACCTCAGTAGTTGGAAGATAGGTGGTAATCTTGCAGTTTTCACTGTCTTACATATTTTCAGTGATGCTAAAGTTGGTGCCCAGTTCCTTATGCAACAAAGAGCCAAACTAATAGCCTCAATAGTTTATTTGATCCTACACCAGAAAATATGAATTATAATACCCCATATCGTACATTGCAATCACTTCTCCCCTTCAATATGCATTATTGTTTGCTGGGATAAAGATTGTTGTTCCTGAGCACTTCAGTGCTTGATGACTTCAGCCTGCTGCTATGAATTAGAGGACTGTAGCTTTGCACCCCAAAAGAAGCACCAGGCCACCCCCAAACGATACTTCCACAGCACCAGGGGATTGTCTCCTAGGACATTCCATAGAGTTTTATCTCACCCACTGCTTCCTTTTTCTGCAAGGCATAGTCATTGCCCAAGTCAGCCCAAGGCATTTTGGCACCTAAGGCGAACCACAAAATGGTGGTGCCACACCCACAAACACCCAGGTGGCGTTGGAGGGTGCTGCTGAGGAGGAGGCAGATCTGGCCTCCAAGACGTGCACCACAGCCATCAGTGCTACTGCAGCAGCTGCAGCAGGCAATGGATTCCTTGGAGGCCAGATCTGCTGCCCCTGTGATCCTGCTGCCTGAGGCAGTTGCCTCGCTTTGCCTCATGGGTGGGCCGACCCTGGTCACTGCCCTCCATGACAGTAATGGCCACAGCTGCCACAAATGTTCAAGGGAACTGTAGATTTGCTCCTCCAAATAAGCATTGGGTCACTTCCCAAAGACAGCCCTACATAGTGTGCATGTTTGCAAGGGAGCCCTGCAAGAGGAGAAACATCTGGCACGGGGGATTTGAAGTTGAGGAGCAGTGCAGTTCCCTGCAATTCCCTGTTCAAAATCACATTCTCCAGTAGCCAGTTTTCTTAGCCAATGTATCTTGTCACAGCATTGTTGCACACTTGAGTGCTCCTGTGCCACCGAAAAGTCAGTCCCTCTTACTCTCAGTTGCCACAAAGTACAGTTCATAACATGCCCCTCATTCATTTCCACTGTGTAAATGCAAATAGGACCAAGAATGTTTATTGTACTACTGCATTACAGGACTCAAAAAGTTGATTGCATTCTACCTAATATGGAAATTTTCATTTACTTCTAATAGGGCTCCCTCATTAACTATTCTTCTAAAATGTCAACCTGGCAGCCTTTCAAGTGGGAAATTGATTTCTTTTGTTTTCTGTTTTTTAAAATAGCAAAAGGCTGATCTTCAGGTTGGGCTATTTATCTGGAAGATGCTCCAGAGGTGAAAACTAGACTGTCACATTTATCTCACAGTTTCAGCAATACTCAGTTATTGCTACAGTCAGTTCCCTGGGCGTATATGTCTGAGAGTTAAAAACAAAAAACCAGAAAAGAGAATGAGAATATACACATTCCCTTTGGCACAGCTTTTGAAGGGAATCTGCATAAAATGTTTCCTCTAATTTCCCTTTCCGTGCCTAAATAAAAAACACTATTTTTGTGTATAACACTCAGTCACTTGAAGTCACCCTAATATAGATAAGCACATTTATCCTTGCCCTTATAATAGAACCTGTTATTAAATTGATGGCAGCAGATGGCCATATTGTTGCAACGTGAAGATGTTCCCATATGCTGTTATGATAAAATGGTGGTTTGTTGTTGTATCTCTTCAAGCCATAATTCTTCCAGGGCTTATGGAAGAGTGGCAGTGCTGTATTTCTCAAGCCTAGTGAAACACAGGAACCTTCTTTGTACCAAGACAGACTATTCCAGCTGAGTTTTGTCTGCAGTGATGGGCAGGTGTCAGACTTGTAGGATCTACTTCGTTTTCTTCCCTAGAACCTTGAGATCTATTAGCCCAACGCATGTAATAGACCCCTAGATCCAGAACTCCATAGTAACAGGTGCTTCCAGTGCCCCATTTATTTAGAGGCATAGGAGGGGGTGGGGTTGAGGAGGCAACCCATTCATGTTTTTCTCTTTTCACCAGATGACACAGTTGTGTAGAGGACAGGAAAAGATAAGCCTGATGCAAGGTGTATTGACATAAGCAGTGATAAAGGGAATACTGTTTAGCTCTTGGAGATAGTTGTACATCCTTTAAGCCAAATATTCAAAACAACCAGTAGGGGTTGAGAGGTGGTATGGAACAATTTGCCATAGGTGCAAATTGACTTTATTTGTCTTGAGCAATTTTAGCCTTCAATGTGATGCCACCTTTGCCCCGTCAAAGCCTTTGGATGAATGCCAAGGTTAAAATAGAAATTGAGATTAGTCTATTCAGCTACGAACATTTGATTGTCAATCACAATCACTATTTTGAATGACAGTGTGTGTAACTGAATGTTGTATTAACACAATAATTAACACAAAAATACAGTTTTCATTTACCTGGGTAATAATTATTTGTTGATTGGAATACTTAAAATACCAGTTTTTTCTGCCCTTCCTGAGACTTTCAAAGTAGCCGACAATCACCATAAAAAAATCTACCAATAAAACAAAAACAGCAACAGCAACAGCAGTCTTCAAGCAATCTGCCAAAAAAAAGAGAAAAAGAATAGGCAGAAAGGTTCAGAGCCTGGGGTGCCACCGCTTTCTCTCTGCCTCGGAGGGCCGTGGGGCGTGGAGCAGACCTCCCCTGATGATCCAAGCATGTGGGTGGACTCATGTGGAGAAGGTGGGCCTTTATATATCCTGCTCTGGAACGCTTTAAGCCAGGGGCCAGCAAACTTCTTCAGCCGTGGGCCGGTCCACCTTCCCTCAGACCACGTGGTGGGACGGACTATATTTTGAAAAAAATAATGAACGAATTCCTATGCCCCACAAATAACCCAGAGATGCATTTTAAATAAAAGCACACATTCTCCTCATGTAAAAACATGCTGAATTCTGGACCATCCGTGGGCCGGATTGAGAAGGCGATTGGGCCGCATCCGCGTCCCCAGGCCTTAGGTTGCCTGCCCCTGGTTTAAGCCTTTAAAGGTTGAAAGCAGCACTTTGCATTGGGCCCAGAAACAACTGAATTTAAACTGGTTTTGTTTTGTCTGATAGTTTGAATCTTGCCAGCATTCTTACTGTTGTATTTGGCATTCAACTGATGTTTGCAAATACAGTTGGAAGTTATGTATAGCTAGATCTTGCTAGGATGCTACTAAGGCAGGCAGTAAAATATATAAGAAATCAACCTTTTCATTATAAATACTTTCGGGGTGGGGGGAGGAGATTGATCCTTTGCTTGCACATTTTGAAATGTAAGCATGGTTTCAGCATAATTTTTGAAGATGCTCTTTTATTAAGCTTATTTGTGATACTTCTTCTTTTTTCCGATATAAATAAGCTTGCTTCTTACTCTTCTATTAACTACAGTGGTACCTCTGGTTACAAACTTAATTCGTTCCGGAGGTCCGTTCTTAACCTGAAACCGTTCTTAACTTGAGCTACCACTTTAGCTAATGGGGTCTCCCGCTGCCACCGCGCAATTTCTGTTCTCATCCTGAGGTAAAGTTCTTAACCTGAGGTACTACTTCCGGTTTAGCGGAGTCTGTAACCCAAAGTGTCTGTAACCCGAGGTGTTTGTAACCCGAGGTACCACTGCATAAAGATTTTTCTAGCATCCATCTCCATGTATTTTGTATGAAAAGGAAGCTACCAAATGTGACAATGTAACCTACATTCTTTTTCTTACCTTCTGAATTTTTGCATTATTGTTTTCAGTGACTGCTTTCTATGAACAAATGAACGAACAATTGATGTGAGTTGTCATGACATGATGTGCCTGGGGCACTTTGATCAGTCGTAATTTTGTAGACCAGCCATGACCTTCCTACCCTGTTGTCATCTTCTTCTCTTTACAGAAATGATGTTCGATGCCACAGTGGCACATGCACCCGGGGCTATTACTTAGAGGCTGCCATAAGCATTGCTAATTACAGTAATTACTTTGGCCACAATCCAGCCAAAGTTAAGCACTTTTAAGTCCCATTGATTTCAAATCAAACTAAGTGCCAGCATAACTCCCTTCCATTTAAATCAATGAGTTTGAATGTGATGTTTTCACACACAAAGTAAAACCCAGAAGCATCTAATCGAATCTGTCTGATGTTTCATGAAGGCAAGCAAATTACTCTATAAATGTTAAATTTACCCAGTCTGTATGGAAATAACTTTTATAAAAAGATTATCTCAACCAATTAGTTTCCATATTTAACTTTTTCTGGGCCTTTGCCTCCATTGGCGAAAGCCATATGGGTGTTTTCCTTTCTAAAAGATCTTTATATTTTATCCAAATGTTATATAAACATTTTCTAATTACATGATTTTTAAAACCATTATGGGCCTTTATCTTGTCATACCATAGATAAGCATGCCATCCAAATACATTGTCAAATTCCTCCAAGTCTAAAACATCTGCATTATCTAGTTGTATCCATTCCTTGACCCAACAAAAGGCTGCAGATTCAAAATAAATCTTCAAATCTGGCAGGGAAAACCCCCCTCTTTCTTTAGAATCTGTTAATAATTTATATTTAATTCTGGGTTTTTTCCCCTGCCAGATAAATCTAGATAAAACTTTCTGCCATTCTTAAAACGTTTCACATTGCCAATAATTGGGAGGGCTTGAAACAGAAACAACATCTTTGGCAATACTTACATCTTAACCACAGAAATCTGGCCCATTAATGACAATTTTAAATTCGACCAAATCTCCAGATCTCATTTCTGACATCTCTATGTACAAAAGTACATTACATCCACAGCGTTCGCCTGCTTGTTCCACCAAGCTTGTAACTCTTATCAAAAAGAGACATGAGATTCATCTGGCATGACTTGTTTGGGGAACTTTAAAAGAAGTAATTGCTTCCTTCTAACATTTTCTTGTCCCTGTTGCTTGCATTCTTCTAAAATGCAGACCTCACAATGGATTCTTTGTTCTGGTTCCATTCAGCTCCCCCTCCCCATAAGGCATGTCTGGTCCTTGAATTGTGCATTGTGCAAGGGAGGGGGCCCTTGATTTGCCATGGCCATGGTGAGCGGATGTGGAGGCCAGTCCCATTTGGTGGAGCAGGTGGGGATGGCGACTCTTCTGCCCCCTGCCTTCTCACAGCTGGCTTTCCTACTCCCACACCCACTAATGGTATGAGGCAAACAGACAAAACTTTTAGTCATTTTGGTGTAGATCAGGCATGTCCAACAGGTAGATCGTGATCTACTGGTACATCGCGTGGTAGATCCTGGTTGACCTCTAGCTCCTCAGCGATCTCCTTACAAAAAAGCAAAAAGGGAAAACAAAAAAAACCCCACCAAATTTGGCTTCCTAAAAAAAGCTCAAGCTCCACAACTTTGGCTTCCTAAAAAAAGCTCCACAACTTGGGGTGGATCACTGCCAGTCTTTTTACGACAATGGGTAGATCACTGCCAGTTTTTTTTTACTGTGAGTAAATCGCAGTCTATCGGGAGTTGGACGTCCCTGGTATAGATAAATACTGTTCACATGGAATCATACCTGCAGCGTCTTATCCAAGGAGGCGCACAAAATTAATATGCATGCAATGTGAATTTTCCAGTAGCCAAAAACTAGAAGGTATAAATTCTGTTGCATTACATTTTATGGGGTTTTTTTTATTATTATTAAAAGACATTTCTTCATACCACCTGTTACACAGAACATATGCTGACAGTGTACAAAAATAAGCTCATAATTTGGTAACGCTCCCAAATTAACAGCAGTTGCACGATATTTCTTTCACGTAGTTATTAAAAACCACAGCAGAGTACTTCTGGAATGTGAAATTGCATAATAGTATGGGATAGAGGCTAGAACAATACAGAGAGAAATTTAATGCTGCCATCTCCAGGTAGCACATAGAATAGCATATGTCAACTGAGATCAATTTACCTAAATTCATGTTTTTAATGAGTAATGGAGTGAACAGACTCCTCCGTACGATTATATACACGGGTGCACTGCCATGTAGAGAGACTAGTGTACACTGGATGTGTATGCAGGAAGTCAACAGCCATTTCTGTGATCACAATGGCTGAGGTGAGTGTGGCAGGGCTGAGGGCTGCATGTACAGACTCATCCCACCTCCGATTTGCCTGCTGCTTTCCCCTGGGGAAATCCATGGTTTAGTGCTGAATCAGAACAAATGGCAACCAGGTTTGTCTCAGATTGCTGTTTGTTCCGATTTAGCACTAAAGAGCAGGTTTTCCAGGGGAAAGCGATAGGGCAAAGACAAAATCATTTGGCACAAGACAAGCGGAAGTGTGAATGAGCCCTGACTCACCCTAGACCTTCTCCATGTACCTGTTACCCACTTACACAATCACATGGAGAAATCTGAAAGAAAAAACTGGCTACTAATATATGAAGAGCAGAATGCCACTGTATATTGGTACATTTCTTATCCCAGAAACCTGGTTAGCAGGAGGAGAATTTTATATTATTACAAATCTGACAAGTTACTCCTCTTTCTGTTGTATTACAAATGTCCTTGGCAGTTTGTTGTATAGGTGCAAGCAAGGTTGGTATGTTTTTGGTGTGTCAAAATGTTGTGGACAGGAATCTCTAAACATTATGGATTTCCTTCTTCATGTTTTGATATGCCGCATTTTCATTTCATGCACATTTCTTTTGGTGGTACATGAACGTTTCATTGGAAAGAGATGTAAAGCATCAAAGAATTTCTCTGGCTTTGCTGCCAGACTACAGACTGTCAATGAGGCTCTGGAAATTTATCTGTGACTGGTTTTTCCAGGAGCAGTGGCCCACGTGTCAGAATAGTTAGGAGTTGCTTGGTTGCAGGGGTGCCAACTTGAGTAATAGGCCCAGGTAAGCCCCGCCCTGCATAATCAATCACATGATGTGGCACACACACACTATTTGAATGGCAATGCCCATCAACTTTTTTTTGGGGGGGGTAGCCCCCTCAAATATTTTTTTGGGGTGGCTAAAGACTACTCAGGCCCTAGGAGTTGGCTCCTGTGCTTGGTTGCCAGTTCCTCTTTTGTATAGCTTCTAAATGTACAGGGTGAGTCTTTTAAAAGAGGCCCCGTGGAACATGTACACTCTGTATCCAGAGCCTCTTTTAAAGGACTCACCCTGTAGCATAGCTGCTTCTTTGCGGGGCTCAGTCCACTCCCACATGGAGTAGAGCACTGGAATGCATGCAGTCTGAATACCACCAGGCAGTGCTTATAGTCTTTCTATTTAAGCCTGTGTTGAGCAGACATGGGGTATAATTTAATTTCTGCATGATTTGCTTGTTAATTGAGCATTCTGCTTTCATTATATTTCCCTCCTAAACTGTTGTTACTAGGCTGCAACTCTTGGGAATTGGTGGGATAGAAAATGAACTCAATGAATAACAACAGTGGAACCTTGGTTCTTGAATGGCCTAGTTGACGAACAAATTGGCTCCCAAACGCCGAAAACCCGGAAGTAAGAGTTCTGGTTTTCGAATGTTTTTTGGAAGCTGAATGTCCGATGCGGCTTATGCTTCAGTGCAGGAAACTTCTGCAGCCAATCAGAAGCTGCGCCTTGGTTTTCGAACGTTTTGGAAGTCAAATGGACTTCCGGAGCAGATTACGATTGAGAACTAAGGTACCACTGTAATTATCTTCTAGAGTGAGCCCAGTTTACTCTGTTCTTTGCTGCTTCTGGAAATCTTTTCTCCCACTATCAGAGGCTGATGGAAGCACGCAAACTGAGGATCCCTCTGTGTAGCACATGAATTTGGAACAGAACAGCACAATTGTGTTGTTATGAATCGTGTTGGATCATGTGTAATTTGCACAGTGTTTTACAGTCTTCATCTTACTGATTACTGCAACATTAGAGATAATGCAATATTCTAATTTTACAAATAATGAAAGGAAATTGAGAAATGGCAAATTGCCAGATAGTGAGCTAGTTATGGTAATTCATATTAGGATTCCACCCCCTCCCAAGTTGATCTCCTATTTAATCCAAAATCAATTTTAGTCTTTTCCTCTTAATATTGTAGTTCAGGCTCAAGGTAAGCCCTGATAATGAACACTAGGTATTTTCAGAGTATCCTTTGCAGGTATCCTGAAGTTGTAGCACTAGCCGACTCTGGCCTGATTTCATTGTTGCTCTTATTGCTGTAGCATGAACGGCAGCAAAACGCTTCTTTGCCATACTGTTGGCCCCTTGCCGTATGTAGCGCTTAACATTCATAACATCTGACTGAAAAGGCATGATGTTGAATGTGCAAACGCATTTAACATGCCTGATTTTTTCTTATAAAACATGTTCTCCCTAGCAGAGTGTGTGTGTTGCGGTGGGGGATACAAGCCACCCCATTGTTGCTGGGTGGATTTGTAGAGGGACCCAGGCAGTGAATTGGTTAATCAGGTCACTGGGGAGAACTGCTTGTTGCCAATTTTGAAGGAGGGGTCAGAGGTTTTAAATACTGGTCACCCAACTTTGGGCGTCCTCTTGGCTGCTTGCACTGGATCACCCGCCCACCCTCCCTGTATTGGGGGGGGGGGTGTTCGCTTGACCTTGCTATGCCTGTCATGGGGTTGTCTGCTTTGAGGCAGGAGCCTGGTAGGAATTTGTCCATTTGGCTGATTGGCTGTTGCCATTTGGTTTTTACCTACTGCGTAGCAAATTGTCACAACTTGTAAGGTTGGCGGTTAGGCATTGGTTCAGATTGGTTGGTGGAGGGGTAAGTGCCTACCCCTCCAATGGTGGTGCGGAAAGGGAATTCCGTTAAAGGAATCCAGGGGCTTGCCATCCCTTTCGTCCTTGTCCCTGGCATCGGACGTGGGCCGTGCAAGCCCCAGGGGGCATGAGGGGAGAAGTGAGGGACTGAGGCCCAGCTTCATTTTCTCCCCAAAATTTGTTTCCCTGACTGGCTTCTGCTGGAATCCGGAAGTCAGTCCTGTCCCCTGGGCAAGGACAGATAGTCGGAACCAATGCCTAAGCAACCACTCACTTGGATGTATTTAAATAAAGTTGCGGCCAAAATAGTGCCAAAAACCCAAACCAAAATTCATGTGTGATGAGTTATTGGGGGGTGGCTTGGGGACCTCGACACGCAACAATAGCAGCTCTCTCTTTCTGCGGCCCCAAGAGGGATTGGAACCTCAGCTTTGTGGTAATGGAGTTAACTCTTACCTCCCTGTACAGTCCTGCCAAAAACCCTTCCTCCAGAAGCTTCTATTAGCTCAGGGGTCAGCAAGGTTTACCTCGCCTGGGCTGGTTCATTCCAGCAGAGATCCCTCTGTGGGCTGCATTGCATGCGCACACACCTGCAATTTCTGGTGTCTGTGTCTGCGCAGATGCAATTTCTTTTTTTTTTTTTTTTAAATTGATATTTATTAAATTTTCAAAAAGTAACAAATAACAACAAAAATTTCCAAAAAAATGCAGATGCAATTTCTAGTGCCGCAGAAGCGAGTCCGCATGCCACGCAGGTTTAGCGCGGGCGGCTCGGTTTGGGGGCAGCTCGTGGGCTGGTTAAATGACCCCCATGGGCTGCTTGTGGCCCATGGGCCTTAGGTTGCCTACTCCTGTATTAGCTCCAGGAGACAAGCATGTTGGGACTGTTGCATGCGTGAAATGGTTAACCTGTCCCCCCTCTCTGTGTGCTGCAGTCCCGATCCTGATTGAATGTCCCTGCAGCTTGCTATTGCTAAAATAAACAACAGCCGGTGTGGGCATTTGCATGCTTACATCACACCTGTTTGGACCCACAGTCCACATGCCAGAGAATCACTTGGGGCATCTCTAAGCTAGTGCATTCAGCCATAGGGGTTGCAGCCATGGCCCCCTCCCCTCAAACAAGTATGGATATTTTGCTACCTATGTTGCCTGCAGCTCCGCACCCCTGCAGGGATTTTTCAGCAGCAGCCACGCTGCACAATGATGTGATCATCTGACCTTTGGCTCTGTGAGGAGGGAGAAGTCTTCAGTGGTTTTGCTTACACACAGAATGTATCTTGAACTCATTTGTTCACTTCACCGTGTTTCACCGTGATATTTCATAATCCATGGTACAACAGCCTTTCAGTCTCCTCTGAAATGTCACTTGTGGACAGTGAGTGACACTGTTACTCACTCTTGAGTTGAAAACAGCTAATTCTGGATCTGCCTTAGTGGATTCAGTATAGTTCCAAGCAAAATCTGGAGTGGATTGCCATCTGGGTTGTCTGCAAACTGGCCGGTGAGGGGGAGCAGGCTGGCTGAGCTGCCAAGCCCCAGCCCTGCTGGCAGGTCACCTTTTACAGCACTCAGTGGGTTTGAGGATGAAGGCTAGACACAGGGGGCCTCCCCTGCTTCAGGGCCCCCCAGGACATTGCTGCTTGGCTGTTAGCACATGAAAATTATAAATGCCTGAATAGGTCTGCCAGTGGGAACCGTGAAAGTTACTGCAGTGTGGCTCCAACAGCATGCCTGCATGAGACAATTCCTCTTGCAGAATTCAGTTAGTTTCTTTATGCAGTTTGCAGTGAATTGTGATCTAGACAAATAATTGACTGCTGACTCTCACCACCGCTAGAGATTTACCATGTACATGTTGGCATTTTTTAGATTATGAGCACATGGGCAAAGAATTGTCATTTTAAAATGTATTGTATCGCTCAGTAAGGAAAATGCTGTCTTAGGAAGCAGCTTTGCAGCATTAATGGTAGTATTAGGAAGATTAGTTGTTTCCAACATTTTATTATCCCCTCCTCCTTCCAACTGCAGTCCTTGTCCCCTGTATTTTGCTGCCTCCTTCCAAACATCTTGTGCCAGTTGTGATATGATCACTGATAAAGCATGAGGATAATTCTTGTTCTAGCCTGCAACCCCACTAGGGAATAAGCACCGTAGAACAAAATGGAACTTTCTTTTGAGTTAACATTTATACGATTGTGCTATAAAAGTCCCTTCTTGTTTTCAGGGGATCCTGGGAATTGTAGTTCTATGGAGAAGTAGCATAGGGGATCCTAAATACAGAATTCCTACACCATCGTCCTACAAATCCTAGGTTGTTTTTTTAGGAAAAGCCATGGGAGTTGAAGTGGCATAAAACCAATGGTTATAATTGTAGCTTATATGACCTGTCCTAAAGGGATTATCATTAAATGGCTGATATAGTTCCTCTTTTGGTTTCTGGACCAGTTGGAAGGAAGATTGAGCTGAATCAGCTCAGTACATCTGTGCCTATTTTCTGCTCCTACATTTCTTTGCCTTTTAATAAGATGAAAAAGATTCCTGTAGGAAGTACAAGAGTCTGGCTAATCTGCTGTTCTTTTCTTTTGTAGATAATTCTTGTAAGTTCTTCCCATAATGACCTGGATCAGAGTCTTTTTATTAGCACAGATGAAGGAGCAACTTTTCAAAAGCAGCCTATTAATTTCTTTGTGGAAACCCTGATTTTTCATCCAAAGCAGGAGGATAAAGTGCTTGCCTACACCAGGGAGGGACAGGTAAGAAGGGACAAGCGGTATTTCGACATTTCTGAGATGTTATACCAAAATAAGTTCTAACCACTTTAGAGGAATAGTATTCAGATAAGGTTGACATTATTTAGCAATGGGAAATTATTATTCAGGTCATTCAGTGTAGGCTGTACCCTACACACATCCATATCATACTATTCTTCAACAGTTAGTGTTTCACAGCTGAATAACTGAACAGAGTCCATTGAACAGCATTGGGTTTGAGATGACACCAGCCAGTAACGAAGTGATATTAGGTATATGAAAGTCATGACAATGAATGTACATGTGTGAACCATTCTGTTATGCTATGATTAATTATATGAATCTGAATGTTGCTTCCTTTTTGGTCATGTTTTGTTGATATTTAAACAAATTGAAATGAACTAAGGGATGGCAGCCAGTAATTTGATCACCTGGACAGCTCACTCGCATATTACTTCCAGCCTTGAAAATTCATTTGCTTGTGCTTATTGTACTTTGTAAGAAGGATTAAATAAAAACTGTACTAACATGTTCTGCTTTTATTATATTTTAAGCTTTATGCATCTCTTGACTTGGGGACAAAATGGACACTCCTGCAGGATCATGTGTCAAAAGACCATATATTTTGGTAAGAAACATAATGTTGGTCTCCAGAAATTAGAGTTAAGGCATATCTTTTGTTGGTTTGTTAGTGTGGTTTGATGAAAACTATCCTACTCCAGGGCCGGGGAATCCTTGGCCCTCCATATTATTGGACTCCAGCTCCCATTAGCCCCAGCCAGCATGGTCAGTCTTCAGGAATTCAGGGAACTGGCAGTCCAGCAACTTCTGGAAAGCTAATACAATTGAGTGACCTGTGGTTTCTGTAGACATGGTAGAACAAATAGATACAACTAGTCCTGCTTCTTCAATGGCCCACTCTTCAATGATGTCACCCTCATCCACTGATTTGGTAGCAGCATGTGAGCTCTGATTTAGACAAAGAACTCGCATATTCCAAAGGCTTTCCAATTCGTTGCAACAAAGCAGAAAATTTTGCGCCTGCAGATCTGAGCCCTGTGTCAAAGGTAATTGAGAAACTTCCTCAGCTCCACTAAACACTAGATAATAGATAATATATTTATATTTTATATATTTGATTCCACAATCTGATCCAGTTAATTCAGTATAATTCCTTGAATCACTACTTTTACGTTTTATGTGACAAAACCCAAACAAACTACCATTCTTGTAAGGAGGAGTCATACAGCAAATTAATTGATGAAAAATGAATGTGGGAAGTATAGAACACACAAAAACATATATCAGGACACAGGTCTCCTGGGAAAAATAATATTGTGTGCAAAGTTGGAGGTGACCACTGCTGGCTTTGTAAAAAAAAATAATAAGTGAGACTTCTATCACATGTGCCCTAAGGCAAAAAGCTTTTGGTATATGGCAGAAGTGGGGATGCTCAGGCCCAAGAACCCTCTTGACTTCTCTGTTTGGCCCTCTGTTTGGCCCATGCCCCGTCATGGGCCCTTCTTTCCACCCTGAGTGGTTTTGCCTGGCTGGAACGAACTCCGATGATGCTTCTTGCTTGCCCGGATGTGGGATGGAGAGCAGTGAATTAGTGTGTGTAGAAACTAACTGGTTTCCACTTCTGCCTCAACTGATGATGATGGATTGTTCCAGTCCTCCAGGGCTGAAGAGAGGCTTGGACAAAAAGGAGGAGGGTAATGAGGCCATAAAGCCCCATGAACTTCCTCAGTAGGAATTGGGGAGACTAAGATACCTGCAGGTGCCTGTGGTGCCAGGGTTTGTCCCTGCGGGGGCAGGCAGGGGGAAGTGCTGGGTGAGAGCTTCTCCATTGTCTGCCTCAGTGCGTGGTAGATCTCCTCTTCGAGTTTTGGCTAACTTGAATAAAAGTTTAAAAGGCGCTCTCTGGGCAACATATTGAAGGGATGCCACAAGCAAATCAGCGGCCGGCTCAAAGGATTGGGACTATGAAGGTATTTATTCGAAATTTCAATGACTTGAAAGGACAACTCCTGCTGTTAACTGGAATTAGAGGCAGTGGGCCAGATTTTTTGATGTTTTACTTGGAAATTGCCAAGGCTTTATTTTACTGCCCGCCCCCCACCCCCAAATGAGGATTAAAAAGTGAGGAAAGTGTTTGGAATGTGAAAGCAAAGCAAATAACAATGGCATATAATTTCTCCATTAGAGAAATGGAGGAAAAGAGATCGCCTGAGTTGTGCTAGGTGACTTTGAGACTGGCTGAATTTGCAGTGGATCATCTTCACAAAAGACCGCAGAACAAAATTTGAACTTATGTTGGAAAGACTGGAACTGATCACTATGATCAAGGAATAGCCATGAGGGATTAAAGTAAATAGTAAGTCGGTCTGAAGAAGTGAATATATTGGTGTAGTGGTTCATCTGGAACTGTAAGGGGCAAGAGACAGGTGGTTGGTTTCACTCGTCCAAGCAGCCGGTCCACATCCTTGGAGGCAACAGATTGGAATTGAATTCTACATTTTTAAAGATATATTAAAATATTTGTTGTAGTAGTAAATTGTATTATTTTACCACTTTGGTGTTTGCTGCCCTGGAAGGGTAGGGGTAGGCATTGTAATAATTAAATGATAAAACCAACCGTGATACTCAAAATGTTGAAGTATCAGGAAGCACTGATTGGTTGGAAGCCTGTGGCTACCTACATTAAGTGGCAATAAAGATTTATAGGAATAGAGTTTGATTTCATGATTCTATGAAAATATTAATGATATATATCTGAAAGAAAATTAGGCTGGAAGTCTTCAAATGATTAACTTTTTTGAAATGTAGTCTTTAAAATTACTCCACCTTTGTATTGACTTTGTATGTTCTTTGATGTACAGCTTTCAGTCTTTAATATTATTCAAAACATTGTACATCTGTATAGCTTTCTATTCTGCTTATACCTCATTTGCCTTTGTTCTTCTGTGTTCTTTATAGAGATAAATAATTAAAATAAAAGTAAAGAAAATGCACAGTGTGGAATGCAGGATAGAAATGTCATAAGCAAGCCTATTTAGTAAAAAAAACCCAGAGCCCATAAATTAAACATACTCTGTTGTGAAGATCAAGTTATTTTCTTTCTCTCCAAGTAACTCAAAGTGCCAGAAGACATTAGCCTTTCATGCTAATTAGAGCAGACTGCTTATTCAGTACACTTTTTTTATATATAAAAATAATCCCCAATAGAACAGTATGTAGCAGCAGCAACAACAACATCTATTGAGCTAGTTGTTTTATTGTACTTATGAATAATGCTGTTTTGACTGGATGATCGAGCAGTGGTTTACTTGTCAATCAACACTGCGAATAATAAATCTTGACTCCATTTATGTGTTTGGGTAAGCTCAACGTTAGCTTGGTGCAGAAGGACAAATGGGAGAAAATTCTCTAGGGCCATCTGTGATGTTAGTGAGGGTTTTAGGTTGTTATTCAGAGGATGACATTTATGAAATCTCTTGGATCAGATACATAAGAGTGAATGCCCTGTGGGAGGGGGGTAATTAGAAAATAATAATTACACAGATATGACAGATTCTGTCTGGTTAGAAAACTTAATTTGTGCAGCATGAATTTAGAAGAGTTTACAAGAACTAAATCTGCACAAGAACTGAATTTGCTCACACTGCTAGGATTCAAGTGTTGACTAGAGGCAGGAAAAAGTTGGCCAGAGTCTCTTAAGGGTTGTTTTGGGTATAATACAGCCTTGGTGGCTAAATGTGGGTTTTGGAGGCAACCCAATTATCCAACAAAGCCTGCTGCATGAAATGGGAACAAATGGTCCCACCACAAAAATGGTATTTTAGATTTTTCTTTAACACCCTTAATTTCCTCAAGACTTTAGGGAGGATTGTATGTACATCTATTAATTTGATATGCTTTTGAGTTTGTTTGTTTGTTTGTTTGTTTGTTTGTTTGTTTATTAAAATTAGTTAACTTCCCATTAGAAATACCCACAATGGTATGCAAGAGTGAAAAAATAGGTATACAAAGAAATAAGAAATGAGACAGCCTACGAACACCCAGACAGGAATAACAAAAGCAGAACATCATAACTAAAAGCAGACTCACCATGTTCAAATAAGAACTCAAAAAATTGTAGAATAGAAACAATTGGTTTGTTTCCAGTGCTGCCATTCAGCTCATGCACCAGACTTCTGCTCACCCACCAGTGCTTCCCCCTACTCTTCTTTCCCCCATAACGCCCTCAAAATCTGCTCCAGATGTTTTGCGAGGGAGGGGGAGCAGAGGAGAGAAAGGGCAAGTCCTGTTGTAGAAGTGAAATGCTTCTCATGAAGCACTGGGTGTAACCTGCTGCCTGGCAGGCTTCTCTAGGAAATCTTCCTTGCTGCAGATCTACCCTGACAAAGAGAGCAGAAGCTTTCCAGACAATTCTCCATAAGGTGGACTGAGCCAAGGGCATTAAGAGATTTAGACATCGTATTCAGCACATTGATTTGAATTTTGTAATGGTTACACTTTCTGAAAATAATCAGACATGACTATTAGAAATAATGGTGTGTTGCTTTCAAATTTATTTCCTGCTTTTGTTACTTTGAAAACAAATACAATTACTGACTTCCGGGGTGGCGCCTCCGGAAAATGGCGGAATTCCCTTCGGACTGAAGGGAACCCGCTGCACGGAGGCTTGGGTCCTGCCGCTACGGCGCAGCGGGGACCCGCAAAAACCACAGGCGGAAGACGCCTGTGGACGTGGGACTCGGCGGGCACCGAGAGCGCTCTCTCCCCTTGTACAGGAGCCCGGTAACGGGCTCCGGAGTTGGAGGTGCGTGGTGCTGTGAGTCGTCTGCTTCCTCCGTGCAGCAAAGCCGCACTGCCGTTATCGGAGAGCGCTGCCTTTTTCCTGGACAATTTGGCATCTAAAACATCTATCCGTGAGTACCTGATCTTGGAAGAGCTGAACCACTTTTAAGACTGGTGAATAAATAAATAATATTGGACTTGAAATTGAACTTAATTGGGACTCGGAATGGGAAGGTCTAAACAGGAAGTCGCCTTCCGTTCTTTTGTTATGTGAAGAAAGCAAAGACAAAATATACTAAAGCCTGAAAATTAAATTTTAAGAGAACTAGAATTCAACATCTAAGATTCTGAACCCCCCCTTTGACAGCAGGAGAAAAAGGGGTTGTATTTGGACTTTTCAATCCTGCGGAAGTGAGTTTAAAATAAAGCAATTTTCCACCGCCCTGAACCAGGAGCGGGCTGTCAGAATTGACGTTCTGAAGTTTATCCAGCTCGACAGTTAGTTAAAAGAAGGGTAACATTTTGATTCTACTGTTGCCTCTTGAATTTGGAAGGGGGAATTTTGGATAAAGTGTTTCTGGAAAAAGAAAGATTGTTGCTGTTGCTTTTATTTCTTTTTAAAAAAAAAAATTCCATCTAGTGGAATTTAGTGAAATTGCAACGCAGAGAGATTAAAAGAGAAGGACTATTGGACTATTCTCGTGGGAAAGAATTTTCTTTGACCTTGAAGGACAATGCTAGTACAAAGGCTGGAACAATTGTTCCTGGAAGGCTTTTCAAAACTAAGTGCCCAGCTGGACCAGATGCGTCAGGAGACGACCTTGAGGATGGAAGTTACCAGAGCACAGCAGCAAACAAATGAAATTCAGTTAAAGGCTATACAAGCATACGAACCTGCTGTAGTGACGGAGGCTTCAGAGATGGAGGGACCTTTGGACGGGCAAGATCAGCCTTTGAACTTGATAAATGAACTTGGGACAAACCAGATTCGGAAAGATGAAATGTGGTTAGATTTGGAAATGGGGGGATGGATCGACCCCCCCTCCATATGGTTATTTGGACCTTCCGAGTCTGGTGATGGGCTATCAGAGGATTGGAGTAGCCGAAGTCTCCAAGCTTTGTGGAAATTTGAAGTGGTATTATTTGCTGTCTGGCTTGGGCAATGGGTTTGGGATGGACTTGTTGCAAAGGGTCAAAAGCATTTTCTTGCTGGAGCATCCACGAATGGAAAGGAATCATCAACAAGAGTGGCGAAAGGGGCAAGAAAGAGACTTGAGGGCCTCGGATACGAGACAACCAGGTTAAGAGCCGGATTACCGAGGTTAAAAGGACTGACAATCCCGGGTCCAGGGGAGGGAGGTTGGAAGCTGACTGGACTAAATTTGACTTATTATTTTTTCTTTTTACTTTTTAATATTGGGAATGCTTACAAATGTTTGAAGGATGTTGAATGAAATTACATGACTTAAGTAAGGATTGGTAAATGATTCGTAAAAAAGGTAATGATGCAAGAATTTGGTAAATATTGAATATAAGCTATGAGTTTTAAAGTTTTTATATGACAAGAGGGAAAATAGAATAAGGAAACGTAATGACAGATTGTTATGAAAAAACAGAAAGGATTTGCTGTAAAAATTAAAAATTAAGAAACAAAAGAGGGGAGGAGGAGGAAGTCTAGAAAGGAAGTCAATAGAGATTGTAAAGGACTTTATATTTTTGTTTTTCTGTTTCTTTTTTTTTTCTTTGCGGCTGGGTTTTCTTTTCTTTTTTGTTTAAGCACTAATTTTGTTTTTTGTATCCTTAAATCTTTTTTTTTTTTTTTTGGAAATTTTTGTTGTTATTCTTTGAAAATTCAATAAATATTAATTATAAAAAAAAAAAAATGAAAACAAATACAATTACTTTTTAGAAAAGGAAGGATTATGTAGAAAGGAAAGAATAAGTGTCATGAAGAGAAGGCCACACAGAGGCTGCAGCAACAAGCTTTATTTCAGAGCCTATTTCTTTTCCGCTGTGGTTCAGCTTCCACTAACACCTACGTTGTTTGTCTTGCTATCTGCTATGATTGAAACCAACAGTTAATTATGTCATAGTGAAGGGATGGGGCTTGGCTGCCCTGAACTGCCTGTGTATTATATGGGAATGCATATTTTTGCTTGTGTGCACTATGGGAATGTATGTGTTGCTTGCATGTAACCTACAGTGGAGTTTTAGGGATACTCTGGACTCCTATTTTTGTGTTTTTTACCTTTTACATTTTTTGAGATATTATACAAAAATCAGGAGGCAGAAAAATTATGTTTTGCTTGATGTTGTGAGAAGTTGCATATAAATCCTTCTGTTTACCTGCTGCCCTGAGCTCCTTGGGGAGGAAGGGCAGGGCATAAATATAAGTAAGTAAGTAAGTAAGTAAGTAAGTACCCAAGGTCTATAGCTGTCCTGAGATAAGTTTTGGTTTCATTATGCTCCCAGGGCAGTTGATGGAGTTGATGAAGACCCTAATTTGGTTCACATGGAAGTCCAAGATCCCAGAGGAGGTAGGCATTGGGGAGGTGATCCCCATTTCCTGCTTTGTTTTATTTAGAAACACACTTTTCATATATCATAAATTTGTTTTACTTATATGTATTCAGCAGGACTATTTTATCTCTGTTGCCTTGCTACTGCAATGGCTGGATGACCTGTCATTGTCATTGTGAACCTGCGTTGATGGTTGCGGCTTTTCAGATGAGATAAGTCAAATCCTTGGCTGCAGATATACTAGCTCACATGGCAAATATATATAGTGTGAGGCACAGAGTTTACAGTGCAGGCCTTCTTTGTACACAACTACAGGTGAGGATACGCAAATGAAAATTAGGCTGATGGAGGTTTCAACCAAGCAGTCCAGCCCAGCAAAGATGAGCTCCATTAAGTATACTAACGTTGCCAGCCACCCAAGAAGTGTGCAAGACCTCTTTGTTAGGAATGTTTCTACATTACTGTAATGTAGAACTATAGGATGAATTTGAAGTTCTTTTTGAGTTAAAGTCAAGCCACCATACCCTGCTTCATTGAAAAGGCTATAAAGATGGCGATCTGGTCTTGCTTTTAATAATGAACATGTAATCCTAATTTTGAGTGAATGCTGAGCTAAGGTCAAGTTCATGTGCTGAAATAATATGTGGATAGTGTCCTTCTTGGGCTATTTGGAGACCTGAGAAAGAGTTGCTTCCTTCTACCAGTGCTTAGAACAACGAGTTCAAGCAGAATATGCTTCAGGAGCTGACTGTCCCCTCCCCATTGCTCCAAGAAAGGAAGAGTGGCCTTCCACTGCTGCTACTCAGTACCAACCACCTCCAGAAGATGTAGGCCATACTACACATAATGCTAATCCAGGCTCAATACTACAACTGGGGAGGTAATTTTAACCTTTCTGGAGCTGCTGTGATCAGCAAAAATCCCCTGGCCACCAGGCTGCTATTTGCATTGTGAGGGAAGTCTTCATTGGTGGGAGATTCCCACCCTATGCAAATGGCAGCCACGGGTGTGTGTGGTTTCTCTAGTCTGCACAGCAGGGAAAGGGTTTACGTCTACTGACCCTTTTAGTCCTGAGGACACACCACAGCTTCTACTTGCATTTGTAAAAAAGATCCACCCAGCCTAAAGTTATGTGATTCAGTGTCATGGGTAGTTTGCCTCACAACTGGCAAACTGCTTTAAAAGGAGAAAAGCAGCTGTCAAAGAAGTCAGGCAGCAAAGCAGTTCTAAGGGGCTCCCATCCATCCCCCAGAATCCCTGACTTCTGAAGGAGGATCCCCACCCACATTTATATATCACTAGCTTCTGGGTGATAGATTTGTTGGGCAAACCTTTTGTGGCATGTGCATTTTCACAACAGGTCAAACTGCTTCAGGAAAAGAATGTTAGCAGTTTAAAATAGCGCATCTGTTATTTATTTGCATGGTGCCTGAATGTTTCCTGCCCTCTCTAGGCTTTCGCTACATGGCCTGTCAAATTCAGAACTGTTCAGATAAAACACCGAGACCTCTCTTCATTGATAGCATTGACAAAAACTCATTGACAGTGCAGGATGACTACATATTCCTTCAGGTAATGCCACTCATGGAAGGTAAGTTACAAAAGTTTTAATGCAACCCTTAGCATATTTGCTCCCACAGTGTGGGGCTTGCTGGCCACATAACCCATTATGTTTCTTTGAAGATCTATGACAGGCAAAAGTGCTAATACATCAACATGCAGCTTCTTTTGCCCCTTTTATAAGGTCTTCAGTCAAGGGGTCACTTGCAGTTGATGAGAGGTCCCTGCATTGCCTGTTGCACCGCCCTCCAAAATAAGGCTTTTTCGGGTTAGGGACAAGGTAACAAAGGGTGGAAGACATGGGGGGACGGGACACACACGAGAGTAGCAATTTGAGTCAGGCCAAGCTAGGATGGGGTTTGAACCAAGTTGACCTGGTGTCAGGGTTGGTTCAGATGCAGGTCAGCGCTCAAGATGCAGAAGCAGAAGTGTTAGCTCTGTATTCAAGAAAACAGCATACCAGGCAGCAATGCCCACAAACAAGATTGGCCCCCATGAAACAGTTGCCAGGACTGTTGCCTTCTACTTCTTACTAAGTCTCCCCATCAGCTCTCCCAAGCAGCCTTAACCTATGTCGGGGAGGGGCCACCTGTGCTCGTTGTTATGCAAACGCAAAGCTCTCCTTGACCTTAGAGATGGGGGGGACGGGAGCTTACTACAGCAGGAAAGACAAGCTCTGTGGATGCAACTGCAGCCTCTGGCCCCTCCTCCTCTGCTCCGTGTCCTGAGTCTGCATTGCTTTCTTTGCTCTCACTCAAGCCTGTTGCTTCTGCAGCCTCCAACCCTTCTGCTCCGCTTCATCCTCTGACTTGTCCACCCTCTGGGCTCTAAGCCTTCCTTCTCAGAGCCCCAGTGGGCCTCCCTAGTGGACTCCCCAGCTGGTGCCTCCCACCACGCCTCTTCATCCAGCTAGTCCCTGATATTTGAGGCCTCCTTCAAGTGGAGCAATTCACATTTCAAGTCCCCACTTTTGAAAAGTCACTGCCTCTCTACTCAGCAGGTCAAATTTCATATGGAAAGGAGAATTTGTCTTCAGAGTGAGAGTCTCTTTTGAGGCCACCAAGTGAATTCATGGTGGAAGCAAGATTTGAACTGAGAGCTTCTTGATTTGTACCTCTACACTATACCAGCATTATGTTGAGATGCTATATAGTGACATTGAAATTTCTAGTTTTAATCATCAGTAATGAGCTTTGTTTCTTTAATAGTTAGAAACTGATGATACCCACTATAAAACGGTACCAACCTTTTCTCTTTCACAGACATCATCAGTAAATCAAACAAACTATTATGTGTCTCACCTTCGGAATGAATTTGTACAGATGAAATTGCCAAAGTATGCATTACCTAAGGTAATTATCCACAAAATTCCTGTCCCTTTTCTTAGCCCAAAGTAGACTTGTTCTGTGCTTTGCTAGGTTTTCCCACTAATTATTCTGTACAAATGTTTAAATACAAGTAGCTAGCTTCCTGGTTGCATGCGTTCGGCACATGTGCGATCATTGACATGTGCTTTGTTTTCATCTCTGGAAGGGGGCAGAATGGGGCAGGGCGGGCTTGTACACACACCCTTCTAAAAAATGTCCATTTTAGAGCCAGTTACCTGTCAAATCTCTGGCCAGCCTCATTAAGATTCTCTTTTACTGAGCTGCCTGGATGGACGATACAACAGAGTGAAGACACTCTGTATATGTGGACGACCACAGGTGGAGGACATCTCACACTATTTACTATACTGCCCACTATACACTGGACCCCGGAGGCAATTTCTCACCCTACCACCCGTACAGGAAAGATGTATCTCCCCAGCAGAGAAGATCCTATGACTTCTTAGCAATGTAAACATTTCAATGACTCACAAAGTAGCCCTTTTTGCTCTGGTGGCCAAAAAGATCAGACAGACGACCCTGGACAAAATAGCATTGAACTGTAAGGGAAATACAGAGATCTAAATAGACACTATTATTTGTGGTACAGCATCCCTTTACATATATTTATTTTTTATTCAGATTTGTCATGGCCAATGGCTAGTACAAAAGTTATTTACTTACACACCCTATCGAAGCACTCAGTGTGTCAGAACACAACCACCACGCAAACAGGGAGTTGCTTGTAGTTTACTTGCTCCAAACTGGTAGTTGTTCCACTTCGCCCACAGCCCAACCCTGAAATACCCTTATATGAAATTGTGGGAAGTGTATCCCCACATTCTCCCTGTGTGTAATAGTCCCCTCAGAGTTTGAGATCTAGATATCTGGAGGATCACCTACTTCAGTATCAACATGTTGTCCATGCTTTGGGATCTTCTTTGGAAGCCCTTCTCCATGGGCCCCCACTTCCTGAGATGAAGTGGATATAATCTGCAAAGAGGGCCTCCTCAGGTTGCTGCCAGATAGCCTGTTTATCAAACATTCACCTTGCAGGGACATTTGACAACATTGACTATGCATTGAGCATCCATTATTATTTGTATGTGGATGTGTTAGACAATGTTGTGTCAAGCGAGAGTGAGTGATGTTGATACCTGATAGGTTCCAGAGAGGATGCACTGAACTCAGGAACCTATCATGATCAACAGTGACCATGGGCTTAGCTAAGTGTGCCTTTCTCAGTCCTCAGAATTAGATATCATCAACCATGGCTACAAATTCCGTCTCAGTCCCATACACAAGTTTAGACCTCAGACTGGGCATCTGATGTGTGTGGCAACCATCTATTCTACCACTTCAACCCAAAAGAAGTAGATAAAGGACAGGAAGTTGTTGTTTGGAGCATAATTTCTTGGTGCTTGTTTCCTGATGAGAGGGGGTTACTACAGTTTAGTACTACAGCCTTTCAGAGTATTCACTGCCTATGTTAACTGGTACAAGATCAAACTTCTCATTTATCAACTTGGATTGCCAGGGGCCCAACCTACTTCTGATTCCCTGCAGCTTCACAAGCACTTCTGCAGCATTGATTGATGCATATGATCTTTCTGACAAGTCATACCCCCATTCAGTATCCAACATGGGTAACCTGCTGTATAATCACACAAGCAATCCCAGCTCCCCCTTTGCAGAGGCTGTCATTTCCGTTCTCCTCAGTCCATGTATCTTCCTCAGAGATGTTGTATCTTGTAATCATATGGAAACAACAGAGTCTTATCTATTTTGTATAGCAGATAATGTGCTAGCAGATAAAGCTACATATTCTTTACCCTTCAGTTTTTCTGTTCCAAATAATACATGTGAGATTGGTCTGTGGGGTGAGAATTATAATAGGTTTTTTCTGGCATCTGGCAAGCGTGAGTTGGTTGTAAATGCTGTCCTGTCTGGTATACATTTTATTTTGTATTGATCTTTTCCCTTTCAGGATTTACAAATTATCAGCACTGACGAGAGCCACGTGTTTGTGGCTATCCAGGAATGGTATCAGACAGATACTTACAACCTTTACCAGTCTGACCCACAGGGCGTCTCCTATTCCATTGTGCTAGAGAATGTCAGGAGCACCAAGCAGCCTGAGGAGAATGTGCTAATAGATATTCTGGAGGTAAAATGCTCTTCATTTATTAGGCCCTCGTTTTGCTGACTCTTCTTGATCCTTGATCCTTTCTGCTCCTTTGACTACTTTTGAATCAGAACGATTGTTCCTCTTTTTGCCATAGTGGAATAGTCATGTTAGTATAAATACACCTGACTCCTTTTGTGAGGGTGCTGGTTGAACTTGTTGTTCCTGACCGTGTGTGTGTGTGTGTGTGTGTGTGTGAGAGAGAGAGAGAGAGAGAGAGAGCCTTTGGGGGTTTGTGGAGCTCCTCCAACCTGCAGAGGGAGGATTATTCAGTGTGTAGGCTCTATTTACATTGGCCTCACACACGGAGTGCCAGACCTGTTAGTGTCTTTCCGCATGATATTTCTAGACACCTGAAATCTTATATGTCTGTAACCCAAAGAATCTTAATTACTTAAAAAATTGGGCATTTTTACTATCTCCCCTTTCAAAATAAGGGACATGACAAATGCCCCCAAATAGATAAGGGGCCTCCAGGAGGTCAGAATTTGGTATACAACTAGTCTACTATTGATTACTAGAACTACATATTTCTGAGCTGCATATTTGACTCTCTCAGAATAAGAGAAAATAATTGCCTCCCAAAGTATTGAAGGTATTTGCACATTATTTAAACAGCTAAAATTTAGTGCCCAATATATCCTGATCACTGCTTAAGCCATAGACAGAAGACGGATCTCTAGACCTATCCTTTGTCCCTAGGCTTAGTGGAATATTCAGTCTTACGCATGTGAAATACTTATTCTGCATCTAGTATAGTTACCACATGCCCAGATTGGTCCTTGGATTGGAGGGCATGATCATGGATTTCACATTATTTAATCTAAAGAACTTTCAGTGATATAAAAATAAATGGTTATGTAGATAAGCAACTGGCATACTTACTTTTTTGTTATTCAGTAGCAAAAACTGCCATTAAATATATGTTAGAGAAGGCTGTGAATACTGCTTATTAACCTTCCTACATTTTGTGTTTGTAATGTAGATTAGGGGAGTCAAAGGAGTGTTTTTGGCTAATCAAAAAATAGATGGAAAAGTTACCACTCTTATAACATTCAACAAAGGCCGTAACTGGGACTATCTTACACCTCCAGCTGTTGATATGAATGGTAAACCAGTTGACTGCAAACCGGTAAGCATCTCCACCCCTAATTTGTAATGGCAAAAATAGTTACAATATATTACAGGTGCTGGGTTTTTCCCCCACCCTAAAATGTTTGTTCAGATTTTCAGGAATTAATCTAAACATTCAGCATAACAATCCATTTTTCCTAGTACCTTTTCAAGCTCCAGATGAAGAATTTCACAGTTTAATGTTCCTCCATGAGACAATTCCTGCTAGCAGTCAGTGAGAAGGCCAGCCTTGAACTCTTCTCCTGGACGTGCAACTTTCCTAGGCACAGATACATTCCTCAGCCCCCAGGGATGCCGTCTGAAAGGGACCCAGTACAGCAGGAGCTGCACCTTGTGGTTCCGCTGGATGTTCAGATGGATTCTCCTGCTCTGGAATTTACCTGGATTTGGAACAAGTTTTGATTGATCAAATATACAAATCTGATTAGAATGAGTGAGAAAATAATAATCAATATCTTTCAAAAAAAACAGTATTTGTTCTTGCATAGTATGACCAGGAAATTTGAATATGAAATTTGGATGTGTCTTTCTTCTATAATCTCAGCGTCCCTTGAGTGGGGTTTTTGCAGTTTTTCTTCTTCTATTGCTGTTTCATAGAATTGATGTAAATAAATAAAATAAAAAACTGGATCCATGCTGTAAAATAAAGGAGCAAAAGTTTAAGCTCAACAATCCCATTAATTTTGTTTAAACGGCCAGTCACATACAAATTTTCAGGTCCATTGAGAGCTGTGTTAAAATATTATATTAACTAAGATTTCTGAAAAGTAGCAGTCTCTAATAAAAGAAATCAAGATTCATGTGTTCTGCATCAGTAATAATAATAATAATAATAATAATAATAATAATAAATTTATTATCTATACCCCTCCCATCTGGCTGGGTTTCCCAGCCACTCTGGGCAGCTCACCATTAGTATTTGCCATTAGGCCAGACTAATTACTACTATTCACTACTTACATTTGGGCCATATGGGATTGAATTGTTTCTACTTCACTAATTTTCATTTAAAACAAAACAAAACTCCAAAGGTCATGATTTGGCATTTGGGACAAAAGGCGGAACTTGATCACTAAACAGGAGGAAGTGGGGGCTTTCGTGACATGGGCTTCAACACCAGCCTCTCTTGTATAGGAAATGTATTGTAATGATTTTAGAATCATAGGTTCATAGAATTGCAGAGTTGGAAGGGACCTAAGGGTCATCTAGTCGACCCCACTGCAATACAGGAATATCAGCTAAAGCATCCATGACAGATAGCTATCCAACCTCTTGACAGTAGTCCATCCAACTTTCCTCCATCCTTTCATCTTCCTTACAATTCAGAGTAAAGGCTTCATAATGCATGTAAATATATGTAATTAATTTGCCATCATTCTTTCTCAGCCTTGCCCCTCTGCCTGGAACATGGGAATAATAATACTCATATGGTGGTGATGGTAATTGTAAAGGATAACAGCTCTGAAGCTGCTACACATTTCCCCTTTTGTATCTTAGCCCTATTAGGGCATCATGGTGATCTGGAAATTCCACATGTGAATATTGTTCGTGAGGACAAGCACGCTATCTGTGACCCCACCTGGTCCCCCTCCATTAGTTGAAGAGCGACTGTCTGAAGCAGGGAACCTCCTGTATTTTTGTAGGTTCCCTATGCAATTTGAAATCAGGTTTCCCCTATTACTTGAAGAGCCTACATGAGTAATGTAGCATGGGGAGCATCTGTGAGCACAGGAGTCTCCCCATTTCAGACCATTCATTCATTAATTCATTCATTTACATTTATATCCCACTCAAGGTAACATACATGGCTCTACCCCTCCTTGTTTAATCCCCACAATAATAACTCTGGGAGGCAGGTTAGGCTGACTGGCCAAAAGTCACCCATTGAGCTTCATGGACAAGTGAGGATTCAAACCCTGGTCTCTCCCAGGTCATAGTCTGACATTCTAACCACAATGCCACACTGGCTCTCCAGTTCATGGAGGTTGATGAGGACGGGGGCGAAGGGCAGAGCTAGTGTGTTTGATCCCACAGGTCCTCTCCTCGCTTATATCACAGAAGGCACGAGGAGGACTTTTTTTGCTTTGTTTCCCACACTTTCCCCCCTATATGAGGATTGATTACTGTGTTTTTCTAAACTGTTATGCATTAAGGGATTGTGTGTGTTTTGTGCTGAAGAGATGTCATGGAATACTCATAAGTATTTTATCTATGGAGTCAGCTGTAGAATGTTTCTATCAGTCTGAGTTGATGCAAAACACCGGGTTGTTTGAAAAACAGGTTCACACAGACCTTAGAGCAGGGTTGGAGAACCTGAACTACAGCTGCTATCGTGCCTGATCTTATGGGGCTGTTAGGGCAGCCTCCCCTTCTGTTTTTCCTTTCGGATTTTTTGTACTTGTGTGTACCTTGGGATTATCTTAAATCTGCCACTCTTGGTGCAATTTAGCTACATAAATATAAGCACAGGAATTATTAGTACAGTCGTACCTCTGCTTACGTATCCCTCTGGATATGTAAACTTTGGGTTGCGAAAACGGCAAACCCAGAAGTGTATACTTCCGGGTTTTGCCGCATGCGCAGAAGCACGCCTCCGGTTACAGACTTTTCAGGATACGGCCAGGCCTCCAGAACGGATCCTGTCCGTAACCAGAGGTACCACTGTATATAGATAGAGTTATAATGTTGCAACACTATAGTGCAATATCATTATAACTTAATATTATAGCACTATAATTTTTAAAAACAATTAGAATGATAGGATTATAGTGCTATAACACTCTTTCACTTTAAGTAACAAGTATAGCTAGAGAAGCATTCTAGCTCTGATTAAAATATTGATTAAGGTAGGCAAATAAAGGGACAATAAAATGCCTGTCACTGCATATATTATAATGAAGGTGTGCTGAACTGTGATGTGTTCATCTGCCCCAAACCTCACTGCCTATTTCAAATCTCATGCTTTAAAAAAAAAAAGAGAGAGAGTGTAGTCCTAAGGGCATGTACGTCAATGAGAATTGCACTGTTCTTCCATTCTTCAAAAAAAAGGTGGACTTTCTATGGTCTGAGAAAAGGCAGAAGAAAGGAACAGAATTGGCACAGGAAAAATACTGGGTGCCAATGATTGGATAACACTGTTGTGTGGATGTCCCATAAAAAGTGAGTGACTGAAGCATGGCAATTCCAAAGTTAATGTCTAGTGTGGAAGCACCCAAGAACAGGGGTAGCTGTGTGGAAGACATAGAAGAGGAAAACCCGATGAGGTTTCTAACCAGGAGAAAGAGAAACTTGGAGTTAGGGAACCGAGATGGGACTGTTGGAGGACAAGGGGAGAGAGTAGTGAAGTAAAAGCAAGAATCAGAAGGTAAGGAAGGAAGGAAGAGAGGGCAAAAGCGTTGGGGGGGGGGGAAAGAGGCAGGTTGCTGAGGAGAAATGGGGCCAAAGGTAAGAGCAGGAGGGAAATTTATCCTGTCCTTAGGGCAGTTGCCATTGACAGTAGAGGTGGTGGGGTGGGTGGGTGTCTAAATGCTGAACAGGCAGGGAGCGTGAGTCATGCTAAAATGCTTAAGGACCTTAGAACACACAGAGGCAATGCATAGGAAGAAGTAGGAACTTGTGGAAATGGAGGGTAGGGGCAGCATAGGAGTGAAGAAAGAGTGGCAAAAGAGGAAGTTGTTTGAAACTCAGCCTCAAGAGAGCCCAGGTCGAGGAGAGGCTGTGAGCGGCTGTTTTGTGGGTTAGGGAGCCAAAAGGGGGTGAAGTACCCTAAAGCAGCTTCTGACCCCCCCAACCTAATTTGCACGTTCTGAAACAATCCATTGAAATGCAGTCATCCTTTGAAATTCACGCTTTTGCAATTGATATTTTGCAATGCCATTCTCCAACCAAGTGATGTGTATAATAATAATAATAATAATAATAATAATAATTTATTTAAACCCTGCCCATCTGGCTGAGTTTCCCCCAATCGAGTGTTAAAAACAATACACCATTTAAAATGTATTTACTGGGGGTAAAGTGTGCATATAAATGCATATATTAGTGAAAATAGTGTATGCACTGTTTTGGGGGGAAATTGCATACAGATATGTATCTGTTAGAAGAGATTCTCTGATGAATTTTAATGAGAACCTTTTTTTAAAAAGAGTTGTGAAAATCACAGACTGCTGCAGAAATGTGGAGAACTGAACTTAATGTTGGGAAAATGTGAAACTGAGAAAAAATGAGTTTGACAGATCATATCTGGGCTCATCCACAATTCCTTTTGACCAATTGCTTTCCCCCTGGGAAAACCAATCTTTAGCTCTCAGCTGGAACAAACTACAAGTTTTCTCCGGATTGATGTTTGCTCCGATTTAGAGTGGGTTTCCCTTGGGAAAGGAGCAAGGCAAGGGGAAAGCTGCTGGGACCCAAACTTTCTAGACACAGGACAATCGGAAGTGTAGCTGACCCCTCTCTTAATACATTTGTGAAGTCCCAGATCTAAGCTTGAAGAGACTCCAGTGAATGACCGAGAGGTGATTCTTTGGACAGTGATTCTTTGTTGAAAAAAATGCAGAAAGTATTTTTTTTGTCAGATCCTCTAATCATCAACTGTGGATCTGTGGAAATGTAATGTTTCTATTACAGATTTTGATTATTATTGCTTTTTATTTCCATTGATGCACCCTTAGGGTGAAGAGCAGGATAGAAATATCAATGATAAATAAATTGTGAATAAGAATAAGCATAGTTTACAACTGATGACCACACATTATCATCTTTGGAAAAATGTGATTGGTTAACCCTTGCATTTTATTTTTATTTTTTTGGAAGCAGAAGGGTGTGAGTAACAGGGATATTACTTTTGATTTTGCAATGAATCTTCTTTATTTACTTGTAATAATCACAATCACTTCCAAGCCTGGAGGAAGAAATTAGATACAGTAGAAAACCACGGGGTTGTCTGATATATATATGGGAGATATGTCTTATTCCAGTGCAGAAAGAAGTATAAATGGAATTACCCTGAACTAGGAGAATTCTCTTTAAAATATATTTCTCAAAGTGACTATGGTGACTATGTAAAACATCCCTGTGACAACACATTTTTGCTGGTTAGTTAGTTGATTGTGTCTTGATGTTTTTTCCTGCTACAATTTCAATCTGATTAAGCAAAGGATGGGTGACTTTTTCAAAGACCACCAAAATCTAACAGTGCTAATGCTCTTAGAGATACAATAGGGTAATATCTCAGTACAGGGTCTGCTTCACTGTGCTGTTGGCATTAATGCACATTACATCAGCACAGGAGCAGTAGTCAAAGCAGAAATAGTAGCTGTACTAATAGTGTGTCTTCATGAAATAATTACCCTTGTCTCTCCAGAGAGAGCTGTCATTACATACCATTTACCCATAGTGTGTGGCTGTTTCAAAAATTAGAGGCATTCCTGCCATTCTGCTAAAAACAAAGACTTTTCTTTGTTATCTTTATAGCCTGATTGCCACCTTCACCTCCATCTCCGCTGGCCAGACAATCCATATGTGTCAGGAATGGTTCATACCAAGGATACAGCACCAGGACTCATAATGGGGGCAGGTAAAAAAAGAGAGTGCACTTTGTGTTTGGTGTTCATTGATCAAAAAGTTACATAATATTATATGACATTTAACCAATTCTCCATTGCATATTATCTGTCCATATAAAGCAGTTAACTTACTTCATGTGTGCCTGATTATTTTCATTGTGCTTGAAGAATAAAGCAGCTCAGAAATGACCAAGGATGGGGCTCTCTCCTCTGTCTTGCTTTTACCTTGCTGTACCTGTTGATGCCATCACCACAGACGCCACACCCTAGGTGGAGAGGAAAATGCAGTGTATCTCATTCTTTTTATTCCTGACAAGGGAAAGAAGAGGCAGTGGCAGCAACAAGCACTTGGTAGGAGGAAGGTGGGAGCCACTGGGTGCTGTGTGGATTATTGTGCTCCCCTCTTTCTCCAGGCAAGTTGAGCACCAAGCGCACTGCACCCAGGAGGAGAGAGAGAGCCCAGGGGAAAGCCACATGACACTGTGCAGTTCACAGACCCACAGCCCTTGCACTCTTGCCCTGAGTGCAGAACATCCAGTGGGAGCAAGAGAAACAATCCCATGAGCAGAAGGGGAGATGGGACAGTGGGGTGAAAGCAGGGGTGGGAGGCAGAAGCTGGGGGTGAAGGACTGAATCTGTCTGTTCCTCCTCTTCACTACTGTAGTTCACGTATGAAATAACTGAAGTTTGAAGACAGACCGAGATATTGTGGAACATCATTAACCAAGTGCATGCAAATGCTTTTTGCCATGATAAATTTATCCATGATAAATTTCTGCTGCCCTAGCTTGGTGTAAGGCGATTCAGCTCCATCTGAACAAACAACCTGGCTCTTTCCCTTAGTGCTCCATGCCTGGAGTAACTGATTGCAGACACTTTCCCAAGGCCCTGCCACTGTAGTGTTGCTTGCAGGCGGTGAACCAAAAGCGCCATTGATACAACATCAGAATTATCAGAGCCACTGGGGAAAAATATTTGCCTATTCAGTGCACTACCTTTTTCTTGCCCTCTCTCTCAGTTGACTTCATTTCCCTTCAGTGATAGCACATTGCCAAATATTATTGGCTATGTTCTGTAGTGTAGTCATGTCAACCTGGTCCTGCTTAGCTTGGATCACACGTGTGACTAAACCAGGAAAGAGACTGTAGCAACCACCTGGAGAAAAACAGGGAACACCAGCAACGCCAAACAGGATTAAAAATTATATTCCCACGATGGAAGTTTTTTTCACATAATTTTTCCAATCCTCCCTCTCAGTCAAAAAATTTAAATGAATGAATATTGAATGCAAATCTGTTCATTATTAATTACTTTGAAAGTGACTGAAGCTGCACTGTATGAATTAAAAGGAAAAGGAAAAAAGAAACAAGTTAGCCTACAATTTAAAAACAAGACACAAAAGGCAAAGCCCTTTTGAGGTCACAGGGAACCCTGGACTTATCTACACTTCCTCTTCTCCTGCTGCTTTCCCCTAGGGAAAACCACTCTTTAGTGTTCAGTTGGAGCAAACAGCACTTCAGGTTTTCCCTGGATTGCCATTTGTTCAGATCTTTTGCTAAAGAGCAGGTATTCCTTTGGAAAGGAGCAGGGCAAGGGGAAAACCACTGGGACCCTTGCTTTCTAGGCACGGGTCAAACAGAAGTGTGGATGAGCTCTTTCCCTGATGATGATGATGATGATAATGATAATAATGATAATGATAATGATAATTCTATTTTTTATTATATACCACCCATCTGACTGGGTTCCCCCAGCCTCTCTGAGCACTGCTTTCATATGTCTTCTAAAAGTCAGGTAGTTCTTTTCCTTGACATCTGATAGGCGGGTGTTCCACAGAGCATCACATATGCAGAATGAGTATAATCACTTTATACAGCAGGTGAGAGTAATAATCTTTTTGAATGCTCCCTGGACCCAAATTAATTACTTTTCTTTTAAGTAGGTGTATCAAAAGCTAGCATATCAGAAGGCATAGCCCTCTCTTTAATATGCCTGAGTTTCTTCTATGGGAGCATTCAAAGTAGTCTGGAGCAGTATAGTGCCGAATTCTAGCACCTCATTCTCTCCTCAGATTTTGCACAAAATAATTCTTAGAACCAGTTGAGGCCTTACTTCCGTGTGCAGGGAGATTGGGAACAGACCTTTGGCTCAAGCCCTGCCTCATCTGACCTCATGGCACATAGAAGGGAGGTCCTGCAACTGGAGAATCTTGCATGCATTTGTACCCTGGATCTTTCTTTACTTTGCTTCTTGGACTGGCTTTCAGTGCTTTTTTATGTTCCTGGTCTTACAAAACTTAGAGGCATGTGCGTGATCAAGGCCAGAACACAATAAGTGTAGGACCACTGTCGACGTGTAGGATGAAGATGCAAGCTCAGCGACTGATCAGAAAACATCAACTTTTGTGTTGATGCTTGTAGTAAATTGTGCAGCCCAGCAAGAGACAACTAGTGGCTTCCTGTTAGTCATATGTATTGTTTTATACCAGTTCGAGGAGCAAACTAGAATTTAAAATGTAGTTCTTACTACTGAAGTGAAATGGGGTGTCTCTCATATCTGGAAAGTTACTTTTGAAGGCGTCGAGAGAGAGGCAGCCGCCTATATACACACTGCAAAAAGCCTTCTGTTCTCTGGTAGTCAGAAGAGACAGCCAGAGGCTGTGCAATTAAAGTTCTGGGTTTGACCAATAGGAAGTCACTTTGGAGGAGACAGTCAACATAGGCATCAAGACAGAAGATGAAACAGCAAAAATATATTGAATTGTATCTCTGAAAGTGGATTTTTACGAGCACCGAAAGAAAGTAAACCCCTGTGGAATGAAGTGCTTCGTTTTTGAAGTGTGATACCAGCGACACACACTAGTGAGGGGAAAGAATGGCAGAAAACTAAACTGGCCGCATAGGGATCTTCAGAATTATATGAAAACTTACTGTTTGTTTGTAAAGACTTACTGTCTATAGAATAAATTTCAAGGAAGTAGACACTGATGTAGCACGAGCTTGCCAGAACAGAATTGGAAAGTAAAGGCAGAGGATGGCTTGTTAGAAACAGGCGGAAGCCAACGTGATACAGTGGGACCATTGCTCAGCTTAGAAGAAGAGACTCGGGGCAAGCCTGAATTACTGAGACTGCTCAACTTCTGACTTCACAAAGAAGGAAAGTTGCGACATGATATTTAGCCATGTTGATCCAAACAATGATGAGGCCAACCAAAAGCATGCTCATGGATACATTGTTAATCCCAAATTAATTCAGATGAGCAGGACCTAGTAAGTGTCCAGGCCAGGTGAGCTTTCCCAGTTTCTTTGCTGTCATAGCAGAACTCCTGGGAAACCAGTTTCCTCCTAGAAGACTGGAGAAAAACTAATTTTGTCCTTGATCTTAATTAGGCTGGGCATTCTTTTTCAGAATGAATTAACAATTAAATCAAATGGGATTCATTCAGTTCAATTTTAATTCGTTCAAAAAGAACACACAGAGTATCAAAAGAATGTGAATGAAAATGGTTCTTGTTACTCACATTTGTATCTATTTGCTCTAAATTGGTACCATTCAGAGTTGGGGGCTTACCTTCAGGAGTGGCAATGGTGGCAGTGAGCTAACCTCAGAGACCCATCCTAATAGCTGCTATTCTCCCCCACCCTTAAGAAATGCTCTGAATTTTACATTGTCTTGGGGCATTCCAGTGAAAAAATGTTGTCTGCTATTTTAAATAACACAGCATCTCGGGGTGGGGTGGGGAGATGGGGGAATGGTAACCTCCAGAAGGACCAAAGTAAAACTCTCTTGCCATCTGAAAACTAAAATTAAGGGAAATAATGAAATGAAAGTTCAGTATTTTTTTTAAAAGGGCACCTCTGTAAGAAATGCACATCACTTGCATTAGTTGCAAATAGAAAAAGGATGACTAAGGAAATTTCTATTCCTGGAAAGCTCCCAGAGGAAATAACAAAAAAGCTCATTAAACTAGATTAAATATAGCAATTAATAGTGGTGAGTGTGGTTTTATACAAAGTTGCCACACAGCCCAGTCCTAGTTTACTCAGTTTAATCAGAATTGCATCCTGCTATGTTCCATAAAAAAATTGGGGTGAATTTGTAGAGTGCATTCCAGGATTGGGGTGCTGTGTCTGGGAGGGGCTTAGCACATTTCATAACTAATTCTGGCAGCCCTTCGTCTTCCATGCTGAGCCTGAACACTGTGGCCCTATTTTCATTATGCAATTATTTTATTTAACAAAATATTGATTGAAATGAAACCTCTAAATGATTTACAAGAAATATTTTAAAAGTATCAGTAAAACAACAACAACAAAACAGCAAAAAGTGATCAAGGGGGTGGAGCAACTCCCCTATGAAGAAGGGTTGCAGTGCTTGGGACTTTTTAGTTTAGAGAAAAGGCAAGTGAGAGGTGACATGGTACAAGTTTATAAAATTATGCATCGCCTAACACTAGAACTCACAGGCATCCAGTGAAGCTGAATGTTGGAAGATTTAGGACAGGTAAAAGAAAGTACTTCCTTGCGTAGGGCATAGTCAAACTTCAGATCTTGCTCCCCCAGAGGCAGTGACAGCCACCAACTTAGATGGCTTTAAAAGAGAATTAGACTGTCGTGGTCCTGGGCTCCCAGCCACGGCAGAGCTTAGTGGAGGGAGAAGCCAGCCAACCAGCCAAGTCTCAGTGGGGTCCTTGCCTGAAGGCAGAGTCTGTACAGTATACAAGGTCCAGTCCAGTCCTAAGGTCAGGAGTATCTCAGTTGACGTAGTCAGATGGTCTGGGAGTCAAGAAAGTCGAGGGTCCAAGGTCATGAGAAGTAAGAAGCAGCAAGGTCCGGTCAGGAATGATGAATGTCCCCAGCCTCCACAGTAGAGACACATCCCCTCTCTGTGTTTCCGTTCCTTCAGGCTGCTGCTCAGCAGGTGAAGCAGACTCTTGGCCCATGACAGACAAATTCATAGAGGGGGGGCTATCAATGGCTACTAGCTATCTCCACAGTTAACAGTGGGTGGAAACCACTGGAGGAGAGAGGGTAATCCAGCAGGCTATTTTTATGTTCTTACGTTCTCATAAAGTACTTCTCTACATCAGCCAGTGTATGGGGTGTAACAGTGAGGAATATGCATATATGTGGAACCAGGCATGCTTAATCAACATAAATGATTAAAATGATTTTTTATGTGTTGAAGCCGCCCAGTGTCTGGGGCAACCCAGCCAGATGGGTGGGGTATAAATATTATTATTGCTATTGCTATTAAAATGACATATGCAAATTTTTAAGAGGCTCTCATACGAGGAGAGGGAATAGTTAATGCAACTTAGCATTGAGGCTATGCCAAGAAGGGATTACTTTAACATGAGAGAGAACAAGGGCAGCTCTCTGCAGCCAAAGTTGAGCAAGCCCCTGGCAGAAGAAATAAGATATTCTGCTTTGAGACAGAACTTGGACCACTAGTCATTCCATTTCAGTCATGCAGTTAAATGGTCTGGTAATTGTAAAGTCTTTAAATGTAATTCTTCAGAACTGCCTGACTCATTATTGGGTGTTGGGGTTGCTGTTGGGAACCTGGAAGACATAGACAGCCTTTCACAGCTTTTGTGAGGCTAATTCTCATCATAAGATGAAAGCCCCTTGCTTGTGGGGTAGGTGGGTTCTTGTGTTTTGGAACAAATAACCACGAGTAACCCTTGCCTATTTTGCCTTTGTTCCCAGGCAATCTGGGTGCCCAGCTTGTTGAATATAAAGAAGAAATGTATATAACATCTGACTGTGGCAAAACCTGGAGACAAGTAAGGAAAATGAATCTGTTATGTTGTGTTTGTGTGTATATTGCTATCTCCATTTCCTTACTGGCTCAGGCATCTCTTCTCATATTATTGCTGTAGAGCTCCCCTAGTCAGACTAACACTGCTATCCCATCCACTCTTCCTTGGGGGATTGCTTCTGGTAAAGTTGGAATATAAAGTGACCAGTGCAAACATTTTCCCAGCGGTCTGCAACCTTTAAGACAAAAAGAGCCACTTGGACCCGTTTCCGAAGAAAAAAAAACTGGGAGCCGCAAAACTCGTCATTATAAAAATAACTTTTTTGTCACTTTTTATTATTTCTTTGTTTGACCCCCTCAGAATTACTCCTCCTCATAGAAATAAACGTTAAATTAACAAGTTACCTTTTTGTGTGTGTGTGTATTCTTCACTCCCCTTCAAAACAGTGACCAGCGTACATGCCCCCTTTCAATATAGCGGGCGGGCGGGAAGGTGACATCGGGACGGTGCGTGACTAACGCACGCACCGCCCCCATGCGACGTCACAGCCAGTACAGCGCCCGCCACAGTGGGGAGTGTCGGGGCACACAATGCGCCTCCTCCCCTCACTAGTATCCGCCCCGGAGCCGCGGCAAAGGTGTAAAAGAGCCACATGCGGCTCCGGAGCCGCGGGTTGCAGACCCCTGCATTTGCCTCATGCAATTCACCCTACCTCAATCTGCTCTGAAAGATTGGGAGAGCCTCACAGAGCTGTGAGCTGGGGGAGGATAGGGGAGATTGTTCCGAATAGAATGCTTGCTCTGATGGAATAAGCACCATAGACACAGAATTCCACCCCGTATATTCAAATATTTCTTATGTATTTAAACAAGTCTAGCACAATATACAGTCAGTTCAAGGAAATGTGTAACCATTTCAGTGTTTTAAGGACTGGTCTACACATTTCATTAATAATTAAATATATAGCATGGGATACTTTAGTAATACATTCCCCACCCCAGCCTAAAGCATGGTCATTTATTGGGTTTTCCCCCTGCTTTCTAGGTCTTTGAAGAGGAGCATCACATCTTGTATCTGGATCATGGTGGAGTGATTGTGGCCATCAAAGACACCTCTATTCCACTGAAAATACTCAAGTAATTCTACAGTAAACTTCCATTTTCAGGAACAAGTCTATTCCATTGGTTGATATGAGTTTTTCCCTCCAAGAATTTACTAATCTAATATTTGCTCTGCAAAGATGATGGTTTGGTTATATTGATGCAGTAATAAACACCGGACCTCTCTGAATGATACAAAGATCATTCATAGATGGGGCAGGCTTTTTGTTGAGCTTGCTTCCTCTGGGTTATCAGAGTCTGTTGCAGACAGAGGCAGGATGCTGACTGGGCAGTGCTTTGATCCCAGTGAAACCTCCTTTAGGTAAGATATGAACTCTACTCACTAAGATGATCATCACACTTTTTGTAGGATACCCAGCCACATGTACAAACATACATGCATGCTGCACAGACCGTATTGTGAAGTTGAGGTGCTGAGGGGTGGAACATCACTACCATCCTACTCCCCTTCTATAAATATGAGGATCACCTGAATAGTGTTACAGTGGGTAGGGGTTAAGACTGTGAAGGACTGTCCCCAGGTTAAAGCAGCTAAGTCATGTTTCTGTGCAGTGCTTGCTTTGTTTTCTTGTGTTGCTGGCAATATTTCCTTGAGTCATTCAAATTTTTTAAAATTAATTATTCCTTGAGTTATATGTTTGTGTCTGGTGTGGCATGAGAAAACTTTGTTTCATCCTGGACTGGATTGCCTGGGTCAACCTGCATAGGGTTGGCACATGGAGGACCTTGGAATAGGCTGCAGGTTTGGATGAGCACTGGAGACTCCTTTGCAGCCCTGTGCTTCTATATTTAGTGTAGAGCCCTACACCAAGCTTTTGAGTTAGGCAGGATTCCAGAACGTACTAATTCTTCATGAATTCTGTTTTTTAAAGGTGGGGATGAAAGAGAATCTACTGAGAGATACTAGAGAATGCAAGGTCTGAGTACACACTGGGAGCCAAAAGAGACATTGCACTAAATCACTTGCTGCTGCATCATTCAAAAAAAACAATAACAGGTGCACAGTGTGATTTTCATCAGAACTGTATCACAATGAAAATCTCTCTCCCCTGTAGCAGTTGTTAGCTCCATGAGAAAAACTCCCTTTCACCTTAATAGAAGTTTCTCTCTCTGAACTTAAAAGCAGCTGTGGAGAGTGATATGTGAGATGGTACAGTTTCTGTCTTCACTGTTCAGTTAGCCCCTCTCCCCAAGCCACAGTCCCAATGAAAACGGCTCCCACACCTGCCCTTAACTGATGTTTTTTAAACGGCATACCGTCTAGTTTAGTGTCCTCTCTAGCAAGGCCCTTAAACTGTGGGTGGGGTTCCCCCCACCCTCCTGCAGCTTAAGCCAGTGCATAAACCTGGGATTCTCCAGAATACTATAGGACTTGGAAAAATATAGAGCTTATCCACACTTACCTTTCGTCTGCTCTCTCCAGGCACAGTCCATGTGAAAATCTGCTCTTTAAAGCTCAATCAGAGCAAACAGCAGTCTGCAGAAAACCCGAACTGATGTTTGCTCTGGTTAAGCACTATAGTGTGGGTTTTTGTGGGGAAAGCTTGGAGGCAAGAAAAAACCACATTTGAACATGGAGCTTTTAAATGCGGACCTGTGCCTGGAAAGAACAGAGCAAAAGGTAAGTGTGGATAAGAACATATATGAGAAAATTTGCAGACTCTGGACTAATATAAAACCCACCATGTTGGTTTACTGGAGGAGAGGTGCTAACACCAACTTTTAAATTGCAGCTTATAGTGTAATCCTTCCATAGACATCTGTCTAGAGCAGCCTGTATCTTTGTTGTTGACGTCCATGCCTGGCACTCTGAATGATGTTATAGATGTAAGGTAAATTAACAAATGCTAGGGTTTTGGTTATTTGTGATATGAAAGGAGAATACAAGTTGCAAAGGAATTTCTTGGTTGGCTTATGCAACCTGGCTGGCTTAGTGAAGAACAAACCTAACATGACAAAAAGTGTTGATGGGCAATTGAGGAGAGGAATCCTTTAGCCTGCAGGGGTGAGATGTTGATGGGGTGAATGTTTGAGGGGACAGGAAAATGAAGTTTTCAAGCAAGGGGTTGCTGGGAGAGAGAAGGAGGAAGGATTGTGGAGATCCATCTTGGAGAGGGAGACGAAAGGTTGCCTGCACTGCTGCGGGTCATGCTGTGAGATCTGGACTTCCTCCATGCAGCCTGAAGGTGTAAATAGGTGGAAAAAACATATTTCTTAAAGCACAACAGTCTCAGCCATGTCTTCTATTTTCCAAAGGAACACAGAGAGAGGGGCAGGCACCTGACTTTTGTAACAATATGGACATCTTCATCATATGTGAAGCTGAACTTCCACAGCAGGTCACCAGAGTAGATGTTATAATGCTGGAAGAAATATTTACATGCATGTCTAAGAATCAAGACAGAAGTAAATCACAAACACTTTATTCTAAAACAAGTAGTAACAACCATAGCACAACTGAACACATATTCTTAGGTCTCACTATTCCCTATAGTTGACTCTCATCTCTTTCTATAGGCTGAATCCCTTCAGCTGTCGTGACTCAGAGAGAAACTACTGTACATACTAAACCACCATAATTTGTCTATGCATGGCAAATTCTGTGTTCTTTCCTCTGGGGTGCTTATCAGTCCTTGATTTACTGGTGCAGTGTGCAAGACATGCTATTCTACAATGGAAAGTGAAGATTTTAAGTTTCTTATTTGGAGATCTGATATGGTTGTTTGAGGGAAATGTACTGGTGGAGAGATTTAGCTGACTGGGATAACAACCAAAATAGGCATCCACACATTGTGACCTTCTCCCTTCATTGCTGTCTTCCTCCTCCATGACTTTTAGGGGATGGATTCAGTACATTCAGTCTCAAACCTTTATTGGCATATAGACAAAACTCCAAAAGGTTCAGTACAATAAAATCACTCAGCAAAATCTGCACCTAAGAATTAAAATACTGTTGTATAACATTCACGCATCCTCCTTGCATACATTCACAACTCAACTACTATGGGCTTTTAAAGTCCTATGACTTAATTAATTATTTCTAATGGTGGTGATGATCAGTACTTATTTTCAAACCATTCTGTATAAATGAGACCTGCAATAAATAAGAAACAATATTTTTTTCATTTACAGGTTTAGTGTTGATGAAGGCCAAACATGGAGCACTCATAACTTCACCAGCATCTCCGTTTTTGTTGATGGCCTACTCAGTGAGCCTGGAGATGAGACTCTAGTCATGACGTGAGTAGAATCTACTGCACCAGTACACAAACTGCATGGGGAAAGTTGGAAGTTGCCTTTAGAAGACATTCCTTGTTTGTGTGTGCGCGTGTGCTCATGCACACACCTACATGTTACAAGAATCACATCAGCCTCCACAGGCAACACAGATTCTCACTTCTGAGAATTCTGAAGAGATGGGCAGAGAAGGCTGTTGAGGATGACAAGGATACACGCAGGGAAGGAGGAGACCTTGGCCACCACTTGCCCCTGTTTATCTTTCCTAGTGACAAGGACTCATCCACACTTCTGCTTGTCCTCTGCCTAGAATGCATGAGTAAGAGCAGTTTCCCTAAACCCTGATTGCTGTTTGTTCTGATTCAGAGCTAAACCATGGGTTTTCCTGGGTGACATCAGTGGGGCAAACGGAAGTGTAGATGAGCCCTGATTGTCCCCAGGCACTGTGAAGGGAGGGATAGGGACACAATTTGTCACTAATATGTAGAATTGTACACAAAATACTGTGACTACTAAAAGAGTCTGAAAATGCAATGTAAGTTTTTACACCCAACAACCAAAATAGAACTTATTGATTGGTGTTACTCTCCTGCATTTTATCCCCTGTTTAACTGGTATCTAATTCTGAAGCTTTTGATCTTTCTCTTAGAATCTTTGGACACATAAGTTTCCGCTCAGATTGGGAGTTAGTGAAGGTAGATTTCCGCCCTTCTTTTCCTCGAGAATGCACTGACGAGGACTATGAATCATGGGACCTGACAAATCTACAGGTATAACCTCAGATAAAATAGTCGCTGCCACAACTGGTGACACTGGTCTGATTCAGTGTTACATGTACAAACCAGAATGAACCCTTCTGTGCTTCTCCTCTCCTGCCTCCCACTTTTGTTTGTAAAGGGTGGATATGTAAAGCTTCCATTCATGGTCTAGATATAACAAGCTGCAGTTGCCTGTTTCATGTAATTACAGAAAACTGTGGTGGTTTGCACAAACCATAGTTATTTAATAAGTCATGGTGTCATCCTGGTTTAATATATTGGTTTCTTAACTAACTATGATCTGTAAAAACTACAGTGTTCTAATTTCAGACAAACTAAGAAACTGCAGTTTGTTATAAACACCAATTGAAAACTTTTTAATTTCCTCCTCTTGTAGAGGAAGGGAAATAGGGAACATTTGATGCCAAGGCTCAAAACAGCTCATGTATTTAACACTAAGGCGGCAGTCCTGCACTGCACTTTAAGGAGTAAGTACCATTAAACTCAGCCTTTACTTCTGAGTAGACATGCCTAGGATTCAATAGGAAGTTTTTTCATGCCTAATTGTGTTATGGGGAAATTTTCCACAGGGGTCACAGCACACATTAACCATTTCCTCCCTATCTGTGCCCCCCTCAAACAAAGCCAGCTGGCCACAGTAATTAGACAGACCCCTGGAGTAATTAGACTTTAAAAGCCACTTCCAGTAAGGTACTTTTCCTCAAGCCTAATTACTGTACTGTGGGGAGGGGAGGTTGCAGGCCAGATGGGGAAGCCTCATAAGCCACACCCAGCCTGTGGGAAGAATCTTCCCTACCCCTGGACATTATTTGGGTTTCTAAATCTATGTCTTGTTTATTCCCAGAAATTGTCAGGGACTGGGCAGAGGAGGAATGGTGGAGACCGCCTCCCCAGCTTGACCCTTCCAGGGAGGAAGAAGAGATAGGCAGTTTAGATTTACAACAAGGGTTTAAGGGAGGTCACAGCTCAGAGGCAATGAGGGCGAAAGTTGGGAAATAATGGGAGAGGAGGAAGAGGAAGAGGAAGCATCGGGCGGGGGGGACAGCTGATGGACACAAGTGTCTTTAGAAAGCATTCCAGACACCCCATCTCCCAGAACCCGGCAAGACTTGAAAGTAGAAGAGCAAAGAGCTCAAAGACAGAAGGCCCTTGTCAGCACCCATAGGAGAGATGATGCAAATGACGAATGAGAAAGTGGGGGAGACGGGGGTGGAGATTCAATTGGGACAGTGCCATTATCCAAGAGGCTAGGTTCTATAGCCTCTCTCTGTAAATAGTGAAAGCAAACGGTAAGAAACATTTCCATGTCTTTGTACATTCCTTTGTACATGCCTTTGTACATTCCAGGAGTCACTGGCAGCAGCCTGACAAAAATTCAGGTTGATAGCTGGCCATTAAGGAGTCACCAACACTGATTAGTATAAATCCAATATTACCTCTACTAATGTCAGCCATTTAAAAATCTTTTTTTTTTTTTTTAGTGCTAAAGAGAATTGGCTAGCTGTTAGCTAAGGTGAGAGAGTCTGCATTATTAAAAGCCAGTTAGGCCTCAGATTGCTGGTTTTGACCTATAAAGCCTGAAACCCAGAGGGTGATAACGTGAGAGCGGGCCTTTTCTGTGGTGGCTCCCCATTTGTGGAATGCTCTCCTCAGGGAACCTTCTTTAGACACCAGGCCTTCGATTAAGTAAACAATCTATGTCCTTTTAAACTGAATGTGTGTGGGTGTTTTCATTGTTTTCTTTGTCATTATGTTATGTATTTTAGTTTTTTATACTGTAAACCTTTCTGTGATCCTTGGATGAAGGGCGGTAGGTAAATAACAAACAAACAAACAACCTTTGTATGTTTAATCCTATCTGGTAGTTATGAGAGTTCACATTCTAATGTTCAGGGCGACCTCTGCATCATGGGTCAGCGGAGAAGTTTTCGGAAGAGGAAGAGTTCCTCGTGGTGCATTAAAGGAAGAAACTTCACATCCGCACTCACTTCCACAGCTTGTGAGTGCAGCCCTTCTGATTTCTCATGGTGAGCTTTTCTATAGGTCTTTGTGACGGCTTAACTACATATTCTGTATTAATCTTATTGAAAACCCTAATATTTAACAGAAGTGGTAGTTATGCACTGGTTAGAAAGAGAAAATTATTTCTAGCTTTCCTTTGAGGATGCGGTGGTGGTAGTAGTAGTAGTAGTAATAGTCAACACTTCATATCTCCAGCTGTTCTACCCCCCCTCCCCCTATGCATTTGTCAGAGTTACTTAGAAGACTTCATACCCCACCTTTCAGTTCTAAAGGACCCCCATGGTACCTTACAGACAGATTTTGAAAACAATATAGGGCATTTGAAAATAAAGTATAAATATGTAGAATTTTGAAGTACATACAGCAGCAGCAGTAACTTCCCTCCCAAGGCCTTCGCACATAATGTGTTCACTGCCCACCAAAAGTTGAGCAGTTATTGAACCTGGAGGAGCTTCCTTGTAACAGCATTTCATAACTGTGAGGACTTGACTGAAAAGGCAGTGTCTCAGTCACAACTCCAAGCAATTTCTGGTGCCCCCCAGCCCCCCATAGTTGGGCTGTTGTGTTTGTTTGTTTGATTCCATTTATGAATTTCACAGTGATTCCACAGCAAACAATTGGAAACAAATTTCATATGTAAGAACAGTTAAAACCCAATACAGATACAGGCCAGGATAACGAACAACACTTAAAAGGTTTGTTGAAAAAGGATTGTGTTGTGTTTGGTCCTGTGTCAGTCAGAAAATGGACTGAGTGAGGACAGGAAGTAGCTACATACTCAGCTCTGAACATTTCCTGCCTTGGATGCAGGGTGGCTATCACAGCTCATGTGACGGCCTGAAACTCACTAAAGCCATATTTCAGCTGAGACCAATGGTCCTTTTACAAGCACAAATGATCAAGCTGGTGGCACCTGCATTTAGTCCACAAAAACTAGGGAGAAACCCATGACACAGTGGCTCAGCCATGACCAGAATCCTACTGCCCAGGTCTGGACCAGCCCTTATATAAAGGTTGTTCCTTCATGGAGTGCTGTAGGGCCAGCCCACGCTAGTGGAAAGAGGCATTGCACACATTCTTTCCAGAGCCTTTTTACTCACCACACTGCCTGCTTGGGTTTGGGAAGGAGCTTGCAGGTGATAGGCAGTTTGTTTGCATGGGGTCCTCAGGGCACTGTGGCTGCATTCCGGTTGCAGGGCTCAGTAGACTCCTGCCATACAAGAGACCCTGGGGTGGGGGCTGGCTGACCCTCACACACTTGGCATGAGATGGCCTCCCTATGGGCTACAAAAGATGCCAGTTGTGTACTCGTACTCCCCAGGCCATGTACACTACAAATAACACTTTACAAATTAATAGTAAAGACAAGTCAACTTCATGATTAATGCTTGTTTGTTGTTCTGTAGTGATTATGGGTTTGAGCGTTCAGCACTGCAAAAATCTGAGCCAAACACGTGCTTTGCTGACTTTTGGTTCAACCCTGAAACTCCTCCTGAAGACTGTGTCTTAGGGCAGGCCTACAGAAGCAGCACAGGGTAAGTACTTGGGGAGTGTTCTGCTGTGGAAAGCAGCCCCATAGCTTCCTTCCTTTCTTCAGTTAATCCATTGCCTTTCTAAATGGATATTGAAAGGTTGCTGTTAGCCATTCCCAGTTTGGTTTAACAGACAAACCTTTTTCTCAGGGAACTCTGAGAGTTGTGGCTTTGGGAAGAGAATAGGGGTCTCCTAAGACTCTCAGCACCCTGAACAAACTACAGTTCCCAGGATTCTTTGGGTGAAGCCATGACAGTTTGAAGGGGTATCTTATTGCTTTGAATGCATGGTGTGGATGTGGCTTTATGTGGAAGCAAGTCCTATTGACCTTGGTGGGAATAACATCCAAATAGAGATATAGCCCAGTGCTTTGCCTGCAAAACATCCCAGGTTCAATTCCTGGTATCTCCAGGTAGGGGTCAAAATGCCCCCTCTCTGAAACCCTAGAGAGCCAATTCTGGTTAGTCTGAACAAAACTGAGCTAGATGGACCAGCAGTCTGGCTCAGTATAACACCGCTTCCTGTGTTTCTGGATTGTGCTGTTGGTTACCTTGGTCTGGTTCTCTTCCTGTTTTCCTCCTGCCTCATCCATGGGGAGAGATCAGATCCCTCCAAGTTATGATGCATGCTGTGTTCGATGTACAGTCCCATTGTGCACTTAGATATGCTCTATTTCCATTTTTTCTACAGGTATCGCAAAGTTATATCTAATATATGTGAGGGTGGTGTGGATTTACAGCAAAACGTATCTCAGCATCTGTGCCCTCTGACTGCTCCCAGAGGACTGCAGATAAGCATCAAAGGGGAGAGCCTTGCTATTAAGCCTGGAGAAGATGTCACCTTCATTGTCAAACAAGAACAGGTAACTGTAATTTCCTGCCTCTGTAGATATTTGTCTCCCATCTGCTTAGTGAATGGATAGAAGCTGGGAAATGGCATGATACCCTGCATATTTGTTAACCACAGAAGAAAAGGCATATTAATTCAGGTGCTGACGGTTCCAATACCAGGACACTTAACACATTCTAAAACATTCCCCATATTAGTATTTGCTAACTGGGGCAGTTCAGTGGCACCCGTTGCAGGCCCAGGCCGCACACTTCCACTCCTCCGCTCAGTTGAGCTACCAATAAAAGACACCACACAGTTGAATGGGATCAAATCAGGCCACAACTTTATTGACTACAGATGAAGTGGTTTGGCATAGACATTGAGTAAGCATTTTAATTTCTGAGCTGCCTATGGAAAATGACCTCAGGGTCAATCCAGCAGCAGGGATTCCTATGACTTACATCAAATGGGAGGATCCCTGCAGGGATCCCTGCCTCTAGGAGCACTGAGACCCAAGCCCACTGTCTGGGCAAATGAACAGAAGCAACTCCATCATGGATCCCTTTAATGGGATACCCTGTTTCTGGAGGGGAAAGCGGGGGTACATCCCCCCCTCCAATCAAGACTAAGGTCACTCGGTGCCTAAACTGCCGAAGTTGTGACGATTGCTACGAGGTAGGCAAAACCTCCAAGTCATAGCCAGTTCTCATGAGAGGCAAATTCCTACCCAGCCACAACAGCTACCGCAGCCGTAGGAAGGTCAATTCAATGAGTAAATGCAAAATTAATAGAGTGGGTGGTGGGTTGATCCAACGAAGAAGAGCTGGGTGTTGGGGGTCCGGTGTGGGCTGCTTTAAATCTCCCGGGAGCGGACCTGAGGGAAGCCTGATTGTTCTCTCTAGCCCGCTCCCGGAGAGCCCAGCTCTCTGTGCCAGTCTGCCATTGGCCAATTTGGCAGGCTGACGCAGAGCAGGATTTCAAGCTGGGAGCACGAACCAAAGCTCACGCTTCAGCAGGGATCAGACCCTTCATTGTCGGTGTGGTGGAGGTGCTGGCCGCCCTGCAAAGCCACCGCACCCCTACCTATTAGGGGGTAAGCGGAGTTGCCCATGATCCTTGCAGCTGGGATCAACTTTCATTTGGAAGCAGGACATGTGTTTTATTCTTTCAGGATAGAGTTTCCACTTGGGTGTGGGTGTGGGGGTGGGAACCTTGGCCAATTCTTTCTAGGGAAAGATTCCTTTCAAACTCCTTGTCCTCCCAGATCCAGCCCGGCCAATTAATGTGAAAAGAAGTTTGCTGCAGAGCTTTTCCTTGCTATTAATCCCCTCTGCTGTCTTCACAGAACTTCCTCTTAACATATGTTAGGAAGAAAATGGCCCCTTGTTAGGTTGCTTGGATTATCCAAATATCACTTCTTCCAGAAAGTACTCCCAGTCTATTTTTCTCCCCCCACGGTGTTTTCCCCCTCAAGGCCATGCTGTTATGAACACTGCAGAGTCTCTTCTCTTGAGATGGAGCAGGAGTGGCAAGCTACAGGCAGCCCTACTCTCTGTCCTCTCCTGATATCAAGGCTGGACAAGGCTTGCAAGACAACCCTAGCATTAATTAAAATGATGCAGCTGCCTCAGGTTGGGGAATGTTGGTGAGGGGGCAGGGAGGAGTAGCAGCAGCAGCCCCCTATAGCTACTCCTTCTGAGTCCTTCCCCCATTCTCCTCTCTGTGTCTGTCCTGTCCTGGGTCTCCTGCTGCCCTCAAATGCAGTGGAGTCTGCTGTCTTGTTGCCAGTGTTGAAGCAAGAGCCAACTGCTAGTTGCCTTCTGTGTAAGGAATGTGGTGGTGGGGAACATGCCTGTGTGGGATGGCATACCTTGCCCCGGAGTGAAATAAGCTAGGGAAAGTCAAAGATAGGGTGTGTAATCTAGGAACATCCTCATCCAGAAGACATCTGACCCTATATAAACCTCTGGGGAGATAGGGCACACCCCAAATTTCTGGTCTTATATTTGTTGTGGAGCTTGTAACAAAGCTTTACAGAGCTGCGTAATCTTGGGAAAGGGAACCCACATATTCACCATTTCTGATCCGGTTCCCCATGCAGGTAGTCCTCAAAGAGCTGCTAAAACCACTCCAGTTCCAAGTGTAGGGTGTGGGACTGCAGTTGTGCTTCCTCAGCCACTATTCTGGTACCAGAGTCTCATGATGGCTGCCCATTGCCATGTTGGTTGGGGCCAATGGGAGGTGGGATCCAACAACATCTGGAGTTCCACAGGGTTTTCCATCCCTGATCTAGAGCAATGCTGAATCACCCTCTGAAAAGAAACAGAAGGGGCTTCTTCCAAGGAACAAAAAGAAAATAAATATTCCCTCCTCAGGCAGTATTCTGTGATGGATCATTCCTCATCAAGATCCAGTATTTTGGTGGAACCAACACACAGTGGAATGGTGAATTCCCAGAGGAAGAGGAGGATTGTGTATTGATTGATTGATGGTTCCCTGGTGTACATCAAAAAGGGGTTCAATCTATGTTAGAGAGAGTGACTGGGCTTGTTTCCCCTGGTGTAATGGGAGAGAGGGCCTTCTTGCCTCTGAGATAATCTCTCTCTAGTGTTGTGCCCAGCTTATCAGATACCTTATCTGGGCTGCTGCATAATATTTTGAGAGATCAGGAGCAGCTGAGCCCACCCCCCACGGGGGCTTTGTAGTTTGGAGGGTTTATTGGCTTAGATGTAGGTGTTTCAAAACATGACAGGTTGGTAGAGTTTGGAATAAGACTAAGATATATTGCCAGATATTCATTCTCACCATTGAAATTCATGTAACTCGGAATAAACTTTTCACTGTCCAGTTTTTTAGATCCTCAGGTTGGTTTGGGAACATTCCAAAGTGACCTGAGCTGGGGACAACAATCAGAAAAATCTGAATCTGAGGGAGAGCCTTGGATGATTAGTTTACTTCTGTTGTTCTGCATGACACTGTCCCAAACACTTGGATTTTGATCTGAGCGTGGCGAGGAAGTTTGAGGGTTGGAAGACTTGATTCCCATTTTGAGGAGGGTCCTCACTGACATTTGAATCCAAGCCAAGTATGGATAAATTCATAGGAACTCCCACATTCTGAATGCTGGACAGGCATTATTCCAGGGAATATTCTCACACATTTCATCTGATTTATTTAAGAATCTTCCAAATGTCTATGTATTAAAAGAGATGAAAGCAATCATCTTTTGCCCTATGAAAGAATTGGCAGTAATAATCCTCCTGATGACTAATTCTGTTTGTTTCCCAGTGCCAGTTTTTATGATGGAGCTGAATGCAGGTGTGTGTGTGGCTTTGTTTCGGTTTTATCTGTCTCTTATTTTTGCTGTTCTTGGCTTTTCATAGGGAGATATTTTGAACACCAAGTATCAGCTGAACCTTGGCGATGGGGTTAAGGCCATCTATGTGAATCTCACCTTGACAGGTGAACCCATACAACACCGCTATGCAAACCCTGGGATTTACCGAGTCTCAGTGATAGCTGAGAACGCTGCAGGCCGAGACGAAGCAGTTGTGTTTATTCAGGTTCAGTGTAAGTCTTGACCTCTTTTTCTTAATTCTTCTCTAGTCTTTTGTCATCAGCATCCTTAGTAGCAGTAGAAGTAGTCATAGCCATACTACTATTGCCATAGTTCAGTCTTGGCAACCTGTGAAATGAAGGCTTTTGTTACTTCAGAAAGAAGCAGAGACTCAGCTAAATTTGACCAGCTAAGTGCTCTTTTTGTTTAAAAATCCAAGGTGTGTTGGTGTGTCAGGGACTGCCAGAGGTCCATAGTAGGTGCTTCCTACTAGTAGGTGATCTCTGACACATTTATTCAGTATGCTGGATCCCTGAAAGCTGTTCAGCACCCAAGCCCACCTGCTAGAAAACAATGGAAGCATAAACAGGTGGCGCATGAGCTCTGCTTTGCACAGATCCCTGTGCTACAACATTAGGTAAAGGGTAAAGGGACCCCTGACCATTAGGTCATACCATTAGGTGCTACAACATTACTATTTGTCAGTGTAGTACCTCTTGTGCAGTCTGTTTTGTGGTGATGTGCAAAACAGATAGTGTGGAAAGTCTTTCAGTAACACTTAAGTCCATCAGATGCTCTGTTTTGTTGCCCTAGCATCAAACTAGTGTGGGAACAGAGATTGTCAGACATCCAGCAAAACCATGACTTAAGCTTTTAAAAGAGGAGGTGGATAAGGAAGCTGGTGGCAGGCAGATGATGGAGAGATATCACACCCTCACCCACTTAGCAGAGCTGCACCAAAGCAGTCTTCTTATACTCCCCACACCCTGCTCTCTTTATTAACCCAAAAAGCACCCCTGGAAGTTGGTCTATTTTTCATCCAAGTCTTGGACACAGAAGGATCTTTGCAACTTCCGGGGAGGCGCCTCCGGCAATGGCTGAATTCCTCTGATCGGGAGGAATTTGCTCCGTGAAAAGCAGGGTCTGACCGCCACGGTGAAGGCGGAGACCCATAGAAATAACAGGCGGGAGAAGCCTGTGAACCTGGGATTCGGCTGGCACCATTTGTGCCCCCCCTACTCGCGGGGAAACCCTGTTTTGGGGATCCGGAGCGACGTGGGGTGAGCGGCGCAGTGCTTTGAATCGACCGCTTCTTTCACGGAGTGAAGCCGCATTGCTGTTGTCGGAGAGCGCTGACTTTTTCCTGTGGACAATTGGATTTTAAACGACTACCCGTGAGTAGAACGGAAAATTGGACTATGAAATTTCCTAATTAGGAACCGAAGGCGGGAAGGTTCTAAACAGGAAGTCCGCCTCCCGTTTTGTAAATAGATTGAAGCAAAGACGTTACAAGCTAAAGTCTTTGAAAGCTTTTGATAAAGGATTAAATTTCTACCGGACAAGAATATATAACCCCTCTTGGAAGCAGGAGAAGAGAGGGGAAGTTTTGGATTTAGTGTGCCTGCAGAAGAGAGTCAAAATTAAATTGCCACTGCTCTGAACCTGGAAAAGGGCTGCCAGATGACGTTCGGGGAATGTTTATTGACAGAACGGATTTGACAGCTAGCTAAAATAAGAAAGGTACTGTCTCCATTGTCCTTTTCTGCGTTTAAAAATGGAGGAAAAAGTAACCGAAAATTGAAACCATTGTTACTTGCTTGAGTTGTGTTCGAAATAATTGATACAAACGGAGACTGTTTCCCTCTAGAGGGAGCATGTGAAACTGTTACAGGAGTGCATTAGGGAGAGCTCCAGCTGCCAGATAAGATTCTGAAAAATAGAGTCTGACCTTGGATCACTCAAAATGTTGATAGGAGAAGCCATTGTGACTGTATTATACAAGATAAATCACGCGCTGGAACAGCTTCATAAAAAGACAGATGACACGATCTCTAAAATTGACAACTTGGAACAGAACGTGATTAATTTGAATCAAAAAGTGAGTGCTAATACAGAAACAGCCCAGGATTCGGTACAGGAACATATCTTGGTTGGACAAATGGTGGAGGAAAAGGAGAAAGCTGATGATGTGAAAATGGTGGAGAAAAAGGAGAAAGCTGATGATGAGAAACTAAAAGTAGTACAAGCGGGATCCTTAATTTATCAGAAGCAGATTGAGGATTATAAATTGAGGTCTTTCATGACTGAATCTAGCAAAAGTCAAATTTCGAGGACAGGATCCCGGCTTGGATTGAAGAAGGAAAGTTGGAAAGAACCCTCTATCCAGGGATTGACTGACTTTTGGGACATGGACTTGGGCTTGGAGGAGTTTGAAGTTTTGGGGGTCGCTAGAATTGGAGGAATCCTGAAATACATTCTGAAACACTTTATGGACTTTACTTTTAACTTTGGAAATTTGGCTGAACTGTCCAGAAGGAACAAAAGTATTGCTAGGCTGGAGTTTTCCCGAGACTTGCTCCTGAGCATCAAAGAACATGAAGAAGACCTGCAGAAGGGACTTGGAAGAGATTTAAGAGCCTCGGATATTAGGGCACCAGGTTGATGGATTATATGGAACTGACGGAAAGGACTGGCAGAATCCGAAGCCAGGGAGAGGAGATAGTGGAAGATTAATGGAAAATTTAAAGTGTTTATTTAGAAACTTTGTTAAAGTAATGACTGTCAGAAAAACGGTGGAATGATATTTTATGGACTTAGCAGAAATACTATAAGAAGTTGGGTGTATATAAGTAATCAACCGTTAATGGGAAATAAGGTTTAAGAATATGTTATTCTTAATATGACAGAAAATAGAAAAGATGGAAAGGATTTGCTGAAACAAGTACTAGAAGCGGGATACAAGAAGGGAGGTGTGAGGAAGTCGAGGAAACAAGGGAATGAAGGATAGAGTATGGAAAAGGAGAGATGCTTTTAAATTGTTTTTGTCTTGCTTTGTTCATGTGTTTAGTTTAATGGGTTTAGGGTGGGTTTGTATTGTTTATACATTGTATTGTTTTTCTCTTTCTTTTTTTCTTTTTTTGTGTTTTCTCTCTCTTTTTTCTACTTTTTTGTAACTTTTAAAAGCAATAAATATTATTTAAAAAACAAAACAAAACAGAAGGATCTTTGCAAAAACCTCCTGAAAGCTGATTTTTTAGCCAGGGAACTGTGATGCTTCCTAGACTTGGCAGAAATTCAGATGTGCAATTCCTGAGGTTGTCTGGCCAAGATGGAGAAACTTTCCCCATCCCACTAAGCTGAAGCTGAAGCAAAATCTCTTTGTATGCTCTCTGGTCCCATAGGGTGTTGAAAGTGACTCTGCCAATATTTTGGCTCAGTCTGGTTAGGGAGTTGCACTATAACTGTCAATTTTGGGGGTTGCACAGCTCCTTTTCTCGAAGCAGAAGGCTAAGCTACTTCATAGAGTCTCAATTCTCTGAAGCCTTGAAGGCCTTTCAAAGTTGGTGTGTTCAGTGCTGCTTAAACATGGATATGAGGGGCTTCATAAAGGCTTTGGAATCCACTTCCTACGTGTAAGCATAATTAAATCCACTTCTCTTTTTCTTGATGAAAATTTCAATGTGTCACAAATATTTATTGGGTCCCTTAACGCTGTGAGTGGACATGCTGAACTTTCAAGCAAGAGCATCTCAAATTTAATTCTGTATGAGAGTTAATTCAGTGACCATTTTCTTGTATATTCTAGCATGCAAGAGAAAGTGCTGCCGGAAAGTGATTAACCACTTGGCTTTGGCCATTTACCTCAACCTGTTGGCAATGTGGGATTTGCTTGAAATGGATTGCTTATGTCTCTCAGCGCTTCAGTATGATATTGCTGATGAATTGTTTAAAGATTTCAGAACCTGAAGTGCTTAATAAATTAATAGTTTCTTAATTAATGATAGGGACTTTTTTTTAGCTCCGCTGCAGGCATTACAGCTAGAAGTAGTTCCTGTTACTGGCAAAAATCAGAAGGTGAACCTGACAGCCATCATCTTTCCCAGAAACGCTAACTTTACACTGTTTTACTGGTGGATTGGAAACAACCTTCAGGTATTGACTAGTAATTAATTCTGACTTCTCCAATATTTAAAACAGGAGTTCCTAACCTGTGGCTCTCAAGATATTGCTGGACTCTCATTAGCCCCAGCCATCACGGCTAATAGGCAGATATAATGGGACTTGTAATCCAGCAACTTTTAGAGGTTTACCACCCCGTTTTAAAGCTTTGCTTCTTATTCTTGTATCACATATGAGAAACATCACAATCTTATACAATACCTGTTACACAAAAGTTTGTCTCCAGTATCCTTTGTATTTACCTGAGCACTGCAACTCCTTTTTTTTCAAGAGTAATCACAATTATAAAGACCTTTTGGGTCTTTTCTTTAGGATTTTAAACTATTATCATTTTCCAGAACTAAGGTTAGCATTAACCTTGGATAAGTGTCAACTAAGGAATTGGCTCTTCTGGATAGAATCTAGAAGGGACCTGCAACTAATTAGAAACACCAATTTCCCCCTTGATATCCATTCCTGAGAACAGAGCATTTTAGAACTAGTTACCTGACCAAATTCTCACAAGTTTCCTTAAGAAATGCCTCTATTGAGCTGCATTTCCAAGTGATTCCCTGCAGTCTTGGATGGTCACTACAAGAAGGTCCCATATGCAGACAGACCTCAGGTGGAAGACATCACTCGTGATCTGCCAGCCTGCCCCTTATGTAGAAACCCAAGAGATCGTTTTCTGAAGCCTTTGTTCACACAAGCAAGCTAGCACACCCCAGCAGAAAACGTGATGTTTCTTTGGAGTGACAATAATAGTTTTGTAACACAGACAGTGGTCCTCTACACATGGGCTGAAAAAATCAGGGAAAGGGAGTTAGATAAAATTGCTGTAAATTGTTGTGGAAATTCAGGGGTTTGATCTCAAATCAAATTGGATTTGAGTTTGTTGTCTCTGGTAACTTCTCTCTCTTAACATCATGGATGTTGGCTTATATTATGGACGTATGACCTGTATTATTTTAGTAATACTATTGCTACAAGTCTGTCATGGCCTTTGGCTAGAACAATAAATTTAGGAACAAACAAAGTATAGCAGTACGGAAGAGTGATAATCCTTTTATAAAGAGTAAATAATATTTTTATTAGGAATTCAGTGTGTGAGAGGGTAAGAGGTCACCTTAGATGCTCTGATAGAAATTGGCTTAATTTCTTACTTTGACCAACTTAACCTGTCCATCTTCTTAAAACTATGCCCATTCTCAAGCAACCTGTTTGATTTGGGTGTTCAATTTCCCGTGTACAAATCACAGAAGGGAGAATCGTTGTCACTTACGCACACACAGACAGACTTCATCTACATTAAGGTCACATCCAGGAGTGGCGTGTCCCGTTTCTCCACTGGAGATGAACAGGAAGTGCTGCTTTGCCCTGCTTTCATGGCTCCTGCCATCACTGACCTACTCCCGCAGCTGCCACGCAACCTGCCCCATCTACCACTGGTGAAGTGCTGCCACCATCAATGCCAATTTTGGGCACGTCAATTTTGGTGAAATCTCACCCAAAATGACTGTGACATTGTCCCAAATCAGCACTGATGGGGCGGCACTTCTCCACTGGTGGTGGGGCAGGCAGAAGCTCATGCCTCATGGCTGCCCAGCTCTGGTCCCATCCACACCATCTGCTTGGCTTTGTCCGAAGAATCCTGGGAACTGTAGTTTTTTGAGGTTGCTGGAAATTGTAGCTCTGTGGAGGGTAAACCACAGTTACCAGGATTCATTGGAGAAAGCTCTGTGCTTTAAATATGTTCTAAATGTATGATGTTGATGCGACCTAGGTTTCAAAAGCTTATTTGCCTACTTTTCTTAAGTTGGCTAGTTTTTTTAGTCCTTTCCCTTATTGGCTAATGTTCTGTCTGCTCATTTCATTTGGGTAAGATTTTGAAACAACTGAGAGAATTTAGGTACCGTATTTACTCGAGTCTAATGCACCACCTGCTAGACAGAGTGCCTGAAGAACTATGGATGGAGGCTCGCAACATTATACAGGAGGCAGCAACGAAAACCATCCCAATGAAAAGGAAATGCAAGAAAGCAAAGTGGGTGTCCAATGAGGCCTTACAAATAGCGGGGGAGAGAAGGCAAGCAAAATGCGAGGGAGATAGAGAAAGATACAGGAAATTGAATGCAGATTTCCAAAAAATAGCAAGGAGAGATAAGAAGGCCTCCTTAAACAAGCAATGCAAAGAAATAGAGGAAAACAACAGAATGGGAAGAACCAGAGATCTGTTCAAGAAAATTGGAGATATGAAAGGAACATTTCGTTCAAAGATTGCCATAATAAAGGACAAAAGTGGTAAGGACCTAACAGAAGCAGAAGACATCAAGAAGAGGTGGCAAGAATACACAGAGGAATTATACCAGAAAGATATGGATGTCTCATACACCCCAGGTAGTGGGGTTGCTGACCTTGAGCCAGACATCCTGGAGAGTGAAGTCAAATGGGCCTTAGAAAGCACTTCAAATAACAAGGCCAGTGGAAGTGATGGTGTTCCAGCTGAACTATTTAAAATTTTAAAAGATGATGCTGTTAAGGTGCTACACTCAATATGCCAGCAAATTTGGAAAACTCAGCAGTGGCCAGAGGATTGGAGAAGATCAGTCTACATCCCAATCCCAAAGAAGGGCAGTGCTAAAGAATGCTCCAACTACCGCACAATTGCACTCATTTCACACGCTAGCAAGGTTATGCTTAAAATTCTACAAGGAAGGCTCAAGCAGTATGTGGACCGAGAACTCCCAGAAGTGCAAGCTGGATTTCGAAGGGGCAGAGGAACCAGAGACCAAATTGCAAACATGCACTAGATTATGGAGAAAGCTAGAGAGTTCCAGAAATACATCTACTTCTGCTTCATTGACTATGCAAAAGCCTTTGACTGTGTCGACCACAGCAAACTATGGCAAGTTCTTAAAGAAATGGGAGTGCCTGATCACCTCATCTGTCTCCTGATAAATCTCTATGTGGGACAAGAAGCTACAGTTAGCACTGAATATGGAACAACTGATTGGTTCAAAATTGGGAAAGGAGTACGACAAGACTGTATATTGTCTCCCTGGTTATTTAACTTATATGCAGAATTCATCATGCAAAAGGCTGGGCTGGATGAATCCCTAGCCGGAATTAAGATCGCCGGAAGAAATATCAACAACCTCAGATATGCAGATGACACAACCTTGATGGCAGAAAGTGAGGAGGAATTAAAGAACCTTTTATTGAGGGTGAAAGAGGAGAGCATAAAATATGGTCTGAAGCTCAACATAAAAAAACCGAAGATCATGGCCACTGGTCCCATCACCTCCTGGCAAATAGAAGGAGAAGAAATGGAGGCAGTGAGAGATTTTACTTTCTTGGGCTCCATGATCACTGCAGATGGTGACAGCAGCCACGAAATTAAGAGACGCCTGCTTCTTGGGAGGAAAGCAATGACCAACCTAGACAGCATCTTAAAAAGTAGAGACATCACCTTGCCAACAAAGGTCCGTATACTAAAAGCTATGGTTTTCCCAGTAGTGATGTATGGAAGTGAGAGCTGGACCATAAAGAAGGCTGATCGCCGAAGAATTGATGCTTTTGAATTATGGTGCTGGAGGAGACTCTTGAGAGTCCCATGGACTGCAAGAAGATCAAACCTATCCATTCTGAAGGAAATCAGCCCTGAGTGCTCACTGGAAGGACAGATCCTGAAGCTGAGGCTCCAAGACTTTGGCCACCTCATGAGAAGAGAAGACTCCCTGGAAAAGACCCTGATGTTGGGAAAGATGGAGGGCCCAAGGAGAAGGGGACGACAGAGGACGAGATGGTTGGATAGTGTCTTTGAAGCTACAAACATGAGTCTGACCAAACTGCGGGAGACAGTGGAAGACAGAAGTGCCTGGTGTGCTCTGGTCCGTGGGGTCACGAAGAGTCGGACACGACTAAACGACTAAACAACAACAACAAACAATGCACCACCAAATTTAATGCACATCTCAATTTTCAGAACCTTGAAACCAAAAAAATTGTTTGCTGATAAATGTGCCATTGAATCTAATGCACACCTTTATTTTTGCAACGTGATTTGGCCAAAAAAGGTGCACATTAGATTTGAGTAAATACGGTAATTCAAACAGCAATCTCTTGGCAGATCCAAAACTGGAACTGGTTTTGGTGATGATGTCAGCTGTCTGCTTTTGCTTGCATCTTTGTACTGGTGTTACATTTGCTTGGGAGCTCTGGAAACCAGCCCATTGTGCCCTGTCATCCCCCTCCCCCAAGAAAAAAACCCACTGGAAATGGCTGAAATCAAAACGACTCCTGAAACCAAGTGGAGTTTGGGGCCCTCCCCAGATACAACCTCATGCCAGACAGTGAGGAAAGGCTTTTTGTCTAAGGAAACTGGTATTTTGTTAGTTTTTATGCTTTTTTTGCCAGCTCTAAAGTGTTTGTCTTCCTTCTTTATTTCATTCAAATATACATTCTGATTTCCTTCATAATATAGTTAATATTTTTGCATTTTCCTTAAAATTTAGTGTCTCACATCTTTCATACTTCTACTCATGCTTGTTCTGGATAACATGCACCCGATAATTTTGTGTGTATGTATGTATGTATGTATGCATGCATGTATGCATGCATGTAAAAAAAAACATTTTAAAATTAAAAGCAGCACCAGGAGGCTGTAATTTTGAGGAAAGTAGCAGCAGGGGACGAGGGAAAGCTGCTTTATTTACTTTTTTCTGCTCAGAACGGCCCCTCCCAAGCTGCTTCCCCCTGCCGTGTGTTCTAGATGCATGTTTGCAGGATAAACATGTTCAGAACTGGAAAAGTCACCATAGGAGGATTTGGAGCCAGTTGAGAAAGGATTAAGCGCCTTTCTTCCCCTGCTGTCCTTTCACTCAAAATTGCAGGTTCCTGAAGCTCTTCTTTTTTTTCAAAACTGATGAGGTTTCGTTATGCACATTTGCATGCAGCATCCAGCTTCCCATATGAATTTCTAAAAAAAAAAGAAACAAGAATATGTAACGCATGCTCCTCTGAAAATAATTGTTGCTTGACCTTGGATCTTCTGCTGCTAATCTGCAATGCCTTGGAGCACCCTGCTGCTACCCAGAGAATACCCAGGAGCGCTTTCCAGGGTTGAGCCCTGGCAGCAAATACAAGTTCCAGGGTAATGCCCTAGTGAATCATCACACAAACAAAGCCCTGCTTAGACCAAATTAAATAAACAGTTTGTTACCATATGAAATATTTATGCTTCCACAGTTGCAATGTTCTCAGCATTTTTCTTCACCCTTCATTTGTTCCTCACCAGGACTGAAAGAAAATGGCCCCCATTCCACGTGCCATTTGCAGGTTTTTGTGAATTGGTGCTAGCAATGGCAGTCTTCTTTTTGGTTTTTTAAGACCTTTTTTGGTGCCCTTGCTCATAGGCATTGGAGCTTCTCTTGGCGGCTGCCACCTGTTGGCTTCTGTTTTTGTTTCATAATGTCCTGGAATAACGCTGCGTCTGAGACATTGCAGGGAACAAAAATGGCACCTGCCAGCTGGTAGTGATCAAGGGAAGCTCCTCTGCTGACAAATGTGGTGTGGACACACTTTTTTTTATAAAAGGGTTAAAAGTGGGGAGAAAGACAAGCACCATCACTGCTGCCAATGGGAAGTTCCCTCAGATGTTTCAAATAATTTTGCTTCCCCTGAAATTTGTCCCCAGGTTTGTTCCCCCCTTCAATTTGAAGATGAAAGCTCTTAGTTGAACATTTGGGCTTTGCTTATTTTTTCCTTTTTTTTTCTTTTTTTTTAGCCACTTCTGTCCCTGGAGAATTTTTTGGTAACCAGTTTTGCAGAGGTTGGGGAAGTCAGAGTTACAGTTCAGGCTTCCTGTGGGAACTCCATGCTTCAGGATTCCAAGATTGTCCGGGTTTTGGGTGAGACACTTTCCTTTCAAATATATATTTTAAACTATGCAAATTCTTTCACCTCCATCCTATTGTAGCTAAGACAGCTTGGGTTAAAGCTTGGGCTTTTCTGAATATTTACAAGTCTGTGGGTGCTTCAGCTGTGAACATGACAAATCCTGGCACGCAATCAGCTTTGGGGAATTAATTCTACTCTTCCAGTGATTGTCATGGTTTTGTTACTCATGTGTGTTCATGCACTATGTAGTTCTGCCCTTAGTTGCTTGTTTTCTGTTGTGAAAATTTTCAGATAAAGACTGTGGTTATAGAATATTTCTTTTGCATAATAGCTTTGTGCAGAGAAACTTTTGTGCAAATCCAGAATTGTTTTTTTTATGTATACAAAATTTGTTTTTAAGTTCTCTCTCCCTGTTTCCAGATAATTTTCAAGTACTTCCTCTAAGGTTTTCTGAACACCTGGACTTATACAACCCAAACATACCTGCCTGGCGGGAAGATGTTGGCCGTGTCGTAACACAACAGATTGCAAAGGTGCTCTGATGGTTTGCAAATTTAGCAGAGAGGGAACAGAGGGAATGTGGAGCCTTTGGAGAAGCTTGTATATAGAGTTAGTGCAGCAGGATGACATAACTGGGTTTTGGTTTTACTTCTTGTTCCCTTTGTGTCTTTAAATGAAGTAGAGACATTTTTCAGGGAGAATGTGGTTTTACGTTATTTATTTATCAAGTTATCAAGGTTTTAACAGTGATTGTAAATAAATGGTCTTGAATTGCTTGTATTTACTCAAATCTAATGCTCACCATTTTTGGCCAAATTGTGGTACAAAAATTAAGGTACGCTTTTGATTCAATGGCACATTTACAATCATCAGCAAATACTTTTTTTGGTTTCAAGGTTCTGAAATTTGAGGTGTGCATTAGATTTGAAATTATGGCATATGATTTAGGGCTCAAGCAACAAAGTGCAAACAATGCTTTGATATACTGTACATCAGCGAGGATCCATAACAAGCACAAATTGACTTCTCTTGAGAGGAATATGATTAACTCATTATTCGGGAGTAATTTTCTTAAAATACTTGTCACTGGCTTGAGAGGAATGCCTATCGTAAAAAGAATAGTGGAATACTTAGGATACAAAAATGATTTTGATCTGTTATGTTTCATCTCCTATCAGTATTTCACTAAATTGTTTTGCTCAATTTCAGACACATTACCTACATCACTATAATTTTCAATATCACCTCCTCACAAGAAAATGTTTCACATTCAGATTGTTTTTTTATTTATTGTCCAACGATGGAAGGAACCTCTAATAAACCAATAGAGGCTTGGGGTAATAACATCTGGAGCATTGCGCTATCAAAACGCCTCACATACCATCAGCGATTAATCAAAGGTTTCTACAAAAAAGATACATTTGACACGATCTGGTCTCCCTTTTTCTCTTTTATTGAAGAAGAACAGGATATTTTAATGTCATCATCATCCTAGAGGGGATATATCGATTAAAAATGTCTAGCCAGATTGTTGGTTGGGTTCAAGCCAACATGACAGTGATGTGGGATTGAGGATTAGAATGATCATTTTGTGATACTATGGCAATGGACAAAGCTGTATTGTAACTTTTGAATAAATGTTTTAATGTTTTTTTAAAAAAGAATATATACATATTCCACCACCTCCCGCCTCCGGTTTTGATGTAACTATGCAATGGGGTTTTGTTGGTTGTTCAGTTGGAAGTTGCCTTGAGCAAGATAAAATGACTAACTAACTAAATAAATAGATCTCCCACCTTGCCCTGCAAGGTGCACACAGACACACATATTGCTTACCATGTTAGAAGATGGAACTGCAATCTTTTGCATACTTAGCTAGGAAAGAGACTCACTGAACACAATGGGACTTAACATAGTGTAAATGCAGAAGATCAGACCATAGCTGTCAACTTTTCCCTTTTCTTGCGAGGAATCCTATTCAGAATAAGGGAATTTCCCTTTTAAAAAGGGGGAAATTGACAGCTATGGATCAGACTGCATAACCATCTGTTAAAATTGGGGAGGAAAAAAGGGAATCTTTGCCACCTTGAGTCCCATCAGGGGAAAAGGTGGGGTATAAATAATTAGATGGTGATGATGCAGCACACAGCACTGAATCTGCCATTAGTGCAAGCGATAAGGCACTGGTGAAACTACAAGACACTTGAACTTAGTAAGTATTTTCCACTTTTTAAAACAAATTGCCTAAATCTTCCTATTATTATTCTTTATTCTTTATTACATCCATCCATTTGTTTGTTTGTTTGTTTGTTCTTCTCCAGTAGTTATTCCAAACCTTGACTAATTCATCTGAGGCAAGAAACAAATCAAATCAAATCACTTTAAAGGAGCTATAGTAGAGCAGTTTATTACAAAGGTAGCCATGCAGTCCAAGTCCATTTCTGAATGGTTTATCTCCCCTCAGGAAACAGGCGTACCTGAAGAAGGTCTTGTTACAGTAGTAAAACCTGGACTGCCCACAACTGCAGATTTACATGTGCTTCTATCCATGAACCACACCAAAAGCAAAATAAGTATGTCTAGCAATAAGGTAAGAAGACAGATGAATATTAATTTAGAGCACAATACACATTGACTGTCTCACTCCTTATTAAACTTAAGAGTACCGTGTAATTTTGCAACATGTCTAGCAAAGCAGAAATTACGACTACATCATTACGACTGCATCTGTTCTATGTGCCTGGAGCCCCCAGGACACAGGTCATGTATGCACACTACTAATATCTAGGGATGTGCAGCACTGGTATAGGAAGCAACCGTCCAATTAGGCTGCAATTGTAAGGTATGAATTGGCCCTAGATTCACATTCCAATTTTCTTATTTCTCCTCCTCCTCCTTGGAAAAGAGTGCAAGGCATTAGCCTTGGAGAGCGCATCATGTTACATGGAAAAAAAAACCTGTGCCCCCAATACTGTACATGCTGAATTGAGACAGATATCATCCTGACAAACACTGCTCAGTCTTGTCTTATCATTTCTTTTTTAATATGGGCAGTTACTGGATGCATAATCATGCCTCAGTGCTCTTGCAGCTGAAGCATGAAGTGAAAAGTCCTTGTGACTACCACTGAACAAAATCAATATTTCAGAAGTCACAGGGCCCCTATAGTATTAAAATATTCATCTTTTGCCATCAGCTTTAATAGGAATTATTTCAGATTCTGCAGCATCAGGATTCACTGCCTTCTCATAGATGAATGTTTTGCCTCAAAATTTGCTGTGGGTAACCCAAATTTGAGTACAGTGGTACCTCGGGTTACATACGCTTCAGGTTACATACGCTTCAGGTTACAGACTCCGCTAACCCAGAAATAGTGCTTCAGGTTAAGAACTTTGCTTCAGGATGAGAACAGAAATCGTGCAGCGGCGGCGCAGCGGCAGCAGGAGGCCCCATTAGCTAAAGTGGTGCTTCAGGTTAAGAACAATTTCAGGTTAAGAATGGACCTCCAGAACGAATAAAGTACTTAACCCGAGGTACCACTGTATAAGAAACCCCTACTTCATTTTGAATTTTACTTTTCGCTGAATTTTCATAGCAACTCAACAGTGAATAATTCCACATAAGCAATGACTTCCTTTTGGCGGTTGTGGAAGGTAGGACCTGCCTAATGCAGTTTTTCTTATGTTTCCAGAGAATAGCTGCTATTAAGCAATCTTTGAATGCTCATAACATCAGTTTCTTCATGAGAGGAGGACACTGGGTCTTTGTGACCTTAGTTAGCTCTGATTCAGGTAAAATTTGTATCCTTTTTTGACAGTTAGTTGATGTTCCTCTCATGTTTAAGTTAAAATAATATTGAAGCTCCATATTGGTTTGGAATTCACACACACAAACACACCAGTCAGCCTATAATTACAATTAAAACAATCACTTTGAATAAAATTTAAATGTTGCTCTTAAATGGAAGAAAATCCTATTGAAGTGAAGATTCCCTGCGTCCAGAAATGAGGTTAGGCCTGGGGAGTTAGATCTTTTCCACACCATACATAAAGCATATGGCCTCCCCCAAAGAATCCTGGGACTTTGAGGAAGGGTGCTGGGAATTGCAGTTAAGTCAGTGGCTATACCGTTCCCAGGACCTTAGTCCCATTGACTTTACTGCATTGTGGACAAGATGAGTGGATACAGTTTAGGGTCACTTTTTAAAAAAGTATCTGCACTAATGCTAAATACAGAGGATGGTTGATTGTTCTCAGGATTGAATTTAACACTGTGTGCCTTTGGTTTCAGATTCTCAGAGTATTGGAGGAGGAGGGTACTGGGCGATAATGGCCCTTTTTGTCATCTCTCTGGTGGCTGTAGGTGCTATCATCCTCTACAAGTTTAAAAGGCAAGTGATTTTACATCTGGCATCATATGCAGAATATGTTTATAAAGCAGAAGTTGTCTGGAAATCATAGGAAAAGCTTTTCTTTTCTTTAAAAAAAAAATCTTCACCTTTTTTTCAACATCTTTTCCCTAACCCTATTATTATAAACTTCTCATGGTATGTTAATAGCTTCCAAAACATATATAAAACAGATATAATAACAATAATTCCCCTTTTTAGGAAACAAAATATTATTCACAGTAGGGACAGATTTTTTAAAAATTAAACTGAAAGTAACTTTGCCTGTACAAAACGTTGTGAGTAAAGGCTGTGGGAAAATGATTTTTCCAGGATGTGTAGCAGCTTCAGAACCCCTGTGCCTGCAGGGCAGAAAAGTGCCAGTGGCTTTGCGTTCTGTTCCTGCCCCCACCCACCCAGGCTGTGCTCGGCTCCTGCCCCACATCCCAGGGGGAAGAATTTCGGTCCAGAAATTAAAAAGTAAAAAATACCCCCTTGCCTGATCAAGTATTTGGGGGTGAGTCCTGAATAACACTGTATGACTAGACTTTACTCTATGAACTTCAAAATGGTTTGCAGTGGTTGATGTGACTGTTATTCCCTCTGCTGCAACAAGAGAAAAGTAAGAGTATCTGGTGAGTTGGTGTCAGCCCTCTCTACCAAAACTCAGCAGAGCGGAACCTGGTGCTTCCATGCATCTTTCAGGGGTTGCCTGGTGCTCAGCTTCCTAAGAGCAGCATTGTAGAGTTAGGACAGTAGCATTCATTTCACTTTAATTACAGTCACAAGCTGTACCAATCTCAGTTACTAAAGATCTGTTGTTCATAATAATGAGTAAGCAGGAAACGAGCAATCTGTTCAGTTCCTTTAAGTGAGCAATGAGCAATCAAAACACTGGAAATACAAATGAGAAGAGTACTTTGGGGCTAAACAAATCATTTTATTAGTCAGCTTATGTCACAAACACTAGGTTAGATCTGGGGATACTTGAAGAATTCAATTTCAGATGCAAAACAACCTGATCTACACTTCCCAAATGGAAGGAGGAACATAACTATCCTTCAAAAGTAGTTCTCAACTCAAATAAAATACACAAAAATGTGTTAAACTTTTAAAAATAACATATATTTATAAATGTGCACATTGAGATAGTAATGAACAATCACAAATAAATGCAGAAATGGAATGGACCTATCAATGAAGACCTGAAAAATTGACACAGAATGGAAACAGATTGATCTGTCCAGCCCTAGTTGGATACAAGAGTTCTCTGGAACTGAGGGTTGGGACATTGAACTCTACAGACGTCAAACTTCCCGTTCTTTGGCCACACTGACACATAACAATCAACCGTTGTTTCTGGTTTGTTGTGCACAATCAACACGCAGGTGCAACCTGATGCTTTGCTTCTCCCCTGATGCAAATAGAGAAACAAACATGGGGAAAACGAAGCATGACTATGGGTTCAGATGTAACAGGAAGCCAAGCTTAATTGACAATTCCTGGTTTGTATCTCTGCTTGCCTCAGGGAAGAAGCAGAACATCAAGTCGTACCTGCATGTTGATTGTGCACAACAAAGTCATATAGAACTGTGTCAGATGACCCAGAATGCCAGTGGTGTGCCCCATGGGCAGACTTCCCACAGGCATCTTGTTGGCCACTGTGAGAACAAGATCCTGAACCATGGCCCTGACCCAGCAGGCCTCTTTTTATGTTCTTAACCAGGGATTTGCCTCAATGCACCTTTTAAACATTCCTTTTGGAGGTAAAGATTTAGGCCAGGGGTCAGCAACATTTTTTGAGGCTGGGGCGGTCCACTCCCTGACAGACCTCTCGATGGGCCGGAGCATGTGCACCCATGCGGGTGCTCAAGCTATTTCCGGCGCTCTTCTGAGATGGAGGAGCACCCGTGCGCATGCGCACATGCTATTTCCGGCGCTCTTCTGACCCGGAAGTCAGTTCCCATGGCGAGAAAAAAAATGGTGCCCCCCCCAAAGCACGGAATCTGCACGCCGATCCACGGAATGGCCTTGGGCCAGTTCCAGGAAGCTCATGGGCCAGAAAAAGTCCATGGGTCTTAGGTTGCCAACATCTGATTTAGGTCCTAGTATGGCTATAGTAGCATGCAAAAACAGGTGGTTCTAGGTTGGCAAGTACATTCCCATCAGCATGAATAGGTGCTTCTAGCCAATTCAATTGAGTCTTAATGAGCTGGTATTATCCACACCCATTTGTGGATCAGGGCAGCACTGTACAACATTGCATTACAATCCTGTCTTGTACTCTTAAGGAAATTACCAGGCAGAAATGTCTATGCACAGATGCAAAATGAAAAAGAACAAGAGATGACCAACCCTGTAAACCGTAGAGAGGACACCCAAAATATCATCCAGGGGGAGGAGTTTATTGATGATGATCTTGATTGTCAAACACTAGGAAATGCAAGAGGTAAGTACACCTTCTCTTTCTTTACTGGCAAATTTCTGCTCGGCTCCCAAAAGGGTTCTCATAATCAATAATACCAACTGCTATATTATTGCAGCATCCAAAAAAATATGTTGTACACATGTCAGTCCATGGGAACAAATATTTATTTAGGACCCAAGTGCTGAATGAATAAAATAAGGAAAATTATAATGGCAGTGGTGGTAGGGGTAAATCACCACTAACTGTATGCTTGACAAGCACTATATGGCAGTGACTCACTTTTTCTTTTTTAATTACATTGATTATGGAAGCAGTTGTTTGAGTCAGTTCCATAACCGTTTGGAAATGCATTTCCAATGTACCAGCAGCCTGAGTGGCATTCTTCATTATATTGTGGTCATTGTAGACCACAGCAGCTGTATTATTCATATCTGAATTCTGATTTACCAAAGGTCACATCCACACCATACTTCCTTCAGAGAATCCTCTGGACTGCAGTTTGTTAAAGGTGCTGGGAATTGTAACTGTGTGAGGGGTAAATTGCAGTTTCCAGGATTCTTTGGGGAAAGCCATGACTGTTAAAGTGCTATACAGTGGAATCTCAGGTTGCGGATGTAATCCGTGATGGAGGCACGTCTGCAAGCCGCAGTGTTCGCATCCTGAAGCGCCGCGTCTGCTCCAACACGATTCAGCGCTTCTGCGCACGCACAAAGCGCGATCTAGCGCTTATGCGCATGTGCGAGTGGCGAAACCTGGAAATAACCCGTTCCAGTACTTTCGGGTTTCCTGCAGTCCGTAACCCAAAAACACGTAACCTGAAGTGTCCATAACATGATGTATGACTGTAAATGTGCTTTAAAGGCAAGGTGTGGATGTGGCATTAAACATACATTCTGGATTCTTCAATCTATATATTTTATTAATTAATGGAAACATTGATTTAAAAAAGTATATGCTGAAGTAATCTAACATTTAATACTTTATAAAATATGTCAATTAGGTTGACACTTATTAGTTCTTGTAAAAAGTGACTACAGCTAAATCTGTTAGCTTGACTGGGGTTACTTCCTATTCTAGTTACTCACTGCTGAGGGAGAGGTGAATCTGAAGGCCTAAGGACTAGAAAGTGAGCATCGTGGCGCCAATTTCAAAAAGGGGATTGGGACTACAGGGAGTGGCAAGAGAGGCTGGAAATCACAGGCCAATTAGCTTAATGTTTGTCCTGGTAGAAACACTAGTTGAAGATAAAACAAGCAATCATATAGAACAAGCCCCACTGAAGCAAAACCAGCATGGCTTCCGCAAGGATACATCCCATCTCACTCCTTTTTAGAGTGTCAAGTACCATATAGGTAGCAGTCATGGAATAGCCATATAGGTAAGCAGAGCTTAGCAGTCATAGAATAAGAGGCAGGCTCCTCTTTTGTATCAGGTATTGTTTAAGTAAGAATAGATGGACAGATCTATCAACAGAAGGATCATAGAATCATAGAGTTGGAAGAGACCACAAGGGCCATCGAGTCCAACCCCCTGCCAAGCAGGAAACACCATCAGAGCACTCCTGACATATGGTTGTCAAGCCTCTGCTTAAAGACCTCCAAAGAAGGAGACTCCACCACACTCCTTGGCAGCAAATTCCATTGTCGAACAGCTCTTACTGTCAGGAAGTTCTTCCGAATGTTTAGGTGGAATCTTCTTTCTTGTAGTTTGGATCCATTGCTCCGTGTCCGCTTCTCTGGAGCAGCAGAAAACAACCTTTCTCCCTCCTCTATATGACATCCTTTTATATATTTGAACATGGCTATCATATCACCCCTTAACCTCCTCTTCTCCAGGCTAAACATGCCCAGCTCCCTTAGCTGTCCCTCATAAGGCATCGTTTCCAGGCCTTTGACCATTTTGGTTGCCCTCCTCTGGACCCGTTCCAGTTTGTCAGTGTCCTTCTTGAACTGTGGTGCCCAGAACTGGACACAGTACTCCAGGTGAGGTCTGACCAGAGCAGAATACAGTGGCACTATTACTTCCATTGATCTAGATGCTATACTCCTATTGATGCAGCCCAGAATTGCATTTTTTAAAAAATGATATTTATTAGAGGTTTAATAGTTACAGAAAAAAGAAGAAAGAAACAATAAAAAGTTAAACAAAACAAAACAATACCTTACAATACATCAGAAATAAAAAGAAAAACAAAAAACAATACAGCAAAACAACAAGAAAAACAAAAACATTTAAAAACACATCCAATATTTCCATATCTTTACCTTTCATTTACTTGTTTCATCGACCTCCTCACACCTCCCTTTTTTGTATTCTAGTTCAATTAGCTATTTCAGCAAATCCTTTCCATCTTTCTCAATTTTTGTTCTATAATTTATCTTAACACAATCTAACCTTAAATTTTCCACTTTGGCCCATTAACAATCTGTTTTTGCTTAATTCTTTATAACATTTCTGCTGAAGCCATATAACTTCATTCCAACATTTTTCTAACATTCCTTAATTTTACAATATTTCTATAAATAGTCTTTAAACTTTTTCCAATCTTCTTCCACCGACTCTTCTCCCTGGTCTCGGATTCTGCCAGTCATTTCCGCCAATTCCATGTAGTCCATCAGCTTCATCTGCCATTCTTCCCGGGTGGGTAGATCTTGTGTCTTCCAATGCTTTGCGATAAGTATTCTTGCTGCTGTTGTGGCATACATAAAGAAAGTTCTATCCTTCTTTGGCACCAATTGGCCGACCATGCCCAGGAGAAAGGCCTCTGGTTTCTTCAGGAAGGTATATTTAAATACCTTTTTCATTTCATTATAAATCATCTCCCAGAAATTCTTAATCCTTGGACATGTCCACCAAAGGTGAAAGAATGTACCTTCAGTCTCATTACATTTCCAGCATTTATTATCGGGCAAATGGTAGATTTTTGCAAGCTTGACTGGTGTTATGTACCACCTGTAAATCATTTTCATTAAATTCCCTTTTAAGGCATTACATGCCGTAAACTTCATACCTGTGGTCCATAACTGTTCCCAGTCAGCCATCATAATGTTATGTCCAACATCTTATGCCCATTTAATCATAGCCGATTTCACCATTTCATCCTGAGTATTCCATTTCAACAGCAAGTTATACATTCTTGACAGATTCTTAACTTTGGGGTCTAACAATTCTGTTTCCAATTTTGATTTTTCCACATGGAAGCCTGGTTTTTTGTCCAAATTATATGCCTCCATTATTTGATAATAATGGAGCCAATCTCGCACTCTGTTTTTTAATTTTTCAAAACTCTGCAGTTTTAATCTGTCTCCCTCTTGTTCCAGAATTTCCCAATTATTCGGCCATTTGGCCTCCATATTGAGTTTTTTCTGAGCCTTTGCTTCCATTGGTGACAGCCATCTTGGGGTTTTATTTTCTAGCAAGTCCTTGTATCTTATCCAGACATTAAACAGTGCTTTTCTGACAATATGGTTTTTAAACGCTTTATGTGCTTTAACCTTATCATACCACAGATATGCATGCCAACCAAATACATTATTGAAACCTTCCAAATCCAACACATCAGTGTTTTCAAGAAGCATCCATTCTCTCAGCCAACAAAAGGCGGCTGATTCATAATAAAGTTTAAGGTCTGGCAGGGCAAATCCACCTCTTTCTTTAGCATCTGTTAATATCTTAAATTTTATTCGAGGCTTCTTGCCCTGCCAGACAAATCTAGAGATGTCTCTCTGCCACTTCTTGAAACAGTCCATTTTGTCCAGAATTTGCAATGTTTGAAACAGAAACAACATCCTTGGCAATACGTTCATTTTTATCACAGCAGTTTGGCCTAGCAGTGATAACTTCAAGCTTGACCATATTTCTAAGTCCTTTTTCACTTCAGTCCAACATTTTTCATAGTTATCCTTAAATAAATTCACATTCTTAGCAGTCATGTTAACCCCTAAATATTTCATTTTCTTAACCAGTGTTAATCCTGTCTCCTTCTGAAACTTATCTCTCTCAATCAAAGTTAGATTTTTCTCTAAAACCTTAGTTTTCATCTTGTTCAACTTAAAGCCTGCTACGTGACCAAATTCTTGAATCAATTCCAATACTCTTTTAGTACTAGATTCTGGCTCCTGTAAAGTCAATACCAAATCATCAGCAAATGCTTTCAGTTTGTACTGTTTAGCTCCCACTTGTATACCTTTAACCAATTGGTCCCTTCTAATCATATTTAGCAAGACCTCCAGGACCGATATAAAAAGCAATGGAGAGATTGGGCAACCTTGTCGTATTCCTTTCTCAATCTTAAATTCTTCCGTCACTACGTTATTCACAATTAATTTAGCCTTCTGTTCTGAATAAATTGCACCTATACCATTTCCAAAACCTTGACCAACCCCCATCCCCTGTAAATTCTTCTTCATAAAACTCCAAGAAATATTGTCAAAGGCTTTCTCCGCGTCCACAAATATCAGAACTGCTTTAGTATTAATCTTCACTTGTAGTTTTTCTAAGATATTAATTATGTTCCTCGTAATGTCAGACAAGTGTCTGCCCGGGAGAAAGCCCACTTGATCTTTATGAATTTCTTCTGCTAACACCTTTTTTAATCTTTTAGCCAAAATATCTGCAAAAATTTTATAATCCACATTAAGCAGTGATACGGGGTGGTAGTTCTTGAGCTGTGTCTTTTCGGTCTCTGTTTTCGGTATAAGTGTAATATAAGCTTCCTTCCACGACTCTGGTGCCCTTTTCCCTTCCAGTATTTCATTACAGACTTCCTTTAAAGCTTGTATTAACCATTCTTTCAGAGATCTGTAGTATCTTGAAGTCAATCCATCCGATCCTGGGGATTTACCTAATTGCATGTTCTGAATGGCCCCTTCTACTTCCTGCTCCGTTATTTTGTAATTCAGCATTAACTTATTTTCCTGAGAGATTTTTTGTAGTCCATTAGTTTTCAAGAATCTATCAATGTCCATTTCTTTCTGCGTCTCCTGTGTATATAGTTGTTTAAAATACCTCTGGAAGCACTTTCTAATTTCCACTGGATTCTGTATATTCTTTCCTTCCACTTCCAAATTTGTAATGGTATTAAGTTTTTGTCTTTTTTTCATTTGCCAAGCCAACAGTTTTCCGCATTTATTTGCCGATTCAAATGTCTTTTGTCTCATCTGTTTAATCTTCCATTCTATTTCCTGATTCGTCATTTTCATATATTGTACTTGATATAACTTTATCTCTTTCAAAATCTCCTGCGACTTTGGTTTCACCCTCAGTTTCTTCTCTCCTTCCTTTATTTTTCCCAGGATTTTATCTTTTTTCTCATTTTGAATTCTCTTCTTAATTGCATTCTGTTGTATCAGAAATCCTCTCATAACCGCTTTGCTTGCGTCCCAGATTACTCTTTTTTCCACAGTAGTGTTCATATTTATCTCAAAATAGTCTCTCAAAGTTTTTTGGGCCTTCTTAGTCACTTCTTCATTCCTAAACAAAGTATCATTCATCCTCCATCTAAAGGAACCAATTGGCGTCAGTTTCATTTCCATCTTCCAAGTTTTGGGGCAGATTTCCACTTTACTAGTCTTCGGAGCCAGTCCTCTAGTTACCCAAATTTGGTCAATTCTTGTCCATGTCATTTTAGCCTCAGAGAAGAAAGTTCCCTCTCTTCCCAGGGGGTTCTTCATTCTCCAGATGTCAACTAAATCCATATTTTCAGTCATGTCAAAAAAAGTTTTTGGTAGTCTACCATCCTTGGTGACTACCTGTCTCTGTGCCTTGTCCATGTTTGTAGAGACCACTCCATTCATATCTCCCATCAGAATCATATTGTAATCCATATAGTCCATCAGGATCTCATGTAACTTCTTGAAAAATTCCGATTTTCCTTCATTTGGTGCATAAATACCTACTATCAAAAATTTCTCTCCTTGTGATTGAATTTCAATTGCAACAAATCTTCCTTGGTCATCTTTAAATATAAATTTCGGTGGTAGGCTCTCTTTTGCATAAAGGACTACTCCTCTTTTTTTAACTTTGTCTGATGAAATAAATTCTTGGCCCAATCTTTTATTACTCAATATCTTCCTATGTAGCCTTATCACATGTGTTTCTTGCAGACAAATCAAGTCCAATTGTTCTTTTTTGAGTAAATGAAAGACTCTCCGCCTTTTTTCCGGGGAGTTCAGACCATTAACATTCCAGCTTAATACTTGCAGTGCCATGACGTAGTTACTCTGATTTTCCTCCAACTGCACCCAGTGCCTGCTCTTCTTCTGTTGGTAGTGTCGGTGTCACGTTCACTAGGTGGTCCAGTCCAAAAGGTAATGTTGCTATGTCCACTATTCCTCTTTTTGGTGATCTTCTGTCCAATGCTCTTTGCTCTAATCCTCTGTCTGGCAATCCTCTGTCAGACCCTCAGCCCAGAATTGCATTGGCTTTTTTAGCTGCCGCATCACACTGTTGGCTCATGTCAAATTTGTGGTCAACCAAGACTCCTAGATCCTTTTCACATGTAAAAAGTGGAGTCCCCCAAAGATCAGTATTAGGACCTATACTTTTTAACTTATTCTGAAATGATTTGGAGCTAGGGGTGAGCAGTGGGGTGGCCATGATTGCTAATGATGCAAAGTGGTTAAAACAAAAAGAGGTAGTGAAGAGCTCCAAAAAAGATGAGTGGTGAAATGGTGAACACAATTCAATGTAAACAAGTGTAAAGTGGTGCATGTGAAGAGAAAAAACCCAATTTCAGGAATGATACCTTGGGGTCATAGTGGATAGCTCAACAAAGATGTTGAGCTGTGAGAAAGGCGAATTTCCTGCTAGGGATAATTAGGAAAGGAAAATAAAACTTCTGATATAATGCCATTGCACAAATCAATGGTTCAACCGCATTTGTAATACTGTGTACAGTTCTAGTTGCCTCATCTCAAAAGGAATATTGCAGAGTTGAAAAAGGGAAAGAGCAACCAGAATGATTGAGGAACTCCTTATGAGGAAAGGTAGCAGCATTTGGGGTGTTCGAGTTCAGCGAGTCGGCAAGTAAGAGGCAACATGATAGAAGTGTATGAAATGATGCCTGCCATTGAGAAAGTGGACAGAGAGGTATTTTCCCCCTTGCTCATAACACTAGAACTCAGCGACATCCAATGAGACTCAATGAATTCCACAATTTCAGGACAGATAGATGAAAGCTCTTCCTCATGCAGTGCATAGTTAAAACTCACTCCTACACGAGGCAGGGATGGCCAGCAACTTGGATGGCTTAAAAGAGAATGACTGTATAGTGGTACCTCGGGTTACAGACGCTTCAGGTTACAGACTCTGCTAACCCAGAAATAGTGCTTCAGGTTAAGAACTTTGCTTCAGGATAAGAACAGAAATCGTGCTCTGGCGGCACGGCAGCAGCAGGAGGCCCCATTAGCTAAAGTGGTGCTTCAGGTTAAGAACAGTTTCAGGTTAAGTACGGACCTCCGGAACAAATTAAGTACTTAACCTGTGGTACCACTGTATACAAATTCATGGAAGGTAAGACTAGCAATGGCTACTAGTCACAATGGCTTTGTTCTGCCTCCACTGCCTCTTCGAAGACAGACACAAAGAATTCATTCAACTTTTCTACAGTCTCCTTTTCTTCTTTTAGCACACTTTTGACCTTGTCATTCTAGGGTCCAACCACTTCTCTAGTTAGCCTCCTGCCTCTGATGTATTTAAATAGTTCATTGTTATTGTTTATGTTTTTAGCAATTTGCTCCTCAAATTCATTTTAAACACCTGCTATTGTCTGCTTGCATTTCTTTTCTTTTTTGTTCTCTTCATTTAGACCAAACTTCCATTTTCAAAAGGAAACCTTTTTGTCTCTAACAGCTAATTGAATTCTGCTTTAACCACAGAGGCTGTGGTGGTACATTTCTTGATCTGTGTTATATATTTTAGCTGAACTTCCCAAGCACATGGGTGTCTGCAGAAATAATTTCAGGGGCAGGGGCAAAGTAGATTTGTAAAAAGATTTTTAATTATAGGTTGTTGATGATGCTTTGCAGTCTTCATAGAACGTAATTCCACAAACCACTGCATTGTGCTAAAGAGAAGCAACGATAAATCATAGTGGATTGTGCCTGTTGGAAATTTACTGCATTTTATGGGATTATACATATCAGAACTAACTTCTAACAAATTCCTTTATTTGTCCATTTACCAATAACAGAGAAAAACATACAGCTTGAGTTTGTCCATTGAACATCAATACTTGGAATTCTAAACCAAATTAAAACCCCTAAGGCTGAATTTCCCCTACTTTTACACATATTTTTTATTCATTGTGGTGAATGCCAAACCCAAGGTCTGAAACCAGTCAGGTTTTTTTGTTAATGCTTTAAAAATTATTATTAAATTTCTATACCAAGGGACGCAGGTGGCGCTGTGGGTTAAACCACAGAGCCTAGGGCTTGCCGATCAGAAGGTCGGTGGTTCGAATCCCTGCAACGGGGTGAGCTCCCGTTGCTTAGTCCCTGCTCCTGCCAGCCTAGCAGTTCGAAAGCATGTCAAGTGCAAGTAGATAAATAGGTGGCGGGAAGGTAAACGGCGTTTCCGTGCGCTGCTCTGGTTCGCCAGAAGCGGCTTAGTCATGCTGGCCACATGACCCGGAAGCTGTACGCCGGCTCCCTCGGCCAATAAAGCGAGATGAGCGCCGCAACCCCAGAAGTTGGTCACGACTGGACCTAATGGTCAGGGGTCCCTTTACCTTTACCTTTAAATTTCTATACCACCCTTCATCTGAGGATCACAGGGCAGTTTATAGTATAAAAACACAAAAATACATAACATAGTAACAAACAAACAAATAAATAACCGTCCCGCCCCCCAGTTTAAAAGGCCATAGATTGTTTAATTACCCGGTGGCCTGGAATAAAAGGAATGGTTTTGCCTGGTATCTAAAGATATATAATGATGGTGCCAGGTGACCCTCCCTGGGGAGACCATTCCACAAATGGGGAGCCACCACAGAAAAGGCCCATTCTTGTTTTGCTACCTTCGAGATCTTTTGTGGACCTCAGATGAGGGTTGCCGGGTCAGGGTTCGCTGATATGGGAAGAGGGTTGTCTGTCCTTGACACTTGAAGAGTGACTAGTGGGGTGCCACAGGGTTCTGTCTTGGGCCCGGTCTTATTCAACATCTTTCTCAATGACTTGGATGATGGACTCAAGGGCATCCTGATCAAATTTGCAGATGACACCAAACTGGGAGGGGTGGCTACCCCAGAGGACAGAATCACACTTCAAAACGACCTTGACAGATTAGAGAACTGGGCCAAAACAAACAAGATGAACTTTAACAGGAGAAATGTAAAGTATTGCACTTGGGCAAAAAAATGAGAGGCACAAATACAAGATGGGGACACCTGGCTTGAGAGCAGTACATGTGAAAAGGATCTAGGAGTCTTGGTTGACCACAAACTTGACATGAGCCAACAGTGTGACGCGGCAGCTAAAAAGCCAATGCAATTCTGGGCTGCATCAATAGGAGTATAGCATCTAGATCAAGGGAAGTAATAGTGCCACTGTATTCTGCTCTGGTCAGACCTCACCTGGAGTACTGTGTCCAGTTCTGGGCACCACAGTTCAAGAAGGACACTGACAAACTGGAACGTGTCCAGAGGAGGGCAACCAAAATGGTCAAAGGCCTGGAAACGATGCCTTATGAGGAACGGCTAAGGGAGCTGGGCATGTTTAGCCTGGAGAAGAGGAGGCTAAGGGGTGATATGATAGCCATGTTCCAATATATAAAAGGATGTCACATAGAGGAGGGAGAAAGGTTGTTTTCTGCTGCTCCAGAGAAGCGGACACGGAGCAATGGATGCAAACTACAAGAAAGAAGATTCCACCTAAACATTAGGAAGAACTTCCTGACAGTAAGAGCTGTTCGACAGTGGAATTTGCTGCCAAGGAGTGTGGTGGAGTCTCCTTCTTTGGAGGTCTTTAAGCAGAGGCTTGACAACCATATGTCAGGAGTGCTCTGATGGTGTTTCCTGCTTGGCAGGGGGTTGGACTCGATGGCCCTTGTGGTCTATTCCAACTCTATGAGTCTATGATTCTATTCTATGATTCTATGACTAAATAAAATACAGTACTAGGTGGATCATTCTGTAAACAAAAAGTGAAGTTGTCAATGGTCTTTTCTTTTATGAATTTATCCTTGGGATAGCTCTTCCATTTTTCTCTATGGACACTCAACAAACACAAGCCTGACAATTAGTCTTCATTCATTGTCGATTTTAGCCCTGCCTTCACCCTCCACAATGTGCCAAAGGATTGTTTAGTTGTGCATTTTGTAACTGGGAGGGAAAGTGCTATGAGAATGACCATATTAATAGCAGAGCACATTTTGTTGTGGTCCAGTAGTTCAGTAAGGCTTATGTTACAAACATCACCCAGTGATGGTTATATTTCTTTGGTAGACTCACAGCTTGTGTGAGGGCAATGTTCCCAGAATGTGGGGGGGAGGGTAAAACTGTGATCACACAAGTTAAATGTGCGCAAGTTGTGAGTCTTTTTGCCAACAATTCATACCAAGTAACATACTCATCCCCAAAGTTTTCAAATTTGTAAAGTTCTTGAATGGGATTGAAAGTTTCATCAATGAAAGAGGACATCCGTGAGATAATTAGCGAATGCAAAGACAAACAATGCAAGTTGTTGTCCATGATGCACACAACTGGAACAAAATATGTCTTCTCTTGGTTTTGCCTGGTCCTGCTAATTGCTTGAGTTGCATGATAATAAGGGGTAATTTTCTGCAAACACACAGATACTCTTTCATTGTTGAATCCCCCAGCTTTCACATAGCATTGGTATGTTGGGAATTAGTCTTTGGATGCTCTTAGGGAAATGTTTTATGATGCCTTTAATTGTGCCAACTGTGGGATTAGCAGTAGACAATGGTGGTCTAATATATTGCCCTGATTTGTGCTTGAAACCTATAGTTGAGCAACCCTTGTATACTTGTACAACTAACTTATTGAGATTGAGTCCAAAATCAGAACAGGCAGATGAGATGGCATTGACAATACCTGCTGCAGTTTGGTCTGAGACTGAAATGAACCCAATGAATTCTCACGTTCAGATGCATTCACATCACTTTCTGCCGGGCTGGAATGGTTTTCCATGTTTTATCACTGCTTTCATGATTTGTTGTAACCTGCCCTGTGCCCTTATGGTGAAGTGCAGGTAAGAAAACTTATAAGCAAACATAGGGCAGCCTTCCACCCAACCCCCATGGAAAATCCATGGAAAGTCAGCAGAAACGAGGGCTGGCATATTTCACGAAGTGAAAATCCAAAAACATACAAATTGTCCCCCCCCCCCTTTTTTTGGAAAAACAATTTTTTGGTTATGTAGCAAAAAAATCCAGGATGAACTGCCTCTTTTTGGAAATTCCCCCCAGACGTCAGTTCCACCGTTGAAATCCCGGAAATTCTCCCCAGACGTATGGCAACCCTTAGCACAAACAATGTTGTTTCCTTCTGTCCCACGCCAGGGACATTTAGCCTCATGGTAATATCATCCCTACCCTATCTGAAACTGCATTTTTCTGGTGAATGGTCCATTCCAGAATTTTTATTTTTTTATTTTTGTTTCTATAGCCTCCATTTTGCTAATTAGCCGTAATAGTGGTTTGATGCACAGTCCCTTTTTCGAGATCTAGTGACATGCCCTGTGATACACTCTGATTCAGCACAAGGACCTACAAACATGAGTGTAGCATCCCTAGGTGGATGAGGAACAGCTGCCAGGCGTGGTTCCCAGCACCCTCAGGGCCGACCCACCCACGAGGCAAGGGGAGGTGGCTGCCTCAGACCGCAGGATCCACAGGGGGCGCAGATTCGGGGGGCCATGGTAGCAGCAAGAGTTGTGGCACACGCCTTGGAGGCCTCCTCAGCATTCGCACCCCCCACGTGCTCTGCCGCACTCCCCTCTGCCGCAACATCTTGGCGAATAGGAGGCATTGCTGGTCTCCTCCCACCCTTGTTCCTGATGTAGATCTTCATTCATCCCTTCTTCCCTGGCTGGGTGCAGGGACATTTTGTAGTTTGACTCAGGTGCCGAAGCGCCTTAGGCCAGCCCTGCTTAGATGATAGACCAGAACTACTATTCTGAAGGGGGAAGCAGGATTTGGATTAAGCCTTCCCTGCCCCGCCTCCCACTCCCAGCCAGGTGATTGGTACTCTTGTTGATTGACTGGGGCTGCCTGTATGCCCCCGGTTTAGTGCAAATGTATCATCAGGTCAGGGCCATGGTGTAAGGAAACTTTTCAATTATTCCATTCATTCTTTTTGTCGTAGATTTTTCTTAGCTAAACTGCAGGGGACGCTTCCTCCGATGAGGATCTGAAATACATGTGACAAATGTTAGATTTGCCATGGGGATTCCCTTCTCATCTTTGAGACAGTTTGAACAGACCCTTCTCTGTTTTACAGCGTAGTGTGACTAAACAAATCCTAGCTTTCTGTTCTCTCTTCTCATAATTTTGGAATTTTTACAGTGGCATATTTCTAGACTCACCCATCCACTTCTTTTGTTTTTATATATTTTATGTTGCCTACTTTATCGCCACCCCCACCTTGGGACTTCTCCACACCATTACCTTGCAGTGACTCCTTCTGGGAGAGGTGGAAACTTGAACAGCTACAGAGTTCCCTTATTGCTGATGGCAGTCAGTGTCCAGTCCCAGGTCAGTGTCATCTTAAAAGGAAGCCTATGGTTCCATTCTTCTCCCTTGCCTCCTCCCCCCAAACCACTTTATGATGTCACTTGGCTCCACACTATAGGGATTCCCAATAGTTCATCGAAAGCCAACATTTTTAGCAACACAAAACTGCTGCACCACTCTTACCTGATGCGATTTTGATAAAACCCACCATCCCATTTGGTGGAATTGTTCCTGGAATAGATGGGGGTGGGGTTCCTGTCAAAATCCTTTAATTTGCTAATCATTGTGCTTTGTTTTTCTGTTCCTTAGGCAATCTCTCAGGCATGGTTCTGAGCACTAATTCCAGGGAGAAGCACAGTTACCTGATTAGCTGATACTCACAAATGAACACATAGACTCTTCTGTTGGGTCCCTCCTTCTCCCTCTGAAGATATAACTACTGGTGGGATGGAGAAGTTGTCTTGAAGATAGGCACAGATGTGTAATACTTGGAGAGAAAGATAATATAATTTGTTTCCATGGCTGTGGACTTTTTTTACACCTCAAACTAAGATAGCAGATCTGTAGCCCTAGGCACACTTGCAACCACCTTTTCTGTCTCCCGTGTCTCTAGTTCTCAATGTTCATTTAATTGAATGCATACAGCACTTAGCTCACTGTGGCAGTATCAAGTAGGAGGCTGCAGTTCTTGAGCCATGAAGACTGGTTTTAAAAGCTGTTGGCTAGTTGAAGCAGAAATCTGGTGGAATGTTGGGAATAGTTTCCTTTTACAAGGAAGTGACTCCTGGGTCTGATGTGGCACAACCGAAGAATTCAGAGAGATACTGTCAAGAGACACGTTGATGACTCACTAGCATCCCTCTTCAGGCCCCGTGCAGCAGCTGTTTGAAAACATCGTACAGGGTGATGCTGAAGTGGGAAGTCTCACAGCTTCTTGTACATCACCACTAGGAAACTCTCTGCTTTGTTTTGTTCCCAGACCAGGTTTCCTCCTTTTCAGACACCACCCACCCTTCCGTAAGTGGGTACCACTAGACTGACTGGTAGTTTGCAACCTACATAATTATATAGTATACAGCTTGGGCTGCCTTACTGTCTTTTGGCCCCCATAACAGCAAGTGTAATTACTTTTTTTATTTCTGTAACCCTTTTTTGTATCTTTTTAAACTTTCTATTTTTATAGCTATACAAGCATTCCTGTCTCAGGATAGTACTGTCAAAGCAGCATACTTGGAACTTGCTATTTTAGTCTTTTTCCTTTTTCTACTGTGGGGCGGAACAAACTGGAAAAAAACACACTGCCTTGGATGTGTCTGACAATCTGGTGAATTAAATTTGAGAATTAATTCCATTGAAATGATTGCACTTTCTCAATCTTACCCCTAGGTGTCACGCTTCATTCCTGAGACCTGCGTTGAGCTAGACCTTATTTCTGTGTGCAGGACAGTGGGCTCCTGTGATGGTTACTGTTGTTTTGAAGGTGTGCAAGTTAAATGCTGTGTTTGCTTATTCTACCCCAAGTAGCTTCATAGAGCAGGAACTGCAAGGTTGCAGCCAAACCTGCATCTAATTGTATTTGCTCTGAGACTCTTGTGTAGGAAATGAACCACAGCACTGCTTGGAACTAGTCACTGAGCATCTTTCTAATTGTCTCACTTTTTACAAAGAACTAGCAGAGTTACCTTAGGTTTGCTGAATAGCAGTGGATAACCAAGCATAAATAAGAATGAGTTATGTCACACTTACTAGTATTGTATGTATTAGATTATTATGTCTCCAAGGTGCCAATGTTTATTTTTGCTGAAAGCACATTCCATTTTGTCATGTTCTATTTTGTCCTCTTGTGAACACTAAAGCAAATCCTGCAGAACTGTTAAGCACAATGCATTCAGGAACTGGCTATCCAAATGGATGATGACATTGCTGTGAATGAATTGTGTCTTTTTGCCACTTGCTCAGGATCTCAGTCTGTCTTTGTTGATGCCGCAAGACCTACTAATGCCCTGAACGTTTGCTTCGGAAGGAGCCATGCAGACTGCCGCTTTGCCGGCACAGTGCTTAGCAGCTGGTGAGAGAACATGGGCATGAGGAGTCCCAAGGACTTTATTTCACTGTTCATAGTACTGCTGGCACTGTAAACAGCAAAACCTCGCCAGATAGGATATAGGATAGAATTCCTGTCCACCAGAAACCCAATGAGGAAGGCAAATCACCACAGGTCTACGGGGTACATCCAGATGGGTGTTTATGCTTCACATGTGGGCAAATTTTTCACAACATTTTCATGATGATTGGTATCAAATGCCAACTCTTATTTCAAGGATAATCAGGATTTACCCATTCTGGAAAAATCCAATAAATTATATATTTAAAAAACCTGTTTACAATATTAAGCTCCTGTTTAGAAGAACACAAAGTCCCATGCCCACAGATCAATAACAGATTACTAAAAATGGGGGGAAACTGGTCTGTGTTATGACTCCAGCAAAATTAAATCTTATGGCATTCAATATTTTCTTGGAACACTTTCTGGAGAAGTGGATTATTAGAACAACTGTATTTAAAGTGCTAATAAGTCAGTTGATGTCCAGTGCTAACTCTTAATTCTAGATTTTTAGTATTGCCTCATGAAAAATATTGCTTCTCGTCCTTGGAATGGAAAATCCCCACCTTAAATCTACACACAGGAAATTCCAATTCTGCTTCTCCCCCAATCAGAATAATAATAATAATAATAATAATAATAATAATAATAATAATTTATTTATACCCCACCCATCTGGCTGAGTTTCCCCAGCCACTCTGGGCTGCTTCCAATCAAGTGTTAAAAACAATACAGCATTAAATATTAAAAACTTCCCTAAACAGGGAATAGAAAGAAGCTAAATGGTGTGTTTGTTTTGAGATGTTTTGGTTGTTGTGCTTTTGATTTGTTACTTGAGCACTATTTAACATTAGCATGCATTTACTGTAAACGCACACTTGTTTTCTCTGCCTGCCTTAATGTTTTTATAAGGTGTACTGTTCATGCTGGGATGAGTTACAGTCCATTATTCCAACCTATAGTTCCATGGGCATTGTTGCACAGACATGGAACTCCTGCTTCTTATATTCTTTAGTGAAGAGAGAAGCCATGCACATACGAAAGAACATGTGCAAATATGCAATCCCCTTTACTGAAGTGACTGAACTTTCATTTCCATCACCTTCTATCTTTTCTTGCATGTGTGAAAAAACCTTGACTTTGGCTGATAAAGTGCAATGCAGAGTTAACATTTTTCTAACTTTGCTGTAAGTGCTCCTCCTTCCAAACATGGAGGGAGACTTTTTTGGGAGGCGGGGGGGACAAATTAAAAGGGTTGGACTCTTATTGCAAGAAAGTTCAGATTCTGACAATTTGAAGTCACATAATATTGACATAGCTTTTGCTGTGCTTTTTAATATATATATTTGCATAGCGGTCACAGCAAGATGTTTTCTCCATTGCCAGATAAACTGCTGGGAACTGTGGGTGAGTTTCTGCTTGGATGCCAGCAGGGAAATCTTGACACAATAGGGGTTTTCACATTGCATTCAAAGAGTGTACAGTCTGTGTACCTGTGTACACAAATAGCTGAGCTGTACACTCGTACAGCTACTCACATGTAGCGTTCTAGGAGTGTGTAATCTGTGTGCACAATAGTTGAGGTGTACCAATCAATATGTGTACACTCTTTCACAGAAACGCTTGTACATATGTAAAGACAGCTTGTACCTATGTACAGTGTAACATGTGAACAAGCTTTGTATCTTCTCCCTATATGAGAGTGGAGTGGAGCAGTACTGATTGCAAGGTTTTTTTTTCTGTGTAATAAAAAGTTTGGAATCTTTTAGCAGTTCTTTTATTGACAGGTAAGGCTGCAATCCTAACCCCACTGCCTCCAAAGTAAGTCACATTTACTTCTGTGTTTGCAAAAAGAGGATGCCTGTTACCCTTGCCTCCTTCCTCCATGTTGTGGGATGGGTTGACTAGATTTTTAAAGTCCCATCCTTAGCAGCAAAATTGAAGCACAGGAATTAGGCTGTAAAGCCGCCTTTTGAGCAAATCCAGCCAACTAAGTAGGCTGGCTTCCCCCTTTCTTCCTTAACAAACAATCAGGCAACAACTTGGGAAGTAAGTTTAAAAATATAATTTACTTCCTTATAATCTTGCATTGGTTCAACAGTCAAACCTTTGCAGGCAAAATACCGTATTTTTCGCTCTATAAGATGCAGCAGACCACAAGACGCACCTAGTTTTTGGAGGAGGAAAACAAGAAAAAAATATTCTGAATCTCAGAAGCCAGAACAGCAAGAGGGATTGCTGCGCAGCGATCCCTCTTGCTGTTCTGGCTTCTGGGATAGCTGTGCAGCCTGTATTCACTCCATAAGACGCACACACATTTCCCCTTACTTTTTTGGAGGGAAAAAGTGAGTCTTATAGAGCAAAAAATACGGTATTTATATTGACAGTATAGCCAGCTTCAGGCTGGAGCAAGCAGAGACATGTCTGCATCCAAGACTGGTCAAAAAAAGCAAGCAAGAAAAGAAGGAAAATGTTTTTCAAAGGTCTGACTTTCTGCCTCTCAACAAAACAGCTCTGTGGTATTAGCCCCTTCTCATGCTAACTAGCAAGAATATGCATTTGTTAGATTTGGCAGCTAATCTCCCGCACGTGTCTAATATTAGATTGTAAACTCCTTGGTGCAGCAGTTTTTTTGTTTTTTACTCTGCAAAAGCATAATGCACACTGATGACATAATAAAAATCATAAGAAGATGCTACATGATCTGTTGCCTGGTGCAAAGCCCCACAGTGAGGGTGGCCGGAAGAAGCAAGGGTAGGGATACTAGCAATGTGAACGCATGGCTCAGGCATAGAAGCTTTGAGCAGTGGTGACCTGACCTGGGCCAGCTGGGCATAAGACTCAGGGAGGCCTGACGAGAAGGGGGCAGCTCAGGTCCCAGCCCTTTCAAAAGGGTTGATGATTGCACTCATCAGTTGATAATCGGGACTCACTGTCCAAACTTTTAAGAGAAGGCATAAGGAAATTTTGAAGCCACCTAGCAGGGAGCACCTCTTTTCATAAAGCAAGGTGGAGGCTTAAAAAAATTAAACAGAAGCAGCACTGTCTCATTGGTTTTGTGGTGACCTGCAACTTTCACCTCTCCTAAGGTATGTACTGCAGTTTTATGTCTTTCATTTTGCATCCTGTTTCTCATAGCATGTGCATGAACACACCCCACTGTCTGCAGCTGCCAAAAGGCTTGTTAAGCTCTGAGGTGCCTGATTTGAATTCATGAACCACTTAAAATGGGAGCAGTATAAGGCAGAGACAGGTGACCAGTAGACACCAGTAGACCAGTGACAGCAAATGCAAAACTCAGCTACCTCAACTTCTGCTACAACTTTTGTCATCTTGTTTGTAGGTAGTAGGTGACAGCTCATGGTATTTGCTCCATGGATTAAATTGAGACAAAGGAAGTGGCTGCCGCCACCCACATGTCTCTTCACTGCCAGAATCATCTAAAAACACTGCCATCCCTATAGCCATTCACTTTATCTCTGGGTGATGCTGTGGTGGAAGAAAAATTTCAGGAGAGCTGACACATTTCAGAGTTTGACAATATATCCAAGAATTTCTTCTGATTTAAAGAGATGACTCGGGCATCTTGGGAGAGTTCATAATCTTTCTGTTCATAATTATGGTGAAAATTGACATTTTGAAAGGGGAAATTAATCCATCTTAAATTAACTGACTGAAAAGCTTGTGGGAAGGCAATTAAGTACAATCAAATTAATATAATTGATCAAATTACTAATTGGTGCAAATTCAGTTGAAATTAATTATTTTAAAGGTCCACTGATTTCAGTGGGAGATATTAGCATATTAGTTCAGTCTTCTTTATGGAAAGCAATGGGAGTTAATGCCTTGACTGGAATGTACCTTCTCTGATGACTAAGAGAAAATGGGTGGTTATTGCAGCAAGAATGAACTACACCTGGAGATTCTTTCCAGAACACTACCAATACAGAGAAAACATTATTGAAAGGGAGAAAGGGGGCATGTGTGTTGCCATGTGCCATGTATTTTGTACATTAAAATACATAACAAGAAGACAGGCTTTCACATCACCCCCACTAGAAAACATACCGTATTTTTCGTTCCATAGGACGCTCCGTCCCATAGGACGCACCTACTTTTTTGGGGGGGGGAAATAAAGGAAAAATTTTTTCCCTTTATTTCCCCCCCCCCCCCAAACCAGGGGGGGGACCAGTGGGGTGGCGGCGCTGCGCCGCCCCGCTGACCCCCGAGCGTGTGGGGGGGGCCGATGTCTGCCCGGGCGTGAGGGGCGCTCTGCTTCAGGGCGCCCCACGCGCCGGGCGGCAGGCTGCAGACACCTGCGCGAGGCACGGGGCGTTCCCCGGTGGGCGCCCGGTGCTCCGCGCGGCAGACTGCCGCCCCCAAGCCTTGCGCTCCCGGGGGGAGATCCCCCGGGTGCGCAAGGCTTGCGGACACCTGCGCGAAGCACGGGACGTCCTCCGAGGGCGCCCCGTGCTCCGCGCTGCAGGCTGCCGCCCGCAAGCCTTGCGCTCCCGGGGGGAGATCCCCCGGGTGCGCAAGGCTTGCCGGCACCTGCGCGAAGCACGGGGCATCCTCCGGAGGGCGCCCCGTGCTGCAGGCTGCTGCCCGCAAGCCTTGAGTGCCCAGGGGAACTCCCCCCCGGGTGCGTAAGGCTTGCAGATAGCTTCCTGGAGCCTGAAGAGCGAGAGGTGTCGGTGCGCACCGACGCCTCTCGCTCTCCCGGCTTCAGCGAAAGCCTGCATTCGCTCCATAGGACGCACACACATTTCCCCTTCATTTTTGGAGGGGAAAAAGTGCGTCCTATGGAGCGAAAAATACGGTATATATTTCCTGATAGTTTTGATTTTTATGGACAGGTGGACTTGGATGTCTGTGTTTTTATCAAGTTTCGTAGCCCTTTCTAAATACTTCAGAGCAAGAACCAAGCTAAGCATTTATCCATCAACATCCTTTTGAAAAAAGCTATGCACCAACAAACAAGACAGCCGTTGCTGCTTCAAAACATCTCTAAAATCTGCAAAACATCACCTGTGTGGTGTTCACAGCCTATTTCACCGATGTATCTACCGTACCTTCCAGCATTCTTTTTTTTTTAAATAAGATATTTATTGAGATTTTCCAAATGTTACAATATAAAAAATAAAAAAAAGAAAAAAAAAGAAAAAGTACAAAATACAAAATAAAAATGATTAAAAACCACTCAATTTTTCCATTACTTATTTTTCCTTAGCTTGTTCCCGGACCTCCTCATACCTCCCTTTTTTTGTATTCCAGTTCAATTTGTTGGTTCAGCAAATCCTTACCCTCTTTGTTTATCCTAATCTTTGGTCTTAAAATAGTAACGTTAGATTTTTACCTATTAACAACCCATTTTTCATATTCCCTTAAAGCATTACAGCTGGAAACCACTTAATTTCTATCCAACATCATTCTAACATTCATTAATTTTACAATATTTCTGTAGATAGTCTTTGAATTTCTTCCAATCTTCTTCCACCGACTCTTCTCCCTGGTCTCGGATTCTGCCAGTCATTTCTGCCAGTTCCATATAGTCCATCAGCTTCATCTGCCATTCTTCCAGAGTGGGTAGATCATGTGTCTTCCAATACTTTGCAATGAGTATTCTTGCTGCTGTTGTAGCATACATAAAAAAAGTTCTGTCCTTCTTTGACACCAATTGGCCGACTATGCCTAGGAGAAAGGCCTCTGGTTTCTTCAAGAAGGTATATTTAAATACCTTTTTCAATTCATTATATATCATCTCCCAGAAAGCCTTAATCCTTGGGCACATCCACCAAAGGTGAAAGAATGTACCTTCAGTTTCTTTACATTTCCAGCATTTATTATCGGGCAAATGATAAATTTTTGCAGGCTTGACTGGGGTCATGTACCACCTGTATATCATTTTCATAATATTCTCTCTTAAGGCATTACATGCCGTAAACTTCATACCTGTGGTCCATAACTGTTCCCAGTCAGCCATCATTATGTTATGTCCAACATCTTGTGCCCATTTAATCATAGCAGATTTCACCGTTTCATCCTGAGTATTCCATTTCAACAGCAAGTTATACATTTTTGACAAAATCTTAGTTTTGGGTTCTAACAGTTCTGTTTCTAATTTTGATTTTTCCACCTGGAAGCCAATTTTCTTGTCCAAATTGTATGCCTCCATTATCTGATAATAATGAAGCCAGTCTCGCACTTTGTTTTTAATTTCTCAAAACTCTGCAATTTCAGTCTATCTCCATCTTGTTCCAGAATTTCCCAATATTTCGGCCATTTGGCTTCCATATTGAGCTTTTTCAGAGCTTTTGCTTCCATCGGTGACAACCACCTTGGGGTTTTATTTTCCAATAAGTCCTTGTATCTTATCCAGACATTAAACAATGCTTTCCTGACAATATGGTTTTTAAATGCTTTATGTGCTTTGACCTTATCATACCACAGATATGCATGCCATCCAAATACATTGTTAAAACCTTCTAGATCCAAAATGTCAGTGTTTTCAAGAAGCAACCATTCTTTCAACCAGCAAAAAGCTGCTGATTCATAGTAAAGTTTAAAGTCTGGCAGGGCAAATCCACCTCTTTCCTTTGCATCTGTTAATATTTTAAATTTTATTCTAGGCTTCTTGCCCTGCCAGACAAATCTAGAAATATCTCTCTGCCACCTCCTGAAACAGTCCATTTTGTCCACACGTACCTTCCAGCATTCTTCAGATGCAGATAGCGACATTTCTCACTCCACCCCCCAACCAACTGACCCTCCTCGACCCCCACTTTTGTGCTCCCACCCACAGCGCATTTCCTATCAGAAGGGGAAGTGCCGCCACCACTTCACCAACAGGACACAGCACACAAGCCCTCCACCATTCTGAGAAACCCTCTTAATCCCTATTTTATTTTATTCTTTGGTACGTTTACAAAAAGAAAAACGCACATCAATAAATACATTTGAGAAAGATTAGATGTGGATGCACAAAGCATTAAAAAAATAAAAATAAAGCAAGACTCCATGCACTTTGCTCCGCTCCCTTTCATGCTGTCCAGGGCGACCCTGCCCTCAAATGTGCCAGGCAGGCTGGGCCTCAGGGGCAGCCGCCTCTCCTCCTCTCCCACTTTCCTGCAGCCTCTACAAGCTGCCCAGGGAGGAGACTGGCAACAGCAGCCCTGGAGAGGCAACAGGATGCTCCCTCCCAGCCGCCGCCACAGCTGCTGCTCAGGACAAGCGCCGGCTCCTCATCCTTCAGCTTAGTGGCAACAGTGCTGGGGGGGGGGGAGAATAGGGGCATTCCAGGGTCAAATCAGAAGCTGGGATGGCTTTCGGAATGCCAGGACTGACCCTGGAAAATTGGGACACTTGGAGAGTATGATCTACTCCTATTTGATATGTGATATCATATGCATTTTTTGTTTTTGAAAAGTCTTCTGGGATAGCTCAGTCGGGAGAGCATAAGACTCTTTAAGGGTTGTGGATTCAAGCTCCATGTTTTACAAAAGATTCCTGCATTGGATGATTCTCGTGGTCCCTTTCAACTCTACAGTTCTATGATTCTGTGAAATATAAGAGACACCCAGGAAGCCCCTGGCCTGAAGAGCGGGGCTATTAAATTATCAAAATTAAATGACCAAACCCATTAATTTGTGAACTGAGGTGCAACTAAGACTGCTTAGGATTTGCCTCCTGCTACTTTTCTAGCCCAGTTTCAATTCTTATTACAAAAGAATTTCAGAAACAGACTTGAAAGAGAAGTTGCTGAATTACAAGTTATCACTAAACTGAAAACTATGGCGAGACCTCCTCTTAATAAAGATATTGGATTCCTGTCTCATTACATATGCTAAGCATCTGCATACTATCCCTTGCTTTTTCCTTTAGGACTAATTGCAGTCGTTACCAGTTGTCAACAGGTTTACCATACCCATTGAGTCAATCACCCATCTCCTACTACCCTCCTGAGAAAACCCCCACCCCACTCTCCCAGTATACATAAGGGTCTGGTGACTTCTGTTTCAGTGTATCTGAAGAAGTGTGCATGCACACGAAAGCTCATACCAAGAACAAACTTAGTTGGTCTCTAAGGTGTTACTGGACAATTTTTTTTATTTTTATATATATTTCGACTGCATCAGACCAACACGGCTACCTACCTGAATCTAGCGTTTCAATCATTGTTCACATGCAATGTGCAGCATGTACTTTGAGGGATGAAGGCCAACAGTGCATGTTATGGCTCCACATTCACTCGTAGTTGATGGCTTACTGTTAACTCGCAGAAGGCTCAGACATCCCTGCTTGGCAGGGGGTTGGACTCGATGGCCCTTGTAGTCTCTTCCAACTCTATGATTCTATGATTCTATCCCTCCTCCCCTCTCGGCCTATGATTGGAACAAAAGGTGATTAGCATCACATCCAAACCATAGGTTGTGGTTCATTCTTGGCTTGCGATTGTGGTTTTGCTCAGTCTGCATTTCAGCCCTAACACTGAACTAGGGAGTGTGCTTGGTTGCTCCCACTCAAACTAGGTGGTTGAGTGAAAGAGCAGAGATCTCTCCATTCATTGTAAACCATTATGGTTTAACATGCTGTGTAAACTGGCTCATTCCATCATTGTCAGTTAGTAACCTCCAATCTTTGAGCATGTAGGCACCAGGAACCTGGATTAAGGGGGTCACTCCTGTTAGCACCCTGTGAGTTTTCTTTCAGCCCTGCGTTACAACAATCTAGAGTGTATATTTTCAGTAGTTTGTGAGGTACTGGTGATGTGCGTGTGGTCCCAGAACTGCTAAAAACAGTTGTGGTTCATTATTGGCAGGGAAGCAAAGGGTGGGTTTCTCCCCTAGGACTCCGGCCTCCCCATTTTAGTCTGCAATAACCCAAGATAAGGCGGGGTAGGGAGAAAGAGAGATTTGTCTTTCCCCTCACATACTAATGCTGGCCAAAAGCCGACACAGGCCTCTTTAATGATCACACTCTTCTTTCTTGCTGTGCTATTGTCTTTCCTCAAGAGGCATCTCTGTAAAAGATTCCATCTGTGCACTACCTACAAACATCAAGGAAAGAAAGAGAGGCAATAGCTGCTTCATGTTTATGGAATTTCCTACCCCACCCCCTGAAGGCTTGTCAGAAATCTGCCGAGAACATTTTTGGAACCGTGAAGCAATCCTGCCAAAGTAAGGTGTGGCTAAAGTGGAGATTTAACTGTCTTGTGTTTTCATTCTGATGGTTCCAATGGGACTGAGGCACACCTAGTGTACTCTGGATTTCATCCACTGTATGTGCACACTTTGGGCTTTGGCAAGAGAGAGATGTGTGCATTGCAGTTTGCTTTATTTGTTAATTCTTGCTATAACTACAAGTGAGGAATTAATCTGATTTCTCCAAAATTATATGTATAAAACGATGAGCAGTCAGAATGGCTTGGCACCAGCCAATTTGCCTGCCCTGGCTGATATTCTAAATAGTTTTTCGTATGAGCATCTAACTACAAAACTCCATGGAACAGGCTTCTTCCATGACTTGCTCTTCACACCAGTATGAACAATGCCTCAGATAAGAGAATCTTCAATCTAAGTGCTGCAACTTTCCTTATAGTATTGCATCTATTATTAGGCTTTAGCATTTATGCCCTGTTAGAATTATTGCCCAGCTCATTCTGAATGCAGAACAATTCCATTAAGACAATCTTGCAATGCATCCAAAAAGTGCTCAGGCTTGGACTTCTGGGAGTCTTCAGGTAGGAGCTGTGGATCTGGGAGAAGGGTCAGCTACTAAAAAAAAGAAGTGAGGATGCTTTTCTAGACAGTTTGAACCTGGTGTTTCTCTCAAAGACCACAAGCCTTGAATTTGGATCCAGAAGGTAATGAGTACACAATGTAGAAGACTCTAAATGTTCTGGTGACTGATGCAATGCATTCTGCACTAGTTGACATGCCTGAATCTTCCCTGAAGGCAAACCGGTAAGTCTCTTTTAGTCCATTGATGTACGCTTGCTAGGTTCCTGATAAAAGGAAGTGCAGCTCTTATTGGATAGCATTGGAGGGAGGTGGTCTTGGCCACTGTTACCGTCTGGGCACTTCTAAGACTACAGTTCTGAGTGATGAGAATGTGACATCCGGCCCCTCAAATCTTTGTTGAGAGCTCATGCATGACCATTTCATCAGTCTGGTCAAATTCAGTTTTCAGTTGCCCTCATATCACAGCACCCTCACAGCAAGCCGCTATGCTTATAGTAACCATGACATTTGTTTATTAATGTGAACTAGACTCTAGGCTCATGAGAAATGCTTGCGTCTCTTTATATGGAAATACAGTAACACTAAAGGCTTTCAGCTCCTGCATGTAGATTTGAGTCAACTGTGATGCTTATTTATACAGGCCATGAAGGTGTAAGTTACCTTCCAAACGTCCAGGAGCATGAGGAATAATTTATAAATAGTGATTTGTACTCAGATTTCAGAAATATGTTAAATATGTTTATATGCTTTTAATAACCATCACAAGTTTTCCAATCTTTTACTTCTGCCTCACCTAATTTTGATGTGATAATACCAGACACACTTTCCTATTACTATTGTAGATAACATTAGCCAGATCTCTTGGTACATAAGGGGTGGGAAGAAAGAGGAGTCTTGATTGCCAGACTGGACTAGAGGGTGGGTAGGATGGAGGAGCCAGTATATTTTTGTATATTTGTAGTGGCAATTTTGTAGTGATATGTTCTGGTTTTGAGCAGCAGCAACTAAAACATTTGAAGAGACTTTATGTTAACACTTAACTACGGTTCAATTGCACAATCAATAGTTCAATCTAAGTAGCTGAAGACTCTGAATGAGGAGCAGCCACTGATTTGATAAATAAGTACATAAGGTGCACAATGCAGCTTTATGCACATCTACATCAAAATATGTAAGCAGGTCAATTGCTGCATCCCACAGCAAATCTGCATTTGTTCTGAGAAACTGTACCACAAAATTTCCTTTATTAAAAGTTGTTTGACACTCTTGATTTTGTCTTTATTTTTGAGGGGGTAAAGTTAAGGCTCTGAGTCAGAGTACATGCAGAGGCCAGATGGGCAGGGTATAAATAATAAATTATTATAAATTATTATTATAACCTTTCTATGCACAATTGCTAGGATTTAACATATACCACAATAGTAATAATATGAGGCTGAATTTGGTCCAGTTGCTTTGCATTGATCAAAACTGGCCATATTCTGGTTATAATATGTAGAAATAATGATTGGTCTTACCTGAAGTGTAGATTTGGGAGTAGGGATTCTGGAGCCAATGGGAAAAATATGGACCCCCTGGAGGCGGAGGTGTGCTGTGCCACGAGCGCATTACTTTGGAGAAAATTATTGGAGATGAGGAGAGGCCAAAGAGTGTCCTGAATTGAAAAATGATGGTTGCCCAGGGTGAATCGAAGATATTGTTGATGTGTGGGATGGAGTGAGAAGTGAAGGTATGTGTCTTAAGAGATTGATACTCAATATGAAATCTCTATGGTGTATGGACTCTCAGATTGAGTTCTCAGATTCCATCTTGAATCTCTTTTAAGCCACGTAACGGTTGAGGAAGCGTAAATTGAGAACAGGATGCCATTTTTGTGGACCAGGAGGAGGAATAGGCAAAGTCCACCAACTGCCTCAGTTACACGCAAGCAGCCACCTGGGGGATAAAATTAAAAATGCAGAGGCCCCACTCAATCTGCTATACCACGGACCAGGAGGGCAGAGTTGCCAATCACAATGTAGAAAGGGCTAGCTAGTGGCTGTGGTGGTGGTGGCAGAAGGAAGGAGGAAACCATGGGGAAAGGGCTCCTCCCTTACCGCTTTTGTGATCTGAGGAAAAAAGGCGCGCAGGCTTTCAGGGCCATTGTGCACCAAAACAACACAAACTGCCAGAAGGGAAAACAAACCCCTTAAATCCAAGCACTAAATAGGAAAAAAAGGACAAGAAGAAACCAAAAGCCACCAAAGCGCTGCAGAAGTAAAGAGTGTTCCTAATCTTTCCAATCAGTAAAACTGTAGCACCTGAGGCGCTGGTGAGAGAGGCTAGAAAAAGAAAGAAAAAGACGTTCACGGGAACTCTGGATTTTCAGAATGGCAACAATTACCTAAAAACAGGGTAAAAGATAATAATGCGGCAAATGGAAGAAAGTAGGGATGGGTTTTAGGGAGAGTTGGGGGTTTTTGTTTTTGTTTTCTAAAGACAGGAATCTAGAGGAAATGACAGGGAAGGAAATTAAACTGAAAATGAGAAGAAATGAAATAGACTTATCTGGCGAAGAAGGAGAGCCAGGAGGAATGAACTGCTGCGCCAGGCCGGAGGAAAAAAGTGGGGAAGCCTAGCCTACTTCACACCATTCTTTGCTCCTGCCTAGTGTCCCGTGACGAGGACACAGCCATCCCATCGGCTCCAGCATCCCACGAGGTAAATTCAGTGCTTTTCTTCTAGAAAAATGGTGCCGGTCCTGCATACCCTTGAATACCCCAAGAAAAAAAGCTGTGTGGAATTGCCATTGGATCACTGCCATCACATCCTGCGCCTCACCCTCTGCGGCCACAAGGAACATGGAGCGGGGGGGGGGCATGGAAACGGAAGGAGGGGTCCAGAGGTAATTACTTCTATGCCAAAGATGGTGAAAGCAAAACACACTCTTGACACTGAAAGTTTTCCACTCTTATCACCGGAACCCAACTTAACCTTGTAGGTGAAATTTGAGCTTCCAAACATATTTCTGCTTCTGCTTTCATTTCCCCAAGTGGCACCTGCCTTGGAGGTGGCCCAGATCAAACCAAAGTGTGATCTGGATGGCAGCTGCATGCTAGAGGTATGTTCCGGTAGTAGAGGAAGGCACAGGAACGTGTTATTGTGTTTTCCCTACTGTTCTAAACCAATCTAAAGTTGGCAGTGTAACCCAGAGACAGAAATAACTTCCCAGCAGCTTCAAGACATCACCAAAAAGCTGTCATGCAACAGATCAGAAAAGTGAACAGTTAAGATACAAAGGCTGAGTTTTCACAGGGTATTTTTATTAATAATGTCAATTAATGTGTTACACCAATTAGGTGCCTGTCATATTATTTTCTGGGAAAGAAAGGTAAAAAACTAAAACAAGTAAGGCCGGCATTTCGTGTGGCCCTTTTCTCCATTGTCTTTCTCAGAAGATAGCAATTGCTCTTGACCCAGCATTTCATAACTAACAGCAGCCACACCAACACTGAGAAATGAAATGTAAAATACAATGAAATAAAACATAGGAGATATGAAAACATAATAACAGCTGACAAAAAATCCCCTTGCTTTAGTGTTCCTTCTTCATGGAAAACTTTAAATACGATTTTGTCTTTGAAAATACAATCATAAAAATAATTACATTCTTAATACAAGAGTATTCTTTTAAGTCAAACAACTCAGATCCATTGGTAGGTTTGGTAATAATGGAAGACTGATACAGAATTATTAATACATTAAAAATTTATTTTTTGCAAAGTCTTGCTCCCCAAATTATAACCTGATATTTAAAAAGTAGACCCACATCCCCATCCAATGACATAAATTACAACTTCCATAACAAAAATAAAAAACAGTTCCTGATTCATACTTTATTTTGGAATACTAGATCAGTAAAATGTCCTCACAAACATAGAAATGCAGTGTACAAAACCACTTTCTTAAAGCAATTCTTGATCATTAGTAAAACCTTTGCTAAAGGCCTGTGTGAAATGCATGATGGGAACGGGGGGGGGAGCAGGTGAGGAGTAGATCTCTCTCCAATCTGCAGACTTATCCTGGATTCTGTTTTTCTAAGTCGCAGCAGAGCATGACAGAATGCTTGTAACTGGTTTATCTAGAAGGTTGCACAGGAACCCTTCTACCCAAGCTAAAATCAATGAAACTGCTCACCTGGAAGCACATCCAGAGGTCTTCCTGGCCATTCAGAGCTCTGCCACAGCACTATTCTGCGCATGCGCACACACAAACATACACACTGAGAAAGGGGTGGAGTATATTTCACAGCATTTAATATGGTCTATTTAGAGGTTCTTTCTGTTTTGGTTTGTTTCTGCTTTTTTATCTGTATAAATCCATACTGTACATTATTTGTATATACCTGGCACTTCCAAGACAAAAACCAAATAACAGCAGGAACATCAGAAGGACTCCCACTGGGCTGTGGGGAGGCAGCCCAATCCTTTTACAATGCCTTGTTTTTGAAAAGTACTAACTCTCGTGGAGAAGAAGTTCAATAATACAGTTACAAAAATGGTTCCTGCAAAGTCAGCATACCAAACAAATCCCCACCTTCTGCATTAAGGGCAATACACACAAACCCTCACTCTGTTGAAAGGTTTTCCTCAAGCAGTGTAACTACACAGGGACTCATTTCCCTCTCAGGCTCAAGACGTCTCCCCTGTTCCTGTTCTCCCATTCACACCCTGCTATTTGGGAAGGCTTTTGTGTTTTCTTAAAAAGTCCTCTGCACGTCTTAAGAATTTTAAGATATGCATTTTTATGCCTTCTTAAAAATGCACCAATACATATATATTATTATTTTAACCAAAAAAAAAGGGACACCTGTTTTTTGATGGCCACACTAACCAGTCAATTAGTATTCTGCTCATTCAGATGAGGAGGTAACTTTGTGCTTGTCAAAAGGGTTAGCCAACCAGAACTCCATTGAGCCTACTTTTACTGGGAACAGGAGGTACCTGATGTTCCTTCATTTCATTCATTCACTTATGTACCTGTCCTTAAAAAGCTGCAGAGGCAGAGCAGGCTCCCTCCTCAAGCTACGCACGTCTGTCTTGGGCCTGAGTTTAGTGAAATTTACCAACCCGGGGGGGGGGGGGCGGATACAAAGATGCAGCAACTGAAATTTAGAATACACACTCTGCTCAAAGTAAGTTTCACAAGGGAAAAATAAAATTGCACATATCTGGTAATTTATTCTAGTTATTGTGCTCTGTGATCTGTTTAAAAGGGACAGCAACAGAAGCTGCTTCCTTATTAAACGTGCTGATCTAAGGTCTAGGATATATCATAAATATGTACATCTATAAATTAAACATTTAATGAAATATACAAATAAATTAGTTTAAAATAATTTGCCTAAATAAAATAACTTTTGTATACACTTCCTTGCACGGGACATTTTGTGGGATATAGATGACCTTTCTGCACACCACAGTCTGTAAAGCCCTGCCAAACCGCCATACAGGCCGGACAACTAAAGAGAGAGGTGGGCAGTGCTTGCCACAATTAACCCCTTCAGGGAGCATTTTATCCTCCCTACATGCTTCAGAAATTAACAAAAAGCTTATTATGTGACCAATTTGCAACAAGTGATGCATCTACAGGGTTTACTCAACCCCGTCCATGGGCTGCTCCATTCAGGACACTAGTGGAGGCTGTTCTTATACAAATTCCTTTGCACGTGCAGAGCTGCCCTCATCACTTCCTCGATATGAAAGCAAAGCATGGGCTTTCTGGGGATATTTTGTTTGCTTCCCCTCCACAGGCAGACAATCCAAGCCAGCTGGTCAGTAGGGCACCAATGGACTGTGGCAGCAGATTGCCTTTCCAGTCACATATGCAGGAAACAAAGCCCTCTAATTCTTTGTATGCGCAGTGGTGCCCATTGACACCAGCGGCAGATTCAATATACATGCAGCAAAACAAATGGTCCTGTACTCAAATCTGGCTCTAATCATTCTGAACAAAGACAGTGCCTCAAAGCTTCACAGTGTGGTCAGTGTGAATGATTAGATTAGGAGCACAGGAGCAAGAGGAACATGTTGGGAGTTTTCATGGGAATTTTAAACCTTCCTCTGATGGAAATCATGCAGATGGAGGGCAGAACTGTGTAAAAGAGCCGCCTTTCATCTCACCAGCCTGTCCAAACTTGAGGCCCTCCTCCGTAAGCCTGTGCCAATTAAAGTTAGGTAGGTGGTGGCCAGCAAGGGGGGGGATGACATTTTAATTCATAGCACCCCATTTGTGGATTGTCGTCTCCAACTATGATGTCATTTTAGCACCAGAGGAAGATCTGAGCATTTCAGCATATAATGTGAGCTGGTCTTGATTACAATTTTACACATTCTGCTGGATTGTATGAGTTTGCTTTAATTCCTGCTTCTACTATGCAATATATGCCACATCTCAAGGTGGGGAAAACAAAGTCAGTTTATCCACCTTCTTCCATGTTCTGGAGGGATCCTGCCAACAGGGAGGGTGAACGTAAGGGTGTCCCGTCCCCCACCTCTGGCCTTGATTTTTAAACACAATTCCCCTCCCATTGGAAATTAAATGGGGTGAACTGATGGGCTGACGTAATTTTCTCCCTGGTTTGGGGACATCAGGGGAGCCAGGAGGCTGTGGATCCTTTGGCTACTGAAGTTGTCATGACAGCACAGACCCCCTTTAGGATCAAAGCTCTCTCTTTCCACCAACCAGGAGGGATCTCGGGCGTCCTACGGCCCATGGGGTGCCTTCATTGGATTTGTAAAGCACACTAAATAAAACAGCATAAAACCAAACATAAAAATGTTCTGTTACATTTATCTGTAACACAGCACTCATCCAGAAGGTGCCATTTGCCTACGACCTGACCTTCCCTATCCTCAGTTTCTGGGTGGTGGCTGAAACTTTCCCTTTGGGTCTGACATCCCTTTCTGGAAAGTCCCTGGTGGGCCTACCTGATCTTATGTGGAAGGATACTGCTGGGATAGAAGACTCAAAAGAGGATTGATGCCACCTCTCTTGAGTAGTTCCCCCCTCCCTACTTATCTTATTAAAATAAAATGCATACATACATAAAATCAAAACTCTGTTGCTTGCATTCTGAATTGAGCTTTGTCTCCTACTTGACATGGTGATGGGGTGCCTTGGACCCATTGAGTTGCAGGGGAGGGCAGAATGGAAATCTTGTCCTTTGGGGAGGGATTGTTCCTGCTCTGGCTCTTAGCTGAGCACCCCCAAAGTGGCAGGTAGGTCAGAAGAGCAGCCTGCTCAGTCAGCGTTGCAGCAGGGTGGGAGAGTGTCCTGGCTATCTTGTAGCTTGACCTGAACTCAGCTCCATAGAAGGGATAAAGAGATGCTCTCCCTGGAAGGACTGCCTGCAAAAAAGAATTCAGGGAGCAGACACACCCTTCTAACTAAGGCTGCAACCCTAACCCCACTTACTTGGGAGTAAGCCTACTGAATTCAATAGGGCTTACTTCTGAGTCGACATGGTTAGGGTCACACTGTAAACCTCCCTATTGTGGTCTCTTCGGTCTGTTCTCAGGAAAGAAACAGAAGGAGCAAGAAGCACCTGCCAGTGGATGCTGCCTCCCAGCTGCCTTACACAATATGCCTGAAGAGGGAAAGACCTTGGAGCAGCCCATCTGCACAGCAGCTGTTTTCCTAAGATCACACAAAACTCTGGGCTGAGGCAACAGATATACTAAGGAGTACCAGAGGAAATTTTTGTTACACTTATGAGACATTTCTTTGGGAGGTGCAGAATAATAAATGATCATTTATATTCCACTTTTCAAGCGTTTGAAGCATTTCACATACATTATTTGCAACAACCCTGCAAGATAGGCCAGTATCATTATCATTAATGATTATTATTATTATTACTACTATCCCCATATTGCAGATTGGGTGGAGGCAAAGACACTGCAGCCTGCCCATGGCAGCAAGTTCACAGCTGAAGTGGGTTTTCAGCTGCAAACTTCTTGGCTTACAACTCATGCTTTTAGCAGGAAAAAGAAACGTCATATAAACTTAGAAAAATAAACATTAAATTGTTTTCTTTAAAAAATGCAGGGACACAGACCATCTTCTAAGCAGAGATCACTGAAGAGAAGAGGTGCTTAAGGATAACAATTAAAAATTGGTTTACTTTAAACATTCATTGGAGGTTGAAAGAATTTTACCTTTTAGCATTGAGAGAAAAGTGGCATTGTTTTAAAAAGGGGGGTGTTACATTTTTAAAAAATCAGATTTTTTTCCCCTTGGAATGTTTCTGAATGCAATGATACATTAGTTGTTCTTTAGACTGTTCCTTATTTTCTTCCTATATATCCTCCTCAAAACAACTTTAACTCTGGAGGGGAATTTGAAGTAGAGAGTTATTGATCCTGTTTACTTTGTGTGAAGGGGCATCCATTTCTATTGGCTTTTTGTGGGAGTGGGGAATCCATCTAAAACATTTGAAGAAAATAAAAGCATCTTCAAAAATAACATTTAAAAACGATGGAAGCTCTTTTCTAGTACAGCTGGGAGGAGCAGTTCTACACTAGTACCAAGGTAATATTTCAGTTGTGTTATCCTTCTTGGTCTCTAATCACCATGGAAAACAGCAGGTGCACGACTTCCACAGCGGCTACAGTTTTTCAGTTTCTACTTTAAAAACCTTGTAAGAACTGAATGAATGCCACAGAGTTGAGAATCCCCACATTTATCCAGCAACTTCTACAGAGAGCCAACATCTGATTTTGTACCAAATGATTAAAGCTATCTAAAACTATTTCAAATGAGTACCGAAACATGCCAATCTCAAATTCCATCCAACACAATTGCTAGTTTAACCTGATCCATCTACGTAACCATTTAAAATGTTCCTTTTATATTATGTTATTTCTGGAAGAAGTGTCACAGTAACAAAAATGACACATTCAAGATGGCCCTCCTCTTGGCTGTGTTAAACCTATATTGACCACTAACTGAACAGGATTGACAAACCCTTTACACCATGGTGCAGGTAAATCTTCTTCAGTCCATCTTGAGCCATACCAAACAGGGCACTAGTGACGATCTTACTTCTTTATGTTCCATTTTTCATCTCCCATTCCTAGAGGGGGAGACATTATATCAAAGTCATGTAATACTTGACTCAAGTACATCCAAAATGCAAGAGTTGTTCAGTGGACTTTACTGTATTCCAGGCTGCCACAGCCTATGCAGAAAAGGGGCCGAACTGCAATTTATGCAAGTTAAAAGTAATCTTTGTCAAATCTTTATTTACTTCACATGAACTAGAACATGAGGTTAATACACAAGAGAGACATGCTGCCATTCCATTATCTGCAGCTTACTGGAAGGGAAGAAATCAGGCAAGTCCAGAAAGAAATTCTAGAACCTAAAATTCTTACTGACTTGAAAAAATAATTGTACTATTTAACATCCTGTGATTCTTTGCATATCTGACGCTGCTCACTGCTGGAATAAGGCCCAAAGGCTTTCCGCTGTGGTAATGTGGCTATACAATTCCAAGAAGTTACTGCAACTAAGGGCCTGTTGGAGGAGTATGTGTGAACTTGAGAGAGCAGGACTGTAGTAGTGGAATCCAGCTCAGTTCCCTTCCTACCTCTGGGGCTCGGGACCTTTCAAAGCTTGGCTTCCAGCCAGAAGAATGGAAGTAACTGGACCGGATAGGATCAGATCACAAATGAGACTGCTAAAGCCTGCCCCATCTCTTTAAGGAAGGGTGCAGCCTAAGGTGTAAGCAAAATCCCCCCCTTTTAAATCAAAACTGTGTATGGATTTTATCTGATATGCTAGGCTTGGTCCAAGACGTCCATTTCTCACAGGACAGCATGCCATGCCTTCCACATGAAGATTTGCTTGCTTGAAAACACCCTGAAGTGAAAACTACACACCCTGTTAAAACCATAGAAAAAGGCCTTCCCTCTGAGACAGCATGTGGGACAAAATCCTCATGCTTTTAAACCAGCAACTCCCCACAAGAAAACAAGAAAAGTGTCCTAAGAAGACTGCATCATCTCTGCGACTAAGATAATGTCCAACTTGTCTCTCCTGTACCCACCACCAGCTACTGGGCAAAGCATTTCTTTGTAACAAAAATGTGAATCACAGCATCAGAAAAAAGATATACTGGAAACTGGACTGCAGTGCAGTACAAAACAGGCAACCAATGAAAAAGGAGGGAGCCGGTTGTTATCCTGGCACAAGTCTTGATGTGAAGTTCGTTTTTTGGGGGGGAAACCTACAACTGAAATGATCTGAGGCTGTTAAAAATGAGGGAAAGTGTGTTTGCCTCCTGTGAACAGTGGCAAGAATACAGAGGAAGCAAAAACAGAACTCTGAGAATGGGACTGTTCCACTTGCTAGTGGTACAAGAGTTGGTAGAGATGATTGCTGCTAATTTTAAGTGCTAAATTTCTTTAAATCATGTTTAAAGTGAAAATACATTTATCATATTTATTATGTAATTTGATTTTTTAAATGGAAGTTTAATGGAAGTTTTTGCATGGTTAAAACTGCCCTTTTTAAGTTATTTCCTTGCCAGTGTAAATTCCTTTTTAAAAAAACATAAACCCCTGGCTCGGGAAGTGAATTCTATACAATACCAAGCACAAGAGTCCAGTAAGAAAAATGCAGACCTTTGACAGGAACGAATGCTAATCCCAATTGTATAAAACCAAAGTAGAGCCAATTTTCAGTTTTGTTTCAGTTGAGTAATTTGACCTCATGTATATCAACATTAAAATAGTGAAGTCACACCACAGATAGATAAAATTTAGAAAGTACTTTTTTCACATCATCAAGAAAATGAAAAATATCTTAGGATAAACAGGGAAATGTATGCAATCAGTGACTGAGAACAACAAAGCATGTATGAGTATGTATTTCAAAAACTTAGGGCTCATCAGCCCTTCTGCTTGGCCCAGAAAAACCCACTCTGTAGCAATAAATAGGAACAGACACCAATCTGTAGAAAACCAAACTGAAATTTGCTCCAATTCAGTAGCAAAGATCAGGTCTCCCTGGGGAAAGGGGCAGGGCAAGAGCAAGTCTGGATGAGTCCTCATTCTTGTAAGCTGTGGGAAACACAATAATTTAACAGAGTTTCAGCTCTTAAAGCAAAATACAAGGAGTGTATTATAGGAAACTGAAGAGTCACTGAAAATGTTCAACTATTCTTCCCTTCAGTGTGAACTAAAAGAGCAATCACAGCCTTATAAGACAAGATAGCCATTAACTTTTTCTTTTCTGAACAGTGGCAACCCTTTCAGAACCAAAGTGAGACAGAAAACTGGCTCCTCTAGTGTGGGCAAAAAGCAAATAAGCCAAGCCTGTAAATATTGGTAGAGGACCATCAGACGCTGAGGCCGATCTCACCTTTGCCTTCTGAAGCACGTGGCCTCTGCAGGGAGAGGTGCTTGAGGAGGAGTGTCTTTTCAGGACTACAGCACTGTTCACAGGCACAGAACATTCAGTATCACTTGTATCACAGCTGGAGATAGGTGAATTCTCCAGAGTCTGATGCTTTAGAACTGGAGACTGTAAGAATACAAAACCATTTGAAATCATGACAGCTATCAAAACCTGCTCCTTGGTCTCAGGAACCATCGTGCAAATTGAGGATGCAATAGCTTAAGAGGTGTGCAAGTGGACCATGAGCAAACGACTTTCCAAAATGTATAGATGGGACTACAGAGTGTGACTGATCTGATCTGAGATGGTTTACTAATTGCCTTTATCTGGTAACAAGATCAGTACTTTAATGCAGTGGTTCCCAATTAGCTAATTACTGAGGGTCCCCTATTTTTCAAAAGTCAAGCACTGACCCCTTACTTTCAAATTTTTGGATACCGCAAAGCCATTTTTTGAACAAAATGTTGGCTAGCCCCTAATAAGCAAACAATTTTAGGTACGCTAAAAAACTAAACTAGGGCTAAGTGATATCCGGTTTTCAACATCGTGATACATCAGCAGCTAAACATCACAATATTCCAATATATAATGACGTCTGAAACTGGAGATCAGGCATGGGGATGAGCGAAGGAGCAGCCATGGAGATCAGATGGGGGTGGGAGGCAAGGAAGGGGAGTCACTTCCACTGCATGGTTTGAGTGGGAGGAGATAGGGATGGGGGGTGCATCAAGTCACGATCAGCGGGGCAGCCAGGGAAGATGCACGTCCACTGTGGCTGCTGCTGCTTTTCTGCTGACTGAGAAAAGCCGCTCTGCCTCAGTGCCAGGGGAAGGTGCCACAGTTCCTTCAAGTGAGGGCGATCAGCTGCCCTGTTCTCCATCAGCGTGAGGGAAGGCAGCTCAGATCAGCAGCGTTATCAGCTGAGATCATCATGCAATATTGACAACACCTTGAAACTGGCTGCTCTGCTCTCTCTCACACGAGGAGTGATATATTGCTGCATATTGCCAGGTCAAAATTGTTATTGCGGTGTGATTTCAAAACTGGTTTGGGCCAATACATTGAAAAATTGCACAGTGCTAGAATAGACCATAAAATTTGTGATATTACCATGAAAAATGACAAAAAAATCGCTTGGAGGAGGCAAGGGATGGGTCCCCGGACATCCTGGGTGTGTTCCACTGACCCCCAGGGGTCCCCGGATCCCTAACTGGGAACCACTGCTTTAATGGAAGTACCTGTGCAGTTGAGGTTCCTGATTTAGGCTCAATCGCCAGTCCCAACGTGATGCCACCAGCCAAAGCTTTCTTCAGGTTCTCTTTCACCTCTGTCAGCTCTAGTTCCAGAGTAACACGTTCAGACTCTTTCAACTTACACTCCTCTTCCAACTTCTTTAGTTTATCTTCAAGGATAACTAGTGTTTTCCTACCTGAAATTCAGAGGCAAGGTAAGTGATATCTGAGGCAGGGGGAGATTTGTACATTCCTAGTTACTCAATGAGGCCACAACCCTGCAAGCAACTTCAAGACGGAGGCATAAGACTTACTGCAATTTGACCAGATACAATCTTGGTTTCTTCCTCCTTTGTAATATCTAGTTGAGTTTACATCTCTGTCCTGGTGCCATTACCCCCATGACTCCTGTAATGATTATTTAGTAGTAGTAATAGGAAGAACCAATGATAATATTTCTGATTATGTTTAATGTGTTTTATGCATTTTTATCCTATTTTCTTTCCGCATATTGCTTTGGGGCATTCTGTTGTGGGAAAAGACTAACTAACTAACTACTCATGTACCTTCTCCTGCTACTGGAAGTATCTTTCCTGAGATTCTGGTCATACAACGGTCTAAGAAGATCAAACACCCAGCATACCAGCATTTGCTTCCAGGGCTGCTCTAAGGTCTTTCCTTTCCTTTCGAAGCTGAGCCAGGCGATTCCTCAGAGTTTCTCTTCTCCTCAACAGCTCCTCCTCTTTGGTCTGTAACCTCTTTGCATCTGCTTCAACACGGTTCTTTCCATATTTGTACTGTTCAGCACCTACACATAAAGGTTAACTATTAGGCATCAGAGAGCAGGAATGCTATTAATCTTACCTTCTTATATGGGGGGCAGGGCCTTGGCTCAGTGGTTAAGTATCTGCTTTGCATGTAGGAGGGCTAAGGGTCACTCCCTGGCACTTCCAGGTTATGCAGGGAATATGCAGTATTTCTCAAACTTGGGGTCTTCAGCTGCTGTTGAACTACAACGCCCATCAATCCTGACAACCGCTACTGCTGGGTAGGGATGGCAAGAGTTGCAGTCCAACAACAGCTGAAGGCCCAAGTTCGGGAAACACTGCCCTCGAGAGCCACTGCCACGTAGACAACACTGAGCTAAATGGATGAAGGGTCTTGACTCAGAATAAGGCAACTCCCCAGGTTCTTATTAATCAAAAAGCTAAGTCCCAACACGGACATTCTAACAGCCATCCAGCAGATGTGGCTGTTTTCCGAGGCATACAAATCCTTTCTCAAATGTAACCACCAAATCTCTGAACCATATTCCAAGATCTCTGCTTGTCACATCTCTTTCCCAGTGTGGTTGCTGTACCCACGCCAACTGTGGTCCAGGGGTGTAAACCTTTCAGCACATTTGTTTTAGCTTCCCGGCAGGTTTATGAGCCACACATGACACCTGCAGCCTTGGGATGTCTGTCACTTGTGTGGTTTGTAAAACACACCAGGAATCAAACCCATGTGGGTTTAAATACCTGGACCAAAGAAAGAGCAGTCAGGAAGGCTGTGGCAAACATGCCATCCAAAATTCTTAAGTAATTAACAGGAAGACTGAGAAAAGAAGATGAGAGTTTAATTAAGTTCCCTAGTTGTTCAGTGATTAACTAGTAATTGGAAATCACCAAATTCATTACCAAATGCTAACTGGTAGGACTGTAACTTTCAGATGACCTGAGAGTTAAGAAGGGCATGTATAAGAAATGGAAGAAAGGAAATCACAAAGGAGGTGTAGCCAACAGTTGCAGCGGGAAAGTCAGGCTGGCTAAAGCTCAGAATGAGCTCGGGCTCCCAAGAGAGGGTAAAAAAGATAAAAAAGGTTTCTTTGGCTATGTCCGAAGTAAGAGGAAAAACAAGCAAGTGGTAGGTCCTATGTGTCCTACTCAACACCTACTTTGCCTCTGTCTTCACCAGAAGGAAAGCGATGCTCAACATTGTGATAACAGAATAAATGATGTAAGGAAGGAGCTGCAGCCCAAGATAGGAAAAGAGAAGGGAACACCTAGCTACTTTAAATGAATTCAGATCTCCAGGGCCTGATGAGCGACATCCAAGAGTACTAAAGGAGCTTGCGGATGTAATTGCAGAGCCTTTGTCTATTATATTTGAGAATTCTTGGAGAATTCTTGGAGAACAGATGGAGGCAGGGTAATGTTGTCCCCATCTTCAAAAAGGGGAAAAAGGAAGACCCAGATAACTACCGACCGGTGAGCTTAACATTGATATCAGGGAAGGTCCTAGAACAGAACATTCAAGAGTCGGTCTATGAGCATTTAGAAAAGAAAGCTGTGATTACTAAGACCCAGCACGGGATTCTCAAAATAAGTCATGCCAGACCAATCTGATTTCTTTTTTTTATCAACTTACAAACTTGGTGGATTAGGGAAATGCTGTGGACATAGCGTATCATGATTTCAGTAAGGCTTGTGACAAAGTCCCCCATGATATTTTCACGATGAAACTGGTAAAATGTGGGTTGAACAAGGCAGCGGTTAGATGGATTTGTAGCTGGTCAACAGACCAAACCCAAAGAGTACTCATTAATGGTTCCTCATCATCCTGGAAAAAAGTGACAAGTGGGGTGGCACAGGGTTCTGTCCTGGGCCCATTGTTCTTCAACGTCTTCATAAACGACTTGGATGAAAGAATTGAGGGGATGCTCATCAGATTTGCAGATGACACTAAACTGGGAGGGATAGTTAATACTGCAGAAGACAGAATCAGAATTCAACATGACCCTATCAGATTGGAGAACTGGGCACAAGCTAACAAAATTAATTTCAATAGGGACAAATGTAAGGTTCTGCACTTAGGCAGATGCATAAATATAGGCTGGGGGACATCTGGTTTACTAGCAGTACATGTGAAAAGGATCTAGGGGTCTTGGTAGACCACAAGCTTAACATGAGCCAACAGTGTGATGCAGCAGCAAAAAAAGTGAATGCTGTTCTAGGCTGCATCAAGAGAAGTCTAGTGTCCAGATCAAGGGAAGTAACAGAACCCCTCTATTCTGCCTTGGTCAGACCACACCTGGAATACTGTGTCCAATTCTGAGCACCATAATTTAAGCAGGACAAGCTGGAACGTGTGCAGAGGATGGCAACCAAGATGATCCAAGGTCTGGAAAGTAAGTCTTATGAAGGAGCACTTGAAGGACCTGGGTATGTTTAGCCTGGAAAAGAGGAGACTGAGAGGAGACATGATAGCCATCTTCAAATATCTTAAGGGCTGTCACATGGAGGAGGGAGCATGCTTGTTTTCGTCTGCTCTGGAGGGGAGGACACGAAACAATGGCTTCAAGTTGCAAGAAAGGAGATTCCAACTAAACATCAGGAATAACTTCCTGATGGTAAGAGCTGTTCAGCAGTGGAACAGACTCTCGCGAGAGGTGGTGGACTCTCCTTCCTTGGAGGTTTGTTTTGAAGCAGAGGTTGGGTGGCCATCTGTCATGGATGCTTTAGCTGAGATTCCTGCATTGCAGAGGGTGGGACTAGATGACCCTTGGGGTCCCTTCCAACTCTTAAGATTCTACAATTCTATGTAGCTGATTAATCAGTTAACTCATTAAAAATATTTTAACTGACTGAAAAAGTGGATTTTTCTTTCCTTAAATAGGAAACACTCACTAGAATTGCTGCGTTTTACATTTGAAGCAGATTCTGATTTCTTTTGTGGGTTGTTTAATGTTCTTCCTTTCCCCATTATTCCATTTGTAGCAGCAGAAGCCTTCTTTCCTTTAAACTGATAGAAAAAATATGTGTTTAGTAATTAAATATATATTTAGCAGTAATTATTCAATGACAGGGTTTACACTTTTCCTAGAACAAAGCTTCAAAACTGTCCCAAGCTGCCCAATTGAAAGCAGGTTACAAGTTTAAAAAACTAGGTCAGCTGGGAAGGATGCTTCTTCTAAAGCCGCAAAGATAAAACAAAAAGCAACTGCAGTTTCTTACTGAGCAGAACACAACCGTGAGACTGTACATTTCTTAAGTCACAGGCTACAGGTGACTATTCAAAATTTTGAGGAACCATTCAGAATGTGCCACATGGTTTTGCAAGGATCTATGTTGCTAATTAATCGCAGTGCATGCTGCTCAAAAGACCACACTTTGTCCCTCTCTTCAGGAACCTGGGAAGGAAGCAAACCACAAGTGCTGGCTTACTGTTTTGTATAAAGCAGCATTTGTGGTTCACTTCTCGCCTAACAAATTACCAAGGTAAGCCAGAAACAAACTTTGGCTTACCATCATGGTCTGTTGGAAGAGAAACAAACAATGAGTGCTGGTTTACTCCCCAGGACATTGGAGAAAGAAGTCAGGGGAGGGAAGTTTGGGGGGGGGGTACGCTTGAGCAAAATTGCTTGCCCCCTTTTGCTATGGTTTGAAGTGAAGCATGAATCAGGTCAGTGTGAAACTCCCCCCCCCCCCAAAAAAAGGAAGTCAATTTCAAATTTGCATACAAAAAGCAGAATTTCAACACTGACTTCAAAAGTGCCGTATTTTTCGCCCTATAGGACGCACCTAATTTTTTGGGGGGGAAATAAAGGGGAAAAAATTATTTCCCCCCCCCCAGGTGCGGGGCTGGGACGGGAGAAGCCCGAGCTTCCCCCGACCCCAGCCCCCAGAACATGCAGCTCTCCGCAGCTCCCACGGCTGAAGCTAAGCCTGGGCGCGTTGCGCCTCCCCGCTGTCCCCCCAGCTTGCGGGGCTGGCGGTGGGGCTCTCCTGAAGCCTGGAGAGCAAGAGGGGTCGGTGCACACAGACCCCTCTCGCTCTCCAGGCTTCAGCGAAAGCCTGCATTCGCCCCATAGGATGCACACACATTTCCCCTTCATTTTTGTAGGGGGAAAAGTGCGTCCTATAGGGCGAAAAATACGGTAACTATACTGCCAGATTTTGACTTTTCTACCTCAAAGCTGTTTTACATACAACAATTTCAAACTTGGGGAACATGTACAGTTGCAATCAAAATTATTCAACCCCTATTGCAAATCAGGTTTACTATCAAAATTTACAGGCTTTCAGCTGTTTGCAATGAGCATTATTATTATTATTATTATTAATAATAATAATAATAATAATTGAATTTATATACCGCCCTATACCCAGGGGTCAAAAACAAAGGCAATTGAAATAGCTCAGGAAACACCTTGGGGTGGATTCAGATGAGCAGCTTAGTTGATAAGCTACCAAAGCATTTAAAAAAAAATAAAGATGCTCCACAGTTCAAATATATTCCAAGATAAAGTGGTGACCTTGCCACTAGGTTGTTACTACCTTGCCAACAACAACATCCTGCCCAACTGCTTGTGAAGGTTTTCACCAGCTCATTTTTTAATCTGAAAATGCCCACCATGCATGGGGTTCACAGACTGTTTTGAGCTTCTGAAAGAATAACACCCCAGAAAGAATTTGAAAAGAGAATAGGGCATAGAATTGAGCACACATACAGATTCAAAATGTAACTTTTGTATTCAAGATTAGTGGATGTTTTCTTGTGGAACTGAAGGATGCCTCCTATACAACAGAGTGGAAAGGCTCAGACAGTATGAATTACATGTGGTTTCTGCACTCTTAACTGTCAGTACAGTACTGCCAACACCTGTGTGTGAATGTGTGTGTGCATGTGCATGCTCTACTTTTAAAATCTAGCCCAAGCGTGAACAACCTATGGCCCTTCAGATCTTGTTAGATTCCAAATTCCCATCACCCCATGCCAGCGTGGTTAGTGGGACTTGTAGAACAATGACATCTGGAGGGTCAGTGGTTGGTAGCTCTGACCTAGACTAACCCAATGAAGAGAATTCCCCAGGAGCATAGCATGGGTTGATGGGCTTGTGTTTTATTTCAGTGATTCTTCCACCCTCCAAAAAGTATTACGCATTTTTATGTGACTATTAACAACACAATTAGCAATGCAGCATGCTGCCTTGGTTAAATTTCAAGCGTTTGGTGCCAGTGCATTATCTCAGAGATACACAAAAGAAAGTTGGATTAAGAGAATTAAGCAGCACAGTACCTGTGACACAGATCCCCTCCCCACAGCAGAGGTATTAGTGACAGACTGAGCAGAAGACAGATTGGATGAGACAGGATATTTATAGTGGTTAGAGGACAGTTTGTCAGTAGATAACCTATTGGTTTTTCGGTCTGCTGGTGGGTAGCGTGCAAAGATTTTCGGAGACGGCAAGTTATCGTACAGGCCCATATTATCATAAAGCCCATCTTCTCTCATGTTTCTGCCACGAGAAGCAGGAAAGCCATCTTCCAGTTCCCACTGAAACACACATACTTAGTAAATTAACACAAACTTCATGCATTGGCGGGGAAAACATGAAACCATTAGAAAGTTATCTCTTGGATCACCTTCTCAGCATGCATTGCCTTAATGCACTGCTTTAATTTTAATTACCATAATTCTCTCAGTTCTTGAGTTACTTTTGGAGGCTGTAGTAAGGTTCATCAAGGCTCTACTGAAAGGGATATCATGGGGTTGCCATCTTGGGTCTATTCCCCACACGGCCATAATATGGGAGGAATTCAGAATCATGCTGTTAGGATTGTTCAGTCAGCACAAGTATTTTTGCTTGCCAGGTGGAATGATCTCCCCTCTTCTCCCCCGTGAACTGTTCTGGGGGATTCTCCTGACCCCCCAGAGCCAATTTGGCGGGGGTGGGGCAGGGAGAGAAAACGTTCTGCTGTGCTAATGGGACTCATTGCGCTTGCTCCTGCCACCACAACTATTTAGTTCAATCCAGCCCTGTGATTCCAGATGCAGCATTTATGCTATCTACAACACAAGTGCCAATGACATAATAAAGATACAGAAGTTGGCTGGTGGGTCAAAACCGCAAGGAAAATGAGATAGCAAGCATCTGGCTATACCATACTAGGATGTGGCCTGGTTCATATGTAGTGTAGAGAAGATGCTTAAGAAACCAGTTTGTTTTGGTAGAGACGACCTCAAACCAGTTTCCATGATGTCCAAAGCAGTTTAAGAGCTTCCTAGAAACCAGACTCTCATCCTGGTTTGAACACAGAGCTTAAACCACAGTTTCCTAGTTTGGATATAATGGGGAAATGGTTTAGCAAGTCAAGAAGTCTCCTTTGCAGCCAGGAGAAGAGAAAGGCGATGAAGGAGATAGGCATCAGAAGCATCATTCTCATTTCATTCTTAGTTTGTGAAGTTCAGATCTGATCAAATCTTAACTTTAAACTTTTCTCTGGGAGTTGCATTAATGCTTTGGCTAATAGAGGACTATTGAACTGTATATATTTATGCTGATTTACATGGGCATGTAGTATTAAAAGTATATGCCCTACTTTCAAAGAATCTGTACTTGAGACATAGCAGTATGTTGGGATCATGCCCAGTGAAACTCTGACAAGTGACTTTGGGGGCTCAACACACGTAAATGATTTGACCTACACAAAAATCAATTCTTACTGATCCATTTATGCAAGGAACATCGTCATAATGAAGGGCCATCCCGCTGGGACACGCATAGCCATTGGCAGCATTTCCTCGATAAGGATTAGTAGACAGAACCCGTCTGTTCATAAAACTAAAACAAAAGCAAAAACAGAACAGAGTTTATGCTGAAAGCACACACAGGGAGTAAGCATGATTCACCCTTCAAATTCTTCCTTGCATTTCTCCCTGCCTTCCAAAGGGTTTTTCATTACAAACACACCCAGTATGGTATCACAGGCTGAGGTGTAAGCCAGGAATCTATCATTTAGCAATGCATTGTGTGGGTGGCGGTGGGAGAGCAGTTCCTGTACACATTAATTGATTTTAAGGAAATACAGCTATGTATATAGCAATGGAAAGAAGGATTCTGAAGGAAAGGGCCAAAGATGACTACAAGATTTTAGGAACAAGGCTGAAGTTTTAAGAAATGAAATGATACTCTTAAATCTTCCTAGTGGTAGGATGTTTCTCAGGAAGGAGAACGTATTTTCTGGAAATGAAAGCATGTTGTTGCAAGTGGTGTCAGCAAATGGCTTCAGCTTTTTTCATCACAACTTGTAGCTCCAAAACAACAAATAATGGGAAGAGATGGACTTCACCTCACTAGAAAGAATCATTATAAACAAGCTCTTGATCATACAAAGGTGGCTCTTTCCCTAGGGCCTGTCTGTAGCCAGATGATGATTGCTGCATCCCAATGCTGTTTTGGGCAAGTCTGGGGCCGAATGGATATACTGCATATACAAGTTGCTTTGATTAAATTAGTAACTTGAGACATCATTAGAAAAATGCCAATTATGAATTACTAATAAAAACTTGGTCCTAAGAGAAAGGCAGGGTGGGTCCTTCCTCCCCAAACCATGTATTTTCTCTTTCAAGTATTTGGCAGTGGTTCAAGATTTCCAAAGCTTTCTCTATTTTTGCAGGTTGGTCCTCCACATGGTAATACTGATAACACTTGAAAACTGCCATGGGGGCTGCTATCATCTATCATTATAGGTATGTTAGCCAACAGGGAAGAAGTACTTCATTTGATATTTAAAGGGGGTTTGAGTTGACAGCAGGTCTTCAACATGTAATTAATTGATTAGATTAATCTATTTCAACACTTTTAATTTACTTTAAATGATGTTAAAGAATCATGCAGAATATTTTAAAAATAATACACATACATTTATTAACAGTGCTTATAAAACTGCAGTTGGCAAGCACCATCTGAAAAAAAAACTTCCTCTTTTGCTTCTTGCTTCAGAAATACTGCTTTTAACCTTATGCAAATTTACTGGTTAGTCAACATTATTAATCAATTAGAATTTATTTGATTGGGCTGCTGCCCTAATTCACAGCAGGTTTTTTGTGAAGCATTTTGAGTGAACACGAGCGTTTAACAATAACTTCACAATGCTCTGATACTTCATTCAGAAGTAAATCTCACTGGCTTCAATTGAATTTACTTTTTGGCAGATGTGTTTCAGACTGTAGCTTAAGTTGTTTGATGGATTAGAAATGGATACCTTCAGCTTCTACTCACAACTTCAAGCTATCACAGACAAATCTGGTACCACTGGTCTAACTTAAGCCAGACTATGGCTGGCTGCGCAGCCTGCTCCTAGCAGAGGGAAAACAAGCCTTTAACCATTCTTTTTGCCAGTTGGTTGCCAGGTTACATGACTGGGGAGGGGGCTAAGGAGCCTTCCTCTCTGCTCCTGCCCCCACACCCCTTTTTAAGGGTTTACATCAGCTTATTTTAGCCATCTGGGATGGAGGAAATACAGAGGTGCATCTCTGGCTGAGCAGAGGATGAGGGAGTTAAGCCGACACAGCCCAGTTCCACGAGGAACTCCTTAAGGCCAGCCGGAGATCCACCGAACCCTAACCCACGTATCCAGGAGGATCTTCCTATAGGATTGCTCCTTACATCTTTTTGAGCATAGAGTCAAAACAATGAAGAACCTAGAGTTCCTGAAAATGTTCTTAACTGGTTTAGCTCCTCCTACCAGAAGGTCTGTTTTGCGGCTTGAATGACACTTGCCGTCACATCCACATCTATGTAGTCATAGTGCAGAGTGCCAGGATCTGCAGAGGAGCCACTTTCAGCCAGCAAAATGCCAATCCACCTGCCCATGTCTTCTGAAGATGAAGCCTACACAAAGATGGGGAAATTTCAGGCAAACATGCACTCTGGTCACTTGAAAGGCATCGTTTTTCATTCAAGTGTACTTTTTTTCTTTATCAAAAACAATGCATTCGAGTGAACTCATGCCTCACTCTTCAACAGAAAAACATTTTCAGGACAGCTCACCAAAATCAAGCTAAAAACAAGAAGAAGATTGTACAAAAACAAGAAGTAAGCAGGATCAAAGCAGCAATTAATACAATTACACAAAATTAAAAGCCTAAAGAAAGTGTAATTGGCAACAGAGGCACCTCTGTAGAGAAGAGCATTTCGTAAGTGGGACACCACAAAAGAGAGGTCTCTCTCCAGTTGCCACCTCCCTCACATCGGATGAATGGCACCCCCCCCAGGTGACATGGGAGGTGGGAAGCCGCCAGTTAGCGGGCCATATGGCCCCCTGGGGCTGCTCAGGATATTCCATGGGGGGCAAGGTGAAAATCATGTAAATGGGGGGGGGGGCACGCACAACATGAGGCTAGGGGGCCACAGAGGGAAGTGAGAAGTGATTTTTATTTTTCTAATCCTGATTGGCTAATTATTATTAAATTATTATCCGCTTGGCTCTTTTCTCTCAACTGCATTTTCCAGGAGCAGTCCTGATTTGTTTCTGGCAGAAGAGGGTGATTGCTCAGGCTCCCATTTTGCCCAGTAGAGTCCGCGATCCAGACCCCCAGGTCAGGTAAGTGCAGTGGTGGGGTGGCAATGGGCAGGGCTGGGCGAGACTGAGCTGCTTGTTGCTGCCGGCAGGGCTGGACCCGTGGCATCATAGGCCTGACTCCACAAGGCACAGGGTGCAATCCATCCCAGTGCCTAGTGGATCAGGGCCACTGGATGTTGTCAAGGGGTGCAGGGCCCATCGGCAGAGTCAGTCTGGCTCTGCAAGGTGGGGGGTTAAATCCACCCCAAAGTGTCTACTCAGAAGAAAGCAGGGATGAGTTCAGTGCACCTTACTCCCAAGTAAGGGTGTGTGAGTTTTATCTAGGTGGCCAGGGCTCCTCCGGATAACAATATCTTTTTGCACCAGGTCAGTGAGGATCACTTGCTTTTAAAAATTCTCCCACATATACAGAACTCCCTGTACACCTCGGTGTCAATTAGCTTGGGTCAAATAAGTGTTGTTTACTTTTTGTAACACATGGGAGGTGGATCTCCCTCAGGAGGTTCTGTACTCTCCTTCCTTGGAGGTTTCTAAGCTAAGGTGGGATGGCCACCTGTCATGGATGCTTTAGCTGAGATTCCTACATTGCAAGGGAGTTTCACTAGAAAGAACGCTTGGGGTCTCTTCCAGCTCCATGATTTTATGTTTTTTCTGCTTCAACAATATTTCATTATGTTCCTATCATTTTACGCAATTATATTTTGTATAAAAATTGCAAAAATAAAAAATGTTCTATTTACAAACAAATCATTTAAATAGCTACCTTTCTACCTGTAGGATGGGGGGGGGATGGGCGTAGCCAGTATTTTTGCTGGGGGGGCAGACTTTCGTTAGGGTGGGAGAATATCCTATTTGTATTGATTTTTACTTATTTTGGGGGACAGCTGCCCCACCCCCTTGGCTATGTCTGGGGAGGGGCACAGGAAGGAAACAAGGTCGTAAGGGGGCCGTGGTCTGAAAAAGGCTGGGAAACACTGGGTTAGAGCATGGTGTTGATAATGCCAAGGTCGCAGGTTAGATTCCCACACAGGCCACCTGCATATTCCTGCATTGCAGGCGGTTGGACTAGATGACCCTTGGGTTTAACTCTACAAGTCTATGATTCTATGTTATAGTATAGCATAGGCAATAATGGCAGTATTGCCATTATACAATCATACAGAGAGGTTAATGAGAGAAGCACTACATTCAAATGTAAATATTATTTTGTTTTCCGATTATCTTCTCCTCAGGGACTTAGTGAGAAGTGGAAACTAAGAACTGAAGAGAGAATCCATCTAAGCCACTTTCTGGCCTGATATTATAGTTCAATAGTATAGTACACTGCCTTGCAAATTAGGGTAATCTTGAGACTGATGTGCCCTACAGATAAGATTTGGAAGAGAGATCAATTTCCCCCAAAATAGAAGCAATTATTAGACACTTTAAATAATGGAAGCACTATAATAAAGAAGTTTCAAAAGCTGTAAATTGATCCAACCGTGAAAAGTGTGGGACAAGAGTGGGAACAAAGGAAATCCTGCTTCCAACATATAATTGGAGACTTTCCTAGGTATGGCATACATTGTTTGGTCAGAGAATGGGATTTTGCTTATGTCACTATTGGCAAAAGATAAGCACACTAAACAACTTAACCTCTAATACGGCAACCTCTTGTGCATTTCGAAGCAGGCGGAACGTCAAGGGGTGCTTGGAGTCCAGTCCTGGAATAACTTCACAGCCACGGAGAGGAATAGAGACAATATGGGTCTTTAGATCTGTTCTGTCTTTGTGGAAAATGAGCTTATTATCTTTCACTCTGCACCAGCGCTCACGCCACCGGTTATTTGACAGCACATTAAGATATCCTGCAAAACACAAAGACAGGCACTTTCCACTAAAAAAAAAAAGTTCATTCAACTGGACGCACCACAAAGACCCCAAAACCAATGGCAAACTTGTGGTCGTACAAATGCCCTTCTCTCTCTGCAGTGGCAAAGGAGTGCCTGTGGTTGTGTCACCACAACACCATGGGCTCCTTTGAAATGATATATACCCACAAGGCTGTATTACTGGTCAGCCTGTGGAAGGTGTATAAACCTCAGGACAGAGTCATATGAATATGTAAATGATTTGACACACCAATGCTTATTAGGGTTGTTGTTCATCTCAGCTGTATCACAATTGTGTTTATCGGGGGGGACGGGACAAAATCATTTTTTAAAAAAATCAAGTCAACTCTGGTGCTCATCAAAATTAAGGATGTGAAACTGAAAAATAAATACTACAGCTGAAACAGGGGGTGCTTTTAACTAAAGCTTTACTGAGCCACAGAAAAGACGTCTCTCTTTGGGCACTCTCCAGCTGGGGTGGTGGAGACAGCGCAAGTATTTACCATGCAGCTGCACGACTGTCCAACGCACACACAAGACATGTGCTCTCTCCCCCAAGAAGCAGAAGCAGCAGCTTCCATCTTTCTTTTAAAGTAGAGCTCTCAATGGAAATGTCTGAAGGCGGTTTCCAGGTGTGCTTAGAATCTTCCCCACAAGAGAAAACTGAGAACAGGAAGGAGGCTTCCAAGTGCATTGATTCAACTGCACTTAGAAGCCTCCTTCAGACCCCCTCAGGGCTGGAAGCTGGGGGCTGGAGTAGGCAGGCCAGCACATTCAGGGACACTGAGGGTGGGGTAGCAGGACTGCCCCCACCACGAGTTGCTTAATCAAAATCAACACAAGTCTGCATTAGCACATTGTCTTTTTTTCAAAGACCTAAGGGAGAACCAGGTACACAGCTAAGCATCTCTGATGATTGCTACTGCATCAAGGTCGGCTGCCTCTGTAGAATGCCATGGAAACTTTAAAGAAAACTCTTTACCTTGGGGCATTTTTCTGAAAGTGGATGAGGACCCACTTCTGGTGTGTTTATTTGATTGTTGTGTTTATATCCCACCTTTTTCTCTAAGGTGGTGTGTGTGGTTCTTCCCCTCCTCATTTAATCCCCACAACCACCCTGTGAGGTAGGCTAGGCTGAGAGGAAGTGGCTGGCCCAAGGGCGCCCAGTGAGCTTCATGGCCAAGTAGAGATTTGCACCCTGGTCTCCCAGGTCCTACGATGACACTTTAACCACTGCACCACACTTCTCAACACTGTAGAGATGGAAAAAGTACTAGAGAGCAATAAAAAGGGGCTGCATGTAATAGTAAACCATGTTTTAGCACTATGTACTTGCGCAGGAAGACACAGCCACAAGCACATGGCTCTCTCTCTCTCTCTCTCTCAACAACTGCTATACAGCAACCAGGAGGAATTCAGCAGAGTTTAGTTGCACTTTCCACAAAACCTGGCTTGTCAATACCTGCAAATCAAAGATTCTGGTTAAAATGAAGAGTGTTTAAGCTTCATAACCCATACTTTGAAGCTGGATTGTTTAAAAACAGACCAGAATTTGTTTTAAATTATGATCTGTGGTCCATACAAAGAAAGCCAGGTCTTGTGGAAAGTGAACCTAAGCACTGCTTAAGTCTTCTCAACCACATTTGAAGTTGGGACACAGATAAGAGTGGAGATGCCATAATCTTTAAAGCTACTATTAAATCATCAGAGCCCAAATTCAGTGGGTGAAAGAGGAATGTAACAGCAAACCTAGGAGATTGAAACACCACTAAATACTGAAGTTTGGTGGAGCTTTTTCTACCTGTTGCCCTTTCAAGTTTAATTGCAGGTAACAACATGGGAAATTACTCACCACAAGTTGGGATATCTTCTTCAGCTGATGAGGTTTGTTCATCTGTGGAGGGCTTCTTCTTTCCTAGGCCAATTATCTTTGTTATCTTCTTCCCTGTTACTTTAGACACAGTGCCCTTGGAATCTGTCTTAGAGCTCTTTTTCCTCTTTACTATTAAGAAAAGCATGCATGTGTCAGTCTTGCAAGATTTCAAAATTTCACACCTGCATCTTTAACAGCAGCCCGGCATCTACTATATACTTTGGAAAGTTGTTGTCTATGCATTTGGAGACCTCTTAAGATATTGTAACCAAATTTTGTGTGGTGGTTCCTCAGCTTAAGGAACAGGTTTTCAGCTACGTTGCGATACAACTGGACATCGTTATGAATCAAGCTGGCAGAATGAACCTTTCCTCAGAGTGAATGTATATGAAAATTCCATTTTTCTTTTCACCTTTCCAGCACTTAAAATACTGTGAACATTTTATGGTGTGACTCAAACACTGTCAGTAGCATATTACCTTGCTCTTTTCCATTACAGATGACAGCTATTCCATTTTCTACAATCCCCTCACCATCAGAACTTGGTCTTTCTGAAGATAGTTTCTGCAGGAGAAAAGAACTAGGTCATTAGTAATGGGGTCACACTGGAACTGATGTATTATGAATCAGAATATGCCAACTATTTATCTGGCCATGGGACAAATTTGAGACAGTCAATAATTTATTTTCAAAAATTAACCTTTTCACAGAAGCATTAAATACATAATATTTGTCAAACCCACTCAATATTACATTATTCCTCCACTGTGGAATTATCTGTACAATACTTTTGTAAAAAATGATCAAAGTGCTTTGATTCTCTCTATATAAACCACAGTCCAGATTTACTTTCCTTCTGTAGTTATTTATAAATGACCCGGGGGAGTCATGTGGAGCTCAGTAACAAAATGTAAAGTATTGAATTTCCTAATAGAGACTATACCTCTGCCCTTATTTCCCATTACATTTCTGCCCATGGCCTTTACTTGACCGCCCTTGGATCATTCTCCTCAGTGTTCTTGCTATTCTCATAGAATCATAGAGTTGGAAGAGACCACAAGGGCCATCGAGTCCAACCCCCTGCCAAGCAGGAAACACCATCAGAGCACTCCTGACATATGGTTGTCAAGCCTCTGCTTAAAGACCTCCAAAGAAGGAGACTCCACCACACTCCTTGGCAGCAAATTCCACTGTCCAACAGCTCTTACTGTCAGGAAGTTCTTCCTAATGTTTAGGTGGAATCTTCTTTCTTGTAGTTTGGATCCATTGCTCCGTGTCCGCTTCTCTGGGGCAGCAGAAAACAACCTTTCTCCCTCCTCTATGTGACATCCTTTTATATATTTGAACATGGCTATCATATCACCCCTTAACCTCCTCTTCTCCAGGCTAAACATGCCCAGCTCCCTCAGCCGTTCCTCATAAGGCATCGTTTCCAGGCCTTTGACCATTTTGGTTGCCCTCCTCTGGACACGTTCCAGTTTGTCAGTGTTCTCCTAACAGAAGAGGGAGTTCATTCTAGCCTTTATCTGACACCAGATCACTTGCATTGCGATTAAATGCCTCCTTAAAACCACTTTTTTAGCAACGTTTGGCTTCACCTCTAAATTCCCACCCAGCCACAACTATGACCCTTTTACTTGTGACTGGCCTGACCCTGGACAGGCATGTGTCAGAGAAGATGCCTGCAGGAGAGGAGCCTAGCCATGAACAGCTGCTGCTGCTGCTACTGCTTCTGGGTAGACTTCCATCAACTCAGAACTCCCAGTCATGCAGAGGTCCCAACTGATAGCAGCCTTACTGCACAATGCTTTTTATATTTGTGGTGCTACGAAAAGATAACAGGAAGAAAATTAGCCTATCCACATGTACATCTGAAAAGAGCTGTTAAATCTTTTCACAGTACACCTTTTACCCTCTTTCTCTTCATTCCACTTCCCAGGGATTTCTATATTCATTTTCTTTATGCATATATTTAGTCCTTGATCTCACTATGCTCCAAAATTTAAGCATTCCTTCATTGTGCTGATGTTCCTGAAAATATCTGAATAATGGTGCTGGAATCCTGCCTGTCCTTATAACTTCTGTGCTCACAAACAGTCAGAGCTCTCTTTGGCAAACACTGTGCCAAAAACAACATTCACAGCAGTTGCAGAAGAAGATCTGCACTTCCTGTGTGAGTGTGTTGCAGTTGTTTTGAGGGAAAGCATTTTTCCTATTTCCTTTTTGCAGTAACAGAAAATTACTTTTTTGTAATTCGTTTTCCTCCACACAGGCTGATGCCCCAGCACCCAAAGTACACATCTCCTCCTCATCTGTTCTGTTAACTTGCAGGGAGGAGCAGCAGCAGCAGCAGCAGGAACAGTGGCAGCAGGGGTGTGCAGTGAATGGAAACTAAGTTTTCCTTTCTCTCCTCCATCACCCTAATGCCCTGGGCAGCACAGCACATCAGGGCAGAACACCCAGAGGACTAAGCAAAGCAGCCCAGAGGAAAATTACCGTGCTTTTTCATCTATAAGACACCCCCATGTATAAGATGCGCCCTATTTTGGGGGACTGAAATTTCAGAAAATGGGGGGATATGGCAAAGCTTTTTTTGCGGAGCACTGCCCAGAGCTGTTGAGCTTTTTTTTGGGGGGGGGGGAATTACCGAGGGTTGTTGAGCTTTTTAAGGGGGGGAATGCCAAAAACTGCTCACCTGCACACGCCTCTCAAAATCCGCCTCCTGTCTGTCCCTTCGCCAGCAGAAGCTGCCAATTGCCTGCCCAATTGCTGCAGCGTTGGACAATCAACACCACCCATTGACGCAGCAATCCATAACACGCACAATAGCCGCTGACAGCAACCAATCAAACGCCCACCCTATGCACTATCCATGTATAAGACGATGCCCACTTTTTAGCATGGTTTTTAAGGGGGAAAACCTCATCTTATCCACGGAAAAGTATGGTATGTCTCCAATGGTTCCCTGGGCTTCATGCCCTGAAACTGGAGGGTATCATTTGTCTACCATGTTTGACTTTAAAGATCAGGCAGATCAGGAAACCAAAAATGAAAGGTAATTAACAAGAAAACTAAAAGGACAGCGATCTTCCAATTTTTTCAAAACAGACATGGGGAAGGGTGCTTGTTTTGCAAGTTTGTGTGCCTGAAATGATTAGCACACAACTAGCAAAAATGTATTACTTAAAAATGTAGAAATCCTCATTTAAGATAGTGACATATATGAAGAGACTCTCAACCAAACCATTATTCTCAGAAAAGGTTAACTACCCATATTTCATGGTGCAACACTCATACACTGCATTTTCCAGTAGTCTTATTGTACAATTACCTTTTCCAGTTCAGTCTTGTGAACGGGAGAATTAGATGAAGGTCCATCTGAATCTGTAGCTCCAATATAGTTGCTGCAAACTTCCTTAATTACCTTCAAAGAAATGCAAAAAGAAAAGAGGCATTTTTTCTTGAAACTGAAGATATTGTACTGGAGGGGAGGAGAACATATAAGAGATTGGGATTGTAGTTAGCTGCTATCTTGAAAATATCATAAATATCAAAAAAATATGAATTCCGATACTTCTCAAGGATGCCATCTTTTTATACTTCCCATTATGTTTAGTCAGCTTCTTTATGCATGTCTTGGAGGAGCCACAAGGTAAAGAGGTGGAAGGTTTCAACTTCCGTAATAGCTAAACCCAAATCTGAGCCAGAGAAAGGCTTGCATAAAAGGGCCCTGCAAACCAACATAACAGGACTGAGCCCTGAGGCAAATAATACTGTGTCAGACACATTAAATACAGGTTATCCAATGTAGGAGCCTCAAAACAGCAATGCAAAGAGTAGGGACAGCCATGGATCCCAATATAGTCCATTCCCCTGAGAGGTGCATGAAAAAATGCCACTTTTGCCCTGGCTGGAAGAAGCCAACAAGACTTCAGGTATGGGGTTGACCTTTAACTCTGCTCAGTCTTGCTGCTCAGGACCAGGGCTTAGGATTGCTTGACCCATCTTGCTTCTTAGCCTTGTTGCACAACCACCATTTATAGAAATAGCTTACAACAGTTGTCTGACCCTTCATAATTTTTAAAATTTCCATTGATGCTATTATTTTTTCAAGCATCATGTACCATATCAAAACAATTTTATAGCAAGTGTAAATTATGTAAGTTATGTTGTCATTGCATTATTCCACGCCAGGGGTCAGCAACTTTTTTCAGCAGGGGGCCGGTCCACTGTCCCTCAGACCTTGTGGGGGGCCGGACTATATTTTGGAAAGAAAAAAAATGAACAAATTCCTATGCCCCACAAATAACCCAGAGCTGCATTTTAAATAAAAGCACACATTCTACTTATGCAAAAACACCAGGCAGGCCCCACAAATAACCCAGAGATGCATTTTAAATAAAAGGACACATTCTACTCATGTAAAAAAATGCTGATTCCTGGACCGTCTGCGGGCCGGATTTAGAAGGTGATTGGGCCAGATCCAGCCCCTGGGCCTTAGTTTGCCTACCCATGTTCCACGCCATTTATTTCAATGCAAAGAAACGCAATGCGGGGCATGGGGACGGCAATCCATCACATATCATTTGTGGAATGAAAACAGCAGCAACAGTAAATACAGATAGTATTCACTAGATTGATTTCAGTTCTGGGTGTGAGACGAACAAGCATACCTGGGAAATTTCCGCTCCCACTTCTGTTTTCGCCAGTCATTCCTGACAGCAACAGAAGACGGGGCTGGAATGGAGACATGTCCTTGCATGAAACCTCCTTCCCAACATCACAATAGAATGAGTTCTTTTTTTCCTCTAGTGCCAGCCAGATCTTCCTACTTATTTTGGCATTATAGCCAGATGGGATACGGATTTTCTGTTCTGCCACTCTGGAATATATCTCGATGGATTTTTCAGCAACACCACTATACTTAACAACTTTTTCTTGTGTATCACAGGCACCCCCACAAGACTAGTTAATTCTTTTCAAAGCGTCTTCTTTTTAAAAAATTGGTAGGAAAGATGGAGTAACAAGCCTGATTTGTTGGACAAAGTGCTAAGCATTTTTATCTAAAAATGTGAATTCTAAAACAGGTTTGGAAGTATTCAAAAAAATTCAAATGGGTGTTCTTCCATTTACTGCAAATGTAATGTACTTACACAAAAAAAGCTGCACTTCTGCTGCTGCCTCTTTCATGACCCTGACAAAATTGCTCATATTTTCAGCATCTGCTCATCCCACAGAGTCAATTAGTTTTGGCCACACACAATAATGGAAGTCAAAGAGAGGACACAAGAAATAACTTGGCAGTGATCATGAAGCTGTATCTGTGCAGTCATGCATTTTCTCAAAGGCCTTATTTCACCACTACAGCAGGAAGGGATCCAGAGTCCTCACTGTCCTCAAGACAGCTGTTTCCATCCAAAAGAGATCGCTACAAAGGACGCTTTGCTGGGTTGTGGGTAGAGACCTGCACACCCTCAATCCCACTGCAGTGGCAATTTTATTTGATTTAACCATGCTCCTCAAGCACAAATCAACAAATTAAAAACAATGAAATCATCAATAAACTGAAAATTATAAAACGGCAGAAGAGATCCTGCAGCGCCAGCATCCGATCAGCTTCTGAATGTAACTGAAAATCATGGTTTTGACCTGTGAAGGCCTAAAGGACCACGCAGAACTCCTGAGGTCACCTTCTCCACTCTGCTGCATTACGATCCTTAAGATCAACCTGGATCACCATTTTGACTACACTATCTGCAGGCCAAGGTAGCAAAAAGAGGCATGTCGTGGAACTGAAGACATGTCAAACCCTGAATAGTTTCTAGATAAATTGTAAGGGATTTTTACTTGGGCTGATTTTAATTGTTCAAATAAAACAGATGTAGAGTAATAGTAATCCTTGCACTGTGTTATTTGTGCTTCGGTGGGTATTTCTACCCTGTCTGAAGGAATGGGTTGGCGCAAGCTAGAAATCCAAGTAATAAATAGAATGCAAAGCCATATATTTTAGTGACACAGCAAGAGGCTAGGCTTGTTCAGGGCATTATCCTTCCCTTTTAAGGTATCTTTCGATACTGCATGTATGCACTGTTGAAACTACTGCAAGATCTCCGTGATAAGTCATACCAGATACTACTGCAAGAGAAGGTCGCCCATTATGTACATAAGCAGCTATGGATAAATGCAAACTTGCTTTTGTCAACTCTGTGCAGTCACATAGGGAAGATGTGTTATCTGAAGAAAGAGTAGCTCCTAAGTAAGACAGGCCCTGGAAAAGTTGTCTCCCTCCTGCCTCTCAGATTTAAGACATGGTGCCTGAAGGTAGACCAGGGAGAAAACATAGCTTTCTGTACTTTTTCTGCTGAGGTGGTACAAAGTTCAGGCGATGTCAGCATGGTATATAGAGCTGTCCTGTACCTCCAGAAGGGAAGCAAAGGCAATTGGACAGGAAAATTGGCTTCCAGGTGGAAAGAGCCAAATTAGAAACAGAATTGTTAGAACCCAAAACTAAGAATTTGTCAAGAATGTACAACTTGCTGCTGAAATGGAATACTCAGGATGAAACGGTAAAATCGGCTATGATTAAATGGGCACAGGACGTTGGTCATAATATTATGTTTGCTGACTGGGAACAGTTATGGACCACAGGTATGAAATTTACGGCATGTAATGCCTTAAGAGAGAATATTATGAAAATGATATACAGGTGGTACATAACCCCAGTCAAGCTTGCAAAAATCTATCACTTGCCCGATAACAAATGTTGGAAATGTAAAGAAACTGAAGGTACATTTTTTCATCTTTGGTGGACGTGCCCAAAGATTAAGGCTTTCTGGGAAATGATATATAATGAATTAAAAAGGTATTTAAGTATACCTTCCCTAAGAAACCAGAGGCCTTTCTCCTGGGCATAGTCGGCCAAATGGTGTTAAAAAGGATAGAACTTTCTTTCTGTATGCAACAACAGCAGCAAGAATACTCATCGCAAAGTATTGGAAGACACAAGAACTTCCCACGCTGGAGGAATGGCAGATGAAACTTATGGACTATATGGAATTGGCGGAAATGACTGGTAGAATCCGTGACCAGGGAGAAGAGTCGATGGAGGAAGATTGGAAGAAATTTAAAGACTATCTTCAGAAACATTGCAAAATTAAAGAATGTTAGAGTGATGTTGGACTGAAAATAAGCGGTTTCCAGCTGTACAGGTTAAAGTTAATGATAGACTAAGATTAAAGATTAGGATTAAAGATGTTTAAAGAAATGGAAATTTGACATTAAGAGGAAAAATTTTAACGTTATATGATACTAAGACCAAAGATCAGGTTTAAAGAAGTTGAAGTTATATATTTCAATATCTTATTAAAGCTAAAGATTGGGATTAAAAAAGTGGAAAAGAAATTGCTGAACAAACAATTTGGATTGGAATACAAAAGAGGGAGGTATGAGGAAGTCCAGAAAATAAGTAACTAAAAAACGGAAATGGAAAAGAGATATTGTTTTTAATTGTTATGTTTTTTGTTCTTTTATTGTTGAATCTTGCTTTTTTTGTGTGTTTTTGTTATATGTATTGTGTATGTTTTTCTTTTCTTTCTTTGTTGTTCAAAACTTTAATAAAAATTATTAAAAAAAAAAAAAAACAGAAGGGAAGCAAAGGCACTCTGGCCCTGCCAGCCCCATCCACAGGACTAAGGACCAATGGCAGGTTGCACCCCACCCTAGCCGGAAGAACATCAGGGAAAGGGAAAGACCAGACTGGCCCCAGTCACTGGCCAGAGACTAGAAGGTTGCTCTCCACCACCAGCTCCACCTGGAAGCTTGCCTGCAACTACATCGTGAGGCCATGGTAGCCCTTTGCAACAGCCAGAGGACTAATGGGTGTAGCTGCGTCATTTCTGTCCAAGTAAGGATTAGGGCTTTCATAATGTTTGCCTATCAAGAAAAATCAAGAATGGCCTAAACTACCATTGATAACTATAAAAATGTATTTATGCCGGCTCAATTATGGGATGGTGCTAGTTTAATTCTGTACTTAAGAGCCTCTAGTTGACCCTAACGCCTTGTGAATATTTGCAAAGGGTAGTACGTAGGTGACAGCAGGTGGTGCTTTAAGAGAATGAAGACTGGGAAGGAGGGGGGACCAATCCCTTGAAAAATAACCCGAGAATTACACAATTTGTGTGATATGTGACACATGGTCCAGACAGGATTTTTTCCAAAACTCCATCTTATTACATCATACCTAGAATTGTTTACAAAACCTGGAAGAACCTTTTCAGAACCTGAAACAAGCTGCTGAATGAGACACATTTCTGACAAGAGTGGCACTTCAGGAAAGGTAACAGCTGGAATGCCATTGTTGTGGCCATAGTTGTTGCAAAATGTTTGTACAGTGGTGCCCCGCAAGGCGAATGCCTCGCAAGACGAAAAACTCGCTAGACGAAAGAGTTTTCTGTTTTTTGAGTCGTTCTGCAAGACGAATTTCCCTATGGGCTTGCTTCGCAAGACGAAACCTCTTGCGAGTTCTTGCGAGTTTGTTTCCTTTTTCTTAAAGCCGCTAAGCCGTTAATAGCCACTAAGCCGCTAAGCCGCTAATAGCCGTGCTTCGCAAGACGAAAAAACCGCAAGACGAAGAGACTCGCGGAACGGATTAATTTCGTCTTGTGAGGCACCACTGTAATTTGATGGCTTTGAGATTTACAGTACTGAAGTATTGTGATCACGATACACAGAGAGTCATATTTCTTTCTTCCCTGTCTTTTGTTGGAAGTTAAATAAAATGTTGAGATTTTACACTATAACCAAAATGACTTCTGTTTGCTATTTCTGAATATACTAACTTTGCGTATGCTGTTTCTCCAACGTTGGGTTGTTGTTTTTAAAAAAATCAATATAATCAGTTTACTTATGAACACACATGGGATTATCATTATGTCTAAACAAATATTTTAAAGCACTTTGGACCTGATTCAACTAAGCAGATGCACAACACTAGCAGAATGAGACATTCCTCTCCTCCCCCATGTATCCCCCAATGACCTCTGAGGGGCCTGGAGACCCTCCCTGAACAGCCTGTGCAGGGGGAGAGGGGAGATCATTCTGTTGGGCAAGCTGAAATGCTTTCACTGATGGAACCATTGGAAAACCTTGATGATAAATTATTCCCCCAGCTACACACAAAAAAATATTCAGAACAGCTACTGAAAAGTAAAAGGTGCAAAGTTTTCCCCAGGAATTTTATCAGAATAGATATATGGTTGATTATTTCACAATATGCGGCAGATGACTAAAGAAGAATTTTGGTGTATATTATGCAGTGAGTATGTTAAATAACAAGACTTGACCAATTTTATCCAAAAGTAAAATCTGAAGAGCAAGATTTATTTTATTTCATGTTACATAGGATTACACATTTCCCCTTATTACTACTGAACAATGTGCAAAAAACACTTAGAATGAGTTTAAGTTATTAACAGATGCGAGAGAAAGAGGTGGCTTTGCCCTGCCAGACTTGAAACTATATTATGAAGCATCATGCCTCTGTTGGTTAAAGGAATGGATTAAATTAGTGAATGGAGAGTTGTTAGATTTAGAAGGATTTGATAATAGATTCGGGTGGCATGCATATCTGTGGTATGAAAAGAAAAAAATTCATAAAGGATTTGAATACCACATTTTCCGAAGATCATTGATATAGGTGTGGGAGAGGTATAAAAATTTGTTGGAACCAAGACTCCCCCTTTGGCTTTCACCATTGGAAGTGATGAGTGTGAAAAAGATAAACATGAGGGGGAGGTGGATAACTTATGGAGAATTGATAGTAAGGGGGGGGGGGAATGGAAAATGAAGACTTATGAAGAGGTGAAAGAATTTGTTTATGATTGGTTGCACTACTACCAGATTAGTGAAATGTTAAAAAAGACTGTAAAATGTGTGGATATGAAGGAAAAGAATCAAAATTTCAAATAGAGGTATTGAATAATGAGTATAAAAATTTGTCTAAAATGTATAGAATGTTGTTGGAATGGCATTAAAAAGATGAAGAGGTGAAATCAGTAATGATACATTGGGCCAGAGACTTTGGTTATAATATACAATATGATGATTGGACGAAATTATGGAATGAAAGGTTAAAATTTACGGCGTGTACCGCGTTAAAGGAAAATGTAATGAAAATGGTATATAGATGGTACATAACGCCAGTTAAATTAGCTAAAATGTATAAAACATGTAACAAGTGTTGGAAATGTAAAGAAAAGCAGGAACTTTCTATCATATGTGGTGGGAATGCAAAAAGGTGAAAGGCTTCTGGGAAACGATATATAAGGAATTGAAAAAGATGTTGAGATATACATTTGTTAGAAAATCAGAAGCCTTCTTACTAGGATTGGTAGGTAATGAAATTAATAGAAAAGATTGTAAACTTTTCCAATACGCTGTAACAGCTGCAAGAATACTTCTGGCGCAAAGATGGAAGCAGGAAGAAATTCCAGCTGTGGAAGAATGGAGAATGAAACTGACTGAATATGCGGAATTGGATAAACTGACTGGGAAGATTCGATATCAGAAAGACCAAAAGTTTATCGAGGACTGGGGAAATTTACAGATTATCTGAAAAGCATATGTGATGCACAGACAACGCTTGTTGGTTTTGAAGAGTCTCTGTGAAAAATTAAGAAATATTGTAAAAAAGAAAGTAGGAGAAAGGAAGAGGAATGATTAAAGGCAATAATAAGTTCAGAAATGCGTTAACAATAGAAATTTTAACGAAAGATTGGCAGAGAAACTGAGGGAAGTTAAAAATTGATGAATGTGAGAGTTAATATGAGTTGATTGTATAAAAATGTTTGGAAAATGAATAAAAAATTATTATAAAAAAACCACTTAGAATGAAGTCACTTAAAAGTGCTTTGACAAGACAACTATTAGAAATCTGCAACAGTTTTTGGGATTCTTGGCTACATAATCCATCCTCAAGTATTGGAATGAAACAACACCATGTGCCTCACCTACTTATACTTAGGAAGACCTACCTCAGAGATTAAAGGAGAAAGGCAAAGGAAATGGAATAATATATTTTAAAAAAGAAGATTATCTTAAATTCCCCACAAATAAGCAGAGCATAGAGTAGGGAAAGCAAACAAACCTGCCTGATCCATCTGAACCTTCCTAGTGCTCCAGAGTATATATATATATAGCGCCCATCAAACCAGAATTGAAAGACACAGGAAAAAAAGTAGGAAGGTAGATAGGCATACTGATGTTTATGGTATAGTAGTAGCTTTCCATATTGAGGCACACTCTGTGTCAAGAACCTGTTACCAATAGTTTAAGCAACCAGAGGAAGTCAGACAATATAATTCAGAAACCCAAATAGAGCTCAGAGACCAACATCAGCACTTAGGCTAAGTTCTTATCAGGAAATTGGGCAGAGAGAGACAAAAGAGGGAGGAAATCCTGTATCAGAAATTTTAACTAACAATTCCGTTTTTGAGATCAAAAGGTAAGGGACAAATACTACAAATCAATGTTGTGAAAGAGACTTTCCTCTTTTCTGGTTTAGACCAAGGAAGTAGACTTTATAAGCTGATGAAAATCAGAGTTCAAGTAACATGCAAGGGAAAGGTTTTTTACGGATCTGGGGAAAGTGTTATGCAAGAATCCAGCACAAACAAGTAGGCACAGGACCTAGGCTCACACAAAGGGAACTCAGAAGAAGCATATACAGTTAGAACTGAAAAGGTGCCGTCATGCAGGCAGGGCAGGAAGTTGGGAGCAGGAGCGGAGCTCAGGCTACAAGGCAAAACAGAGACAGGCAAAAGAGGCTCCAGAATAGATCAAAGGGTCTCTGAAGCTTACCGCTACCAGGACAGCTCCAAAACACACTTATTCAAAAGAGGACTCCCAACTTGGAAAGGAGCATGGACACATAGGAGGAGATCCCATCAAAGGAGGATTCCAGACAGGACAAGACGGCACAAGACATGACAGACCTGAGGCAAAGAACAAGGGGCTGCACCAGCCAGCTGTGTGGAGAGTTAGTGGGGAACCTGCTGCTTCAAACACAAAACTTTAAAGGAGATATACAGTACACTCTACGATAGGGCAAGCAGGGGAAAGATGTGACTGTATTCACACTGCCATTTGCCACCAAGCGGCACACTGGTGACTAAACCACAACATTTTATAAGGCATTTAATGAAGATGTCGATTCTGGGAAGGTTCCTGTATTGCAAAATAGCTCATTTGCAAGGAAGGAGTGGAGTTAGAATGAGAGAAGGCTGCATGTGAGACAGGCTTCCACTCTAGCCAGTGTATCTGGTCTCTGAAGCAGAACAGGCAGTGTGAAAATAGCCCTTCAGTCCTTACAAGGTAGCTGCTCCCTTGTGCAAACGGGCATGAATCAGAATGCCAATTTGCAAACGAAACAGCATGTAAAAGCAAATGGGAAAGAATTCTTCATAAACTACTTTAATAAATTTCAAGAGCCACAGGAGAAAAGTTACTTTGCCTGAGAGTCCTTCTGAAATTAATTTAGGCTTCAACACTGCAAAGTAGGTGGAAGTATATGAAAAACTGAACTTTAGCAATTACAGGCAACTGCTTACTATGTGGCAAAAGTGCCTTGATAAGAGTAGTAGCATCAAGCTCATTCCGTTTCTGAGGTCAAGGACAACTTTCTGCCAAAATTAATCACCTGCCTTTCTATTGTGCAGTTGGATTTCAAAATATGGACGCTTCGGAGCCCCCCTAAGGCAGGAAAATTTTAAGTGGCTACTACAGAATCATAAATACAAACGTTAACACTTTTTGCCTTAGATTTTTAGAGAAACAACACTTTTTGACTACAAAAAGATAGCCCTAACATTCTACAATGTGCAGTCATCAGCCAAGCTGCAATTGTTTGGAACAAAGTCCCAATGGAACAAGAGAAGTGAAATCTGGTGACTTTTAAGTGAACTGAATCAGGACTAACTTTAGGGCCATTTACATTTCAGCTACTTCGGATCACGTTGGTGAAACCTGAATAATTACCCTTTTTTAAATAACCAAACATATGAACAGAAAAAAGTAAAACAACAAAAAGTAGGAGCTGGGAGTGAAAATTTGATAAGGCAGAAGCAGATTAAAAGATGAATGAGCACTAGGTCACATCGCCAGTTGATTGAATCCTCAGAGGAGGACAACAGCAACAACAACACCACCACACTGAGCCATGTCATACAATGTTTATGTATGGCTTAAGGATACTAGTGGGCTGAATTATCATGCCTCCAGTAGCAGCTGGCAGGATGCATGGGGTGGAGCTGCGCTGCTCTCCCAACCCCCCAACACCATGTGTGGCTGCTACTTACCAAGGGGCATGGCATGAACAGCTCAGCATGATGCTCAGTGTGATGCGCAGCGGCAGAGCCAATTTGACTCTCCTGCCACAGCGTGGGGGACCATGCTGCGCTGCCTGCACCTCACCCTCTCAGTAAGCAGCAGCCAAAACATGGCGTTGGGAAGCTGGGAGAGCAATGTAGACCCACCTGCACCACACCATGGGCCAACGCTGCTGCATGCCCCAACGCCACGAGTTAGGGAATAGTGCCAACACTTCACACTTCAAACAGATCTTCCAGTTTACTCACATTCTTAAACACACTTTTATGGCACCAAGATCACTATAGGAAATGGGACTGGTTAAAATTGCAGTACGTACCTTCAGCCATTGATCTGCCTGCTCCTTGCTCTGTACAGCAAGCACTAAAGCATCTTGCCCCTGGTGTGTGATTTTCAGCTCATGCTTCTTCTTTTTACTATCTTTGGGAATGTATGTAATACTGCAGCCACTCAACAAAAGTTCCATCTGAGGCTGTTGGTCCTTTGAACTCTTATAGCACTAAACACACAGTTAAGAATGATATTAGGATAAAGCTTCATTGTGCGCAAAAAGCAGCTCCAATCTAAAGCTAAAAAAAAAATTGCTTCATTTTTCCACTAATCAAAAATAAACAGCATCAACATTAGCACAACTATATTGAGACCATGTCATGGTTTCTAAAATAGCAATAAAATTTGTTGTCAGAAAAACTAGTAATGAAACAGAAGCCCCAGCTGAATTCTAGTACTCTGATCCACAAAGCTTTTGCACTATGGCAATAAATTTTGCTGTTGTGAGATTTTGTGATAAGTGGGTTGTCCTACTGGTTATGTTTTCACCAGGCGTCTACTAGATTGATTAGGTCCCTGTTTCTGAAGGGAAAGAGAGCCAATCCATGACTAATGGCAGCAGCAAGTCAGCCAGCACACCCAGGCAGGTGGCTCACAGCTTCATGGATAGTTTTCTCAGGTTTCAAAACACTATAACTGGCATTATCACAAAAAAAACATAAATTTTAGTCACCAGTAGTTTGTTTTCTTTGATCACACAAAGCAGTTTAGTCCACTGCCCAAATCGCTTCTTTCTTAAAAGGAAGGCACAGATTTTAGCATCCTTAACAAGGTCCATCGATGCTTCTTCAGAAGGCCACTGGTGTCTCATTTTCTTCCCTTTCCCATCCTCATCCTCTTCATCATAAGACTCATAAGAGCTGCTCATAGCATCAGAATCGTAATCTTAAGACAAAAGTGGTGGGGTGGGGAGTTCTATTAAAATAAACTTAACCAAACAGCACATTCCAACAAAGCAACATTTGGAACAAAACAGTCTGCTCAGAATGATCTCGTGTCTATCAAAACATTTTCTTAAGTGGTATCAGTAGAGTAAAAGATCAATAGATGTAACTCTACTGAGTAACTTTTTATAGAAGTACAGTGGTACCTCTGGTTGCGAAAAGAGTGCAACCCGCAGCGCCACATCTGCGCACGTGCAGGTTGTGATTCGCCACTTCTGTGCATGCGTGTGACGTCATTTTGCACTTCTGCGCATGCGCGAGCGGCAAAACCCAGAAGTAACCCTCTCCGGTACTTCTGGGTCGCCACGGGACATAACGTGAAAGAACGTAACATGAAGCGGATGTAACATAAGGTATGACTGTATCACATTTACATTTTCACTAGCAAAGTTAGCTTACAAATAATAACCAAAGCCGCAATAACTATAAAACAAAGGAAGAAATGCAGAATCCTAAGCCTATTTGTTTGGGAAGTTGGTTCAAATGTTTAAGGGTCTTGTTGTCCAGCCCTCTCTCATTAACTACACTTCCTCATAATGTGAGAAGGAAAATGCTGATCTGAAAGACACCCAAATCCCAGGCCTACTTCCTTGTACATAAAATAAGTTTTATATGCCCATGAAAGGGCAAATGTTTAATCAGTTTGTGCAGTCCCACAATGACTTCAATGCGACATTCTTAAGTGAGCCAACCAGATGTCTATGGGAAGCCCTCTCTTGCTCAGAATCCCCAGAAATTGGTGCTCAAAGGCATTCTGTTTCTAACACTGAAGCCACAGATATAGTGACAGCACAATTCAAACCCATGATCCACCAGGATGATAAGTAAGTTTTCTCGCTGAGCCCTTATCCTGGCTTAGCCAGAGGCACAGCAGGTAAGTCTCCTATCCCAGGTCAGCCAAAGCTGGCTGAACTGAGGCCAGTGTAAAAAGGAGTGTGGCTGGGTGGGATAACACATGGGTGACTTGCACCTATTCCAAACCCCCTTCAGCTTGGTCATGTGACCTAAGATCCTGGTAAGGGATTGGACTAGCTGACCCTCAGGATCCCTTCCAACTCTATAATCCTATGGAACCTACACCGTCAAAAAAGGTGGTGTAAGTCAAACTCTATTTTAAAGGCTTGTTTTCCCTCTGGCAGACTCAGGCCAGCACAGCCAGCAGTAGCCTTGTTCCTCAATGGAGTTTGGAAATAAGGGCAACTTATGCCAGCTTCATTTATGGCAGTTTAAATTACCCAGAGTAGATTCTGCTGGCTTCCTATAGTTAGAATTGCTTGGTAAAAAGGTCAAGCGGATCATTATTTGAAAAGTGCAAGACAGTCTTGAATGCTTGAGTAGCATACAGCAAGCAAAAATAATTCTTGGTAGGTAACCTAGAATACTGATCAAGTGTCACAGGCTCAACATTTAGCTTCTCAATCCTACCAACAAATGAAATGGAATCTAGTTTAGCTAAAACAGGTTTATCAGTTTTGTGCAGATATATTATATATTGTCTGCATTTTTTTCCTGTTTGCAGTTGACTTTACTCAGTTGTGTATCTTTTACTTACTAGATGTGATGTATTCTGGAGCCTTTCCTGGACTGAGTGGTACTGCTTCCTCATAGTAACCTTCAGGAAGGGATGAGGAAGGTAATGGTGGTGGACCATTATCTGGTGGCTAAATGCGGGAGGAAAGTTTATTTTCGTTATTATTTATTTATTTATTTATTTAATATTTATATCATATTATATTAATATACCACTGTATCAAAAAACTATTATTGCAGCGGTTTACAACAATATAAAAACATAAAAGCAGGCAATAAAATAATAAAAAGTTAAAAACAAGTTAAAAGCAAAAAAACAAAAACCAGGCATCAATAGACCATTGTGGGGGTGTACTCCCAATTGCCTACATAGGCCTGGCACAACAGAAAACTTTTCAGCAGGCATTCAGAAGTTGGCACAGAAGGCACCCCCTGACTCTCTGTTGGCAGGGTGTTTCTCAGGACTGGGCCGATGACACTTTAAGCTCAATTTCTCATTGCTGTCAAACAAGCCTCACCAGCTCTGGGAATGACCAGAACCTCTCTTGCAGATGATCTCAGCGGCTGAGCTGGAATATAAGGGTCCAGGCGGTCCCTGAGGTATCCAGGCCCCAAGTTGTTCAGGGCTTTGTAAATCAATGCAAGAACCTTAAACGTGGCTCATTAGCAGATGGGGCAGCTAATGCAGCTGCTTTAACAACACAGTCACATGTTCTCAACCAGAATCTCCCATCATCAATCTGGCCACGGCATCCTGCCCCATCTGGAGCTTCTGAACCAGACCCAAGGGCAGCTCCACAAAAGTGAAGCACATTGAATGGCCAAAAGAAAACATCAAGGTGTTGTGGTTGTTGTTTTACATTATGTTCAGATCTTGCAACTTAGGAATCCTGCATGGAAATGTGAACGTCCAAATGCAGCTTTTGTGTAATTACAGCAGACCACTCAGCTAAGCTGCCTTTTCTTCTAAGGTAGGGAAATGTGATCTGAGTGTTCTTCCAATTACTTAGCAGCACAGGACTGCGCCCAAAAGTCTTCCACATCAAGACGATGTGTAACAAAGTAGAGAGAGTGATTATGATGGACTCTGTATCAGTGGAGAATTTATTGGCTACTGCAAGGCTATTTCTTAAGAAAGGAAAGAGTACCAAATATACTTGAATGACCTGCTAGTCTAGTCAACAGGGTGGAGGAGTGCTCTTGTGTCCCTCCACCCTTTTCCTTTCCCCCACTTTAACTATTTGCCTTCTATTGAAAGCAATGGGAGGGAAATAAAAGGGACCAGACTATGCCACCTCCAGGGCTGGCATTATTCATCCCCTGGTTTGGGGACCTACCAGAAAGGACTCAGTCCCACACAACGCACTCCCAGGGCCAAAGGATGGCATGGCCTGACAAATTCAGCAAATCTGCTGGTTGTAACGTAAATCAAGCAAAACCAAGCAACGGGTAATCGTTTAAAATAATAACACAAATGTTTATAAATCTAAATGGAAAGACAGAGGTGTTAAATATTCAAGAATAAAGTTATCAAAGTACTTGCCCAACTGCTAAAATATCACATGGGCCTAGGGCTAAGATGTGGCAGCATTTACAAAGATAGTCCACAGCAAAATGTGCCTAGATGAGTCAGATGCTTTCCATAAAAATGCAGGTTCAACCAAGTTGAAGAGACTGATTGGGAATAATAAAATCACTGAGTTGAGAAAGTCATTAGGAGGGATGGAGATCCCTAAACATTATCATGTTGCTATTTTAACAGCTGTGGTAGAATGAACAAATACAAGTAAAAATTACTCATGCTGGGAATTGGAAGAAAGCAAGTGGGACCTGAAACAATATGTGGTGTGGATTAATTCTCTTCAGGACTCCAAACAGCCATACCTGGAAGAATTTCACTACTAGTTATAGGATTGAACAGATATTTCTCTGGCAGCATATAAACATTATTAGTGGGCTAGAATGTGTTTTTTTCTTTAAGGTGGAGAATGCAGACAGCCTGATATTAAGGTAGCTTTGGTCCCGTAGGTGAGAGATGAAGGGAGGAAGGGAGGGGTATTTAGATGAGGCATCATGTTTACAGAATTATTTTTCTTGGTGTAGTGTGAGGAAGATGGTGAAGCGTCACTGCATGGTTTGTGAGAAAGTTGGAGGAAATATCTTCTATAACCTTCAGAACTACTGGAGATTCTGCCCACCTGCCCCTGCAGAGTGAGAGATGGAGAGGGCAAGTGCTTGGTATGAAGGGCTTTGTTCACGGGATGTTTATGGATTATTGCTTGTATGTCAGTATTTGTCCAGGTTTGTCTGGGTCTCACAGAGTAGGCATGCGAGTATGTTGTTGTTTGAGGATGGGAAGCTGAACTGTGGGAATAGTGTCAGGAGTGTGATCTGACAGTGCCCTAGAATAGTAATTATGAGCAAATTAGTTTAGGGTGTTTTTGAGTTTCATTAGTGTGAATGTGTTGTTCATGTATAGAATGTGCTTGGGTGGAACAGAATGTGATGTATTTTTAGCAGTAATTATGTTTTTGTTCTATAGGGGGCTGGGAATGCAATTGGACTGTGCAGTGCGCCCCAGGCTTCGGTTCCCCAACCTGGTTTGGAGGCTGGCGGCGGGGAGAAGCAGCGCGCCTTCCCGCTGTTCCCCGACCTGGTTTGGGCTTCAGGCAGATATCCGCAAGCAGTGGGAGCCCGGCGGGAAGCCGCGACAGTCTCCCAAGGCTTGCGGAGAGCTGCCTGTTCTGGGGGCTGGCGAAGCTCGGGCTTCCCCCGCCCCAGCCCTGCACCTGGGGGGGAAATAAATTTTTTTCCCTTTATTTCCCCCCTCCAAAACTAGGTGCGTCCTATGGGCCGATGCGTCCTATAGGGCGAAAAATACAGTAAATATTAGCAAATATAGTCTATCAAATGCTGTAAGTTAAATACAATTATACGCTTGCTGTCAAATACTGTCTCATATTAACTTCTATTGCATTCAAGCCATAAAATATAGTCATTTACACTGTAAGAGGGATTTTCACACTATGTCCAGGGTACCCTGAGTTCTTTGGAAGAGTAGATTAAAGACAGCCTGTGCACTTGGTCTGCATGTGCAACCACAGGAATGTCTGGTGTTACAAGACCCAAGTGAGTACAAGACCCAAGAACACATTGCAGCATCTTGTACAATGTTCAGGGATTCTGTGGAGAACACAGATAAATTCCCTGGCATATGTCAGTAGAGCAATTATTCCCTGAAGATAGAAGTATGAAAACAACTGAGACTGATTAACATGTCAGCTATCCAATATCGCAAAATATTAATTGGCAGGCATCAAATATGGAAATCAATTAAAATTGGGTGAAAATTTGGTGTAGTATCTTCATTGAAAACGAAACACTGGGAATAGCCAATAAGCAAATTTGTTTCAATGATATTTAAGTATGAACAGGAAGACCTGGTGGATAATCTGCTAAGTATTAGCTCAAAGTGAAAGTCAAATTGCTATACAAGTAGAAGGTATGGCAAGGAAGGTATGGCAAATCATCCTACTGAATATGCTTTCACACTTTAATTACATATGAGGGAACAGGTTATACATTCAAATAAACAAATAGGTAAACGAATTCCAAAGCTGTACTATTTAAAAAAAATTGAGAAAGAGCTCTTCATTAGCAAACACTTGGAATATACTCACCAGCCATTGCTGAGGAATCTCTGGCAGAGGCATCTGCGGAGGAGCAGGTAAGTTACCGGTAACCTCTTGTTTCTGTGCATTTTCTTTTATTTCAAAATCTAATGTGAGGACGGGGAAAAGACTATGTAAAATTGATATTAATTAATGGAGTTGGTGATGCTTACCATGGCATCAACTCAAAGCTTACACATACATAGGACATGGGGTGGGAGAGAAGGAATAACACATTAAAACAAGGGCAGTGACTTGCTAAATGAAAATGAAAACAAAAGGGGAGTTAAGAATCCTTACTTTAAGAAGCCACTAAAGTTTATCATGAGGGAACATCCTTGGAGCTGCAAAGAAAAGAATGGGAAGGCACTCTTGCCCCCACTTGAGGAATGAAGAGAATGATGCAAATCTTTCCTCTGGGAATGGGGCACTAGTGAGAGTTGTGGCCTGTCCAGTGCAAAGACCCCCTCCTCCCTTGAAAACAGCCTTTAACTGAAACCAATGGCTGTTTTCAAGACAAAATGCCGTGGGGTGGCAGTTTTAGAAGGGTCAGAAAGTAAGCGGTCAACCCTCCACTCTCCATGCCCTGTGGCACCACCACCCCTTAAAAAAGAAGTCCCTCACACGCAGGGAAATGAGACTTGAAAACAGCCTTTCATTGGGCTGAATGAGAAGCTGCTTTCAAGCCTAACTGCTGTGCAGAGAAGAGTTAACCCTCCTCCTTCCTCCCCCCAACTCCATGAAACACCCCTGTTCCCTGTTAGAGGCATGCACTGTTTGTGCCCAATTTGACCACACTCCCTGCACTCAGCACTAATAAATAATTAATAATAATAATAATAATAATAATAATAATATATTATTTATACCCAGCCCATCTGGCTGGGTTTCCCAGCCACTCTGGGCGGCTTCCATCCGAATATTAAAAACACAATACAGCATCAAACATTAAAAACTTCCCTAAACAAGGCCGCCTGTAGATGTCTTTTAAAAGTAAGATAGTTGTTTATTGCCTTGACATCTGCTGGGATGGCGTTCCACAGGGCAGGCGCCACTACCGAGAAGGCCCTCTGCCTGGTTCCCTGTAACTTCACTTCTCGCAGTGAGGGAACCACCAGAAGGTTCACCCCTGCAAGAATGGCCACTTGGAAATGCTGTTCTACTCGGGTGCAGAACCTGTAAGCCAGACTGCAACAAGATGAGGAGGGGGGAACTGGGTGAGGTTTTGTTTTCCTAGTGCTCTGGGTTAAACACAGTCTTACCTCACCCCACACCATATGCTAATAACATAAACTTGGCATTAACCTTTTGATGATTGTATCCTCAGAAGAATGTTACTCAAAGCTGCCTTCTTCTCCCTGACTGTGGTTGTTAAGTATTCATGGTCCAGAAGCTGAAGAAACAGCTGTAGTTCAACTATTAATTCTTCCATGGCTGAAACAAAATAAAAACAATTTCGTATAATGAAAATAAGCGTAAAAATGACATTTAGAACAGGCAGCCTAGCAGAGCTTTAAAAAGAAGCTGCTGGTAGTGGTTTAAATTGTACATAGCAGCTTCCTGTCTATTGTTGTTTGAGACCATTTGAACAACAGTTCCCCCTTAAGTAGGAATGGTATTTATACCAAGGCACTCCAGTGACAGGCAACTGAAGGGAAAGCACACTTCTATGGATCAAGGTAAGATGGCCAACTGGTAAATCCACCACCCAAACCAATTTCATCTAACCCTTCGCTTGATGCCATTTTTCACATTTCTGCATTTATAGTCCACCTTCACTGACAGTCTGTTTATTTGGCACAACATACTTCTGGCCTCTATGAGACGCGAGTGGCGCTGTGGATTAAACCACAGGGCCTAGGACTTGCCGATCAGAAGGTCGGCAGTTCGAATCCCTGCGACGGGGTGAGCTCCCATTGCTCGGTCCCTGCTCCTGCCAACCTAGCAGTTCTAAAGCACGTCAAAGTGCAAGTAGATAAATAGGTACCGCTCCGGTGGGAAGGTAAATGGTGTTTCCGTGCGCTGCTCTGGTTCGCCAGAAGTGGCTTAGTCATGCTGGCCACATGACCTGGAAGCTGTCTGTGGACAAACACTGGCTCCCTCGGCCAATAAAGCGAGATGAGCGCCGCAACCCCAGAGTCGGTCACGACTGGACCTAATGGTCAGGGGTCCCTTTACCTTTACCTTACTTCTGGCCTCTAGACTACTGTCAGGAAAATGAGCGATCTTTGAGGATTCAGAAAGTGCTCATCTCTTGGACAGAGGGATAAACAGTTTGCAGCAAAGCCAGTTCAAGAATTACCTGCCTCCTTCATTAGACTAGAGCACATTCTTCCCTTTATTGATGCTCATCTACAAACATTAACATGTGGAAGCCAAGGGGTGGGATGGGTATAAAGTGCCCTACACTGCCAGATGATGATGGTGAAACAGGACACTGCACATATTTGGGTAAATGTGTGATGTAAACAGCTTTTAGATGTCTGAGGAACCATGAGGAAGAGCTTTGAGCTTTCTAGTAACATTTGAACCTGCCCTTCATAGGCAAAGGCACAGAAAAAAAGAAGCAGAGCAGCTAAGATGATCCAGGCGATGGAATGCAGGGAGCCTTAATAGATTAGAACAAATCTTTCATGTACTGACAGTATAGCACAGAGTTAATATTGTCTGTTCTCTAGGAAAAAGCAAAACAGATTTATTGACCATAAAATTTCTGATGCCATGGAAAAATCAACTGCTAGATTTATTTATCAAACTACATCATCCTTTATTTAAGGCTATCCATAAAGATAACCAGGTAACTTTCTGAGAAGCAAGGTTTAATTAGATACAGTCATTGAAGATGTTGTTATGTTGCCTAGGGGAAAGCAGTACAACTGAGAGATCACAGGGGCAGGTCAATTCCCAGGTGGTATATATTCATCCTCACCCTTGATGTGGCAGCACATTTCTTCTATGAAAAGTTAAAAAAAAAAAGGATACAATGAGGGCAGAGACACAAATGGGGCAGCCCTCCCATAATGAACAAGCCTAACTTTCAACAAGACTATAAAAAAATGAATGTAAAGATTAATTCGGTTGGCTGGTTCAGATGTTCTCAGAAACAAAATTTTGTATATGAACACTTAGATGTAAGTGTACAAACACCTGGCTAACTATTAATCATGGCCACAAGCCTAGATTGCTTTTAAAGGAATTAGAAATGTTTATATTTCATTTTTTATGCCCATCATCTGAATATCTTAGAGTGGTTCACAGCATAAAAATACAGAATAAACAAAACAAACCAATAACCTCCCTCCCAATGTTCATGGAGAAGTAGCCAGTCCCTGGTTGTGAGCTCCCAGAGAAATCTGGCTGGCCGTGTTGGAAGCAGAACGCTAAGTGAGGAGGAGCTCTGGTCTCTTCCACCAAGACAATTCTTGCGTTAAGAGAAGATGGAGCATGCATTTCCAATCATGAGACACACATTATGAGCAGCTCTACATATCTGCTGCATATTAAATATTAAGTGTAAACAAAATATGGATAAATACGCTGATATGCCGATCCCCATACCATCTCAAAGGCAGGAGGAATGTTTGTCCTACACTGAGACTCTCATTAGTTGGCCATCAGGGCTGCACCCAGCTGAGTCCTCTGGCTCAGGCAATGACAACCACTAACCACACTACAACTGGGATGGATTTTCTCATCTTGCCAGCTGCTTCTGTTGCTCACTTGAAAATTAATAAGGCTCATATCAGAATTAAGAAGCTATTGCTGCCATCTGTCTTCCTTAAAACACCGCCACACTGAATTATTAAACACTGCAAACAAACACACATTTCTAACTTTTATGTGATTTCAATTACTTCTGCACCAACAGAATCCTTTGCGAATAAAGAGCCAGAAGACTTTATTTGCCATTTCATTTTGTCAACCTGAAATTCCTGGTAGCACTTTTCATTTGATTTTATCCTTAGCCCTCCACAAAGAATTACACATTTGAGTTCCCTCTTAAATATTTAGAAGTGTAACAGAAAGGTGTTTTTTTTTTTGCTGGGGGGGCATGTTTCTTGGCAAAGGAGGAAAAAGGAAAATCCTTCATTAAGTCTCCCCATTACCATCAACGTTATCAAGCCTTCATCAACATATGGCTGAAAATGGTCACTATGGGACTTGGCATGGCCTGTCTGTCTGAGTGTGCAGCTGCCAACTGTCTGTAGAAAACAGCTGTGACACACACAAATGACTGGTAGAGGCAAATCTTACAGAGGTCTTGCTTCAGATATCACATTACAATGTATTTCATAATCCTCTCCCCACCCCATCCTCCATTAACACAAGGGAGGGTATGGATTAGGTATTTGAACTTCCAAGAGAGAACTATGTCATAAATAAATTTCAGTGTGGCATATCAATGCTCAGAGATAATTCACATTACACTGTTGCTGGTTTTATTCTGTTGTGATTCAACTTCCATGTTGTATTCTTTTATCTTATGCTTTCAATCTTTTAATTGTAAACAACATACGTAAGTTTGAAGTTGACACAGTAACCAGAGTAAAACATAATTCTGTTCACATCACTTTCTTAGGTGTCTTTCGATACCATAGCAAAACGTTCCAAGTTTTCAAAAGACAGTATGTTGGATCTTGTTAGCCAAGTAATCCAGCAGAACACAGGCGAAATGTTTACAATTCTGCAAATTGTTTGAAATGCCATATGCCATTATACCTCTTTGTTCCTTTTCTGCACTACTTCTCCACAAATGAAGTTCAGATGCCAGGAGTTTCTTTGACTTAACACTCCAAAACACGAGAACCACACCTAATTGGAGAAAGTTGAGCAGCTATATGCCAAATGCAGAGGGGCGTAGCTTAGAGAGACTACAAGTCTCTAAAAGAAACATTACATCAGGCATCAGTTTGCCAGAAGTGATCAAAACGAGCATACACACCCCATCTTCACCACAACAAAAATGTGCAAATATCGTTCTTTCTAGTGCTATTCACAATAAATAAAAAGTTAAGCTGTCATGTACACAGTGGACAATAGCCAAATAACCAAGTCATCTGTCAGCATTTCACCAGTCAATTGACAGGTCTACCACCTTAAGAGGGAAGATCCCAGTGTTTCCCAAAACATGCCTATGTTTGGGGAAGGGCACAACTGCTTACGTTTAAGTGTGAACTGGTCCCCAGATCAAGGTGGCAGCTTTTTCAAGGAGATGCAGTTACTCAGCACAGCCTGCTAGGCTCCCCCTTGGTATGACTCCAGTTTCATTTACTTTTTTATAACCACAGAATCCAGGGGAAAGCATGGCAGACCAAACCAACCAACCAACCAAAGGCTCACCTTGGTAGGAAACACATCAGCAAATTTTAGTCTGATTTTATGGGCAACAATTGCAATCAATTCCTCTTTACATGTTCCGAACTTATCAAAGTAACACATTCTCAAGGTAAGAATGATTCTGGCAAGAGTCGCTGACAAATCTTTCCCTAGAGAGAGCACACCATTAACAAAATAGTGCACCATTATCCTCACCTGCTTGTTGTCAGCCATCATATTAGTACATAGCACACATATTTCCAAGTGGTGAGGTGTTCCAAGACAGCACAACAAGGTTAAAATTCCTTTGAATGAGAAAGCACTGAAGATCAGACACACCAGTTCATCCAGATGATCAGAAGCGCCAGACACATCCTTTGAATACTGAGGGGCCCACTCCCCCAAAAAAATATTATGGGGGCCGAAACTGCTTTGGCCCCTAGGAGTCAGCACCTATGCTGGGGATTTAGGGCATTCTTACAATATTTCTTTAATTTACAAATATACTGTATAAGCAAAGTGGTCCTATAAGCAGAGAGAATCAATCCAACTGCTAGAGAGCAGCTATGGTAGGCTGCTCTAAAGCAGTGTTTCCCAACCTTGGGTCTCCAACTGTTTTCAGACTACAGTTCCCATCATCCCTGACCACTGGTCTTGCTGGCTAGGGATGATGGGAGTTGTAGTCCAAAACCAGCTAGAAACCCAAGGTTGTGAAACACTGCTCTAAAGTGGCACTACTAAACTGTCTCTCTCTGCCTGCTTCTGAACCCCAGTTGCTGGAAACCACAGGAAGGGAGAGTGTTCTGGTGCTCAAATCCTGCTTGCGGGTTTCCCAGAGGCATCTGGCTAGCCACTGTGAGAACAAGATGCTGGACCAGGTGGGCCACTGCCCTGATCCAGCAGGCTGCTCTTATGTTCTTCTACCCATTCATTTCCCAAAAACCGCACACACATATAAACACACCTTGTGGTGCACAGGTCCAAGCCCCTATTCATGCAGATGAATTGTCCATTCCAGAGAAAGGGGACACTAAGAAAACTGCATAGCTCAGTTGGTTTAGAGCATGGTGGTAATAATACCAGAGTTGCAGGTTCTATCCCCATATGGAACAGCTGCATTGCAGAGGGTTGGACTAGATGACCCTCAGGGTCCCTACTGTTCTATGATTCTTTTTGTCAAGGCCATGACCATTCTTTCACAGTGAGTAAACCGGCCAACCATCTCACAATTTGAATGATTGCCAACCCGTACCACCTTGTGCATTCCTTCCAAAGAGGTCACTGACATATTATTATTATTATTATTATTATTATTATTATTATTATTATACTGCTCTATACTCAGAGGTCCCAGGGCGATTCACATAGTCTGGAAGTTAACGGCTGTGCAAGCATCTGTCAAGGAACTAGATGTAAATCATACATTCAAGATTCTAAAATAAGAGTTGATTTTAAAAGGCAACACCAGCAAAAAAAAAGTGCAGGTTATAATTCATTCCACATCCTCCTTTTAATCTGTGCTTCATTCATTTCCTAGCTCTATTATCATCATCAACCCTCAAATCATCTGGGAGTAGCTTTCATTCTCTAAGATCCAACTGTTGTCTGTGGGTTTTGCACAGAAGTAGTTCTTCAAAGAGAACTACTTGGTAACAAACAACCGCCACCTTATGAAATGCAACTACAACCAATATTGAAGCAAATGTGCTATACACTCAGGAGGTCATTGTCCAAAAGCCTACTTCAGTCCTCAACACCACTTCCTATGTACGAAGACCTAACTGTAGAAGACCTCAAAAAAACAAATTTTGGGTCCACTGTGCTCCATACTTCAGTCCCAAAACACCTTTGAAAGGCAATAGTCCACGTAAAGTTATTTAAAAGCAGGAAAATATATTACCTCCCTTAGATTAAGCAATATTTAGCATATTTGTCATTAACCCGTTTATTGTTTTCAGACTCTTGTTGCTTCCAAATGCATCTTCAAAATATATTGTGGACATAAGAGTTAATGACATTAATTTGAATAGACAGATAAGTTTGTATTCCTAAATTCCCCTGGTGGTAGCAATGTTATCAATAAGATGGTCATATATAACTACAGCCTTTTCCAGATATTAGCAAGTTACAGTTTACATCAAAGTCAAATTTTGCTTACCAAAACAGTCAGGTCAAAGCAAAGTCAAACAGAGATGTTATCGAGTTTTACCTGCAGGTTAGGGAATTAAATAATTTAGAGAAGGGGAGGGTAACCCAAGTTTGGGGTCCTGATCTGAACTCCCCAATTTTTTTTTCTGCCCCTCAGACCCTACAGATTTTGGTGGCACAGGCAAAATAAAGAAATGAAGAACTAAAATAGATACTGGGGTGAGCAGAGATAGAGCCCAGCACACTGATAGGGATGTAAATTGCCTCTACTCTGGTCCTGAGATTGATTAGAGGGGTGGGTGGGAGCCTTTTGTGCTTGTCTGCCCATGTTTGCACATCCTAAAGCGCATATGTGAGCTTATGGCCACACCCACTAGCATGAGGTCCCTGGAGAGTTGGCCAAGGACAAATCTGGCCCTCACTCCAAGAATATTAGTCATCTCCGATTTAGAGGAAATTGCTGAACTAAAATGCTTTTCTTCTTTGATCCCCCTGTTCTGCAGCTCTTAGTTGCTGGTCCTCTGCTCAATCCTCTGCCTAAAGGAAAAGATAATAATGGGTCATACCCAACTAACTTATTGAGAAATTCAGTTCGGATCTTAATGCGAACCTGCCTAATATGTAAACCCAAAGACAGCTAGCCTTCTAAAACTGCACTTCTCCAAATTTTGTGATGCTGTTCTCCGACCAAATGATGCATATAAAAATGTGCGTAAGGATACACATATATTAGTTAAAATGGCATATCAAAATGCATTATATTTGCAAAAATGTGTAAATCAAACAAAATTACATGCAAATATTAGGAGACTGGCAATAAAATGTTGGAAAACTTTCACAATGATTTTTTAAGTTGCAAACTGATATGGGAACGTGGAGAACTGAACTTGAATCTGGAATAAAAATGACAATTGGTCATTCTTGAGGCAGTGCATCATACAGGAGGAGATGCAGAGCAGATTAATGATGGAATTATTTAATTTGGTATAAAAACCACCCAAAAATTTTTAGAAAGACTACCTCAAATTAAAATTTTCATTTCTTCTCAAAAGCAAGCCCTGCCAATTTTAATAGGATTGGTCTCAAATTAAGTATACAGAGGATTTTTTAATATATTTTTTAAAGCAGACAAATATAGCTATGGTTCTAACAAAGTAAAGGTAAAGGGACCCCTGACCATTAGGTCCAGTAGTGACCGACTCTGGGGTTGCGGCTCTCATCTCGCTTTATTGGCCGAGGGAGCCGGCGTACAGCTTCCAGGTCACATGGCCAGCATGACTAAGCCGCTTCTGGCGAACCAGAGCAGCGCACAGAAACACCGTTTATCTTCCCACCAGAGCGGTACCTATTTATCTACTTGCACTTTGATGTGCTTTTGAACTGCTAGGTGGGCAGGAGCAGGGACCGAGCAACGGGATCTCATCCCATCACGGGGATTCGAACCGCCGACCTTCTGATCGGCAATCCCTAGGCTCAGTGGTTTAACCCACAGCGCCACCCGTGTCCTCTAACAAAGTACATGAAAGTAATTTCTATACAGATGCACAAATCACAAAAAGCTACCAATTTGTTCTCAGTCACCTGGGGAAAACACAGCTTTCCCCTAAACCATACAACCAAAAATAAATAAAATACAACCAAGCATAAATTATATTTTAATCAAGTAAAATTCTGTCCCTTCTCCAACCTCACAGAAAGAGGGGAAACACATTTTTAAAAGACCAGAAAAAGGAGCAGGAAACTGGTAGGAAGGGACTCTGATGAGATGGAAGAACACAGCAACCAGGAGGCATCAAAAGAGATCAGGGGAAGAATGCACCCCCTGGGCTGACAGTTGCTCACATGTGGCCTAATAAACTGGTAACAGCGCATTTGGGAGCATTCCAAACCTTTGAGAACCAGTGGAACTTCTTCCCAGCTCCGAGCAGATTTTCTGCTCTGGTTAAATCCAGGAAAAGTTATAGCTGAAATTAACTCTGCTAAGTGTTGCACAATTGGCTTGTTTGGCCTACAGGCCATGATATTTTCCATTTTAGTGCAGGACCCTGCAGAAGAAAAGAGGGCCACTGGGAGTCAGGGAGAGCCTCTGCCTTTCTTTGGAGCCCAAATAAGGGTGCAGTTTCTCTTTGAGCTTGTGCTGAGTTCAGAGACGCTTGGAAAGCACAAAGATGCCCATTGTTTTCCAGGTGTTTTTAGGGTTCAGTGAGAGGATGGGAAGAAACCCTGCCCTCCTCTAGGTTCCAGAGCAGATTGGGAGCACTTGCCAGATTAAAAAGTATGATTGCCAATGGCGAGCACATTTGCAGATTCGGGTCAAACCTTTGGGGACTTGACCTGTATTGTTAATAACAAGGACTGATGGCCATCATTTTAAGTTTGTGTGGCAATGTGTCTTCTTCTGGCATCTTTCTACTGGACAATCTTACAATTAACTTTCAGATTTCACTTATGGTTACAAGAGCTCAGGGAGTTGAGTGAACAGGATATCAATCCCATTTGGGTACTCTGGTTGGCTACTAAAATATCTCAGCAAAGTAGTCCTTAAGTGGACTGCACTTCCATGGAAAAATAACTTTCTTGCAAATCCGATGAGTCTATGGGTCCCAAATTTAGCATAATTGTTTTTAAATATGTCTTGGCCTGGACTGGACCAAAGCTGAACCTGAAAACCAGTCTCCATTTTTCTACAGTTCCTTATGACTGCTAAGACACTGACTTCCTTTTAAGATGCTAAAGCCAAACATTACAGCTACCCAGTACTCAGGCTCACATTCCTGGAAATCATCAGAATTAAAATATGTTGTTGGATTAAGGAGTTAGGGAACCAGAGTCACAGTATGTAAAGTTTTGAATCTTAACGATTGGTTCAACAGAATTAGAGTATGTGTGATGCTAGAATTTTGTATTTTTAAATGGAAAACTTGAGAGTAGAAATTAAAACAATTTCTCAAAGAATGAAAAATAAATTGTAAGAATGACAATTGCTCTGCATTTCTTACTCTAATATACTTTTAAGGATGGCAATTATTTTCATATCCATTATTCAATTATATGCTTTCCTTAATCCTCACAAATTTATTAATTGGAACTAACCTGACACATTTTGCAGTGTAGCTTAACTATTCCTTTAGCCAGGTGGTCAGATTTTTATCAGGCTTTAGTAACTGTGTTTGGTAGCATCCCGCTGCTACAAAAGTCCACAAAAGTTGCTGCCTCAAAGATTTTTACTAACCTACCTGTTTACAAATATGTATGTTAGCAATTTGTAGCATACTGACAGGCTAATTTAGGAAGAAGAAAATGCAAACTAATAATAATAAATGCATCCCTGGTCACCTGGAAGCAATTCCCCTCAGCACCAGGCAAGTACCTATTTAGAGATGCTAAAGTCATTTGATCCTGGTTGCACTTTTCAGTCTCCTTGCCAGAAGTCATCAGGAGCCAAACACACACAGTGGGCAATCTTAGGCGCCTTTACCTGGGAGTAAGCCCAACTTGCTTCTCGGCAGATATGCACAGGATATCCGCTTAACTCTGCGGGACTTCGCTCAGTCCGGACCCAGAGTCCCATTCCACGGCCCCCAATGGGTGTTGCCACGCACAACTAACTTGGGCCGGATTTGGAAGAGTCCCCATTAACGAAAGGCAGGCAGGCAGGCCGGCTCCTCGAGAGCCTTTCCAGGATCGTCGCCCTCCGCTTCTGCCTTTCTCCCCGTGACAGGAATTCCCCGAGGCGCATCAGCATTTGCCGCTCGCCCGCCCAGCAGCCCCGCCGCCCCCGCCATCCTCCGAGACGCCGCCGCCGCCGGGGCGCAGGGAGCGAGGGGCGCGCAGGCAGGCAGGCAGGGAGGCGCTGCCCGGCGGAGCCACGGCTCCTCCCGAGCGGCTGGCCTCCTCCCGGGGCGCCCTGGCCCTCCCGCGCTCCGGCCCGGCAGCCAGCCAGGGAGGGAGCGGCCGGGGCTCCCCGAGGCCGCCTTTGTCTCCGCGCTCGGGGCGCCGCCGGGCTCCTCCTCCGCCTCGCCGGGAGCCGAGCGCTGCGCTGGCCAGCCCCCCCTTCCGCCCGCCTTACCTGGCGCCCGCCTGGTCCCGCGGCGGCTGCAGACGCGGCCGGGAAGGAGACGCCCGCCCGCTCGGCCGCCCAGCCCAGCCCAGCCCCGCCCCGCGCCGCGCGCTCCCGCTCTCTCTCTCTCCCGGCCGGGGAGCGGGGCCAGAGCGGGCCCCCCCCCGAGTGGCGGCGGCGCGAGCCAATGGGCGAGCTGGGGGAGAGGGGGAGGCGGGGCCCCAGAGAACAAAGGAGGGAGGGGGCGCCCGGGAGAGGGGGAGGGGGGCGGGGGCTGCGCCGCCCGGGACGCCCCAGTTCCGCCGGGCTCGGAGTCGGAGGCCTACGTCTGCTGGGCGCGGAAGGCAGCCGGGTCTGGGTCTGGGGTCCGCGCGCAGCCTGCCCTCCAGGCCGGGAAGCGGCTCCTGGGGCTCCGCCTGAAGCCACGCAGAGCCCGCAAGGCGGCGCCCTCGGCCGGGGCCAAAGGCGAAGCGGGGCCTCTGGAGGGAAAGGCGGCGGGTCCGGTGGTCTCCCGCCGCCTGGGAGGAAGGGCCTCTCCTTCAGCTTCTCTGACCCTTGGCGGCCCCGTTGGGAGAAGCCGAAATAAATGATGGCCGTGCCATTAAAGTTCTCTCTTTTATAAAAGGGATCCTAATAGAATCCTAGAGGGATCCCCAGGGCTATCCAGTACTGTACAAGCCCTGCAAGCAGGAATCACAACTGAAGCATCCCTGGCAGACAGCCATCCAACCTCTGCTTAAAAACCTCCAAGAAGGAGAGACCTCCCGAGAAAGACCATTCCCCTGGTGGACAGCCCTTACCATCAGAAAGTTCTTTCCGATGCTTAGTCAAAATCTTTATTGTAACGTGAATCACACTTGAAAACGACCTTGACAGATTAGAGAACTGGGCAAAAACAAACAAGATGAATTTTAACAGGGAGAAATGTAAAGTATTGCACTTGGGCAAAAAAAATGAGAGGCACAAATACAAGATGGGGGACACCTGGCTTGAGAGCAGTACATGTGAAAAGGATCTAGGAGTCTTGGTTGACCACAAACTTGACATGAGCCAACAGTGTGACGCGGCAGCTAAAAAGCCAATGCAATTCTGGGCTGCATCAATAGGAGTATAGCATCTAGATCAAGGGAAGTAATAGTGCCACTGTATTCTGCTCTGGTCAGACCTCACCTGGAGTACTGTGTCCAGGTCTGGGCACCACAGTTCAAGAAGGACACTGACAAACTGGAACGTGTCCAGAGGAGGGCAACCAAAATGGTCAAAGGCCTGGAAACGATGCCTTATGAGGAACGGCTAAGGGAGCTGGGCATGTTTAGCCTGGAGAAGAGGAGGTTAAGGTGTGATATGATAGCCATGTTCAAATATATAAAAGGATGTCACATAGAGGAGGGAGAAAGGTTGTTTTCTGCTGCTCCAGAGAAGCGGACACGGAGCAATGGATCCAAACTACAAGAAAGAAGATTCCACCTAAACATTAGGAAGAACTTCTTGACAGTAAGAGCTGTTCGACAGTGGAATTTGCTGCCAAGGAGTGTGGTGGAGTCTCCTTCTTTGGAGGTCTTTAAGCAGAGGCTTGACAACCATATGTCAGGAGTGCTCTGATGGTGTTTCCTGCTTGGCAGGGGGTTGGACTCGATGGCCCTTGTGGTCTCTTCCAACTCTATGATTCTATGATTCTATGATTCACTGGTTCGAGTCCTACCTTCCCTAATGGAAGAATACAAGCTTGCTCCATTTCCCATGCAAAATGCCCCTTAGACATTTGAAGATGGCTATCATATCTCTTCTCAGTCTCCTGCCTTAGGTTGGTGGGTCGGTGGGCCTCCGATGGGAACGTAGTCCAGAGGGAGCATGCCTGGACTAGGAACCCTTGACTGAATGCTGAAATCCTCACCACAGGCAGGAAACTCACAGCCATCAACAGAGGAAGAGCAGCACTTACTCCCCATGACCCTACAGTAGCTGCTGCAAGGCCTGTGACACCCATATCTTTATCCCAACAGAAGTGCATGCTTTTAGTACTTTCAGGTGGGATCTGTCTTGGTGGTGCATCCTGGAGGCTGCTCTTTAAAATGAAGGCTAGGGACCCTGTGAAGGTTGAAGCACCCTGCCAGCTGACTATAAAAAAGCTGGCGGAACTGGGGATTATGACCTGGCCTAAGGTGGTGTGAGTGTGTCTTCTGTGTCGCTCCCCTCTACACTTGAGGATCTGGAAACGTAGTTGCATCCCCAGGTGCCAGAAATGGTGGTACCTCCCTGCTTCGCACTAGAGGAAAATGAAGTGAAAGGAGACAGGGATTTCTAAAAATGACGTATAACAAAAATGTCCATAGTGTGGTGATGGTGTAAGTCAGGATAGGGGGGGAGCTCCCTTGGTCTCCCTCAAGAGAGGTGTATCTTTGCTGGAGAACAAACAGGGTTCACTCATTTTTGAAGACACTGTTTATACCTCATATGAACAAGGCAGCAGTATGAAAGAGTAAGATGTCTTATCCCTTCTTTGCTATTAATCTTGGAGGGGTTTTTTTTTTAAAAAAAGACTAAAATCAACCAAGATGGAACTGTGTCAGGATTGTCCTTCCTCGCTTCTTTGTCAGAGGCAGCGAGATCTGTGGGCAGAGACTTGTGATCAAAGTGCTTGGCATTATTGTTTTGTGTGGTAAGGACTACGCCAAGCACCCCATCTTTCCTCTCAGATAAAATAGTTTAACTCAGGGGTCCTCAAACTTTTTAAACGGGGCCGGTTCACTGTCCCTCAGACACTGTTGGGGGCCGGACTATACTTTGAAAAAAATGTGAACAAATTCCTATGCACACTGCACATATTTTATTTGTAGTGCACAAAGAACAGGGAAAACAATACAATATTTAAAATGAACTATAGTGGTACCTCGGGTTAAGTACTTAATTCATTCTGGAGGTCCGTTCTTAATCTGAAACTGTTCTTAACCTGAAGCACCACTTTAGCTAATGGGGCCTCCTGCTGCCGCCACGCCGCCGGAGCACGATTTCTATTCTCATCCTGAAGCAAAGTTCTTAACCCGAGGTACTATTTCTGGGTTAGCGGAGTCTGTAACCTGAAGTGTATGTAACCTGAAGCGTATGTAACCCGAGGTACCACTGTGTTTTAATCAGCATAAACTTATAAGCATTTCAATGGGAAGTATGGGCCTGCTTTTGGCTAATGAGATGGTCAGTATCACTAATGCTCATCCCTGCAACCCAGCCTGCACATGGATCTCCCTCACCCCCATGGCCCAGTCTACATGTGGGCCTTCCATGCCCCCATCCCCACAACCCAGCCTATACACGTGTCTGCCTGCACACACACACATCCCCACAACCCAGCTTATACACGGCTCCCTAACCCCAACGACCCAGCCTATGCATGTGCTTCCCTAACCAGATCCCCATGACCCAGCCCACACCTGTGTCTCCTTAAGCCCCATCCTTAAGGCGCGAGTGATCATGCTCTTCTGAAGTTTACTATACAGCGGAAAGGAGCAGCCAAGCATACTAGGACTCAATTTCTTGACTTTAAGAAAGCTGACTTCATAAAACTTAGGGAAGTGCTGGGTGAGATCCCATGGACAGTAATACTAAAAGGAAAGGGAGTTCATGATGGCTGTGAGTTTGTTAAGAGGGAGATACTAAAAGCACAACGTCAGGCAATACCAATGAGACGGAAACATGGAAGGTGCCTAAAGAAGCCAGGGTGGCTATCTAAAGAACTTTTAACTGAGTTAAGATTAAAAAAGGATGGGTACAAAAAATGGAAAAGGGGGGAAACCACCAAAGAGGACTTCAAACAAATAGCCAGCACGTGTAGACACAAAGTCAGAAAAGCTAAAGCACAGAATGAACTCAGGCTTGCTAGAGAGGTTAAAAGCAACAAAAAGGCTTTTATGGGTATGTCCGTAGCAAAAGGAAGAACAAAGAAACAGTGGGGTCACTCAGAGGAGAAGATGGTGAAATGCAAACAGGGGACACAGAAAGAGCTGAACTCCTCAATGCCTTCTTTGCCTCAGTCTTCTCCGATAAAGAAAACAATGCCCGACCTGAAGAATTTGGAGCAAATGATTCAGCAAAGGAAACACAGCCCAGAATAACTAAGGAGATAGTACAAGAATACTTGGCTAGTTTAGATGTATTCAAGTCTCCAGGGCCAGATGAACTGCATCCAAGAGTATTAAAAGAACTGGCAGATGTGATCTCAGAACCACTGGCAGTCATCTTTGAGAATTCCTGGAGAACAGACGAAGTCCCGGCAGACTGGAGGAGGGCAAATGTTGTCCCTATTTTCAAAAAGGGGAATGGAGAGGACCCAAATAATTACCGCCCAGTCAGTCTGACATCAATACCAGGGAAGATTCTGGAGCAGATCATTAAGCAAACAGTCTGTGAGCACCTAGAAAGGAATGCTGTGATCACCAATAGTCAGCATGGATTTCTGAAAAATAAGTCATGTCAGACTAACCTGATCTCGTTTTTTGACAGAATTACAAGCCTGGTGGATGAAGGGAACACAGTGGATGTAGCCTACCTTGATTTCAGCAAGGCATTTGACAAGGTGCCTCATGATATTCTTGTAAAGAAGCTGGTAAAATGTGGTCTTGACTATGCTACCACTCAGTGGATTTGTAACTGGCTGACTGACCGAACCCAAAGGGTGCTCATCAATGGTTCCTCTTCATCCTGGAGAAGAGTGACTAGTGGGGTGCCACAGGGTTCTGTCTTGGGCCCGGTCTTATTCAACATCTTTATCAACGACTTGGATGATGGACTCAAGGGCATCCTGATCAAATTTGCAGATGACACCAAATTGGGAGGGGTGGCTAACACCCCAGAGGACAGGATCACACTTCAAAACGACCTTGACAGATTAGAGAACTGGGCCAAAACAAACAAGATGAATTTTAACAGGGAGAAATGTAAAGTATTGCACTTGGGCAAAAAAATGAGAGGCACAAATACAAGATGGGGGACACCTGGCTTGAGAGCAGTACATGTGAAAAGGATCTAGGAGTCTTGGTTGACCACAAACTTGACATGAGCCAACAGTGTGACGCGGCAGCTAAAAAGCCAATGCAATTCTGGGCTGCATCAAT